GAAACCGAAGTGGCCCAGTGCGTCGTGCGCCATGTGGAACAGCGTCTCCCGTAGATTCCCGTGACGCGGCACAATCAGCCTTTCGCCAATAAACCACAGGTCATTTTCAGTCCGCAATCCTGGGAGCGACCCTAACAACCCTGGAAGTTTGGCCGTCCACTTGTCGACTGGATAACCTTCCCGGATTGTGTCCAGTAGTGACGCATCTGCCCGCACGTCCAGAACAGCGTTTACACCCACCGCATAACGTGGGTCTCGTGTCAATGTCAAGGCCAGAGTCGCGCCGATCTGGGCTGGCACCACCGACGCCACAGGAAGGGTTGTCACCTTCAAGCTCTCCACATCATGTGGGTCGTTGTCGACGAAGTCCGTCCGAGAAAGTGCATCAGCGCCTTCATTATCCTTACCCGGTACATAAATTATTTTCAGATCGAACTGTGATAAGAATTCCATCCACCTCGCTTGACGCCGAGATAAATCCCGTTGAGTTGAGAAATTTTCCAGAGTCCTATGGTCCGTGAAGACAGCAATTTCCGATCCAATCAAATCGTTCCGCCACTTGCGGAACGCTCGAATGATCGCCAGGAGTTCTTTTTCGTGTACTGGGTAATTCAACTCAGCGCCCTTGAAGGTCATTGAGTCGAAAGCAACAGGTCTCGCTGTCTCCCAACTCGGGCCGTACGATAGAATCGCTCCAGAGAACGCGTATCGCTCGCGTCAGTGGTCACGAAGATCCTGTTCTCGCCCATGTTCTGGTGGTCGATGGTCACCAAACAATCAGCGCTAACCACCAAGCCCTTGATTGCCTCGAAGGCGGCCTGGTGGTGTTCACGCCAGCCCGGCCAATCCTTCTCGGCCGCCTTAGTCGTCAGTGAAGACAGGACTTCGGTATGCTTCGCTAGGCCCGGCAGGAACTGGGCCACAAATCTCACCAATCCCAGGAAAGCGCGGACATGGGTTGTACTCTTGGGCGTCGGCCAGTTGAATATCCGGTCCACCTTAGCCTTATCGGCCTCAATGCCCCGCTGTGAGATGTGGTGGCCTAGGAAATCTATTTCGTAAGAGAACAGTTGCGTCTTCTTTTCGTTGCAATATAACCTCGCCTCGCGCAGGGCTGTAAATATGGCGCGAATGTGATTTTCGTGTTCGTCCTCATTCTGCGACCAAATGATCACATCGTCAATGTACACATGGCAAAAGCGGCCAATGTACTCTCTTAAGGCCGCTGTCACCCTCCGCTGTTGGACTGAAGGCGCATTGCGCAAGCCTTGGGGCATGACCAACCATTCGTAAAGACCCAGCGGTGTATTAACCGCAGTGTACTTGACGGAGTCCGGATGCATTCGCGTTTGGAAGAATGAATCGGTGAAATCAATTTTCGACCAAATCTTCCCCTTCGCGCAGTCGGCGAGAATGTCGTCGACTCTCGGCAGCGGGAAGACGTCGTGAACTGTGTTGGCATTTACCGCCCTATAGTCGTTAACCCAGCGTGGTAAGGACTCCTTATCAGCCTTAGGTATCAGCATTGCGGGCGAGGCATAAGGAGAATTTGAAGGACGAATCCGGCCAGCATCTAGGTGTTTCTTGATCAGAATGCTCCACGCTTCACGATACTTGCGAGGGCTGTTATAAGATCTACGCGTCAGTGTCGTGGAAGCCTCCTTCAATTTGATTTCGCAGTTTACATCTGCAGGTAGATCGTCAACATGAGGTATTGCATCGAAGATCGGTCTGAATTCGGATTTGATTGTGTTACCCTTTTTCTGTAAGCGCTCCCATTCGGCTAGGACATGAATACGTTCGTGTACTGCCGTAACCACGTTAACTGGCTTGCCATATTCCAGCAGGCCCATAGAATCCAGTCGGTCGCGCCGGGCTTCGCAAACCCCGCGAAGCTGCTCAGCTAGTAGTCGCCTGTTATCATGTACTTCTCGCATAACCTCGCGAAGTCTTCTTTTTGGCTTCTTGAGAGGTTCTAAGGGCGGTGGGTTCAGCAGGTCGTAGCCACACGATTTGTCGACTACAGTGCGCAGCTCGTGGTCAATAACAATTTTATTTCGATATAGGAACGGTGTGCCCAACAGGATGGGGACGCACAAGTTCGGAACAATCATGGCTCGTACAGTGCGAGAAACGTAACGGTGGTCCGTGGATATTAATCGTAGTTTAACGTATTCGGTGATCAATGGTGCGGAAGGAGAATCCGTAGGTACAGCGAGGTCGAAAGAAAAAGGCGTGTTCAAGCGTCTACGTCGGAGGCCAACTAATTCTGCTAAGTCGTCTTTGATAAGGACTAAGTGGGAGCCGTTGTCGATCAAGGATTGTACAGAAATGGGGAGGTTTGTTCGCGAGCCTTCAATCATGCAGTTCCAGAGGTAGTGGGAAGACGCGGCAGGCGAGCTCCGTACGGGGTCGGCGAGCTCTGTCGGAGAAGCACAGTCAGTGTCCGCAGGCAAAGGCTCTAGCCCACGTACATTCTGTTCCGCCGGTCCGACCTCAGAACTATCATCGTCCGTCTCTCCATCATCTTCGTTGTAGAAGTCGTTGATAAGTGCTGCGACAGGTGCCGAACGACCTTGGAAAGCAGTCTTGGGGGCAGCGCTCGCTCCCGTGTTTGTCTTTTCCGCAAGTTTGGCCCGTTGCTCCGCCGTCAGGTTCGCCCTTGCGACTTGGATCGTCTTTTTCGTCACCTTCTCCACGTCCGGAGGGGGGAAATCGCACAGGTTGTCGCGGGCGTAGTGGAATACGAAGGGCTTGCGGCATTTGCGGCACCCGAAATTCTCGTCCAACAATTTGCGCTCGTCCTCCGCCAGGAACTTAGCACGCGTGCCCTGTGTACAAGGAGGGGCGTTTTCGTTGGTGCGCGCACGCTTGTGGTGTCCGTCATCCTCGGTCAAGTCGCGGGGGCGCTTCATGTTCGCCTGTCTGGCGAACCCACGTTGTTGTTCTGCAAGCGCGGCAGCGATTTCGGCCTTGCGTGCGGTTTCGTCCTTGCGACGTTTATAGTCGATCGCCTCTACCGCCTTCGACCATTCGCGCGTCGTTGGTATAGCCGCGAGATCGTCTGCAACGTCGTCCATCGCATCGCTAAGCTTGTCGAGACAGTGGGACGCGGCATGAGCTCGGATAGCACCCTCGTCGAGGTAGGACTTTGTGTTGTGCAAGAGTTCGTTATTGCTGACGAGGCGCGTGTAGTATTTGAGGAAACCTTTGTCCGGTTTCTGGACACAGTGTCGGACCGCGCGAAGCTGCTTAGCCTCCCAGTCTGCACCCAGCAAAAACTCGCGAATCTCCGTTTTGAGGGCGTCCAAGGTGAGCTTCTGAAGTCGTTCTTTGTCGCCGCGCACGTTCTGAATCCAGTCGTTATCTTTGATTGCCTTCAGCGTACGCGCGACCAGATTCTTTGCTGTTACAGAGGCCGCTTCTGCGTGGTCATCCAGCGCGTCGAAGAACTCGCGTAGAAGCTCCGGGTCGTATGAGCCAATGGAGAGAGTTGGGCAGCGTTTAGCCGGGTCCGTGTTCGTGACTGTAGCACGAGGGAGGGACATTGCGTGTGGGGATCGCGTATACGAGAAGATGCAGGTGGGTGGTGGGGCAGGAAAAGGTACCGCGGGTCGGCGGCCAGATGTCACTTGTGACAGGGCTAGGGTTCGGCCCTCGGCTTCCCGATTTGGTAGTCCGGTACCGGCGGGGTGTGCGGCGAGGTCAGTCAATCCCAGTCCCATTGTGTCGTTGGACGCGGTGGTCATTCCAGTTGTGAGCGAGTTGGCTCGTCTGTTCGTTCTATATATGGCTCGGTGGCCGTTTATCCAGTCTGCTGGGCTGGTTTGCCCTAGTGGCTCGTCGGCCGTCGGGTGACAGAATCCGAAGAGTGTGGGAGTTTAATGGAAGTATTTTGGGCTCGCCGAGCGTGGAGGGCTTGGCGAGATCTCGAAAGAGTTGGCAGAGCCTCGGTGGGTTGCGTGGAGTGGGGGGAAACGTTTTGGGGGTGTAACAGTAGTGGGTCAAGGATGGATATCGTAAAAAAAGTGGAAACTGGGCGTACGGATGTGCCCAGAAACACTAGAACGCTCAAGGAAGGGTCCGAGATACGATAAGACCCTTGTCCGGGGGTGATTCCGCCTAACTACGCCGTACAGTGATGTAGCGTAAGAAGAAGAGAAAAAAGTGACGTCACTAAGGAAACCTCCAGGTTTACATCAGGAAGGAGATGATTAGTGAAGTGGACTGTGGACGCAGACACGTAGTGTATGCGTGTAGGTAAAATATCATAATGCAAGAGAAAAAAAAAGTACACAAGTGTTAGCAAGCAGCAAGCCTTTGTGATGAGGGGTAAGCTAGGTGTGCGAGACATGGTATCTGCTAGCCAGCATGTAATTATGTAGTGGTATATCACAGTTTTATGGAATCCCAACCAGAATCCCAATCAATGATAGTCTGAGAATCTTATTACAATATTCCAGCCTGGAACATATGATATATTCCAGGCTGGAATATTGAATAAAAACATATGGCAGATTGAGAATATTCTACGGATCTGCCCAACATTTTCCAGGCTGTCATATACCTAGCAGATGGTGAGAAAATTGAGAATATTCCACAGATCTTCCTATCATATTCCAGCCTAGAAGATGGAATGAATACAGCCTGTAATATTTATAATATTCTCATGATATTCCAGGGCGGAATATGCTCCATTGCCCGCAGTGACACCGGGGATTCGCGCAAAAAGGGAGCCTAAAGCAGGAATTTTTTGTTGGAAGACTGGTACCAAATATGGTCAGCTGATTAGAGTCAAATCAAGGCTGCAGATTTCCGTGCACATGACTCAGAAATTACCAAATAAGGTAATTCCAGAGTCACGTGCACGGGGATCAGGGCCCATGATTTATGTAAAAATTGGCCTCAGTTATTTTGGCCTGGATCTGCCACAAAAAAACCCAGCTTAGGCTGCCTTTTTTTCCCAGAACCCCAATGTGAATATATAGTATAAATTATTTTTAATAATTAAGTCTATACCGAAGTAATTGAATAATTCCAACAGGAGTCATACCCTCCATTCGTTTTGCTGCTCCCTAGGTAAGTAATATATATTAATCATACCGCAAAAATGTTTTATCAAGCTTACAATAGTTCGAGGTTTAACCTGGACCAGACGTTCACAAACCTCTGCACTTAAGCCTGGTATACTATGGTAGTCAATACCAGGACTTAGAGAGATATCTTCCTCCTTCATGAATTCAGCTAGATCTGCTATTTGTCTTGCAATAAATGGCGTATAAAGACCTTTTAGTTATTAGAGAAATATATTTCACTAAATTAGGACTCACTCTCTATGCGAAGTCGCTCTATAATTTTATCCTGAATTCTAGCAAGGGATGGAATAGCCATTTGAAGGCTAACTATATTGACTTGAGGATATCGCAATATATGATATGCACTAAACATATTATGATCAGAATTGATATTATCATTACTAGAATATCATATACCTTCGCAGAACACCATCAAGCTTGACATTTAGCCCAAGTTGGTTCCATGCCTATAGATATAATAAAAGCAGATCATATCTATAAATTGAAATTTACCTGAGGACTTAAAATAGTATTTTGTAGAAGGGAAAGGGCATCATTTATTTGGGCTTGGGTAGTTTGAAACATAGCCCAACGAGATGCAGTAATAATGCCAGAATTATATCCTGGCAAATTTTAAGTTCCTTAGAATACTAATATATATCTCTTACCCAATTGTGTCAAACGGGAATCTGCATTGTCACTCCGCATTGTCATTCGGAATTCAGAGCGTGATGTAAACATTCGGTCTAAAAATTTTTTTAGCTGTCTAACTTATAATCTGATATACTCACAAGGCTCCTCTACCCCCTTTTGAATTAAGTCATCAATCATAACCCCAATAAATCCATCTGCTCGAGACAGAATCAAAGATGGCTGATGAAGTGAACTAAGACCAGCATTGACTCCTGCAATAAGGCCTTGTGCTGCTGCCTCTTCATACCCAGTTGTACCTAGACAACAAATTATTAGATATTCAATATGTGTGTGTTCTCCTACACATACCATTGATTTGACCAGCCAAGAACAAACCCTTGAGAGTGTTTAATGAAAAGTCACATTTCATTCAGCTAGTCGCATTACCTTGATCTTCTTGGTCTCCAAGGTAGCTAAGGATGATGAATGATGAGGATTCAGAGGCGGTGGAATACTTGCCATCCAGTTCACGAGGGTCTATGTAGTCGTACTCAACACCATAGGCAGGCCGCACAATCTTGGCATGCTCAAGTCCAGGTATTGTGCGCAGCATAGGTTCTTGAAGCTCTTCAGGCATGCTACAAGAGACACCATTCGGGTAGATGATGTCTTGAAGAACATGAGCGACCAACGAGACTGAGTAATACTCAAGGGCAGCAGACCTGAATCGTAACCTTCGGGTTCCAACCAAACCGTGTGTCTGTCATTGTTGAATCGAATGATTTTGCTTTCAAGTGATGGGCAATAACGTGGCCCTGCATGAAGATTAGACATTTGTGAACCATAGAAGATTTCATGTACCTTTCTTGGTTTCTTGAATATGCACACTCAAATGTAGACTGCGTTTGACATGTTCATGGGTTAACGGTGTGGTGAATGTTTGATAGCATGCAATCTGATTGTTCTGCACACGCACCGCTGAGCCTAGAAACAACAATAAGAGAACGGACTAACCGCATTTTGCACGTGATCATTTATAAAACTAAACGGAAGAGGATTCGCGTCTCCATCTTGTCGTTCCAAAGCTCTAAAATCAATTGTGCGTTTATCGAGGCGTGCTGGGGTCCCTGTTTGCAAGCGACCAAGTTTGAACCCAGCGGCGGCCAGCGTATTGGATAAACCTCCGGGGGAAGGAGGAGAGCCTAACCGCCCAGCAGGAAAACGCTTCAGTCCTGCTCAATTGCTTAGTTTGGCATATGATTGGCGGAGAAATCTGTCTCTTGCCAATGTGGATCTCGCCGGAGAGAAAGGTGCCTGTGCAAAGAACCACTTTCGAACAAGAGATAACCTCGCCGGTGTCTGACATGGCAGTTAAGAGTACGAAATAGTATTTACAGAACGCCAGACCTAGCTTGACGCCGGATATAGGGTTATGGGCCTTGGATAGGTCCAACACAATGTCGTGGACGCTGCCTGAACGGACATCTAAATTTTTGTAGTGGTTCAGTGCTTCCTGCATGTGCTTTTTATACAGTTTTCGGTCCATTTGAGCGCGAGGTCCCTGGACAAGTAACGTTAACTTGGCGAGTATTTTCCTAAATCTCTCACCCAAACTGCCGCGCCCTTTGAACGATTGAGAATAGTAAACTGAATTCCAGCCTTGTCTGTGCATGCTGTTAGTAGTCACTCACGAACACTGTTCTAATTGGTTAGCTCACCAGCAACCACTCCCATTAAACCGTCAAGCGCGTCGATTTCGCGGACTAATGTTCCTTTTCCTACGCCGCCGATAGAAGGGTTACATGACATTTCGCCGATGGTTTGGATATTTTGCGTGAGGAGAACAGTCCTAGCGCCAGTCCTAGCAGCACCCGTAGCGGCTTCGCATCCAGCATGACCTCCTCCAATGACACAAACTAGGGCAAATTTCAGCGGAAACGAAGTCGCCACAGTTCAAGTAGAACCGTCATAACGCGGCGCAATGGAATAAAACCGTCTTGATAGTGGACGTGAGAAGAGATACATAAGTAACGCCGCGATGCTGATGGGAGATAAAACTAATCTCTCTTCCAACAACCACCAACGCGGACTATGTCGCTGCATCCTCCCCGACTAGGCTCATTCTCCGCCTTTCCCTCTGTGCCTGGAACACCAGTGCACTCTATTCAGTCGATGAGAAGGAAAGGCGCTGGTCATAGCGGACCTCTCCCAAAGATCCTCGTCGCCAACCGCGGGGTGCGCGTTTCGCTTTTCTAAATACTTCTGCTGCTAACCCTCCTTGATTTCATTCTAGGAAATCGCAATTCGCGTTTTCAGATCTGCTCATGAACTCGCGATGCACACTGTCGCGATTTATTCGTATGAGGACCGGCTCTCTGCCCATCGCCAAAAGGTTTTGAAACCAGTCTCTGACTCCTTGTCTCTAATGAGCATAGTCCGACGAAGCATATCAAGTTGGTAAAGGTTTGACGCCCGTTGCTGCCTACCTTGCGCAGGACGATATCATTCGAATCGCGCTTGAACATGGGGTGGACATGATCCATCCAGGGTCAGTGCCAAACTCCACTCTATCTCCGCCCCTTATTCAAGCCGGATAGTTACGGATTCCTTTCGGAGAATGCGGAATTCGCGCGCAAGGTTGAACAAGCTGGCATTGCTTTCATCGGGCCTTCACCTGAAGTCATTGATGGCTTGGGAGACAAGACTAAAGCCCGCACACTCGGTAAAGAGCTCCGCAATCTCCGCTCATTTCCGATCCTCACCCATGGGTAGCCATGAAAGCAGGGGTGCCTATTGTTCCAGGGACTCCGGGACCAGTCGCGTCCTACTCCGATGGCGACGCGTTTATTAAAGAGTATGGCTTTCCTGGTTGGTTATATTGGCACAGTCTGCACAATCCTTTTCTAACTTGGACGTAGTTATCATCAAGGCCGCCATGGGGGGAGGTGGCAGAGGAATGCGTGTTGTCCGTGAACAATCTGACTTCAAAGACGCGTTCGAACGGGCGACAAGTGAAGCAAAATCAGCCTTCGGTGACGGCACAGTTTTCATCGAGCGTTTTCTTGAACGGCCCCGTCACATTGAAGTCCAGATCCTTGCAGATGCTCAAGGAAACACGATCCACTTATTTGAGCGTGACTGTTCCGTTCAAAGGCGGCACCAGAAAGTTGTAGAAGTTGCTCCAGCTACCCATCTCCCGGAGGAAGTCAGGCAAGCCATTCTCTCAGATGCGATCAAGCTAGCGAAAAGTGTTGGATATCGAAATGCCGGAACAGCAGAGTTCCTAGTTGACCAAATGGGAAGGCATTACTTCATCGAGATTAATCCTCGCATTCAGGTGGAGCATACGATTACAGGTGTCTAATTTTGCATGACTTTGCTTTTTGTGATTGACATCCTGCAGAGGAAATCACCGGCATCGATATTGTTGCTGCTCAGATTCAGATTGCGGCCGGGGCCACACTTCCCCAGCTTGGCCTAACGCAAGAGGCTGTTACCAAGCGTGGTTTCGCTATCCAGTGCCGAGTAACGACGGAGGATGCATCCCAAGGCTTCCAACCCGATACTGGAAAAATCGAAGTATACCGTAGCGCAGGTGGTAATGGCGTTCGTCTGGACGCTAGCTCTGGTTTCGCTGGAGCCCAAATAACTCCCCACTATGACAGTTTGCTCGTCAAATGTACAGTCAGTGGCACAACCTACGAAGTTGCTAGACGCAAGATGCTGCGAGCTCTTGTTGAATTTAGGATTCGCGGCGTCAAAGTGATTTGTATATCAATCGCATATTCCAAGCGCTGACTCAGGATTCCAGACTAATATTCCTTTCCTCTTTCGTCTCCTTACTCATGATGTCTTCATTGGTGGCAAAACCTGGACCACCGTGAATACTTGATCTGCCCAATGAATTGGATGCTAACCTCCGTCAAGTTCATTGACGACACGCCAGAGTTGTTTAAACTCGTTCAAAGCCAGAATCGGGCTCAAAAATTGCTGGCATACCTTGGTGATCTTGCCGTTAACGGTAGCTCCATCAAAGGACAAGTGGTGCGTGACTTTCGGCGATCTACTTGCTGTTCTTACACGCCTCAAAGGGTGAACCTGGTCTGAAAGACGAAGTTATAATTCCGAAATTCCAAAATCGAGAAGATCCCTCGAGCCCTCAAACCCTAGATGCATCTATCCCGTGCGCTGTCGGTTGGCGAAATATAATTGTGGAGCAGGGGCCCGAAGCCTTTGCAAAAGCAGTTCGAGAATATCCTGGCACTCTTATCATGGACACCACGTGGCGTGATGCACACCAATCTCTCCTGGCCACCCGTCTGCGTACAATTGACATGGTCAACATTGCCAAAGAAACTAGCTACGCGCTAGCCAATGCCTACAGTCTAGAGTGTTGGGGCGGGGCAACCTTCGATGTTGCAATGCGGTTCTTGTACGAAGATCCCTGGGAGAGGCTGGTGGGTTATCTTACAGGCAGAGTGAACTCGATCCCTGATTGTCCTCCAGCGTACGTTGCGCAAGCTGGTACCAAATATTCCATTCCAGGCCCTTGTGCGCGGTGCTAACGGAGTTGGTTACACAAGCTATCCGTGGGTCTCTAGCGGCAGAGAAACGACGGAATAATTAACGTTGGTCCAGTGACAATGCTATCTACGAGTTTTCCAAGAAAGCCGTTGAAAATGGCTTAGACATCTTCAGAGTCTTCGATTCTCTCAACTACTTTGGTGCGGTCTTGATTTACATCGTTTAACTAACAATTGACAACTCTATGTTAAGAGAACGTAGGTTCCTGTGGGTATCAGTGCTCCAGAGATTCATAAACACTGCAGATGCAACTTGGAATTGATGCTGCCAAAAAAGCTGGCGGGGTCGTCGAAGCCGTGGTCTGTTATAGTGGGGACGTCGCCAGCCCCAACGAAAAGAAATATACCCTCCAGTACTATCTCGATTTCGTCGACAAACTCGTTCAGGAGGGCATCCATGTCCTCGGCGTCAAAGACATGGCTGGCTTATTGAAGCCGGAAGCCGCAAAGCTGTGGGTGACCTCGCCTACACACCACCATTGGTCTGACTTACTCCGCGAAGACTCATTGGCGCAATCCGTAAAGCATACCCAGACCTTCCCATCCATGTTCACTCGCATGACACCGCGGGCATTGCTACTGCGAGTATGATTGCTGCTGCTGCTGCTGGTGCCGACGTAGTAGATGTGGCTATTGACAGTATGTTTATATTATCCCCCCTCGTCATTCTTCACCTACTCAGGCATGTCTGGCCTAACTTCACAACCGTCCATGGGAGCGGTCTGTATGGCACTGGAGCAAACCGCCCTTGGAACTGGAATACGATTTGAAGATATTCAAGCTCTCAACCTATATTGGAGTCAAGTCCGCCTACTGTACGGCTGCTTTGAAGCAAACGTTCGCGCGTCCGACTCGAGTGTCTTCGATCATGAAATGCCTGGTGGCCAATATACTAACCTAATGGTTCGAGTTTCATCTATGTTTTGTTGGATCCTGTCCCTGAAAATGGCGTAGTTCCAAGCTTCTCAACTTGGTCTCGGGACGCAATGGACCGGTGCGATGTTTTCGTGTGATCACCGGCTCTTTTCACAATTTGATCACGCAGTAATTAAACAGAAATATATCGACGCAAATGAACTTTGTGGAAACATCATCAAGGCCAGTGAAGTGACGCTTGGTCAAGCTAACGAATGAACGAGAGATACCAGGTTACACCTTCTTCCAAAGTCGTCGGCGACTTTGCGCAATGGATGACATCAAATTCACTGACCAAAGAGCAAGTTGTGGAGCGTGCAGAACAACTTGATTTCCCTTCTTCGGTTGTCGAATTTTTCCAGGGTTATCTTGGACAGCCGGTCGGCGGGTTTCCGGAGCCTTTACGCACCAGAATCATACGAAACAAGCCTAGAATTGATGGCAGACCTGGTGCTACGATGGATCCTCTTGACTTCAAGAAAATCAAAGCAGATTTGAGAAGCAAGTTTGGAAAGCATATCACTGATGCCGATGTGATCTCATCAGTGATGTATCCCAAGGCAAGCGTGTAGCTCTCCTATTAGTATTGTAAGCTCAAACAATTCAGGTGTTTGAAGATTATCAAGGATTCATCGAAAAATACGGTGATCTTAGGTAGCACACTTGCCATTTGCGGTCGTTGAGGCTCAAGTGACTGCAGTGTGATTCCGACCCGCTACTTCCTCGGTCGTCCAGATATGGGAGAAGAAATGCACATCTCCATCGAGCAGGGGAAAACTCTTATCATCCGACTTATGGCTGTTGGGCCTGTTGTCGAAGGGCACGCTCAACGCGATGTTTGGTTTGAGGTCAACGGAGAAGTAAGCCATCCAACAATATTTGGCAATATTGCATAGACGCCATTCGCACAGGTGCGCGCTGTCTCTGTCGAAGACAAAAATTCGGCCGTTGAAACCGTCTCGCGCGAGAAAGCCACTAACGACCCTGGATCCGTTGGCGCACCTATGTCTGGTGTCGTTGTCGAGGTAAGAGTCAAGGAAGGTCAAGAAATCAAGAAGGGTGACCCCATATGCGGTGTGTGGTATCTATGACATTAACCCCTTCCCTCATTGTCCCTCAGTCTTGAGTGCGATGAAGGTAGATTTGCCTGACTTTTTTGACGATCCCCACTTCTGACTCGTCTATAGATGGAATCCGCTGTGACTGCACCAGTATCAGGACATGTCAAACGGGTGACCGTACAAGAAGGTAAGGCAAGGGTACTTTTGGTGCACCATATTGCTCACGCAGTTGAAAGGCGATTCCATTACACAAGGCGATCTGGTCGCTGAGATCATGCACTAGAATACAACTGGCTTGCCTTGGCTAGATGCTGAATACAATCTTCACGGAGCTGCTCAACTATGACCTATTCCTCTCTATGAGCCTGCGTAAGTGGAAAAGCTCGGTGACTACCTTGGCCGGAAGGATTTCATTCATCTGCCCGACGCCCGTACCAGCCCAGATGATCATCCTATCGGCATCTTCCATTTCGACTCCCTTTCTCAATGATTGTTGGAGGAGTTGCACTGAAACACCATTTTCGAAGTCGTCGACAATACCTGATTTGTTTGTGCTTTTGAATCCAACGGTGCAGTGAGAACAAACTATTGCGTAAGCCTCGACCATCAATCCCGACTGGCCAACCGAGTGTTTGTCTCGCATAGTCCCATGCCTGCAGTTGAGTACTTGACGTGTGTGGAATGAGTGGAACGCACCAGGCTTCGAAGTGTCGAATCAGACTTGGCCGACAGGAGGGCCTGCTTTTGGACCGCATTGTACAGAGACTCGTTAGCCAGAAGAAATCGGGTGCCGAGAACAACTCCTTCTGCCCCTAAGGTCAGCATCGACGCAATGTGTCCACCGTTTGCCAGTCCCCCGGCCGCAAGCACCAGCGGGCCGTCTGGGGGGATGGCATCAAGAATGGAGGAGACCAAATTGACCACAGGCAAAGCATTGCTCGCTCCATGTCCACCACTCTCGATACCCTGAGCAACAATGACATCGACGCCCCATTCCAATGCCGCCGTTAGAGCCTGCTGAATGCTTGAAATCTGGACGAAGATCAAGGTTTTCGGTTTTCCCTTTCCCTTGTCATATTGACGAATGAATCTGATCCACTCGGGAAAATCTGAACCAAAAGATAGCCAGATAGCTTGGACGTTGTTGTCCAGAGCGATACGCAGCAGTTCAACGAAGGGCGAGTTGGGTTGCTCAAGCTGCCAGACCAGGAATCCAACACCGATCGGTAGGTTGAAGTGGCCTTGCTCTACGAGCGCTGATTGCGCCAAAGACAACTCCTCCTGGAAGCTTGCTACGGTAACTCCATAGCCTACGTTTATGAGCTTTCAAAGATATAAATTCCAGTACTACGTACCGCTCCCTGAAAGAAAGCCGAAGGCACCCGCAGCAGAGACTTCGCCAGCGAGCTTCCCTTGGTAATTGCTCTGTTATTAGCCTGGAGAAAATCCTCACTCACGCACCACCGCCAGCACCTGCCATAGGTCCAAGTACAAGCGGAAACCTTTGAAGGGTTATCACAGTGATAATTATATTGAGAACTGACTGGGTCCCCAGTAACTGGGTCAGTTTACTGGCGACTGTAATCATTAGAACGTGACAGGTGTTTGAGTCAACGGTTGGGTTGGGTCTTTCCGGAGGCAAGAAAAGCTGTTGGGCTATAGTAGTATTAGTACACTTGGAACTTGTATTTTGAAATATTGCTGATTTCGAAGGTGTCACGCCCCAGATCAGACCTTGGGACATGTCGACCTCAACCCCCAGTCGGTTACCATCGACGTCTTCTCCAGTTCACCAACGGACAGCGACCAACTCCTCGGCCTCATCTTTTCCCCCATCTACCCCCAGCGGATCTTCTGGTCCAGCCGCTGCCATCACCCTCGAAGGACTCCTCACCGCTCATGCCGCCGACCAAGACCCCAAATTAGCCGCCCTTGAACACGCCGTATCGGAGAGGAATACCCTTAGCTCTCAGAATGCGCAACTCTGGAAGCTCATCGAAAAACAACGGACGGGTTATAACCAGATTCTGAAAGAATTGGAGCGTGTGCGTTCTGAAAGAGACGGTTATAAGGCAAAGCTCGGTGCAATCGTTGGTGTCCAATCCCGTTCACGTAAGGAGACCTTGAATGGAGAGAAGGAGAAGGAAATCAAGGAAACAGACGACTCTCGTCCGTCAACTTACATCTTAACCTAATCAATTGCTCACCCAAGTCTTCAGATACTCCTCGGGCCAATCAGGAAATGACGACTTATCCTTCCTTCCAGTCGAACTCGACTGCTACCCCACCCCGCCAAAAATCATCATTGGCGCCTCTTCTTGTCCCTCCAAGAGCAGAAAGTTTACCGGTGTCAACCGCCTTGGACAACGCGCAGGCCGCTAAATCTACATCTATAACCCCTCCAAACATCCCGAACTTTGCATCACAGACCCCCCCCCTCCACAGCGACAGTCTCCCGTTGTACCTACCCCGCAACCCCCCAACAACGCGTCTCGCCATATTCCCAGCTCTTCTACGTCGACCATAACTCCATCGGTCCAGCCACCACCTGCTGCTCCGATTGTCACCCCTCCTACTGATTTGCCTATCCAGACATTATCTCCTCAGCAGACACCCAACAACTCTATGTTGGCGGCCTTGAATGGCTCTCGTGCTCAACCTCTTTCACGGGAATCTCGTATCTCATTGCCCGACGAAGCCCGTCATTATATCACAACCATGGGGGAGTCACCTGTCCCCAGCCCAAACGTCGATGCATTTGCCCCCCGAGCACTGCCCAACGCCCCTTCAGATAGCGAATTTCTGGACCTTGAAGAGATCGAAGAGGGTTCACAACAGGATGGAAGTGAGGAAGAAGACTCGCCTCAATTCGATATCCAAACGACGACGCAGCCACTTTATGCCCCAAGAAAAATTCAAAATGGCAGCCAGGACCGCATAAAATCTGATTCGCCAGGCGAGTCACCGCCAACTATCCAACAGCAAATACAACAGCAGCGAAGCATGGCCCAGCAACAACAACAGCTCCATACCCAACAACAGCCCCCACCGCCTTTGATTCAGCCGCAACCCAGCGAAACTCTTGCTCCGTTACAACCACTGCGGCCTCAAGGTCCAACTGCTGTACCTGCATCATTCCGTGCATTGCCATTGCTCTCCTCCGACCTTCCATCTACTACAATAACTGTCTCGCATTCCTTTGTCCGACCGAACGATCGCGGCAAAGAGGTGCTTTCGTTTGTAGTCCATATCGACCCCGGGCATAATAAAGAGGGCTGGAAAGTGGAAAAGCTCTATTCCGATGTTATTGCGCTAGACCAACGAGTGCGCAACAGTGTTGGTAAGACAATGGGGAAGAAAATGGTAACTTTGCCGGAAGGCAAACTGTGGAAAGATCATGCGCCAGCCAAGGTCGATCAACGAAAGGTGGGCTGCTTGCTATGCAGTAGATTTTCTAGTCTGAACGTTAAACAGGCCATCCTAGAAACATATTTGCAAGCCCTGGTCAATCTGCCTATCAAGAGCAATGACGAGGTTATCGCGTTCTTTACCTCCGACATAATCCGGGACTACAAGCAACCCATCATGCAGGCGGGACACAAGGAAGGTTATCTAACAAAACGCGGGAAAAATTTTGGTGGCTGGAAGACCCGATTTTTCGTGCTGCAAGGTCCGATCTTGGAGTATTACGACTGCGTATGTAAACTTGTGGGAAGCTCAATCGTACTGACATACCCAACAGCGTGGCGGCGCTCATCTTGGGTCCATCGCAATAACTGGAGCGCAGATTGGGCGACAGCAGCGGAGTGATAAACCCGCAACTGACGAGGAGAAAGAATACAGGCATGCTTTTCTCATCGTCGAAGCCAAGAAAGGGCCCGGTGGCAATCACCCTCGTCATGTTTTATGCGCCGAGAGCGATATTGAACGAGATGCTTGGGTTGAAATTCTCGTCCGGTACTTCAGTGGATTCTATAACGAGGAGCCTGTTTCATATGGACAAGCTTTGCCCTCGACGAATGCAACTTCACGCCCTAGTGCTGATGTCTCGTATGGCCGTCCATCAAGTCCGGCTCGTTCTCTTGACTCCCCAATCGACCGACAAGCCGGGGCTTCCATCGATTCACCAGCGGCTCGTCGTATCCTGGAATCACAAAGCCAGCAACGCCAACAGCCGTCCAGCTTGCCTGATTCGTCACCTCTGTCCAATGCGACCACAGAAGCACCATATCAACGAGCGAATTCAGAACTGGGCCACTATTCGGATCCACAAAATGGTACTCCGCGTAGTCGACGACAGCATTCACCAGAGCATCATCGGCGTGAAGGTCCACACAAAGGATTCCAGCCGACCCTTAACACCGTTGCATCTTCTCCCATCACCCCTGTAGCGCAACAAGTCGAGCGTCAGGAACGTCCACCTTCCCCGGATTCCAAGGTCAAAATATCAGGACCTATGAACGGCACACCGATACCAGCCGGCTATAAATTTGGTGGGAAGGATGCACCGCCGCCACAAGCAGAACCATCTACCCCGGCTGGGGCCAATGATAGGCGTGAAAAAGCCAAATCCCGTTCATTCTGGGGCTTTGGGCGACCAGGTGCCGGCGGAGAAAAGCTAGAGAAAGGAGCTCCCCCTTCTGTCGCCACTTTTGCTCATCGTGCTGTGTTTGGTGTTTCGCTTGAGGAGTCTCTCGATGTTGCTGAAATTGCACATCTTCCTGCCATAGTTTTCCGGTGCATTCAGTATCTTGAAGCAAAAAAGGCGGATCAAGAAGAAGGCATCTATCGTCTTAGCGGCAGTTCAGCCGTCATCAAATCCCTCAAAGACAGATTCAACATGGGTATGTGAACACGCTATGCACCTCCTGTGTTTAAATTTCTTCGTAGAAGGAGACATAGATCTCGTTAGCTCTGATGAATATTGGGACCCTCATGCTATTGCGGGCCTTCTCAAAAGTTTTCTACGCGAACTTCCTGCCAGCATCTTAACACATAACCTGCACATGAAATTTCTCTCTGTTATCGGTGAGGAAACAGTCCAGCTGCTCGTTTCGGGGCTCAGAGCCTTGTAGACTTTGTGGACCCACAGGAACGAATCAAAGAACTCGCACAGCTCATCGCGGCGTTGCCTTTCGCCAATTATAGTTTGCTAAGAGCGTTGACAGCCCATCTAATCCTCATAGTACAAAACGCGACAGTTAACAAAATGACGATGCGCAACGTCGGTATCGTATTCAGTCCTACGTTGGGTAAGTCTGTTCGCATATTATGTGTTGCAGCCATTTTTACGTGTGTGTGTCAGGAATTCCTGCACCCCTTTTCAATCTCATGTTGAGCGAGTTCACCCGAGTGTTTAGAGTGGATGATGAGGACGACGGCAATCCGGAAAGCAAACAGTCCTCTGACACTGAAACTTCAGATCGGCGAAATAGCCGACAATATACTACCAGTGCAGCAGACCAACTACTTGGTTTGTCAGGAAGGACACTCCCAGGTCAGGGTCATCTTAATATATTTAACCCACATATTTCATTCTCACAATTACCAAACCAGCCTCCGATGAAGGACCGTCAGACGACGACTCAATTCAGTATGAGAGCGGCACGGAAACGACGGAGGAAAATGCGACTGCAGAATCTTCAAGCTCCAGTCCAGTACCGGGCTCATTGAACGAAGCGCCGCCGCCGTCTTCGAAACCAAGTAAAGCCACGACCATGGCCTCCGCTAAAGGGTTGTCGGTTAGTTTGCGCGGCAACCGTTATTCAACTATGATGGGCGGAAATGGTATAGGCCTACCTGCATCCCCTCGACCACCATCATCGCCTAGAGCTGTGCCTCCAGATGCATAACTCGTCCTTTTGTAAATCGTATGTAGTGACTCTTTGATACCCTATGTATTGGAACCATCAGTTCATCACGTGTCGCATTTCCTTTCTCATGGGCTTTCGACAAGCAGCCGTATTAGGCCCTGTCTGCTTCTTTCTCGGTGTCTTGTTCATCTGCTTCAGCGTTGACTATCGGGTTCTTTGGGGAGGACTTACGGAGGAAACTATCCAAGATGGATTCCAGTTTTACACAACTTTTTTCAATGCACCGCCCGCAATCAAGGTTCGCAGCCTGCCTACTTTGCTTCCAGCGGCTGAAATAACGTCGAGGCTCTTCTACATGGGATGATTGGAGTTGTCGTCGTGGGCCTTATCGCCAAACTACACGCTTGGGATGATAGTGCTATGTTTTTCGATGGTTCATGCATTGGTGGGTGGAATTTGTTGCGCCCCGTTCGCTCTAAAGCCGGCCCAGCCACCATGATATTTGCGCTTGCCGTCTACGTAACGGTCGTTGTGCCTATGCTACGCACCATCGTCACACCGCAAGCGGGGGACTCGAGGAGTGACCAAGTGGAGGCGCTGACAATCCTTTCTGCGGCCAACATTATCATTGTTGCGTGTCTGGCTCTTGTCCTTTTACTACAAGTACACCTTCTACTTCAAGGTCACTGCCATAGACTGATCATCTGTCCTAGGCTGGTCAGGAATACGCGCGCCGGACTGACGCGAAGGAACGAGACACATTAGAGTCCGAAGAGAAGAAGAAGAAACTCGAATAATTTTATATCCCTGTCAAGTTTCTCATGCCTTGTTCTATCATTCCGGACGTGTGAATGCTTGCTATCATGTCTCCCAGTGCGCTCAAGGAACTATACGGTCCTGATGAGATTCGAGACGAAACCTATCTAGACAAGACTCGTATTCTCAACGAAGCTATTGCGGAGATTGGTTGGGGGCGATACCAAGTATACCTTTTCCTCTGTGCTGGTTTTGGCTGGTTTGCGTTTGTCTTTGACCGTCTTCAACCCGTCTTGAACTCAATAACTCGTGCAGAGACAGCGTTTGGCCCGTTCGTCTCTTTTTCTCTCGACGATGTTCGCTTATCGACAAAGCTCATTACTGGTCTGATTCTCTCACCTGTGGTCACTGAATTCAACTTCAACGGACCATTCCTGTCGCTGGCCGCTAATGCTGGATTACTGGTTGGCGCCATTTTTTGGGGGGTCGGATCCGATATTTGGGGCCGTCGATGGTCTTTTAATTTAGTAGGAACATTTGGAGGGTGGTCCAGGAATTCTCACCTTTTGCTCTCACGCAGACATTACTAATCGCGGGTGTGTTCGGTGTCGCCGCTGGAGGCTCATCCAACTTTCTCCAACTTGCCTCTTTGCTTGCATGTGTCGGCGTTGGCGTTGGCGGTTCGCAGGAGTATTGAATCATTTCCACCCGAACACTGAACGCTTTCTAGGCAACCTCCCTGTGGATTCCGCAGTCTTCCTTGGTACTCGCTCATCAATGTTCAATGCCTTCCAGTCTCACGTTTTAGACTTGGTCCCCGCTCGAAACCAGTATATGTTGACTGTCCTTTCGGTTTGGTGGAGCCTTGGACAGTTGCTCATCAGTCTGGTATGTGATTCATGATCATATGAGAACGACACGTTCTGAGCCCAAACTCAGCTTGCATGGCCCTTGATTGCCAATTTCACCTGCTCTGAACTACTATGCCCAGCGAGAGACAATATGGGATGGCGTTACCTGCTCTTCACTCTCGGGGCTCTCACGCTAGTATTCTGTGCGGTTCGCGTTTGCATTTTCAACTTGTTGGAATCTCCTCGCTTTCTTATCGGTATCGGGAAAGATCAACAAGCCGTTGAGGTCGTGCACCGTTTGGCCGCTTACAATTCCACGACCACCAATCTTCGTATTGATGATTTGAATGCTGTGGAGGAGAAGCAGACTCGGGATCGACCTATCGTCAGTACCACCTCAACTCTCACTCTCGCCCACATCAAGGCGTTATTTGCCACTCGCAGAATGGCAACATCTACCTGCTTACTCATAGTACTATGGGGCGGTAAGACATTCATCTAGCTCGCTGGAGACCACCGTGACAACTGTGTCTTCTGCTAGGAATTGGACTTGCAAGCACACTATACAACAACTTTCTTCCTTTTCTGCAAGATTTTCCTTGACATAAGCCGTGCTATCAACTCATATCCTTCTGCAGGTTAACTAGTCGAGGAGCGAAATTCGGAGACGGTTCACTTTATATCACCTATCGTAACGTAAGCGATAGTCAGGCTTATCGGACAGTAATTTACGTTTAACTCTTCCAGCAGGTAATCTTGAGCGCGATTGGTGTTCCTGGGGCTATCTTAGCAGGGTGGGCGGTACAACTCCCTTTTTTGGGGAGAAAAGGCACATTCTCGGTGTCCTGCGGCAAGTCACGACCTATTCAACCTTTTTTTTTGCTAAAAAGCGGATGGATGTTAGGGCTCACCGGCGTATTCCTGTTTGCTACGACCACCGCACGAAGCTCCGTTCAACTTCTCGGGTGGAATTGTGGTTATGTTTTCTTCAGCAACGTAGGTAAACTCCTTCATAAGCTTATTAATTGACTCGGCCTTCCTTGAGAAGATAATGTACGGCGTGCTTTATGCCATGTCCCCAGAGCTCTTCCCCGCCAAAGATCGTGGGACTGGGAATGCTCTGGTCTCAACATCGACCCGTGTGTTTGGTGTCCTTGTGAGTACATACCACTTCGTTTTATATTGATAGGTAGTAAAATGCTCGCAGGCACCTGTTATTGCACTCTACGCCGATGTTTCTACTGCTGTTCCAGTATATGTATCAGGCTCAATCTTGATCTGTATGGGGATGGTAGCGTGGTTGCTCCCATTTGACGCTCAGGGTCATCAGTCTATGTAATCCATTACGTACACATCAAACATGTGACTGACGTGACGATTCCTTCAACCCCACCATCACCATGCGGTCTACTCTCTCAGCTCACTTGATCTCCCTACGGCGAATCGAGGATCGAGAATCATTGAATATATCGCTTCTGCACCAACTGCTCGAGATATGCGCCCACGACGCGTCACTTGACGCGTTAAGCAAGGGCAAGCGGCGGGCGACTTCTCCATCTTCCCAGCCAGCAAAACGCCAAAAGACGTCAGAAACCCAGCATCAGCAGCTCCTTACACACTATCCTTCTGTCAATATTCTCTGTACTGCAAGTCCCACTGCCGATGACATTCCTGCCTTCACCCACTCGTTCAACATGAATATGTCCTCAGTTGTTCCCCGTGACTATGATCCCGAGGAATGGGCCAACGAAGATAGTCATCCAAGCTGGATCATGGAAGAATTAAATCTTATCGAAACTCTGAAATCGCTCCCTCGCGAGAAGAGCCTCGATTTAGGAGCTCTATCTTTTGCAATTTACCGTGGGCAAGTTGTTGTTGTACCCGAACTCGTCTTCCAACGCGGCGACGCTGCCCAGTGCCTCCTTGCGCTCCCTCCCATTCAAGACGAGCTCGAGCTTGAGTCTTTTGGTGTCTCAAAATCTGATGTGGACGATGTGGTTGCGGCGTCGTTGAAACTCGGGGCTTGTGCTCGGGCGTCCATTATTGGTCGGCTAGCTCTTGTTCTTGACCAAGCCGATGGCCATCTGTTTACTCTTCGAGTTGGTATCACGACGTCTTTCACCCCTTCTATCTTCGAACAACTTCCATTGAAAAAAACGCGCCAGTCCCAAGTAATCGATGATTCTCAGCGCAGAGTTCTCCAGTATTCTTTTCCGGACCCACGTCTCAACCTTTCCTCTGACGTTGCGAGCGATATTCCTTTTTTTTATTCAGCACTCGGTCCCGCCCCAATATCACCTTCCTGTTCAGACCTCCGACCAAAAGATTTGCAGACTACTCTACTTCCATTCCAGCAGCGGACTGTTGCTTGGCTACTGGAGCGGGAAGGTGTCGGCGAGCAGCGACATGACTTCTCTTTCTGGGAGGAGGTTCAAGGATCACACATCTTCTATGTCAATAGATTAACGGGAAATTTTTCGGTAAACAGGCCTGAGTTGAAAAAGCCGGCTGGAGCTATTTTAGCAGAGGAACCCGGTAAGTTCATTCCATGCACTTCCATGGTTGCCCTGAAATTTTTGATTAGGGCTGGGTAAAACGGTTGAAATCATTGCATTGCTACTTTTGAATCCGGCCCCCTTGGCAATGGAGCCGAACAATACCTACTGGGATGCAAAAAATAGCTTGGAGGTCGCAATGGTGAAGGGGAGTTTAATTGTCACGCCTGCCTCGCTTAGCGCTCAGTGGATTTCGGAGGTATGTGTGTCATGAATAAAAAAGCAAAAAAATTATAATAAAAAATCATCTCAGCTACAACTACATGCTCCGACACTCGAAGTTCTGTTATATGAAGGCTGGAACAAGCTGAAAATGACACGCAAGGCCGAGACAACAAAGGTCAAGGCATCGACAAACGAAAACAACCAGAATCAGGCCGAAGATTGGGTTCAGTATTGCCACCACTATGATGTTGTACGTAATGGTCGCCTCAACGCCGCAAGTCGCCTGCTGAGTTTAAACAAGGTCATCGTCACTTACACAACCCTGAGATCTGAGCTCAATGTCGCCCATGCGTACGCTTTTTTGCATCTGTGTGTCGTGATCTATTTACTGCCTGTCAGACCACCGAAGCGACCAAGAAGAGAAGATGTGGTCTATTCCAATCTTGAACGCGAGCGGAGTCCCCTCATCCGCGTTGAATGGCAACGAGTCGTTATGGATGAGGTTCAAATGGTCGGCGGGGGAAATATCGAAGACATGGTTGCCATGAGTGAGTTCTTTATGTGGTTTTGTTTTCCTACTCAGCTTAGAGTCTCAGTTCCACGACGGTCATCATTTGCGGTTTCCGGAACACCAGTTCGCGCTCAGCTTACCGATCTCAGCCACGTACTCCAGTCAGTCTATCCACTTTGACCGAGGTAAGTAACATAGACTCATTGGACAGGTTCTTGCGTGTAGATTCCACGCTGACATCACCCCGCTTCTGGGCACGCCTCCTGTTACCCACATATTCACATTATTTCAGTTCATTCTTCTCGAGTTTAGCCATCAGGTCTGTTGACTCTATATATCTCAACCGAGTATTCTGATGTACAGCATTAAGGACAACGAAAGCTAGTATTAAAGACGAGTTAAGGATTCCTCCACAGACCAGATTTGTGGTCCCCATCACAATGGGGGTGGTTGAACGCACTGTGTACGATGCCGACTTCGATAGAGTTCTCCTTCAACTGGGTTTGGATCACCGTGGAGTCGATCTTGACGGTAATCGACGCGAACCTGACATCGGCCAACTACGGGCAATGGTTCGAAGGCTTCGAGCTATCTGCACACATCCACAAGTCAGTATGTTAGACGACACCCATTGATGTAGAGTGTTGATTGGATTGACGACATCCTACAGGTGGGTCAGCTGGGTAACAGCCTTTTCAAAAACGGCGGTTCTCTCAAGACCATGGATCAAGTCCTTGAGCTGATGCGTTGGGATACATGGTCAGCAACATTGCCCAGTCCTGATCATGTTATGTAATATCATCGTAGGGGTGCCGTCATCGACGATTGCAAGAGCAAGATCCAATCTCTAATTCGAACGGCCCAGTTGCAACAACAAGGAGTCGGAGACAACTGTTATCAAGTCTCTCTGGAAACACTCATTCTCGCAGAGAACGAGTCAACACAGTTGTTACAAGAAATTGATTCTTCGATTGCAGTCCACGAAGCCATCCTTCTTGACTCAGATTATTCTAACAAAGGCAAAGGTAAAGCGCGAGAGTCATCGGTTTCTGCGACTCGTTCGACCGACACTAAGGAGGACGAGATCGGTTTGCAAACAAATTTCCAGGATCATCGCTCACGGAAGACGGCCCTAAAGAATCGACGAAGAGAGGCACAACTTATCATGCACCGCGTCAAATTCTTGCAAGGAGACGTGTACCATATGTTGGGTGAAGGGCATGGGGTCTCAGAAAATGCGGCATACGAAGCAGCAGAGTCTCTTCGCCAAGTGTTGCTTTCTGGTATGCATGGCGGACTTGGTAGTGAAATTTGACTGCTCATCGTGCTTAGCCGTCGAGCAAGACGCTAACCAAGCAATGAAGGCTCTTGGTCATTTGAATATCGATGAATTGTTGATCCGCAATCCGTTCTTGGATCCTGATCTTCAAGACGAGGCCGTGGTTGGTTACATAATATTGCGAGTCTGTTTTTTTTTGCTAATGGGTTATTATATTATAGCATGAGGCCAATGCCATCATCAATGATGTTATCAATCAACAGTCGACGCTTTTGTGGCAATGGAGAACACGTCTAACAGAGCTTCTCCTTCGAAAATTGTCCCACGGAGAAGAAGAAGCGGACGGCCAGGAGTACCAACGGACCCTCGACGATCAAGGAGAAGCCGAGCATGTCATTTGGTTTATCATGTCTACCATATTGACCACTTCCAGATCCTATCTAGTGAACTACACCGCATTGGTCGCTGACAGGCGCGAAGCTCTTCTCAAGGAGCGGACTTTACTAGCAACGCATGATGCCACCGACAAAGTCAAGATCCGTCGCACAAAGGCTGCTCAGAAAGCTGCAATGGCATTGGACGACTCCATTCTCCTCAAGAGTGACATTGAATTGCAACCCGAGCACGAGGTTCTCTTCAAACAACTTTCACTCCAGCGCCAAGGATTATTGTCTACCTTGGATGGCCGAGCACTGAAGAGTGTTGGTCATTTCACGAAGTGTTAGGTCGATATTGATGTTGTGTAGGTCATTGTCGACCTTGCGCAGCGCATTCACAAGCTAGACAAAGAAAAGATCGAGACAAAAGAAGCTCTAGAAGACTTGCGCAGGCTCATCTCCCAACAAGGTATTGTGCTGGACCATTTTCTGTGTACTACCCACTATCCAAACTTTATACTAGCTCCCATTCTCGAAAAACTCGAAGCTGACCTTGCCACCTGTCGCAAAGTATTCAATGCAAGAATCAGCTACTTCCGCCAACTCCAGGACATCTCTGATGCCGTTGCTGATGTTACGTTCGAAACAACTTTGCAAGCAGCACTGGAGGAATGTGCGATAGAACAAAGGCATCTCTCTGCAAATGTGCATCCAGAAAACATTCTCGGCCTTCTTTATATGCTAATCTCTCCCTCCAGATCAGTGCTCATCGAGCGCGTAGGCGATACCTGGACCATCTAGTTAAACAAAACACCAACGGTCGAGACGATGAAGAGAACGCATGTATACTCTGTAGGTCTACTTTCATGCGAGGCTTCATGACAGAATGGTATGTTTGTTCCCTCAACTTGAAACTGAGGGAAATCAAGGACTCACCGGTGTCTAGCGCCCACGTTTTCTGTGAAGTAACTGTCTGTTTCCTCCTGAAGAAGTAGCTGACATTAACAGGACTGTCTTAAACTATGGATCAAGGACAAAGCACGCAACACGTGCCCTGTTTGTCGGTAATATCTGTCACTGCCCAACACTTGAACTGGTATAATGGGTCATTTACAGCATTCCTATCAAGTCAGACAAACTGGAGCGTTTTATAGTCGCAGAAGATGAGCTGCAAACAGCGCCGATAAGCAAAGAGGAGAAGATGGAAGCTCCACGGTCTCGGAGACAAATCAGCTATAATGAGATTGGTCCGTCGTCCACTTGCACGTTGGTCATTTCTGTGACGACAAACTACAGATCAAGCAACACTCCAAGAAATTCAAGGGAGTACTCCTGCGTTCGGAGACTATGGCGCCAAGATCGCCACCCTCGTAAAACTATCTGGTTTGGCTGTCTGATGCTTGCTTAACCTAGTGTTAGGTCCAACATTTGTTGTACCTCCGAAATATCGACCCCGGCACAAAGAGCATTGTCTTCTCTGCATGGGCCGATAGTCTATATAGTAAGTCATCGGTGTACTTGTGCGCTAGTGGTTGACGACTGATTCGCATCAATCAAGTTGCTGAACGTGCACTCAAGGCGAACGGTATTTGAAAATGTCTTCACGAAACCTGTTCTCAAACTTCTTTGGAGGCATTTCTTTCATCCGCATCGACCAAAACCGAAAGGGACAAGCAGCTATAACTACCTTCGCAACTTCGTCAGATATCGAAGTGCTATTACTTCATGGGTTCCTCTTTCCCTGGGTCCAATATGGAAAGCTTAAACGTATGTTAGGGAACGAGAAAACGCTGGTCTGAATGTGACCTGCGCATCCCGCGTTTTTCTTCTCGAGCCTGTGGTGCATCACGGGTTTGAGGTTCAAGCCATTGCTCGCATTGACCGCATTAGCCAGAGTCGACCGACAGAAGTATACTGCTATTATGCGCAAGGTAAAATCCACGCCAAAATGTCCTCGCTTTTCTCAACTCGACCCAGACACGATCGAGAAGAACATCCTAGACTTAGCGGCACGGCGGGTGAGAAATCGTGTTGTCCTCTACTTGTGTGGCTTTCTTATATACTTTCAGGGTCTCTCGCTGTATACCACAGATAACTCGGTGGATGTCTCATCACTGACAGAAGACAACGGCAAGGAAAGCGCCACAGTCAACAAGGTTCAAAAGGGTGGCGACTTGATTTTCAAGGTCGAAGACATGATGGCCATTTTATTTCCTCATCTCTTTGAGGACTTTGAATATATGGTACCAGCGGAGGCAATGGAGGAAATGCATCTCAACGCGGTGGCTGGTCCATCGAGAACTGTCCAGTAACTAACTTTTAGTCGCTTGTCCATCTGTTGGAAAGTAAAACTACTGTTACAGCGAAGTGAGAGTAGACTTGGGAGGTTACATATTGCTGAGCATGTAGATTAGGGAGACTCCTAAACAACCGCCAGTGACCGCAATAACCCAGCCTATGGCTGTCTGGAACACCGAAACAAAAGGGCCATTCCAAGAAGTAGGCAGTTCAAGACCGATTTTGACGGTAAGGTTGGCCGCAGCGCAATTCGCCGTCCAAATACCTGGTTCGACCCAGCACGGACATCCGGTGGGGGCACATTCGCATCGACGATGGCGGTGAAAATGCATTGCTCGCAGGCCGCAAGCTCAGTTATGGTTGTGTTTCCGCAGAAACAGCCAATATCAGTGCAGGCATTGATAGTGGCTTTTGCGGTGTTGCAATTCGTTTGACACTATAGTCGCCGTCAGGATCTTACTAACCAGTCCACAGGGACATACACTCGCAATGACGGGCGTGAAATTGAAGTCGAAAACCTCAGTTGACTGGTAAACGACCTTGTTGACACTGACATTGAACGCCAATGCTAGTAATTATAAAAATTGAACAGCATTACTAAAGACAAGATGGAGTCCCTACCTCGACCCGCGAGAGCAGTGAGGAGAGCGATAGAGACGAGCTTCGAGAACATGGTAACAAGCCTGCCAGAGGACGGTGGTGGAAGAAAGAAAGAAAGACGGGGTCCACTGATTGCAACTTTCAACGCTATCATTACATTGCCTGGAGTACAACAACACACAAGTCAAAGCAAAATAAGTAAGCAGAGCACAACGGTATAAAGTCGGTTCCTTATTCAATGTCGGACGTCTCCTCCGTCATAAACACAGGCGATTCTCTTTGCCAAACGGCTGGAGCACCCTTTATGGCCTCCGCAAACGCAAACGCTACTCCAATGGCTGAGTTGAGGGCCCGAATACGAAGTCCGATGACATCTCGCGCAGCAGAGTTCATTGTTGACGGATCGTAAGCAAATTGAAGGGCAAGACGGATGATAGACGCAGTGAGGGGGTCAAAGGGAACTCGTGATAGTGTCGCAGTGGGAAGCGCCGGGGAGAACGAAATAAGACTGCCTGCAAGGGCAGGTAAAAGTAAAGCTGGAATGAACCAGTGGATGAGAGTGCGGGTGAATGAAGGGCGATAGATGGTGTCGAGGGGAGGGTATGGAATTGACGCAGTAGTCCCCCCGAACTTGAGGAAGTAGACATTCCATGGTATGATCATGTAGAGGATATAGATCAATTCCAAGACTGCCGTGAGGGTCCAAATATTCCGGGAACTGGAAAGTGTCTCTCGAAACACAATGATGCCTGAATTGGCAGAGCGCAGTATATTTTCCTCGCTCGTTTTGAGACGCTGGACAACGTTGGAGACGTCGGTGCGGGAAAGAGCGAGTTGGTCAATGATGCTCCTGTCTCCATGAGCTATGGGACTGTCTGGAAGCGGAGGCAAGCTGCTTGGCGTCAAAGCATTTTGTTCAAGGTATGCTGACACGTCGGCGATAGGAGTAGACTCGCGTAGAGTTTTCAACGCGCGAGATTCAACACGAGAGCTGAGTGACCTTGTTGAGACGATTTACATAATCAACAACCAATGAAGAGAGCATACGGTGGGGGTTGGCTGCGTTTTCTTCGTCCAAACAGACCGGCGAATGTGGGATCGTCCTCCAGTTCAGATTGGTTGTTATCGAGGTATTTTCTGATACGGCCTTGAAGTTCCTCTTTCGTCCCACCAGCCTCCAGATTCAATGCCGAAGCGATAGCTGGAACCCTCATCAACACCCATGGTTTCGTCGTTTGGGATGCCATGCTCACCTTGTAGTTCAATCTTCTTTTTGGGTGCTAAAGCACCACTGAATTGGGTGGGAGGCGGCATGAGAGATGGTGAGTTGAGAGAAAACACTTCAACGCGTGACCCAGCTCTTCACGTGAGATTTGTTTACAATCAAGCCAGCTTCCGTGTTTGGAATTGTTCAGAATTGCTCCAAGTCATGCCATACTTTCTAATACTGCACTATAGGCCACCTTCAGTGCCTAAACTATCTCTCACTCTCTCCAAAAGCTTTCCCAACTGGTTCTGGCCAGGCTGCGCTGGTGTACCCTCACCCCAAAACGTGTCTTGTTCGTCTGCATATATCAATTCGGATGGCTTTGTCTTGAGTAACATATCTCTCAGGTTTGCGTGTTGCTGAAATTTGGCCAGCACGGCGGAGTACATGAGGGAGATGTAGTTGTCCGCCCAGTCAGATCGCACTGCTGCCTCGCCGAACTGATCTACAAGGTCCTGGCTGACTGCGTAAACTTGTGTTACGTCTGGACAATGCCGAATTCGCTCGGCGAGAGCAAGATTGTCCGGTAGAAATTTCATGGCTTCGTGTAGGTGCATTGCCGTTGGATACTCTCGACCGCCATAAACGACACGATGTGGCGAGTAGTTGAGAAGGCCAGCAAATTCATATGAATTCCCAGAAAAGCGGATGGGAGGAGCCTCTGCTGTTTGTTGTGGGACAGTGTGAAGTGCAGGTGTGACTGCGGGGGTAGTGGTGGTGGTGGTGGTGGGCATCTCTGCTGGATTGACGGCGTTGATAAAAACGGGGACAAAACGAACTTCTTCTTCTTTCTTTCGTCCAAAGGATGAGAATAAAGTTCGACGCCCTACATCCCGTCGATCGATGTTTGGCGGAGGAACGCTACCCAACTGGGCATAGTTGCTCGTAAGCAACGCCGTAGTCTGTGGCAGGTTCAATAAAGCATTGTAAGGAGATAGCTCGTATAAATCACGTGGGGGCGTCGGTAGTGGGTTCGAAAGTGGTGCAAAATGTCGTTGACTATCGTCAGTTACTGGAGGCCCAAAAGCGCTGGGATTCGGGGGAGGGAGTTGTTGCAAAACGTCTGCGATGTTTGCACTATCATGTACCCCAGCTTGTCGAGGTGCGACGGGTGTGACGGGAGATGAAGTCGTTTCGGCTTGGCTTGCCATCGCAGTGGTTTCTACTTCTACAGTAGGCCCGCGAGGACCCATTCCCTTTGAGGCAGCGTGCCAGCCTCTGACATAGGCTGCCGTCAGTTCTGCCTGGTCAGATCCCTTCCGAGCCTTGTTCTTCTTCTTCTTCTTAGACGTGGATTTTGGTGGTTGTAGGTGTGCGGGCAGGTAAAGATTTGGGTTTTGGCCCTGTGGAACATTATAGCCGGGTTGAACGAGTGGATATGCACGCGCTCGAGATTTTGATGGGCTAAGTCCCATCTGGTGCAAGGTAACGCCTAAGTCACGTGTACCCTTGATTTCAGACATGCGATTTAGGTGTGGTGGGGAGTACATTGTAACTAGCCCTTCATACTTCTCTGACATTGATGTTCACGAACAAAGTCGAAAATAAATGGGGGCAAAGCTGAGAATCGTGTAGTTGAAGATGCCTGAAACCTATAACAAATGAGTTCAAGTGGAAAAACGTGGCGACCTTGGAGAAATCAAACCTTGCTCAAGGCTTGCAAGAGGAGCAATATAGCTTGCGAGAGGTTCGGCATCTGGCTTCATCTCTTGTTTCACCAGAAACTCCACAAAAATAAGTTCCTTCATTCCCCCGATAAAATCAAAGGGTAAAGACAGTTTCGTATCGAATACTGGGTTGAATCCGTTGTCCTTCACGACCTCTGTGGCGAAGGAAATCTTGCGGGCAGCCGTCGAGCCGTTGTTGTCAGAAGGTATCGTGTGCCTGTACGAGGTGTCTTTGGGGAGGAATGGCTTTTCCGACCAGGAAGGGATATGAAGTATGACTTCCACAAAAGGATCGATAAGGGACGACCTGCCAACGATTTCGCGTCCCCAAGAGTCCCTGGGCAATGGTAACTGTTGCGCAGAAATGATCTTTTTGAGGTTAAAAGCTCAGCTCAGCAGCACATTTCAATCGAATACTCACAGTGACATCGAAGAATGCTTGAGTCCGTTTTTGTAACAACTTGAATGTGGTGTCTCGTAGCGCCGGCGGTTTCAAAACATATCCTTGCGGCCCGCACCGCATGAACATCGCCTGAAAATGCTACGTATGAGTTTGAACAGCTCTTAGCTTCCGGTCGGCACCTGGTTTATTCGATAGCCCAAATCAACGGTCTGGATGTTCAATGCTACTAGCTGGCATCCAGCGGCCCAGAATGGTATGGGGATGTAGTTGGTCGAGTTGACTCGGGTTCCTCGTGGGTAGATGCGAACGACATGGGATTGGGTGTGACGAATGAGATTTTCTAGCTCGTTACCGCCTTCGATGAATTTGCCAGCCTTCCTCTCAGACAGTGAAAAGATTTGCTCGGGAGCATACTCGTCCACCTTGTCCACCCCACGATATTTGACTCCGACCGTATAGACGAGCAGGGAAGCCAATCTTAGTGACATCGGAGCCTTGGGTTTTGACGAGGAATCACTGGCAGTTGACGATTCACCGCCACCACGGAATTTTCGCCACTTCGATTTCAGTTCACTGATTTGCTCTCCGATATCGAGACGCGCATCTGATTCCTCTTCCGACGACTCGTCCGTTGACTCGACTTCCAGATGAGCTGCTTTCGCAGCGGCAGCCTTGGCAGCTTTTTTGTGAGCTGCGATGGACTCGAGGCCTTGTGAGAGTAACAGATTCTTGGTCTGCCGGGGGTGAGCAAACAAATTGGAACAGCATCGGTGTTACCTTGACCATTATGCGACCTTTCAATTCCTCTGGACTAGGCAGAGTAGTGATCTTGGCATGTTCTTCGTCACGCACCCTCACCAAGGACGCTCCAAAGGCCTTGATCATGATATCGACTAGTGCATCTTGTTGTTCGATGCCGCAATGAACTTCACAGCTAAGAAGAACAGGATAAGGTGACGCGACAAAGGCGTACTTTGCAATGGCAGTGCAAATGTCAGAAACGGCCACACGTGATGTGAATGTGCGGCCGTGGTATACAACGGGACCTTGGGGACCGTCATATATATCCACTGGATGCTGATCAGTTGAACAACGACTCTGATAGGTAGGACATGACCCACACTCGACACTACGGCAAGCGCAAAGCAAAGCTCGAATATACTAAGTCAAGAAAGACATTCAAACCTGATTGAATAGAGAGAGAGAGAGACACGAACGAACCCCTTCAACGGTGCTTGTTCCAATAAGCTGATTGCCGACTAGATACGTGTTATGGCTCGTCGAGATCCAATAATCTGAAAGCGGAAAGTTCATATCATTGGATGCAGGCTTGATTGCGGAACAGTCTTCAGACATCAGAAAGGAAGTCAAGTCCTCAACGCTCATAGCTTTTGCAGTCGTCGTGGAAGCGGTGTCGTGTTGAATAGATGAAGAGCCAGCATACTTGTGGAATAAGGTCCTAAGCTGCTCGCTATCAAGACCCGACTAGTAAACCGTCAAACACAATCACAATCCCCGAAAAGAATGGGATTAACCTGCTGTGTGGTTTTCATGAAATGCTCGAATACGGTCAAGTTGAATGGAAGGCCGCCGCAGATTTTTGCGTGGAGAGCTTCGATATCAGGCCGACTTCTAAGTAGACCGACAAATTGCTGGAACTGCTGGAAGTTCAAGCATTTTGACTTATCGGAAACAACTTTCTAAGCAGTCATGGGTGGTCGGTTGACGGGGTGGTTTAACATACCTTGAGTAGCTGTTCCAGATCGACGTGCGCATTGAGACGAATGCAAAGAGTTTCAAGCTCATCGAAGCTGATTGAGTCGCTGACTGCGTCTTTACTAGCAGCAAGCTTGAAGTATTGTCGCTCCCAGATAGTTTGCCGCATCTGACTATTGCCCATGTTGTTCATGAGACCGATCCGGATGGAATGGAGCTTTCGTATGGTGGATTCGAACAGTATGAAGACGTCCTTGGTTGGCGCCAAGATGTGCAATGTCTTATAAACACTGATCTCCTAAGAAGTGACTCGTAGAGTTGGACGACTGACATTACCTATTGACGACGTAGACTATGGTGATCCACTGAACAAATAAACCGGGACATACGAACTAAAAACGTAGCGACTCACCCTGTCTAGTTCAGTCGGAAAACCCAAATGCTCACAATAATGCTGCGCATCAGTACCCGTTCTGATCTCCTTGATACTCTCGACTGGGACAACGCCATACTTTCTCGATTCGTAGCGAATTTCGGCTGTCTCTGGGTCGATGCGAAATAAAACCTTCTTTTGTTTTGACTCGCTGACTTTGATTAGTTGTGTGCCTTGTTGTAAGAGAAGAGGAACGAGTTCTGCGATTGGTCCTGATGTGTTTGGGGCAGAGTTGGGTTCAATCGTTGTGGGTGGAAGGGTCATGTTGCAACGTTACGTCACACTAATTAAGCATCAAATAGTTTATGTATCTGTCAGAGCCTGAGCGTCAACCCAACCATTGATCTGCAATCCTATGTGAGCAATGGCTCGAGTACTGTCTGTGACACAGAATTTACCTGGGAAAACAAGGAAAAAGATTGCTAGTGGCATTGAAATAGGAAAGACAGTCAATTGCCACAGTAGTTTCTCCGCCTGGGGAGCTGGTTGCCGCCGCATTAGTGATGAGGGGATGCGGATGAAAATCATCTGCAGGAGACTAAACGGGGCAGGAAAGGTATGGGGAGAAGCATAGGCTACGACTGCCTTGACGAATGATGCTCTCGCATTATGGCCAATGGGAGCTGAATATCCATCCCAGCCTCTGGTGTCGGCAAGGCTGCCACCTCGTACGACGAGAATAAAAAGAGCGCATGATATGACAGAAACAAGGGCGAAAAAGAGGTATAGTACTGTCGTTCGCGTTTGTATCGGTGTGGGTATCATTGAGGAGGGTGAAAGGAAAGTCTCCGAAAGGGCTATTGACAACCAAGTGGTGATTAAGAGGAAGATGGGGAGGAAGAACAGTATAAAGGGGATTATTATATGATAAAAACCGCGGGCGAGAAAAGTAGCAAATGGTAAACTGCGCTTGAAAAGCAGCAGAGGACTGGGTGCCGCAGGGAAATGAAACTGAAAGGCATGGCAAGCGAAACAAAATAGCAGAACGTCGAAGCCTAACCCACCAGCAAAAGGAACAGTGGGAAGATGGAGCATGAACACGGAGAACAGGATGAAGGTGGGTATGTTGCTCCAGTTCCATGAACGGCAAAGGATCGAAGCCGAAAGGATCACGAGCAGAATCTCCCGCCATCCAGTCCGTTGAAGTTGACCATCCACGTGGAATATGGTCGGTTCGTAGGGTGGGTGCATGACGTAGCTGACAAGCAACCCAAAGTAGAATAGGTGTGCCGATAAGTCAACGAGATGCAAAACGCTGGAAACATTGTAGAATGTAGACGAAGGCGAGAAGGAGGCCTACCGTGGTGTGCAAAAAGCCTGGTATCGAGCGGGGACTTCGACAGAGGCGTTCCCATATCTCCAGAGATGCTCAAGACTGAACATCACCACGTCGTGACTGAGAAGTGTGGGTGGACAGTCACCGTCCATTAGAAAATCGACAACTATGGACATGAGAAGCGACCAAGAAGGATGAGAGCACGAACCGCGAAGCCTCCGTGACGAGTTATCAGAAATCGGAAACGAAGTCCACAAAACGGTATGGATGTCTTGGGTAGTCCGGTGCTCATATAGGAAGTCATTGAAACTATCGACAATCTGAAGCTCGAGCTGCTGGATTTGGCCGCTAGTTGCGATGCTCTCCATCCAGTTTGTCCAGGCGTCGTCGACAGTGGGTTTTTTTCGTGACTTATACTTTCTGAGTTGCAAGAGTAGTACTAAGCGAAAGGCGGTTCCGCCGCAGACATCGAGCGTCCTGGGAGTCACTGCTTCAACAGATTCATTGTCAGGACTGTCTCCAAGATGTAGGAGGAGGTCGTCGATGTTGGGGGTGGTCATAAAGAGTTGAGCAACACGTGTGACTTGTCGCCAACTTCTTGCGATGAGCAGCTCACAACCTCTACTTGACGGACAAATCGAACCGGACGAGACTGCTGTAGAAAATCATCAGACGCCAAGTAATACAACCCGTCCTCCCGTTGTACTAACTCCAACTACCCGGGAAAATTATGCAACCTCTCCCAGCAACGCAGAGTCAGGCATTGCAGGTATCTTCAAGGCGTCCTCCCATCCGCTCGCTCTTTTCGCCCTCTTTATCTTCCGCATTGGAGCTATCGCGGTCTATCTACTGTCTGGTTTCGTAACAGGTACCTTGTGCCCGCGCCCAACACAAACACATATTCCAACCCGCCATTCACAGACAACTATGTACTTGCCGTTGTCGTGGTTGTGGTGTTACTCTCCATGGACTTTTGGAACTGCAGGTGTGTACCTCATCTCGTTGGTTGAGACTTTCCTCCTCATCGTTTAATTCTGTAGGAATGTTGCTGGAAGAACACTTGTAGGTTTGCGTTTTTGGAATCAAGTAGACGACGACGGAGAAAGCTACTGGGTGTTCGAAAGCCGCGACGTATGTGTCTCGCTACTTGACCATTTCGGTGTTTCTCAACTCAGTAGCCTTCTCATCCAGTAAACGCGATTGACTCGAGGTAGCCACCATCGTCCTATCCAAAAGTAAACTGACTTTTGCAGGATGTTCTGGGTTCGTCTATATGACCCCCCCTTTTGCTTGATTTGAGGACATGACTAGATCGCGATATATGTGTTTCCTGTTCTTTGGATCGCCTTGTTCATCGTCTCGCTTTTGAGACTCAAACTCGAGTTCGTGGATGAATTGTTACATAACAATACCTGAATTTCTGTTGCAGATTTGTCCCCATTGTGTTGTTGGCGCTGGTGTTCAATGTCACCAACGCTATCGGATTCACTTATGCGTATGTGTGGCTTTGGTCACCTGCAACAAGTTATCGATTCTGTTTGCAGAGACCGCGACGCAAAGCAACGCTGGGCTAGCAGTGTTGTCAGCTCTAGTTGGAGCCTGGGCTTTGGGGGAATCGGCAGCCAGTTACTCTCAGGTGCCGTCCAAAAGGGTGTTGGCCGAGTGTTTGGAGCTTAGTCACGACTAATTATTTTCGTATTGTGAGGGGTATTATAGTTCTACTGCGGTCGTCTAGTCCCCTTTGACTGCTTTTGGCAATAGCGTAGATTAAACCGGCGAAAAATCCGACACTGATTGCAGAGACAGAACCGAGGGTGACTGGGTCCCCAAAGAAAACCATTCCCGAAGCCGCGACAGGCAATTTATTGAGTGCCCCAACCATACTACAATGAATATAAGCGAACTAGGACGAGAAGAAACGAGAACGCGTGAACCTGTAGGTGGTACTGCTAGTTGCTCTCACACACCATGCTGTTGTGTAAGATATGCCTACGGCAGCTGCGCCGGAAAAAGCGATGGCGGATAATAGGACATGCCGCGATTGCTGAGGACTTGGGAGACTGAGTCTCTTGAAGACATAAGAGACCACACTCACAAATTCAGAGCTATACTCTCCCTTTTCCAGTCCTCGAAAACAAGAGAAAAGACGGCAAGGATAGGAATTGAACTGTCAAATACTTATGAAGAAGGCGTTCCTAGTAGTGCGGTAAACTTACAGTAAGTTGTTGTAGAACATTGAATCCCAGTCAGAGAAACCTGTAATTTTTATTTTTTTCCTCATCAACAGAACCTATCAGGAGTTAGATCGAAAGCAGCTTGATAGGACCCGTTTCACGTAGGCTGCGCTGGAGAAGCAGTTGACAAACATCCAGAAATATCCAATATTCAAGTTGTTGACCACACTCTTCATCGTCTGAAGCGATGTCGGGCTGATACCTGAGCTTGCGGAAGGCATAGAGTCCGCCAGCGCACCAGATACGTCATCCCAGGCGGCTATGACAGAGGAGAAGACCTGGAAGTGAATACGTTTGGAGCTTGAGACGAAACAGTCGGGAACAAATACCATGAAACCAAACGAGAGAAGGCTCAGGCGGGTCACTCGACCCCCAAACCACATGACTTCTCCGTACGCCTATTGACGGCTCAGGATAAAGGAACAAGGAGCGCATGTTGCGCACAATGAGTATAATGGTAAGGTTCTTGAATATTGTGTAGACAGGAATGCTAAGATATTGCTTGGGTTAGTCAGAAAATCGTGGATTGTAATGTTATGATGTCGTCCTACCAAACTCTGATGACTGGTCCAGATGATTGCGTCAACAAATTGGACAGAAGTAACAAACCTTCGAGCCAGTATATATGACGCTGGTCAGCATGAACGAAACGGAAAACCAAGCCTTAGGTATCGTTGACAGTTGGCTCGACTCGACGTTTTTAGTTGACCGACGCACCTTGGCGTCTTTCAAGGCAAAGCTTCGGAACGAGATGATTCCAGTCGCTTTAGCCAACGCGACACATGCGACGCCGACCAGAGATTGTATTGCCAAGAGCAGAAAGGTCATTGAAAAATGGGCTCCAGAGACGACGAACTAGGGTCAGGTTAGGAACGAAATTATGGCAAGCCAACCTCACTTTGTTGACAACCGTCATAAGGATGGAGGCAATGCAGTAACATAATATAGGAGCGACCATGGATTCTCGGTAAGGCTTGACCGCACCGGGTCCGGAGGGCATTCCGACCAAATTTCGAACGAGATCAGACTCGGAAACGTGACTTCGTGACGAACGCGCTTCACGAATACTGACCCCCCTGATGTCCTGGGTCTCAACTTTAGCTTCTCTAGGAATGGCAGTGGGACCTCCCCTCGTCTATGCCGACCAGGTAAGAGCCATAGCTCTTGTAGCAGCAGTCCCTCCCCTCAACCCGCAGCCACCAGGCGTATTCGATCGTCAAGAAAAAGTGCGTGGATTCTGCCAATAGCTTGCTTCATAACTTATTCGCATGCAGAGATGCGACTGGCTTTTCCAGAGATGTGTCTGCGATACTGTTAGTCTCCGCTCACCCTTTCAACAAATCTCGAGAAAATGTGAACAGTTTAATTGCCAACATTACTCGTTGTTTCTTTTGGCTGGGGTACGACACTTCCGATGTGCAAATTATCCATATAACAGCGAAACTCCCATTCCAGTGACCGCTTTGAGATGGCACTTCTTGTCCAGTCTATTTTCATGATCATAGCTCAAGTAGGTCTTGTTATAAGTCTTCTGAACTTCCTAAACAACCTTCCAGCTTGCCCTGCTGTACATTTGCATTCTATATCGCCCGCGACTCAGTCCGGAAAATCTAGGGGGGTCAACCAGAACATTTTCGTTTTGGCAGTGGCCAACATATACCCAACACATCGAGTTTCTAGCGGGATTGATGTACGTATGGCTCCCTTCTAGCTCGACCGCCCCGTCCTGAGCTCTGCTACAGCTTGTTGGAAGCTATCCTGTTCTTAATCCTTGGCCACTATGATGTCTACGTGGCCGTACTAGGGTTTATTGCGCTGGGGCTCGAAAGCACCCTTCCGATTCCACAGCTGATCAGGTGTGTTAACTCAATTCCGTTTACTGAAGGGATACCTAACTGTCGTAGCAATTATTCTCAGCGGTCTTTATATGGATTTCGGATGTCGACACTTATTGGTTGGGCAGGCGGAGATGCATTCAAGTCAGCAGGAGAGGAATGCAGACTTTATTCTGTGCTGACCGCCTTGAATAGGACGGCGTATTTTTTCCTTCAAGGCTCGCCATTGCAGTTCAAGGTCTGCGCCATATTTCAGCTTTCCGTCGACCTCGGTGAGTTTTCAAAGAATGCTGCTCGTTGTGCGAAGTTCAACAAGAGGTAGCAATTGTTGGCCAAAGGTTTGTGTATGGCAATGCTCCCCCAGCGACTGTTGTTCTCGACGAAGAGGACCTTGAACAGGCTCTGGCACTTGACGAGGAATAGCTGGATTGGTAATATAGACCTCGTGTATAATGCGTGTACCTTGTCTTTTCTTTCGAAGGAGGCTTTTGAAGTGAAGAAAATGGTGAGCGTCATAAGAGAGACAGAACGCTTCAAGTCTCACCAACAGCGGTTCAGTATCATCATCAATTTCGAGCCTCCAAGTCACACACTTCTTCCCGGCCCTTCATATACCTTCGTCCCCAAACTCCAACGGTCTTTCCAGGTCGGCCACACTTGGCCTGCTTTCGACTCATTCCACAGCATCGTCTCACCTTCTCCCAGCCATGGAGCCCCCGAAGCCCATCGCGTTTTGTGAACACCTCCAATTGTCCAGTGTTGGCGTTCAGCCAGCCTCCATCTCGTTCCAGGTATGGGAATTTTACACCTTTCCCCGCGTCTGCTAACCTCAGTACGCAAGACACTCACGCTAGAGTCCGACCATTTTATTTGTGTTCGTGAAAAGGTTGGCGAGCAAAACCAGGTCGTCATCATCGACCTGGCCGACGCCAATAATGTTCTACGGCGACCCATCTCCGCCGATTCCGCCATTATGCATCCCTCCCAGAAAATTCTGGCTCTGAAAGGTGCGTGCATCAGAGCTATCCATTCTTACTTGTTGCTGACGCCGCAACAGCCGGTCGAACTCTGCAAATATTCAACATTGACACGAAGCAGAAGGTCAAATCCCACGTGAACGATGCAGACGTCGTCTTCTGGAAGTGGGTTTCGGACACCACCATTGGCATGGTCACCGAGTCATCCGTTTTCCACTGGACTATTGCAGACCAGACTTCTCCACCGCAGAAGATATTCGATCGTCACCCAACCCTCAATGGCGCTCAAATCATAAATTATCGAATAACTCCAGATGAGAAGTGGCTGGTTCTAATTGGCATTTCGGGCAACACGACCAACCCGTCCGCGTTCAAAGTCAAAGGCTCTATGCAGCTGTATAGTAGGGAACGCGGAGTCAGTCAGCCGATAGAGGGGCATGCTGCTGCCTTTGCCCAGCTCAAGATTGATGGTCACCAAAATCCTACGAAACTCTTCACCTTCTCCGTCCGCACCGCCACTGGAGCCAAGGTTTGCGTAGTATTTCTACTAATTGCACTGCACTCACCCCATTGTTAGCTTCATGTCGTCGAAATAGATCACACCGCGCCTGATCCCGCCTTCGTCAAGAAAGCAGTCGACGTCTACTTTCCTCCGGAGGCGACCAATGATTTCCCTGTTGCGATGCAGGTCTCGAAGAAACACGGAATTATCTACCTGGTCACCAAGTACGGCTTCATCCACCTTTATGATCTCGAGTCCGGCGCCTGCGTCTATATGAACCGCATCTCTGGCGAAACAATATTCGTCACCTCGGAGCATGAGGCTACTAACGGAATTATCGGAGTCAACAAGAAGGGTCAAGTTCTCAGCGTGAATGTGGATGAGCAAACCATCATTCCTTACATACTAAGCGTCCTCAACAACACCGAGTTGGCTTTCAAGTTATCGAGCCGCGCCAATCTCCCAGGCGCGGACGATCTGTATGTTCAGCAGTACAATCAACTCTTCCAAAGCGGGCAGTACTCTGAGGCCGCCAAGATTGCCGCCAACTCGCCTCGAGTTCGTCTGTTCATTCAACCGTCAGTAGCAATTACTCAATGGGTATTCTAGGGTATATTGCGAACCGTACAGGTGATCGAAGCCTTCAAGGCTGCTCCTGCCCAACCCGGCGGCCTCTCTCCGATCCTCCAGTACTTCGGAATCCTACTTGAGAAAGGTGAACTTAATCACCTCGAATCCCTGGAGTTAGCGCGACCTGTTCTCCAACAAGGTCGGAAACAGTTGCTTGAGAAATGGCTTAAGGAAAACAAGGTGAGTTGGTTTCACTTCGTTGTATCGTGCGCTAAAACCCCATCAGCTTACATGCAGCGAAGAGTTGGGCGACATAGTCCGCCTTCATGACATGACGCTCGCGCTGAGCGTTTATTTGCGAGCAAACGTTCCGAATAAGGTCATTGCGTGTTTTGCAGAGACTGGTCAAACCGACAAGATTGTCCTCTATTCGAAGAAGGTCGGGCATACCCCCGATTATTTCTCCCTGTTGCAGCACGTCATGCGCACCAATGCGGAAAAAGGAGCCGAGTTTGCCGCTCAGCTGGTTAACGATGAAAGCGGGCCCCTTGTTGACATTGAACGGGTCAGAATTACCCTTGCTTTTCCGTAGTCTTCTCATATTTCTAGGTCGTCGATGTCTTCATGTCTCAGAACATGATCCAGCCAGCGACTTCATTCCTCTTGGATGCTCTGAAGGACAACAAACCTGAACAAGGCCACCTACAGACGCGCCTCCTCGAAATGAATCTGGTTCACGCCCCGCAAGTCGCAGATGCAATCCTAGGCAATGAGATGTTCACCCACTACGACCGTCCGCGTATTGCCAATCTTTGTGAGAAGGCTGGTCTGCTCCAACGGGTATTCGTTCAGTTACTGTTCATGCACCATCAATATTGAGTTGACTTTCAGGCTCTCGAGCACTACCAAGATCTAGCCGACATCAAACGGGCCATCGTCCATACCGCGGCGCTCCAACCTGAGGTCCGTATCAATACTATTTTTACTTGACTCCTTATGACGCCGCCTGCAGTGGCTTGTCAATTACTTCAGCAATCTCACCACAGAACAGTCGATGGCTTGTTTACAGGAAATGCTCAAAGTCAACATCCGACAGAATCTCCAAGTTGTTATCCAGATTGCCACTAAGTACTCTGACATTCTGGGCCCCGTCAAATTAATCGAGATGTTTGAGAGTTTTAAGAGTTTTGAAGGTTTGTCGTCTAGATCTGCTTGCCCGCCTTGGTTGATTTGACATCGATAGGGCTTTATTACTACCTTGGCTCTGTCGTCAACGTCAGCCAAGATCCCGAAGTTCACTTTAAGTACATCCAGGCTGCCACTCGCACTGGACAGATACGCGAAGTTGAACGCATCTGCCGGGAGAGCAACTACTACAATCCAGAGAAAGTCAAGAATTTCCTCAAGGAGGCGAAACTCTCCGATCAGCTCCCTCTCATTATCGTCTGCGACCGTTTCGACTTCGTACATGACCTTGTTCTGTACCTCTATCAGAATGGACTGACCAAGTTCATCGAAGTTTACGTTCAGCGCGTCAACTCGGTGCGCACTCCGCAGGTGGTGGGGGGTCTCCTTGACGTCGACTGCGATGAGGCGACCATCAAGAGCCTGCTCGCGTCCGTAACCGGCAATTTCCCCATCGACGAGCTCGTGAATGAAGTCGAGCAGCGAAACAGATTGAAACTCATCCTTCCCTGGCTTGAGGCCCGTGTTCAAGCTGGGAGCCAGGACACCGCCGTTTTCAATGCCATCGCGAAAATTTATATCGACAGCAACAACAATCCTGAAGCATTCCTCAAGGACAACAATGTGTGTAGCGTCCGACGCCATTGACTTAGATGCTGACACATCCACGCAGCTGTATGATCCCATGGTGGTTGGCAAATTTTGCGAGAAGCGCGACCCGTACCTCGCCTATATTGCTTATGCCAAAGGCTTTTGCGATGACGAGCTCATTGCGATTACCAACGAGAACTCAATGTTCAAGCAGCAAGCGCGATACCTCATCAAGCGTCGTCAGCCTGATTTGTGGGCTCAAGTTCTCTCTGGTGAAAACATCCATCGCCGTCAACTCATCGACCAGGTAAGACTCTCACACACAAGTCCATGTCATTATTCGCGGCGGTTGATCACCTGCGCAGATCGTTGCAACTGCGCTTCCCGAGTGCACAGACCCTGACGATGTGTCGATCACCGTCAAGGCGTTCATACAGGCAGATCTGCCGATGGAGCTTATCGAACTCCTTGAAAAAATCATCATCGAGCCTTCACCATTCAGCGACAACCGCAACTTGCAGAACCTCTTACTGCTTACTGCAATTCGGGCGGACAAGGGCAAGGTCGTCGGGTACATCACCAAACTTCAAAACTACGACTCCAACGAAATTGCCAAGATTGCCACAGAGCATGGACTATTCGAAGAGGCCCTGACCATCTACAAGAAGTACGAACAACATGCACTGGCCATCAACGTCCTTGTCGAGCACATCGTTTCCATCGACCGTGGTTTGGATTTCGCGAACAAAGTCAACAAGCCCGAAGTTTGGAGCCGACTCGCCAAGGCTCAACTTGACGGCCTGCGTATCAAAGACTCCATAGGTAATCAAACCTAGGTTTTGAACGAGAACATATCTCATCAGCTTCAGATTCGTACATCAAGGCGGAAGATCCCACCAACTTTATGGAGATGATCGAGATTTCAACACGGGCTGGCAAGCAAGACGATCTGGTTCGCTACCTCCAGATGGCACGAAAGACCCTCCGAGAACCCAAGATCGACACCGAGTTGGCGTATGCCTATGCGAAGACTGACAGATTGCATGACATGGAGGACTTTTTGGGAATGACGAACGTTGCGGACATACTCGAGGTCGGGGAGAAATGCTTCAACGACGAGCTCTATCAGGCAGCAAAACTTCTCTTCGCAAGCATTTCGAACTGGGCTCGTCTCGCCACCACTCTAATCTATCTTGGAGAAAACCAAGCTGCCGTCGACAGCGCGAGGAAAGCTGGCAATACTCAGTGAGTCTGACGCGCTGATATTGTGTTGAACCCATTCTCATATCAATACAGGGTCTGGAAACAGGTCCATGCCGCGTGCATCGAGAAGAACGAATTTACTTTGGTATAACCAGTTATTAGGTGCTGTTAACTGCTGACTATTGTTTAGGCCGAAATCTGTGGCTTAAACATCATTGTTCATGCGGAGGAGCTCTCTGCTCTCGTCAAGATCTACGAGAGAAGAGGTCATTTCGAGCATGTGATCGCGTTACTCAAAGCTGGCTTGGGGCTCGAGCGCGCTCATATGGGCATATTCACGGAAATGGCTATTCTTTTGAGCAAATATCAACCTGCTAAATGTGCGCCGCCTTTCTCTTGCTCGTCTTTTTTTGCTCAAATGCCTGACAAGTGATGGAACATCTGAAGGTCTATGTTTCTCGGATCAACATTCCTAAGGTAGGACCAATGCGCTTAGTTAATGTTGTCAATAACCTGCCCAGGTCTTGAAAGCCGTCGAAAAAGCGCACCTCTGGCCAGAACTTGTCTTCCTATACATCAAATACGACGAATTCGTGAGGATGAGGAGTCCTGATTGAATTTTGTACTGACATGACTAATAGGACAATGCCGCCGTTGCGATGATTGAACGTTCTGCAGATGCGTGGGAGCACAACCAGTTCAAGGATGTCATTGTCCGGGTGGCCAATGTCGAAATGTGCGTTCTCATCGCCCGGTCGTGAAACATTACTCAAGCGCTGACTATAGATATTATCGCGCGTTGTCCTTTTACCTGGAGGAACAACCAACATTACTGACCGACCTCCTCACCGTCCTTATTCCTCGCATCAACCACTCGCGGGTCGTAAGGATGTTCAAAAAGCAAGATCACTTGCCTCTTATCCGAAACTATCTCATTGCGGTACAAAACGTAAGGTTTACCCTTCATCTCCTGTACCTTGCTGACCATTGCCTCCAGCTCAACATTGAGGATGTCAACGACGCCTACAACGACTTGTTGATCGAAGAGGAGGACTACAAAACTTTGAGGGATTCCATCGACAACTTCGACAACTTCAATACGATTGCCTTGGCCAAGCGTCTCGAGGGCTCACCACTGCTTGAGTTCCGTCGACTTGCTGCACATCTATATAAGGTATGGAAGGATTCCGCATTCTCTTCTCTCTTTTCTCACTTTCTGGGCAGAAAAACTCGCGATGGGACCAGTCTATAGCTCTGTCCAAGAACGACCGACTTTTCAAAGACGCAATGATCACTGCAGCAGTTTCCGGATTGACAGAGGTTGCCGAGGAATTAATGTCGTACTTTGTCGACATCGGAAACAAGGAGTGCTTCTCAGCCTTGCTGTACATTTGCTTTGACTTGCTTCGGTCGGACGTGGTTGAAGAACTATCATGGCAACATGGACTGAATGACTTCTACATGCCCTACAAAATTCAGGTTCAACGCGCGTTGGTGACAAAGGTTGGTGTTCCATACTACGCTTCGCAAGCCACTGTCTTATAGATTATCAGCTGGCACAGCTTGAGAAGGAAATCCAAGAACGGTCCAAGAAGGAGGTGCAGAAGGAGCAAGAGGAGTCCCAAGCCCCCATCATCAACCCTGGGCTCATGATCACAAATGGACCAACTGGTGGGTTCGCTGCTCCTGTTCAGCTGAACGGGATGATGCCTCAAATGACCGGGTTTTACTGAAGGACCGTATACACACATTGTTAGCCCCATTATAATCGTCTTATTTTTGTTGTCACTTGGATGAGTCTGAATGAGTGTTACAAACTGTTACAAAATGTCACGCTTATGTAACATGACGCGCTTTGCAGCGTTCGCAGACAGCAGCGACGACGACGAAGTTGCAAACGACAAGTCAGAGCGCGCTCCCCTCGATGAAGAGCATAGCGACACTGATGAAGCCCCTTCAATAACTTCTTCGGAATCCAGCTCGGATTTAGAAACAGACGACCTCCTGCCACACAAAAGCAATACTCTGGTCCCAGATGAAAATGGCGACTACCACTACAGAGAAACGCGCTGGCCACTCCATATGGGTGTAGACGCTCAGAAAATGCATGTCATGCAAACTTCGCTATTCCGTGTGCCCGAAGAAGCAGCCGCTATGAGAGCAGACAATGCTCAAACCTCTTCACTCCAAATCCCGCTGGGTTTGAATCGAAAGCATAGTCGGGACTCGGATGGGGATGGTTTGAGATTCGAGCCAACACAAGTACGAGTCTTTGGTTCACTCTCTCAACTTTTTATTCATTGTCGCAAGCGTGCATCCTTTGCCCAAGACGTGGATCCCCCAATATATAAGCCTACACGCAAGTACGCTCGGGTTGACAGAGCGGAATCTGCTGTGGTGGGTGGTGAAGCAGCGATGGTTGACGCGGGGCTGGCGTTTGGCCGCTCTTTTCGCGTCGGCTGGGGCCCTTGTGGACTTTTGGCTCATCCAGGCACCATTTGTGCACCAAACACCCCCGTGTACGCATTCCTTTGGCCCATTCTGACCTGTTCTTTTCTAAATTGTTGGTACAGAAAAACCACTGCCAATACATCTACCATCTTCAGGACCTTGGCTCCCATAGTGAACTCTGACGACCTTTCTGCGAAACTTCTCCAGCATCAACTGTCTCATTCACCGATTGACCTGGATGACGAGCAAATACCATTTGCGAATCCTTCATCAATTGACCTCCACTTCTCGTCGTTCGCCGCTCTCTTTCCTTCTACGGACCGCTCATTCGAAGCCTCGTTATTCCGACTCGGGTCTGCTCTTTTCGATTTACTTCCGCTGCGTTTAGGCGACTCGGTCACACCCGACATTCGCACGCAGGTCACGGGACTTCGTCGTAAAGCGGCGGTATCTGCCTGGCTTGAGGACACCGTAGCCTCCTCAATCGACTCCGATATCAGGGCGCTTCCTTCGGCCAGTCCTGCCACTCTAGCATTTATCCACCTCACTGGAAATCAAATCAAACAAGCGGCTGGCGTTGCAGCCGACGGAGGATACCTTAAACTAGCCACACTTATATCACAAGCAGGAGGCGACCTCGAATTTCGCTCAGATCTAAGACTTCAACTTGATATCTGGAGGAAAGAACACGTACAGTCACATGTCGAAGAGGATGTTCGCAAGGTGTACACTCTGCTTGCCGGGCTTTTGAGCTCTGAAGATTCTGATGAGCCGTCCGACGGGCCGGGATCTAATCCTATTGATCTCATCTCTGCCCTCGACTGGAAAAGGGTCTTTGGACTTCACCTCTGGTACTCTGGTCTTGTTGATTCTACAATTTCTCAAGTCTTCGATGCTTTCAGCGACTCGATGAAGCGTCGAAAAGTCTCTATACCACCTCCATGGTATATCGAAAACCCCTCTACTCCTCAGGGTCGATGGAAACTGCCATCCTTACCCGTGTCACCAGATGCGCTATACTCCCTTATGCGACTCCATGCCGACCCGTCATGTTCGCTTTCCCAAGTGCTGGACCCACTTTCTTTCAGCTCTTCGCCTTTGGACTACTCTCTGCCATGGCATCTTTACATCATCTTGTCGCGATGCATGGGTGTGCGTGACTTTTCGGATCGAGGAGAGCCGGGAATAACTACTCCTGGGTCGTCACAAGATGATGTAGACACAACGTCGGACGGCCATAGTCCAAGTGCAGATCTGCTGACAAACAGTTACGCATCCCAACTCGAGCAACATGGCATGGTCCAAGAGGCCGTCTTCGTCCTTCTCCACATTGAAGGTTCAGCAGGGTGCGGGTTTTCTGACTTTGTCCGCGTCTCGTTGATTATTACCTAGTCGAGCAAAGGTGATCAAGGACTTGCTGGCCCGTAATGCACATCGACTGGATGAGTGGACAACCCGTGGCATTGTTGGTAGTCTCCGCATCCCGATGGCTTGGGTACAGGAAGCCAAGGTTGTTATCCAGCATTAGTCAATTCTTTGCAAAGGCTCACGTCTGTTTAGGCTATTTACGCGCTCCACTGTGGCAATATCTACGACGCCTTCGAGCTGTACTTGTCTGCTGAACTCTTCAACGAGGCTCATAATCTCGCCATTTCAAAACTAGCGCCAGACGCCATTATTCGGAATGACCTGCAACTTCTCGCCTCCTTGTTTCGCCGCTTTGAGTGGAGGGCCAACACAATTGATGGCTGGCATTTGCGGGGGAAGGTGAGATCCATTTCAATTTGTATTTTCTAGTTTTGATGTCTGTCAGGCATTGCTAGATTACTCTTCTGTCTTGACGCGACTGGAGGGAATTGATGACCTGCGACCTATTGAACAGGAGGAAGAAAGAGACAACCTTGCTCGCGACGCTTCTAAACTTATAGGCGTGCTACCTAATGTTCTAAACGATCGGTCAAATACTCGACATAGTACGGCCCTCGCCACGATGATTAGCGCACTGGTGTCAGTGGCGGATCGAGCGCGGCCACTCAGCATCGTCAGTAATCGTTTTCGTTCTAATCTAGTCGGTCACATGCTCTCTAGATTGACATCCCATCACTCCATGTCGATGAGACAGTTACTCTTCAGCATCTTCAATCCTCATTGTACGCGCGCTTCGTGGAAATCATATAGGCCGCTCGCCCAGTATTATGTAATTGCTACAACACAGTTGAATTTACAGTCGGGTATACAGAAACAGGGTATGGGTCATTTGCTTGGTTCGCCTTCTCCCATTGACAGAGAGGTTCGACTGCGTCCGAATGAACGAAGTTTATTGCGAAGCCCCTCCATGATGAAGGAGGATCTAGCTTTACTATTTGATGGTGTGTCTTTGGAGGACAGTGGATTCGATGAAGACGTGTCGGAATTGGGGTTGACAGCGTCTTGAGAACTGGTACTAGTAACACTTTCAAGTGCGAGGCCGTCATCCTCGTCTCCAGAAAGGTCTCCGGTAGGCCACGCGGGTGGTTCATCTTGCACAGAAAATATTGCGCGTGGAAGCTACCTTGGTCAGTTTAACGAGACTCGAGACATGGCCATGCTCACCTCTGAGACACGGCGTCGGAAATCTGTCCACGATTGTCCATCTTGAACTAAAAATCCAACAAGCATGCTTGGATCAAGACTGCTAATGGGCATTTTGCGAACTTTATCACAATGGTAACTGTGAAGTTCAGTCGGAGAGTATGCGGTTGCGGTTGCGTGAGACTGCGCGACGGGGTCCATGGTGTCTGACCGTAGTGGTATTGCGGACCGCGTATGATGAGGATCCAGATAGAACAAGTTGTCTCCTTGGCTGCCAACAAAATATAATGAAGAAGAAGGCCGACCACCCGCAATACCAGCAGATTGCGGCCAAGATAATAATTGCTACAAATCAGTTGGTATCACTAGTAAAATTCAAAACAGTTCTTACCTTAATGGTGCTAAAGTAAATGGGGTTCACACCGTCAAGACCCAGTCTCAGGCCAAGTAGAAGCAGAACAGGGCGAGCTCCCCAGCTGCAAATACCGTCGTTCTCAGCGGGATTCGACGCTTCGAATATAGATGACTGATAGAAAACGCCATCCACAGCCAAGGAGACACCCAATCCGCAAGCAGGGTACGATTTGACGGCACTGGCGATAGCATGGGCCGCAACGCTTGGGCCAAACCACTCCCCCACATGGGTCCCAAGCTCTTGCCCTGAGAGACACAGTCGGTGAATACTGAATGGGGCCTTGGGAGAGTCGAAAAACCAGGTAAGCAGCCGGACGTAAGTCGCATGATCTTCCGTGTCTTCTGTTGGAGCGAGGGAAGGCGGGGAAGGAATCGACGGTTTGCGCCGGTGAGTGTTCTTCGGTGAGCTGTTAGGAGTCGGAAGAAAGAATGACGCTCGAGGTGGGGATGTTGTTCGTCTCCAGTCTGGGAAATTCGGATTAATTTGGCCATTCAACATATCAGTACTGACCTCTGCCAACGTGGACGGTTTGTAGTGAGTTGGCTAGCAAACTCTGGCCTGTACGGATCATACAACCCCAGCCCGTATCACTCGTCCATTGCTGGGAACCTCCACCCTGAATTGGCTCAAAGTCTTTGCGATAAGTGCACCATATCCTACTCCTGACATAGACATTAGATGCTGAAGTTCAGCCAAGTTTCAAAGCTGACCGGAAGTCGGAATAAAATTGTGCTGGCCATTGAGGTTGTTCAGGCTCAGTCGACGTTCTGGATCCATCATAAGACAGACCAAGTAGATAGATTTCTTCCTCGCTTTGGTCTGACGATGCGTCAGAGTCGAGGATATAGCGAACCGCTTTCTCGTAAAAGCTAGATTTCGAAGAGGCGGTCTTGCTTGGTGTGTTGTGCATAAACAACGTCACTCACATGAAGCTGACATAAGATTTGACTGCTTGATTTTGACGCCGACGCGACTACTCGGATGCCGACTGCACCTGATGCCAAAACGCGCTCAAAGATCAGTTTGAACTCCCGAGTATTCTCAACCGCGATTCCCCAAAAATATCTGCCTCGTATATTCCTCAATGCTGTCTTGTTTGCTATTTGTACGCATGCGGCCAAAGGAGTCTTGGAGTTCGAAGTTGGAATCTTCTGGACTGTAATGAGAGTGTTGGCATGCGGAGGATTTGGAGTCCTAGTCTGGGAGGGTTGGACTGGTCAGTTGGCGAAGCGCAAGTCAATCGAGGTGTGTTTATTGCCCAAGTGTTTCTCCCGTGCGCTGATAGGTCACAGTGGTCTGTACTTGGGACAGCATCTTTACTCGTCTTCGTTCAACAGGCTTGCTTATTCACCGCTCTGTACAGGCTGCCATCTATCCGGTATTTTACCCCTGAATTCATGACATCAACCGCTGCTCACCATTGTCACTCAGTGTAGCACTGTTCTCGCATTTCGCCGATCTATGGCTTGGGGCACTGTTGACGACGTCGAAAGTTGGTTTAGAATTGCGCCACTTATATGCATAGACGCTCATAAACCATAGTCTCGTAAAGCTGCGTCCGTCACCCTTGCCTGGTTACTCTGCATTGCTTCGGACACCCAGCTCTCTTCGGTTAATGTGTGGCGATTTCTCCCTGGATATGGAGCGCTTTTCCTGTACGCCTTGGCCACCAGTGCTCTCAACCATACCGTTGGTGTCCTAGCGCCATCATTGGGCACGACCTTCACCATCTCTGCGAGTGCTTTCGGTGCCTGCATATTCGCTCTGCCGTTCTATCTATTCAGGACAGTGGTTGTACGTCGGATGATCATGCGTGTTTCCATGGGAGTAACGGTCTTCTCAGCTCGATTTTCCACCGTCTCCAGCACTTCCCCTCACGTCTTTATTGGCTCTCCCGCTCCTTGCCTTCACCCTCTTATTCCTATCCCCCATCACCACCCGCTCTTTGACTCAGCTCTCCTTTACCCCGCAACACCTCATGCTTTCCTACCCAAGTACTGCGATCGCAGCAGCTCTTCTAGGGTCCTTGGCCTATAACCAATTTCCAACGTGGACTGACCTCGTTGTGGCTTTCTTTCTCTACTTCGGTGTGTACTCTGTCTGATACTCACGTAGTAATGAACTTACTCCGCGGTCAGGCATGCAACCCGAGAAAACCGACTCATTTGCCGCCTCCCCTCCTACACCCACTTCCCGTTTGCTCCGATCTTATCTCAAAACTATTTTGTCCAATCCTGAGTCCCGCAAAATATTCTACTTCTTGGTGTTGAATATGGCATATATGCTGGTACAAATGCTTTATGGGGTTTGGACGAATAGTCTGGGTTTAATTTCTGATGGTCAAAACTCTCAACTTCCTCTCTCGATGCTTTACTAAGCATTTCCCCAGCGATTCACATGGCTTTTGATTGCATGGCAATCGGAGTTGGACTACTTGCTTCCGTGATGGCAACATGGGAGCCCAACGAGCGCTTCACCTACGGGTGCGAAGTTTCTGACTTTTTTTTTTCTTCCCTCATGTTGAAACTCGATCAGATACGGTCGTATCGAGACATTATCAGGTTTTGCGAACGGAATTTTTCTAATTCTTATATCTATCTTTATAGTCTTCGAAGCCATCCAACGAATGTGTGTGTTTCCCTTTCTTTTCTGGATTCAGCATTCAGCTCCTTCTAGATTAGAGCCTCCTGAGATGAACACAAGTCAACTCCTCCTGGTTAGCTCTCTTGGACTAGCCGTGAACCTATTTGGCATGTTTGCGATGGGCGGTCATCACCATGTAAGCTCGCATCTTCCTGCGCACTAGACACTAACGATCGAGTCCCAGGGCGGCCATTCCCACTCGCATGGCCATGGAGGTCACTCTCATGATCATAGCCATACCCCACCCACAAATCTGGCCCCTCCACCTGCTTCACAGAGCAGCCATTCTCACTCTCCCGGTCATGGCGGTCACTCACACGACCATAGCCATACCCTACCCTCACCTACTTCCTTGGATTCTCCTTCCCATTCCCATTCGCACTCATCACCCCCAGCTTCTACAATGCCGCATCACTCTCATTCCCATGATTTCTGCGACGAAGAACACGATTCCCCCCCACACTCCCCCGTTGTCTCCCATTCTCATGGACATGAGCCGACACATTCTCAGAGCGACAACAGCCACGCCCACGGGGAGCGAGCATCACTACATGCCCACGACAACTACCCAGAACTAAGCACTCCCATCACACCCAACTATCAATTCGGCGTTGACGAGCATTATATGAGACATCATGAACGCGACCATGCGCCGAATGTGCACAGTCCTATACCAGCGCTGTCACACGAAGGTCACAGTCATAATATGCGAGGAGTTTTCCTCCATGTCATGGCAGATACTCTGGGGTCTGTTGGTGTGATCATTTCCACTCTCCTCATCCAATTCTATGGGTGGACTGGCTTCGATCCGATTGCATCCCTCTTCATTGCCGTGTTGATTGCTGCCAGCGTGACTCCTCTGGTCATGGACACTGGCCGTGTACTATGTCTCGATGTCTCTGATCGAGAATCTACAATAGAAACCGCTCTGGCTGAAGTAAGTCAAACTGGACCTCGCCATTTTAGTTGTTGATAACTCTTCCTTCCAGTTGAAATCGGTAGAGGGACTTGCATCCTTCACATCACCGAGATTTTGGCCTAAAGACGCAACAACCATAATTGGCTCCATTCGCATTCAGGTGGCAAGATCCGCAGCGTCATTCGATCCTAGTGGACCACATTCGAACAGTCAACCTACATACGCAAAACTTGACCGAGTAGTAGAGAGGGTTGACCGGTTACTACGAGGGCGTATAACAGGACTCGAGGAGTTGACCATTCAAGTCGAGGAGGGCAGGTAGATAGCAATTCTTAATAATAATATATCGGATTCATGGCACGTGGAAGACATATGTGACGTGACCTGTGTCACGCGACTGTGACTGACGCGATTCCACCCATACTTACCTTCCATGGACGATTTGGTTATGGGGCCGTTCACAAGCGATGAAGTGGTCGAAACGTCTGACCCAGAGGAAATGAACGAGCTGCCACCCCTCAAGCGACTGAAGGCTTGCTATCAGGTCCATAGGTTTCTCTTGTGACTGACCATTTCTGTCAGTTGTTCCACTCACCAACTCTTTCCCTCCACCGCAGTGCTTCCCAAGAACCAACATCTTCTATCCATGCTACCCATCTTTCCGACCCTCTGATCGATGATGAAACAACAACTGAGCCACAGCGTTCCGACTCCGTAGATCCCTTACTTCTCCGCTCTCCCAGTATTCCAGCATTCAAATCATCTCCACCATCATCTCCCCTCACTCCTCCCCCTCCCGATAGTCCAACTATTGATGATGCCTCTCGGTATCCTTTGCGACATCGCAATCCACAGCAATTAAACCCTTACCGATTTGACCAAGCAATCTACAGGCAGACTTTGCGTGACAACCCAGAAGCAATAGTTAAGATACGAAGCCCCCCCAGGCATCCCAAATCAAGGGCAGATCGCTATGAGGAGGAAGAGGAAAACGCACAGCCGGAACTGGATTCACGGACCCCGCCTCCACATGTCGATATTTTACGCGTTCTCCCTTCCATGTCATCGTCATCGGATGAAGATGATGTTAGCGGAAACGTGGGGCCAAGAAAGCGAGTCTTGTCTACCTCAGAGAAAGTGAATCATAGAGGCCGCCGTGAAACGCGAACTCCAGAGAAGGAAAATTCGCCGGTAAACCTGACGTTGAATACCTGTTGAAAAAAAAGAGTTAACCATCTTATTCAGCCATATTCTCCTCCACCAGCTCAAGCTATCATGGCATCTCCTGTCGCTTCCAAGACTGTGTTACCGTGGGTCGACGATAACGAGCACGACGGAGCCACGTCTGATTCCGCGATTGTCATTGTGGAACACGACAACGTTCAACAGACGGTCGAGGAGCCTCAAGCCCTGTCGAAGAAGGAGTTGAAGCTCAAGAAGCAGCTTCGCACCCTCAAACGAGTTTATCCTGCCTTTATGGTTCAGAAATTGCTTGAAGATGCCTCACGTCCAAAGCGGCGAATACGCCGCACAACTATGTCTTCGTCGTCAGAGTCCGAATCAGAGCCGCCTCTCGAGCCAGGTCACTCCAGAGTCACCAAAGCCAAAGCCCCAAGGGAACGGAAGCCAATTCTAGGCGATCCTGAATCTGAAAACGAGAAACCTGACTCCAAAATGTCCGATTCGGACGTCGAAATTGTGTCCCATCGTCAACGCGAACGCAAATTCCCAGCCCCTCGTCGTCTTACTAAGTCCAGAAGATATGAGTTAGCCAGAAACAGTCGAACCGCACCCTCGAGTCGGACTGTACGCTCGTATGACAGATATATAATTGATTGGATGTTATCCAATACCGCAGCCATAGGTTCTGATGGAGACTTGCTCGTAAAAGAAGAAGACTTCACTGAATCAGTGGCCCACACAACGACTTCCCGGGCCCAACAGAAGCGACGGCAAGGACCCACTTTGCATTCATACTTTTCGCGGCAAGAACTTGTTCACGAAAGACAGGCCGATGACAATGACGATGAAGATGTGGGGCAGACGATAGACTTGGGACGTATATCAGAACGGAAGCGAGCATTGAAGGGAAAGCGTGCCTCGAATGGGGTGTACACTCTGCCTGCTCCAGATCGGCGCAGGCTCACGGGTCAGCGTCAAGTGCCAATCAAGCAACACCGACCTATTTCCAACGAATATGGTCAACCATCGCTCCATGGGGAGTCACAGGCAAGGAGACGGGTCAAGACCCAACCTCCGCGACCACGTGCCACCTCCGAGTCTTTGAGTGGCGAGGACGATCATGTGTTCATTGATGAACAAGGCGAGCAAAGCATTGTTGAATCCGACCCGGAGAATTGGAGTTCGCAAGAGCTTGTCGATTTCGGGATTTCACTTGTCTCTGCTGGAACTAAATTTGGACCAGACACTTACGTCGGAAAGGGATTCCTTTTGGAACTCGTCGATCCCACTGCAACAGATAATTACCCTCTTCCTCGTATCTGTTCGCTTGATGAATTTCACCTCGGACCTCACGTGACCACCCATCAACTGCTCGATATAATGGGGCCTTTCTGTTCCCGATTCTTCGAGTTTGCAACCGGTATTCCTGACAGCGACAATACTAAACAAGAGCATCAGTGGTCAATCGTTACCAGGGCCATGTGTCATCTCGTGACTCACTTGCTACTTGTGGGAGAGGAAGTCGATGCGCTGAAGACGAGTGTTGAAAGACATGTTCATGTTCTAACCGCCAAACTACGCGATGCTGCGCTCGCAGCAGATGCCATAGAGTCTTCCACCTTCTCTATCTGCTGGTTTGCAGTTGAATTGGCCTTTCGGGCTGGCTTTCGATGGGATTCTGTTGATGGAGTGTTTAATCAAGCCTGTGCGGTTGCTGTGGAGTGTATCGTTGAGTATGGGTTCGACAGGACAATGAAGCCACTGGTAGAACAAGACTCGCTCTCTGGTACGGACACTTGTCATCGTGCTCTCGAAACCTTGGTCAGTCTCTGGCATCTAATCCCTCACGGTCAACGCGGTTCCCAGTCAAGTCATCCAATTTGGACTCTGGTTGAAGGTGTAGTGGCGAAACGACGACTCTCCGAATCGTGCTCTGTCTTCGAAAGTAGTGAGCGGGCATGGCATGCAATCATCAGTATCTGCACTGTATCCCAGTTTTCTGCGGTAGGATTGGTGGCAGCTGACTGGGCTGAGACTGAAAAGATGCCCCGTACATGCTGGTCCATCGTCAAATCGACTCTGACTCAGTTTGTTCAAGACATCCGCAGTAATAACGAAAATATGTCGACTGTCAATGATGGATATATCAAGCTGGTTGTTGAACGGTGTTGCTTACTCTGGAGTCGTTGGCAGTGGGAGTTCAACGGCGCTGCCACAGCTCTTAACAGCCTCGGTAACTTTTTGCGGACCCGAATGTTCGCTAATCTTGCCAATGAAGAAACCGAATTCCCCGACTTCCTCCGCCTGGACGAGTGGTCTCTTCTTGCTCGGCCGATCCATTCTGAGACCGCCTTTGTGCTGTTCCTCAAGCTTGTCTACCAGACACTCCTCGCGGATCGTCAGCAAGCCACGAAACTGCTTAGATCGGTCGTTCCCCTCCGCACTGATGTTCCCATTTCAGGCAACCTCTCTACCCTCATAAACCGCATGAGCGTACTGGCGATTGCGTTGGAAATTCAACCGGTCAATCGCGGTGACTGGATTGAAAGGGCGACTGCGTATGTTAACTTTCAGCAAGCGGATGCAGCCACACGGCTTGCTTACGTTCGCGGGTTCATGTACATCTCGGTCTTGATGGTCAAGCGCAAGTTGGATCCTGCTGTTGGATGGTTGAAGGAAATGATGGACGTCCTGCTTCAAGAACTCAAAATACGACCATCAGGCATGGACCCAAAGGTCTATGTACTGCTTCTTGCACGTGCGCTGAAAAATATTATCGCTTCCAGCAAAGAGTATCCTGACGTTCAATTGCTGGAAGGTTCGTCCCATCAGCTCTATCTGTGGCCAACTAACTATGCTGCAGCTTTCTTCACCAAGGATCTGCCCCCAGCCCTCATTGAACACGAAGAGGACCCCGGAGTTCTTCAACTCATCCAGGCGATGTTGGATAAGAGAGCTGAATTAGTCTATCGCCCCCCTCGTATCACCGAAGAAAGCCAAGACGACTATGGCGCGATTGATGTGGACGTGGTAGAGGCTTTCGTCGCTCAAGATGCCGATAAATTGGCCAGAGATGAAAAGGCGCTGTTTCAGGCAAGTCCACTGACCTGATTGGGTATATGTCACACATTAAAAAAATAGATTGTGCAAAGATTGCGATGGCCAATATGGCGCCGGCTAGAGGCACTCTTCTCCAAATCTGACATAATCGAGTCGTTCAAAAGTAGTGATGATACGAGCAAAGATGTCACCTCTCTGGCACACTCCTGGGTCTGCTGTGGCCGTTTGTTAGTTGAACAATCTTCAGGGGTAGGTTCCTCTCTACATCAGAACCAGCCAGTTGACAATCTGGCAGCTGGCTTGGTCCGCTTTCCTCAGGCCTTATCTAAACAAGTCGGATGACTGGGATTACTTTTGCCAATGCAGAATTAACCTCCTGGTGCTCTACAATGTCCTACAGCAAGACATAGATGCCTACCCTTTGGAATGCTTGCCCATCCATCTTCCCTTGCGAGATCGCTTCATCACAGTTTTCGTGGAAAGCTTGGTCTCTTGGTATACGACGAGCGAGGCGGCTTACATCAACCTACTGCTTTCGATCCCTGGTCACCAGCACCCGTTATTGCGAAATATGCCGCCCTCGTTCTTAGTCCCAGATGCCGATTCTCCGAAACTTGATCGTTTGCGAGCAAGACTGACCCTTGTCCAAGGTAAGTTGGACTCAAGGGCCGGTTTTCCATCTGATGTTTCACCCAGCTCTCCTCGAGAACATAGTGGCCGACGGTTTACTTGATTACATCAACACTATGTTTGCCTATATGAGGCGAACACACACCGTGCGCTTCTTGTTTGACCCTCGTTGGCTGACGGATGACCTTTTGACAGGAACTGGAAGATGGGACAGAGGAGAAACGAGCTTACGCAACTTTCTGTCGGGAGGTCTTTGAGGAGTGCGAAAAGCATTCAGGAATTCTGTTAGACCAATGGACTGGGTGGTTATTGAATCTCTAATGCTTCAAGACACATTTTAAATGTCAAACTACTCTGCTGATCCAGCGTATTATAAGGGGTGATATATTCGTCCATCCTCAACTTCAAAAAAGTCAACCAGCAACTCATGACTGTGTAGTAAACTCTGCTCACCTGCCATCAGAAAACAAGCTGTTGGCAAACTTTCTCGGGTTGGAACTCGCGCACAAAGGCAAATTGAGCAGGCGTCTCGGGGCTGGAACCAGGTCCAAAACGTAAAACGAATGGGGAATGGTCAGAGAAAACTCACCTATGAGGGTATGTAATCCGTTTAGCGACTCCTTGCCACTCCCGAGCCTAACAGGTGTTCAGCTTGCAGTATATAAGGTATAAATTGGATGGCGTACGATGATTTGTAGAGCCTCTTCACCCGTCAAGTTGAATCTCTCAACTAGGAGACATCTGAGAGGAAAACGCATGAGAAGGAGGCTTTTTGCATTAGCAAAGCACTCACCCAATAACCATGCCCGTGCGCCCGATGCCCCCTCGACAATGAACGGCAGTTATGCGCCCGCGGTCCATATTGTCTCGGAGAACTGCCATGACGCTATGCATGTGCTCTACACTTTCAGGAAGTGAGCGGTCACGAATAGGAAAACGATGGTATTCGAGTTCCGTGTCATCGATTCTGAGTTGACGAGCAAGCACCAAGAGGTAGGCCTCGTACGGAGAGAGCTCGCCATCCTCAGTGAGATCAACAAAAGTTCGAGTACCAGCTCGCAGCAAGGCTTCGAGTTTTGTGCAAGAACTGTCTAAAGGATGCCATGGGTATTCGCATGCCAAAAGGTAACCCGTTGCCCAGTAAGAATTGGGAATTGGTCGTGGCCTATCGAGCTTTCCGAGAGCGACGACAAGACGTTCTTGTTCAATCGTAGGAGCTTGCATATCAGCCGTTGAGTTAAGTGTCGGGCAGGAGTTTGCGGCCATGGTTCTTTGGGGGAGGGATCTTGAGGTGGTCGTTCAAGTACAAGACGCGCAGTCACGTCCGTTACGTCACAGACACAGCCTTGAGGTTGCCTTGTGTTTGTCTCGTGGTGCCAAAAAAACAAATCCAATACAGTTACATTTTTGGGGTATGCTACATGAAGACGACGCGTGGCGACTACTCTTTGAACTGCTGCACGAAGTTTTGCCATGAATAACTCAAATCGGGTGCATACTGAACCTCCGAATAGGAATTGAACTCGTCATAGCCTTGACCGTTGTTGGTATGATGAGGGTAGCCATACTCTTGGAACTGAGAGAAGCCTGTCCACGATTGGGGGGTGTCAAGCGTCACTGGTGGCGAAGGTGAATCGGAGGATGGACTCGACGGAGACATTGTTCTTCTGGTCACGAGACGAGTGACCCCACCAAGAGCCGCTATCTCGTCGACCTCGGTTTTCACTTGAGGTGAAAATGTGGGGTCTAGAATGCGAGGGCTTGGAGTCATGAGGGCCTCGTGTGCACGGGTCTTGAGGCGATGGAGGACAGGCTGTCGCATGGTCGTCGATAGCAGACTTGGTTGAAATCGATAGGACCTACCAGCATTTTCACTGTCTGAGCACGATCGGTCAAGCTCTCAAAAAGACGGCAGGCCGATTCAAAGTGGGACAGTGCTGATGGGGCGATAGTCAGATGCGGTTTCATTGCAATAGAACCCAAAACAATCTGAGAAGCCTCAGAACTCGCGGTAACAACAAGAGCAGACGCACGCAGCAGCTGAAAACATGGGTGAAGTAGAATCCAACCCTCTTCAGCGTCATCAATTCCAGGAACTGAAAGAACAGCGCAACCCACCTCAGTCAAAACGGGCTGCTGTTTGAACAGGCTCTCGATCAGTCCGACAAAAGTGCAGGCACTACGATAGGCGGCGAGAACTGATGGCCCATACTTGCTTCCCATTGGGTCTTGAGAGTTGTCAGCAAGTGCTTGCGCAAAAAAGCCACGATGCATATAAAATAATGCTTAAAAATGAGTTTGGAACGAAAAGTTATATTTTGACCGTTACCGATTTCTTTTATTCCAAAAGCACAATATCTTTGCATTGTGAGCTCTATTGTAGGCGGCTCGCTTTCCACTGTCGTCTTTGACGTCAAGAATCCTGGAACTTGAAGGTTCTGCGGAACTTTGTAGTTGCGCACTTTCTTGTCGAGTTCCATGACAGTACTATATGGCGGTGGTCGAGCACCGAAAACGCGATCATGCAGAACCGAGAGGCATTCGGATGACCAGGCATGCTTCCATGCCGCAACTACAACTGGTTGGAACGATGACGAATTCTCAAAAATAGCCACGGACAAGACATTTCCCCAGGGTTGGTTGTTGGCTCTTGAGGACGCTTTGTGTCAATGTGCGCCAGCGAAAATGTCGGAGGTCGGCCGAAAGTAAGACTCTGTCCGCATAATTAGCTGTTGGCCAATAACTCAACATTTGGAACTCACTTGCCAACTATCATAGGTGTAGATCTCGTACAAAAGACAGCGACGATTATGTGTTTCAACGGGGTCTAGGTTCCATCGTTCACTGTCACGATCTGGATAGAGTTGATGTAGGACGAGATAGAGAATGGTCCTTACGTAATCCAATCTAATCAGTTGTCAGCAAGTTCCAAATACGCAATTGGAACCACTGACGCTGTGGGCAAGTTTGACAACGAGGCCCATGATAACCCATCGAGGTCCGTCGATCCCGGCCCAAAACATATAATGGCACATTAACAGCTCCAGAAAGCCGTCAGACATATCCAACAAGACAGCCAAAGTCCTCTACCAGCGCCTGTATCCCGGGAATTGACGGCTCTTCAAGCACCGAGTCAATGGCAAGAGCAGCTCTTCCTAGTTGATAAAGTTCCGTGGCCTACTCTGCAGCATTGAGATGTCGTCAAGCACAGGAATATGCCTTACCTCAGCAGAATGGGCAGGCATGTTCAAATCGACAAGAGCCCCGAGAGCCATCACCATAAATAGCACAGATAAGCTATGGGCGCTCACGTGGTCGCCATTGAAATCATATATGGGTGTAAATATTTTTTCGTAAAAGTCGTTCTCGGATATTGGGGTATACCTAGCGACACTATAAGAATTAAAATTAGCCCGCCAGAAAAGGGCGCACATCCAAGCCGCATGTCGGTAGTAACTTTCCGAAAACCTGTCTGCTCTCTCAGGGAATGGCAGTCATAATGAACACAAAGACTGACCGCTGAGCGATTCCTGCGTTGGGCAATAAATTGAGGAGGGTGGTTCGAACATCCTCGCCAGTGCCGTTAATGGATGTTGTGGTAAAGGGGAAGGAATAAGCAAGCCAAGGTAGGTCTTTGGGTAGTATATGGTCCGTTTGTGGTGATCCAACCTCTTCGTCATCTGAAGCAGTCTCGTTCTATGCTTGATTTACTACTGACAACAATGACCGCTGATGTGAGAATCACCTTGAGAAGATACTGGCAATAAAACGTGAACCACAATAGGGAAAAGGACGAAGGAAACAGACCCAGGAGTTAGCAGCTTGCCCAAAGAAAGTAGAACGGCCGCCATCTGATATAGACAGCGATCCCATGGCTTCCACTCCCTCGTTGGAAGAATCAGGCTTGTCTGACTTGAGCGGCATATCGGGCCGGTCTCTCTCTAATGGTCGTTTTATTGCGAGGAGTTGGGGAGCGAGTAGCGGGTGGGGCGTTGATGAGGTTTGTGTATGAGAGTCTAGAAGCCCGTCTTCCAGTTGACGAATGCGATTGGAGAGCTCAAGTATCTTTTCGTGAAGAACCTAGATCAACCTGAGTTTACTGGTGGTGTCGATGCATTGAACGACCAACCTCTGTGTTTGCTAACACGAATCGGTTGCCCTTACCGGTAGTCAAGCTCCCTGGTATATTGTAAATAACTTGAAACGCGTCATGAAAGGCGATCTCGCGAGCCTTCGGGACAAATTGCAGCGCAGCCTTTCTTCATGCAATTGCTAGTAGACCGTGAGCATGCGATAACTGCAGTTAGTGAAAGTAAGCCAAGCTTACCTGCAAGGAAACTGACGACTACATCTAATAGAGTCTAAGCCATCAGAGTTTGTGAGTGTTGAGCGGGATTACTTCAATTTGAGTCTGAATAAGAAATAGTTGAGAATTACGAGTCTAACGAAGCCCACGGATGCTCACCGACGGCATTCGGCACACGATAGCGCTGCAGCCCGTCGCTTCTGGCGCTGACCCCCCACCGACGCCATTGAGGAAGAGACGGAACCTTGAAGTGGCCGTGTCACACGTCGCTTCTTCCTTGATGCTTACATATAATGAACCCACCAATGCTCTGTTTAATCTTGTAGATATTTCTGACGGTAGTGCAAGCATAATTATGGTCGATTATTCAGGTTGCTTAGAAATATGTTTATGTGAACAATGGTTCACATGAGAGGGGGGAGCTCGCCAAATCCAAGTAAAAGCAAAAATATATATGTTAATACAACTGAATTACTAATCATTAAATACATATTCATCCAAATTCATACCATAATCATTGAGGGTGAATTCAAGGGCTGCTCTTCTTTCTATATCAGCCTTCAACATACGTGAAGTATCTGTATCTTCTGGCCGTTGTAACCTAGACAAAGGGAACCTAGACTTGAAAGCTATTCCATCCAAGGTCTTGACTCGTGATATGGCAACAAATGATAATCCTGGGGAAAAGTCTTTAGGACCAAGTTCAATGACAGCTTTCAAAAGTGTCAGGCCCTGGCTTTTGTGAATTGTGATAGCCCAAGCTAAAGCTAAAGGAAACTGGGTTCTAGAACAGGGAGTACCATTGGTTTCCCAATTTGTTGTTACAGGAGTAATAGGCACCCAAGAAGGATCAATGCCTGTCCAACCTGGAGTTTGAGGGCCTATAATCACATTAAGAAAGAGTTTACAAGAATATTACTGTGCAATATACCTGAGTAATCAGGACAAGAAATAAATACCACTGCTGGAAGGTCCTTTTGAGGATCTGCATTAGAGGCATAACAAATCTTCTGGACAGTGCCTTGTGCACCATTCACTAATCCCTTAGAAGTCCACATATTTCTAGTGATCATAACCTTTGCACCCTCTGAGAGGAGAATCATAGGATGTAACCCTTCTGCATCTTCAGGAGATCCTTTCTTTGACAAAGCCTTGTTTATCCGATGGTGTGTAGCTTTACACCGAACTATAGGTTTATTGAGTTTTGCCAAATTTCGAAGATTGGCATCTTCAACAAGTTTATGAGTTGGCAGCAAGTGAATAACATCACTGAAAGTAGCACGCTCTTCAGCAGACAGTTTATCCCAGAAACGCTCTGAAAGCAGAGTATAGTCTTCTTCAGTCACAGCATACTCTCGTAAATGATACAATGCCTCTCTGAAGGCTGTTTGACGGGGATCATCACCTTCTTGACGGAAAACCCGAGTAAGAGTAAGAGACTGTTTGAAGGTTTCATATACCATTCTTCCTTCAGCAGCAAGTTGGCCTCTTGGCCCATCTGCTTGCTTAGTAGAAAACAAAGCACTATCACCCACAGGTGGGAGCTGGAAAAAATCTCCAAAGATTATAGCTGATTGACCTCCTAAAGTTTCCTCAGCTTTAGCTGGAAAAATCTGTCTGAGCCTACGGTCCACTTTCCCTAAGATTGCCCTTCCAATCATTGACTTTTCATCAATGATAAAAATACGCATACTATGCCAGCGTTGCTGCATTTTCTGAAGAGAGGCAGGAGCTAATTCTGAAAAATTACTATCTTTTGTAACTGGAATAGAAAGTGCAAAATTGATTGTCCATCCTCTGATTCCAAATGCAGCAATTCCGGTAGGAGCCATCCGAATAACAGGATCTTTACCATCTAGCTCATCTGCATATTCCTCTCAAAAGCAGTAGTAATAGCACGAATAAGCACTGATTTACCAGTCCCTGCAGTACCATCCACATTGATTCTGAGTGGCTCTGGTGATTTCCCAGCTTTTAATGCTTTGATATATGCCATAACCTGAAGGAAAAGTTGCTGTTGTTCCCCTTTCAACTTTGTATAATCCTCTGGAGGGAGATTCTGGATAGTATCATTAGGAAATTGTTTAAGCTGTTCAGGCAACCATTCAGTTGCAGCTTTGATATCAGCCATGGGAGGTGAGTTTTCCACCCAGTTGTAACTGATATCTAATTCACGAATGCCTAATGATTTCAGTAATGAGTCTGTTGTTGTTACTTCTCCTGGACGACGCCCAGCCTCACGCATCCAATCTGCTTGAAACTGTGCCATTTGAGGATCATCATCATCAGGTGCTATACTCTCAGAGTCTGATTCAGCATCTGGGTCTTCTTCCTCATCTTCTTCCTCAGCTGTAGGCAAGGTATCATGTCCATGTGGGAGATTGAATGGTACACAATCTGTTTCATATGCAGTAATCCAGTTGTCATGATTTTTTAGCAAGTCTGCTTCCTGTACAAAAGGATGATGTAGAATCATATGAGCATAGCACCAGTTCTCATAGACATTTTTATCAGCTGTGTCATGAATAAATCGAGGCCAGATATTCAATGCATAAGGTAATGCAGAACGGCCACCTCGCCGTGATAGAGTTTTGCCATTGACAGTCCAGTGCCGAAGGAAATGGAGGAAAGTTGTTTTCTCTAACTCCTCTTTCAATTGTGCAGATATATTACCAGTAAGCCTAGTTCTGTATGCCTGCCGTAATCCAGTTTTTTGCGAACAGTATTGCCTTCAAAGTCAATCTCTACATCTTCTTCTTGCTTTGATACATTGACATTTCTGACTACTCTTGATGATCTAACCATAGGACAGTCTAAGAGAATGTGACAGGTTTCTTGAGCAGACATATCTCTCTCAGCAGCAAAAGCAGACAACATCTTCTGATAGGCAATTTGAGCAGCATCAGAGTCATTAAGAGAGGAAACTGCTTTTTTAAGCATATCAGCCATAGTGCTAGATTGAGACTCTGCTTTACTTGCATATTTTGCTACATAAGCAATCACTGCATTCTTATTTAGCACAGGCCTAAAGTCCATATTAGCCCGCCATCCTAAAATCATAACAATGTGATGAGCATTTAGGAGTTCATCATTTCTCCTTGGATGGAGCTCAGGATGCATTTGACCTGGTTCTGTATGTAAACCTGTTGTATTTCTCAAAGGTTTGGGAAAGTGAAACCAGGCAAAAATCCTTATGTATTTTTGTCCCTGCGTAAACAATATCCTGGAGCGCATTTGGTATGTCTTTGAAAACGATTCAAGAGCTGTGCTAATTCTCTCTTGGTATCTTGAAGAGTATCAAAAAGTTGTGCAGATGGATGAGTTTCAGCTGGAGGGTGTTTCTGATCAGGATTCATGGTAGATATTAATGGGTCCCAATAATTGATGAATGTTTGAACATCTTCATCTTTTTTGAGATCCAGTTTTTCTACATCTGGAGCATCTGAAAACCAAAGAAAACCATGTATATGACTGCTTCCTCGATGCTGCCATTCATATCTCCACCAAAAGTCTTTGATCTGAAACTTGACTTTCATAAAATACTCAAAGTAAACCTCCCAACGTTTCTGGAAATAATATGCTGCAATAGCTATAGAGAAGATTAGTATGTTTATGTAATCCAGAATAATTAATACACCATACCTGGATTCTCATTTAAGTCCTTCCATCTGGTCCTATACATATCAGGATCATTTATATTGGGATTCCATCCAGGCATATGTTGATGTAAATCTGGCCATTGAATATCTGCAGCTGAGCAGGTGAAAAAAACACTAGGACAGCCAATATCCCGTATTTGAGCAGTTAAATCTTTACGTTTACTTGACCAGAATGGTCGAGACCCTTCAATTGGTGCAGCTGACCTAGAAACACGCTGAGCTAGATGATCTGCATTATTCCCCTCAATCAATTCTCTGATTTCTTCAACAGATAATGAGCCATCTTCTGCATGACTACGAGCATACCACTTTGATGCTCTCTTTTGCTCTTTGTCGAAAAATTGTATTTAATGCCCAGTAACGAAACCTGGGATGCCTTGCAAATCTTCCATCTTGATAGCGAAGTAGATGTGCTGCCCATTCTTCCATTGTTACATTCTTATGACGAGTTTCTTTGAAATCTGCTTGTCCAAAGGGGAAAAGAGTAGGAAATGCATCAATAGCTATAGGATGTGCACTGTTCTCATTTATTGGAGTACCACACGGGAGGTAAAGTCAAAATAATCTCAGGATTATTCCCAGTAGCAGCTGCAGCAAGTTGCTCAAACTCTGTTAAGCCAGAACGAATATTAGGTGCAAAACCTCCAGAAAACAGTGGTACACCTGGATTTTCTGCATTCTGTTGAGGAGGGCCTTGATCCAAATTTGGCTGTAGATTTTCTACTGTCACATTTTGAAGCTGATTCATAACATTTGCATCAGCAGCAAAGGTGTTTAGCCGGTTCCAATCTATTTCAACCTGCCGTGATCGAAAGGTTGGATGATGCTGTTCCAAAAAAGACAACCACTGATGTAAAACTGCCTTTCGGACACGAAAGTCCTCATTGACAGTTTCCTGGTTAGCTGCAGATTGACGACGAAAAATAACAATTTCACATTCCTCTGGTAGAAGAGGAACTTTATTGTGAAATACTGCAGTATCTCGTGGAAAGTTACAGATATGCCCACGATAAGCATATTGGCCTCCATGAATCTGCCATACTTGGGTAAGGGCATGTACAGGTGAAATCAAAATTTCCTCCATCTGGGTTAAAGGAGGTAAAAGAGGAGCAATTCCAGGATCCATCTTGTTACCATCACAGAGTTTGTCAGACTTTTGACATTGTTTGCATTTTCCATCTTTAACCTGTAGATCAAACCACTTCTCATGGCAGGAGTTACAAGACTCCAGTTGAATATCCATTAATTTTTTACGGACATTTTTAAGCAAAGCACAATCTTCAGCAGATATAGCAAGTTGATCTAGAGGATCTATATCTTGATTCTGATTCACAGCAACTGGGTCTGCTATCTGTGGATTTACCTGCTGAGCAAGTTCCTGTTGTGCTGCTTGCATCTGTTGTACTCCTCTTCTCTGTTCTCTATATGCACGCTGGCGGCACGACAATGTGCACAAGTTTGGAAATTCCCAAAATCAGCAGAGGGCTGATAATGCTTTCCTGTGGTACAATAGAGCAAATTTTCATTATCTGGATGTGGATCTCTAGCTCTTCTAGTAGTTTCATCAGGTGCAGCAAGAATTTGAGGTTGTACTTGATTCTGAGCCTGTGGCTGGACCTGTGGTTGGTCTTGTAGCTGAGCCTGTCGTTGGACCTGTGGTTGGTCTTGTAGCTGAGCCTGTGGTTGAACCTGTGGTTGAGGTTGGTCTTGTAGCTGAACCTGTGGTTGCACCTGTGGTTGAGCCTGTGGTTGAGCCTGTGGCTGTAGCTGGGCCTGTGGTAGTTGTTGAAGTCCTAAAGTAGGAGATTGTGGTGGACTTTGCATTTCAATATCATCATCATCTGCTTGTGGAACTAAACATATTTAATTTTAATTTTATTCTTTTTATTTTTAAAAACCAAACCTGGCTGTAACTGTTGAGCCAATTGTTGCAGTTGATTGACAGGAAGGCCCATGTATTGATTATCTGCATGACCTTGCTGAAAGACATCAGCAGCAACTTGATTATTTTGAAGACCTAGAGCAGCTAGCTGTCCAGCTACCTCTTGAGAGAGGCTAAGATTTCTGCCATGATAGGGAACCTGTACTAAATTTGGTCTGCTAGGGCCAGCTTGAGGTTGCCCTGTATATGTGGGCTATCAAGAACACGACCCTGTCTTTCTGCATGTTGAGCAGCTATTCTTTGGCGCTGAGGAGTATTTGGAGGAGTAGTCCTATATAGTTATTATTGTCTGAATAGAAACTTTAAAGTAAAAGATACATCAGGAGCCAAATGAATATCACTAGCAGAATACTATAGACACTTGGAAGTTGCATCAGCCCTGACTATTATTTTAGTCTAAACAAAAATTTATAAGGGATTCTAAGGACAATACCCAGAACAGAGAGGGAGAAGGGAAAGGGAAGAAGCAAGCACAAGAAACAGTCTTAAGTGGCCAGCTGCGAGCATTATCATTCATCTGAGCTAACTATATCAAGCCAATCTGCCTGAAAAGCGTTGCAAACAGCATGTGCTGTCAACGTGTCAAAGGTGACACGGGAGATCAGCCGAAATCACCCGGATGACAGAGGTCACACACAGGTGACAAACGCTCGCGCGTTTGGCTGCGCGCGCGGGCTGCTTACCAAGCGCTGACTAATATATCCAAGGAGGTTATTCGCGCAGGTTACGACATCAACGGGAAACGGTACCCTATATCAGAAATGGGGGTCGCAAGCTCCCCCCATTATTACACGAACTACAACTACAAGGACCCAAGGATCACAGCAAACGAACTGACGCACCGTCACACAGACCCGATACTTCACCGCCCGTTCCCGATCTTCTCTACAGAGGTATTTGTGGAATTGCGCACACACTCCATGTAGTGGTTCCGGTTCTGGTTCTTGAATTGTTGTGATTGTTGAACCAAAATCATGTGAGAACTAAGCAGCAGTCACGTCTGTCACATATCATCCCAAGAAACTTCATCGACCTCAAGACACTCATGGTTAAAGGTGCGTTTTGTGGCTCTTTGCCGTTGCCCACATATAATCTTCTTCCCAGTGTACAAACCCGGGAAGGTCTGCCTGATTGCGCACTCGCATTTTTCGGATAGTATTGATTGAGCTAAGGTTGCTCTCCTCCTCCAAGGTCGGCAAGCAGGCAAGAAGGTCGTGGTGATCAAGCAGCTGGACGAAGGAACCAAGGAAAGGCCCTATCCGCATGCTATTGTAGCTGGGATAGAACGATACCCTCGCAAGGTGACCCGCCGTATGGGCCAGAAAAAAGTATCGCGTCGGAGTAAGGTCAAACCTTTCATTAAGGTGCGTTGCTGAGCGAACGATTTCTCGATCGGAACTAATATCCTACAGGTTGTAAACTACTCGCACTTGTTCCCTACCCGATATGCACTCGAATTAGAAGGACTCAAGGGCACCGTTGCCAACGACACCTTCAAAGAACCCTCCCAGCGCGAGGATGCCAAGAAGACGATAAAAAAACTGCTGGAGGAGCGTTATACTGCAGGAAAGAACCGCTGGTTCTTCACGCCACTGCGGGTGAGTCGACGCCTTGCTCTGATTTTTTTTCTAGCTCTATAACTGCATTTCCTAGTTCTAAACCATACGACTGCATTGCGTGTTCAGTATGCTACTTGCCGTTGTATATGATCCATGAATATGCTTGTGTTTGCCCATTGTAGAGCTAGACGATTGAGTCCAGAATGATCTTGATGTAACTTGCTTTTGACCACCATGCCCTCGGCCCGTTTTCCCCATACCCGGGCTCATTTGCTGGCGATTGCTCGACAGTACAAGCCTTTGCCGAGTGACGTCTACGAACTCGAGCCCGAAGAGGATCCACGCGTGTCGCCCGAATTCGTCGACCAAGTTGTTGCCTTATTGCGTGAAGAGCGGGAGGATGAACTGAAGAATGTCTTGAAGGATGCGTATAGCCTTGACGACGAGATAGTGAGGACTCAATATACCTATATGATCATACCTTTGACTGGCTAACAGGTCGAGTCCATGGTCTTGGATGTCATGCATAAACACCACGACGATGAAGCTGGGGTCCCTTTCCTCTTCCTTACTCCAACGCGACGACCAATTTCAAGACCGTCCTCACGTGCCTCTGCGCGTTTAACGCCCAGCAATTCTGCTCCCAGTTCACCACTGGGTCTTGTATTCCGTCGGCCACATACGCCTGTGACATCCCCACTTGTTTCGGCATCAACGTCGTATATAACAGCCAAGAACGACTACTCGCCCCAGTCATCACCTGTTCTGGCTCATGTACCCCAGTTTACGGCCAGTCTCCCCGCATCTCCGTTGTCATCACCTCGTCTTCTCAATGCCAAAGCTTCGGAATTTAAACCTATTCCCCGCCCTCTTTCTGCCGCCTCGTCTAATCCAGGCACTTTATTACGCGCGGAGACACCGTCTCCAGATATGTGGTCTCATAGTCCACTCCGCTCCAACTTGGCTATCGCTGCCCCACTCATTCCTGAGCGATCTCTTACCCCAAGCTCTTCATTGCGCTCTTCGATGCTTCTTGGTGAAGACGACGACGACGAAGATCCATTTGATCCATTCGCAGCCAAGTCTCTACCAAATGCCTTCCACTCGCTCTCGGTCTCTGATCAGTGGTCTACCTCGTCCAACTCCAATTCCTCCAGGTCCCCCGAATCCATGGACCATTTGTCATCACACTTTGCCAATACCTACCCAGATTCTTCTGAGTCCAGCGGCTTTTCTCCCCCGGACGATACTGCAGAAATAGATGCGGCAGCAGTCCTCACTGAGGGAATGACACCATTTGATGTGTTGAGCTCTGTGTTTGGGTCTTCTCTTGCTCCCTCAGAGCTTGAAGATGCGCTTGCTGCCAATGGCTATGATTTTGACCGGGCTATGGCATGGTTAGTGGATAGAGCTGGACCAGCACCACAATCAAGAGTCCAGCAAATGGGCAGCCGAGTCACAGTAGTTGGTCGCGGGCGAGGTCAAGATCTGCGATCTCCCCCAAGATACGTTAATGGGAGACCTTCTCCAAACGGCAACCGTGTTTGTCGATATTTTGTGGCAGGTGAATGTCTGAGAGCAGACTGTCGCTTCAGGTACCCCCTTGTCATTCCCTTCGCAAGGACGTGATTGACAAGAAACTATTTTCTAGCCATGACCTTGAACGAGCTTTGTGTCGGTTCTGGCTCCGTGGAACATGTGCAAAGCAAGAGAACTGCGAGTTCCTGCATCACCTCCCCAAGGATGTCGATATGGCAAGTCTCAGTGTCGCTTTACGCCATGTTCCTCCAGGCACTGGCCCTTTGGCGGGTATGATACCTGTCCCTCCTCCTGACGAATTTCCCGCGCTGGATGGCGGGAAAGGGCGGCGAACAGGTTACGTATACGACCCGGGGAGAACGCGGTTTTCTGCTGCTGTCAAAAAGACAGTTTCCCAAAATGATCCCGCCATGATTGCTCGCCGGGAAGCTATGGGCCCTTCAGCCGATAGCTTATATCATCGTTCCGCCATTGTAGCGCCTCGGTCTTCGCCTCGTCTCAAGCTTCGGCCGCCAACATTGTTACCCACTTTGCCTACAGGCGATTCGGTCAACAACATGTATATGACTTACCGCTCTCGTGCACTCCAGTTGGGAGCTGCACGAAATGCATGTCTATCACGTGCCGCAGATGCGTGGAGGCGGGGGAGACGGCGCAGCAGCCAAACGTTTCAGTCGAGAAGGCCACGAACTCAACGACAGAATGGCCAAGGAAATGGCAGGAGCAGCAGCCAAGTTGGTCCGGGAAAGAGTATATGTCGCTGAACAGGCTGTCCGTTCCAGGGAAGCCTCTTGGTCAGATGATCCAGGAGATCGAACCGTGCGAGGTCGTAGTTGTGGGGCAGGGCTAGGAGTTATCCTTGGTATTGCCAGCCGGGAGGGAGGCGACAGTAAGCTCACACCAGAAGAGCGGACCGAAGCTATGCTCGATCTGCACGGATTGCATTCCAATGAAGCAACCGAGGTACTCGAGGAGTTCTTACTCGCTGTAAGTCAACCGCGCCTAGCAAATTTGTCTTCTCATTTTTCGCGCAGCTGGAGCAAGAGCATTTCTTTGGTTTAGGTAAGATTGTGGTCACCTATTGATCCGCATCACTGACTGCGGTAGCTTATATCATCGTCGGTGAGGAAAAACACACTGGACAAGACTCGACCAGACGAGCACGGCTTGCCACAGGGGTGAGAGAATGGATTCATCGGTGGGGCTATGCATGGGCTGAGCAAAACGGAATTTTATGCGTAGACCCGCTTCATCACGGGCAGGAATAAGTTAACAAGGTTGTCAATCGGAAATTTGTATGTAACCGTAACGTCTCAAAGTCATCAATGTCCTCCATATGTCTTTCCATGCCCGTTACCAGCATGTCACACCCGTCGCGACCAACTCTGAAACGAACCTGAACGACTCCCTTCATGAACGGCCATGCCCTCTCATCTCGCATACCATGAAATGCCCACTCCGGAAAGCAGACACCACTCCATCGACCTTTCTATCCAGCTTGAATATGAACTCGACACAGAAAGTCTCCCTCCGACACCTGCAAACCCGCCACAACCCGAGCCCACCCCTCCAATCCAATTGCCGGACATTGACCCTTCTGTTCTGGTCCATATCATTGGCCAGCTGCGAATTCAACTCACAGACATGACAAAGGAGCGCGACGACCTCCTCGCCCTGTTGTCTGCCGCCCATGTGAAAGAAGCAGAGCTCCAAGACGCCTTGTCGCATATTACCGACAAGGCCATGTCTCTTGATGAAGCCCTCTCAGACTCCCGACGAAGAAACAAAGACGATGAGGAGGCTATCTCCATGTTGCGGACTAAGGTTGAGGAGAGCAGGTAATATCCCCCCCCTCTCTTACTCTCTCTCTCTTTCGTCTCTGACGTTTATATCCTAGACGGGGTCTAATGCGATTGCAAGCTGAAAGTAGACGGCAAAGCTCGCAACCTGGAACACTCGATATAACCCGGGCAAATACTCCTTCCGCCTTCTCCTTAGGGCCTGTTTCATCGAAACGCGCCTCATTTACACCGCTCACTGGTACATTCGCGGCTCAATCATTTGTCGCTCGGCCAAATGGCCACCGCCGCATTTCTTCTGTGTCCGATTCAACAATCGAGACCTCGTCTTTGCCCCTTGTCCTGGCAGCTCCTTCTGCAAGCAATAACCGCCGTTTGTCAGGGTTGTTTGGCCGTACATCTCCTCCACAACCCCCATATCAAACACTCGCTCCTTCAGATGAAGTTGACCGACTTCAGAAACAAGTGAAGACTTTGCAAGATGCCTTGGATGAGACTCGACATGATTTAACCGAGTCAAATGAGGCGAGGGAGGCGTCGGAGACTTGTGTCACTGCCTTGCGAGAGTTCATTGCGGAGAACAATATCGGTACCAGCGAAGTCAAGCTGCCGCCTTTACCAGCGTCGACCACAGGGGATGAGGAGCCAGATACGCAAAAGAAAGGCTGGGGTGCATTCAAGTTGTGGAAAGTTGACACAGCGGTGAATCGAATCAGCGGCCCTTCTTCGGCAACAACAGCCACCGCATCACCGATTATCCCTCCCACTCAACCCGCCGCTTTATCACGCAAGTTGACTGGTTTCTTCAGCTCAAGGGCCAGTATCACCTCGATTCCATCAATAGCGCCTCTCCACAACCGGGCAAACTCGGTTTACAGTTCGTCAGATGTCTCATCGTTGTCAGAGCCAATCAGTCCGACCACAAATGAGCTTGTGGCAGACATTCACGTTCGAGATGCCACTGGAGGGTCACCAGAACTTGCTCAAGTAGGCTCGGAGACAGTTGAGAAACGGCCACTGGAGGACGATAGTAGTTTGCGCTCGGTATAGACTTAGGACATTAATTGTAGTACTCTATTATGGTTCCATCGAAAATCAAGCTTCGGGGGGCGTTATATAGCAGCTTGAAGCTTCTTTCCAACCGTCATCCATGTCTGAACCCAAACGCGACCCTGGCCAGTCACCCACTAGTCAGAAACGACGCAAAGGGGCCACCAGACTCAGTTGTGCAGAGTGCCGACGGTATGATTTGTTATGCCTTGTTATCGTTTTTTTATCTAAGCGGCCAACAAGCTTGAAACTGCGATGCGACAGAGCAATTCCTTGCAGTAGCTGCGTCAAGGTGCTTTCAGTCGGTTGCTTTGAATACTCTCTCACTCAGTGCCTTCTAGCGGGGATGTGGAGCAATCTGCCCCGATGTGAGTTCCACTCTGTCTGGTCGCTTTACTCCAACCATGACATCCTATAGGGCAGTCTCACAACCGGCCAGGGCAACCGCTTCGTCCTCGCGTCTACCCAAGAGTTGCACGAAAAGATTGGGGAGCTTGCTAATCGTGTCAGGGAGCTAGAAGATGCTCTCCGAGTCTCCCACTCTCATATCTCCAATGACGGCCACCCTTTGCTTACAGAAGAGCTCTTGCGCATAAAGGCGCCACTTCAACGAGAGGTACCCGCTCTCAGAAATATTCCACACTCAGCCCAAGACGAAGAACATAACCCTGATGTCGTCGACGCCTTTGGTTCACTGTCCATCAGCATGTCTGGGGGAGCGAAATACTTTGGTACAACTGCCAACTCCTGGGTTTGTTTTTTCTGGCTTGATGTCATTCATAGACTATGCTAAATGGCTTGCCATAGTACTTCCTACAGGTTGGTGGACTGCTTCCCGGTGCCAAGATTGACATTTTATTCGAATAGAATGAGACAGCAGAGGAGAACGAACCGGAGAGCAACAATCTCAAGAGCTTACAAAATGTGCTTCCTAGCCATATCCTCACCCGCGCAGCTGCCTTTCCAATTTCACCGGTTATCCCTCCCGCTGAAGACGGCGATCCACTTCGAACTCTATTCTGGTATCTCCCGCCAGCAGCAAAAGCAGCGTCTTTGCGCGACATCTACTTCACTCATGCGTCTTGGATGTTCGTAGCTCGCATTACTCCACTTCAAACCCTTTTGAATACCTTTCAGGTACGCTCCTATATCGCCGGAGTCTTTCGACGAGGTCTACGCTCAATTTTATGCTCCAAACCCTGCTATGTCGACCGAACAGCCTCTCCTTACTCACCGTCTTGCATTGATGTTCATAGTGCTCGCTATCGGGCAACTCATGGACACCAATGAACCCGCCTACAACCTCGAAGCGGAGAAGTATCATCAACTGGCCCGCGCCGCGTAAGCCATTCTTTTCTTTGTTTTGAGGTAAATGCGCTGGCGCAACTAATGTCGTCAACGTAGGCTTTTCCTCCACTCTTTTTTCGACCATGCCACAATCAATACAGTACAATGCCTCGTGCGTATAAGCTATGGACCTTGTGCCTCACCCCTCATCTTTGGCCAGTTCCTGATGGCCTTTTACCTATTCCTCAGCGACCGTCACGGGACCGGTTCGGGTGCGCGATGGGCAATTATGGGCATCGCTGTCAAAGTGGCTCAGAGTGTACGCTTTATTCCTCTTCACTAGTCGTTTCCGCTCACGGACTGTCTGCTAGATTGGACTACGTAAAGTTTCTCTTCACCTCCCATGCGCAGCATTACCCACACTATCTCTCTTTAGATCGAGATAGTGGTCGGTGGAAAGTTGATGTCGTAGAAACCCAGCGGCGACGAGAGTTATTCTGGGAGGTACGCGCCATCATAGTTGTGTGTGTTGTTTTTTTTAACCTTCTGCAGCTGTACGTTTATGACAGCTGGGGAGCCTGGACGTGATTAGCCAGTTGCATTCTGCCCTGAACGACACTGACTTTTCCTTTCCAAGATTGGGACGCCCAACATCATTCACCTTGGCACATGTTGACTGCAAGATGCCCCATTCAAATGAGCCACCAGAAGATCAAGCTTGTAGGTGAACCGATTTACCCCGATCCCTGCCAGCTGATGTTGTCGCAATAGACCATAATTGGAAGCATCGTTTCGTTTCAGTAAGTGGCCGTACTTGTTTGAACGCTTTATCAACTACCTCAGGAATGCATGGTCCATCTCCATGACCAGGCATTCGGCGCTCGGACCCCAACCTATGCGACTGTGTTACAGCTTGATCGTAAAATGCGTGCCTTCCCTGTGCCTCAAATTCTGCAGGTAGCAGGCTTTGGCAACTCTGAACCGAGGACTGGTGGCTTCCAGGACTCCATCATGCTGATTTTGCAACGCCATATCGTTTTGGCAATTCGAGAAATGAGTATGTGCCCGTTGTTTGTGACATCGAGTGACAGCGGCTGAACCAGGATTCAGATCTCTTATACCTCCATCGTAGCTTTTTTGCGCGTGCTATCAGCGACCATCCAAAAGACCCTTTGGGCAGCCCATATGGAACCTCAGTTATCGCTGCGTACAGAAGTGCGGGTTCGCTGGTTGCGCTTATGCGAAACCTTCATAACCAAGTCACCGAATTGAGTTCAAGAATATGGTTTCTCTGGGGTCACACCTTCAGCTCCGCCATCATCCTTGGAAGCATTGTTACTCGATGTCCTTCAATGAGTTTGGCCCCGTCCGCTTTGGTCCAACTTGATTCAGCCTGTGAGCTATTTTCCAAGGTAGCTCACGGGTTTCGCGCAGGAAAAGTTCTCGTGAGTCATCACCACCACTCTTGTCTCGATTAGGGCTGAACTCAGTACCTAGAACATCATGTTACGGTTGCAAGAAAAGGCACACAGCAGTCTAGAAGACTACCGGAAGGGGAAGCTTTCGCCCTCCATCCGACGTATTTCGATGGAGTCTGCTGTTGAGGACAACGATGAATTGTCAACACTGGGTGGGAAGACACGATTGGTGGCTAAGAAGGAAACAATGTCACCTCTCATGCTGGATCGGTCTCCGACATCACACAACCCGGTGGTACCACTGCCACTTTCCCCTTCCATGAACGACCAAGTTCATCCAAGCGTCGTCGAGTATTTGAACACATTTCACCACCCAATGGCCAATTCTTATTCAGACGTTGAAGTTGATTTGTCACCAGTGTCGATGTATGGCATGTCCGCCATGTCCTACCATTCCGATTCCACTGGGTCGTTTGCGTCTAATTCGCCCACACAACAACAACAACAAGCAATGTTCCCCTCCGCTCGGCCTATGGGCAACGGCAACTCGACTCAAGTGACTTTCCCCCAATATTTCCCGGTCTACGATTACAGGATGTCTGAACCATACGCTTCTGACATCCCCATTCTCGACATGAACCCCGTACCTCCAGGCCAACGTCGCTCGTCGGGATCACCTGATGCAGGAAATATGCAGACCTCAATTTGGAACGACTTTGTGGGCGACGTCATCAACTGAAAACGGACTAACGAATGTAGTTGTAATACCAGTAGTAATCTTTTGTGTTACCGCTTCTTGGCTGCTCTCCGACTGTCCGCTGTAGAAGTTGGTTAGCATTGGTAAGCATTAAAGCGCAACCGCACCTTTCGTTTTAGCCTTCTTTGGATTTCCTTTCCCTCTCCTTTTGCGGTCCTCTACATCCTCAAGTCGTTGATGCTCTTTCGGGTCTATGAGCTCAAGTCCCTTGTGTTCACGCGCAATAGCAGCGACGTTGACAACCTGAGGGTAGTAGTTGACCATTGATGGCCCTCGAAGACGCGCTCGTAGGTATTTGGCCCCCGTTCGGAGGTTCTTGGGGTTATAAGTTGTCTGAAAAATTTCGCATCGCAGTCGCGTCAACGTTTTGAACTGTGAGGAGAGTGCAGTGGTCATAAGCAAAAGAGAAAAAACCCAAGTCACAGTCAAGTCACGTCACCGCCTATTAAATAAACAGTACACTAGTCGCTATCGCTGTCGCTGCTATCATTACTCTCGTCATCATCCGTGCTGCTCTCATCGTCGCTCTCCTCGTCCTCCTGGATTTTCTTCACACTTCCGCCTCGCATCATTGCCATTTGACCGGCAATAGTATCCTCCTCAGGGTCAGAAATTTCGTCTTCCTCTCCTTGTTCGTCTGCATTCAGCGCAGAAACATCGTCAATTTTCATCTGAGGGACAGTCAGGAAGTTCAAGATAGCTAAACGCTCAAACACTTACCACAATGTCTTGGCTCGACTCTTCGCCAACGAAGGAGTCGCTCACAACATATACTCGCCAGGTCAAACTGCCCGTCGTATTTGGAGCTTGGAATTGAATTTTATAGGAGCGGAAGTCAGTTGAATCGCCAGATCGACGGAAAGGCACGTCAGTTATCTTTACTGAGGGAACAACGATACGATTCGATTTGTCGTCAGCTAGAACAATCCACCAGTGAGGTTTTCTTGTCTGTTGGTTCTGTGAGCTAAAAAAAAACACTGACAAGTCTTCTAGACTGACCCCCGGCCAAAACGGCGCGTGCGCTCCTCCCGAAAAGACTTGACCTGCCTGAAGGTCTTCCGCTTCTCGTTTTGAGTTCAAGAAAGCCTGCTCTCGTTCTTCCGCTGCACGGTTTAGCCGTTTTGCCTGATCTGGCTCTAGCTCCTCTTGTTTGGGTGGTTCAGGTGAGCCAGGCGGCACAACACGGAGTTTCACGACGAGATAGACGATGGACGAAGGCGTTATTATGCGCTCCCCAATCACTACAAGAACAATCAGTTGCATATCGTTTTAAAGGAGGAAGCAATTACCTCGGAAAGACGTGCCCACAATTTCGACCCTACCCCAACGGCCCAATGCCTTCTCTACATCAGTCACACGCCCGTCTCCATCCTCCTTCAATTTCTCAGCATATGCAGAGTAGTCAAAATTGTAGGCAGAAGTCTCCTCTAATTTGATGTTGGGAAGTTGAGCCAGATGCTGAGGCGGAGCTGGTGCGGGAGGAAGAGCTTGCGCAAAGAATGCATGGAGACGCATTATAGCGAGGGTCGGAGTGAGCCAGTTGCGCGACTGCGCGATTATCAGCAGTGCGTTCAGTAACATAGGCGTTTGCAAAATCAGTGCAGTTTGTTCTATCGACTGATGAGCAATGAATAGCAAGTTCAGGTCCCTGTAGCTCACCTTTCAACAAACTTTTACCAGCGTCGATTCGCAGGAGGTAGGCATACAAAAGCGTCATCGAACGTCGCTGTCGCACATCCACGCCCACGATATTGCTCCAGACCGAAGAGCCGACGGTTGCTTGGATTTGATTTTCCAGTCCTTTGGTACTTTCTTTGGAGGTATCCACTGACTCGAAAGCATAAGCCGCAGCGAGAATCCGTACAACGTCCGCCTCGGTAGAGTCCTCTGTGAGGTTTTGAAAAAAGGCGGCGGCTGAACGCGTATTGACACCGTCTTTGGTTTTCTGACGATTTCCGAACCACCAACGGCCCACCAAAACGGGCAGCAAACCACCAATAAGCAAAGCATACGCGCCAAGTACATAGATGTTGTTTTGTCCAGCTACGAGCCATGCCGGAAGAGCGATTCCCATTGAAAGTTCTTGACGGCCATCCGGATTACCGTATTTTTCCAAGTTTTCGCGGATCACGGGGTCGACAAGTCTGTTCAACTGTGAGCCTTCAATATGAATCATGCTGGGTATATGGACCCACGATTTATAGGCCTTGGTAAGCCCCACGAAACGATCCTGGATCATTTCGATTGTTTGGTTGGCAGTAACACGAACTTTGTCGGGATGACTGGCGACGTGTCAGTAACACGTCTTCAAGAAACGAGTGGGATTGCTGCGCGGAAAGCCACGTAGCACATATAGCATGTTGACACGAAAATAAACGGCTCACTATAGCTTGCTCATTTTTTTTGAAGTGGCTTTTGATCTCTTTCTCGGTCAAGCCTGGTCTAATACCCAGTATTTCGAATGGGTCGTAGATTTTGTTGTCCAGTTTAGTGCTTGCAGCCTTCCAGCAGGCAAGCGCGAAGACGGACCAGCCGATGACAATGAATGACACTCTGTACGATGAGCATTACTAGACACGTATATGCGATGAATGACCCACTTCTTTCCAGGGAGTCGCAAAGGTGATGGACGCATACGGAGCCGCTGACTGGCGCACGGTTCGCATTGGCAAGGGGTGGGTTGTGTAGAGGAATGGGCGTTTCGTGAAGGAAGAGAGGATAAAGTCAAGGGAGTGAGGATGAGAGCAAGGACGGTGATGAGGAAATAAAGAGCAAGGTTGCCTCCTTCATCGTAGTGGTATTCGGCCATTACTCCCAAGAGCTAGTGGGGGGAAGTCCTAGCGCTGGTTGGAGGTAGTTGGTCGGTAACGGAGGTGAAGGAAATGTGGCAAGTCACACTCTGTCACACACCTCTTCAAGGTTCAAGTCCATTGCAAAGTTAAATATTAGCAAGCTACAATGTACACGAGTTCAAATGGATACAAAAAAAGGCATTTCTGTTCAGGCTATTGCTGGAGGCGAGCCATTGAAATTATTCCGCTGCAACGAACCGCGAGTTTTCTGGTTCGGATGGTGATGACGGAAATAATGCTGCTGTTGGGGTGCCCTGTCATATCCCAGCTGATTTTTCTGTTTGGGCTTTCGCGGGGGTTTTCGAGTCTTGGGTGGTGGAGGGTTGGAGTTTGTGGGTGTGCGGTCCCCATCACGTGGGCGGTTAGATTTTGAGGCGTTGTCCTGCCAGAGAGTGCTCATAGGACTACTCTTGAGAACATTGCCATAATCAGCGGCAGGAGTGTCTGATCCCCAGCCCCACCGACTGAGATTCAGATGCCGTCGAGACTGTTCAGTTGGAGAGGTCAACGGCTCCTCGGACGGTTCGGAGTCAAGATATGCAAGGTCAAGAACATCGTCGAGGTCCATGGTCTGTGCAAGTAGCTCTGGCGATGTTGTGAGTTCAGAAGAAGACAAAATTTGTAATGAGGGTGGACGAGAAGGAATGGATTTCGAACTGGACTATGCTTGACGTTAGGTTCAAGTCACGCGAGATGAAATGAAAACATACAGAAGCCAGTTTTGGGCGTCGTCGACGAGTATGTGGGTGGGGTGACAAAACATCAGAATGGGTGTCGTCTATGATCGCGGTAACAGTATCATTCGGAACAAATGCGCCGGTTCGGGGGCCATTTCCTTTAGAGGAGACACTACGAGTAGATAAATAGTCGTAGTCGTTTTCTTCATCTGAATCCTCGACGAAGACACGGCCAGACAATATATCAGCTGGTCTAGGAGAGCCAAACGGTTGGCGATGACGAACAGCAGGACTCGATGATGGACTCATGGTCGAGAGGGGGTTGATAGAAGAAACACTGAATGGGAGGACAAACATACGCATCGCGCGCTCGTTTGGCAAATGATCCTCGCCCACAAGTTCCTCGTCGGTTGTGTCTCCTTCAAATTCACCGTCTTCTTCTACCATCTGACGCTCGTTGTCTGTTATATCGCTGGGGGATGGAGCGGTAGCCACGAGACTAGCGGCCACCTCGAAATCCACATCTAGTAGACCCGGTCCGTCGGTGGAGAATATAATTTGCCCATCCCAATCGTGATGCAGTTCGAGTTGAGGGAATGCATCGCTCCCATCGAGATCAGATTGGTCACCCTCTTCGGCTCGTTCATCATGCTCGTCTGGCGGGCCCGGACTGTCATTGTCATCCGAGTCGGAGAGATTGGCGAAGAAAAGGTCGGCATCAAAACTTGACTCTTCGTCTTCTGACCATCCAGTGGCTAGACCAATATACCCAGAACCGACGCGCAACCCATCTGGCTCTGCTTCATCGTCGTCTCCGTCTTCTTCGTCAGCCTCGTCTAGCTCCGTTTCATCACTGTCAATATCCATCTTAGCATCACTCAATCCATCATTCGATCCATCACTTCGTTTCCGTGACCGAAGAGCCCAATCTTCGTGGAGATTTCGTCTAGACTGGCCTTCGTCCCGTAATAGCTCTCGTCGCATTCGCGATTTTTCAGTTTGGTGCCTATAGCTCTGTTTCTCTCCGTCATTTGACGAGTCGGAGTCAAACCCAGACGAAGACGCGGCATCCGAGTCGGTTGAAGAGAGAACGGAGGCAGGAACAAATGTAGGTAAACTGGCGGGACCGTTGTGGTATGGGTCGTCAATATCGTCGAGTTCAGATGATGAGTAATCAATCGCGCGTTTCCGCAGTGGAACCGATGTTGTCTTTACGATCGTGTTTTTGCCCTTCAGTTTGATAGACGATTTCTTTGAAATTGGACGCGAGTAGAACGCTGTCCCAGTTTTTACTCGTCCAGCTGTGAGTGTCTTGGGAGGTCTGCCTCTGCGTTTGGGGATCCTTCCACCTCCTGCTGCGTAAACGGATGTCATCGGTTCTACTAGTTTGTCGGTGCGCGGTTTGGTGATCATGGATGGGGGAATGGTGAGCTTGATTTTGAGGGAGGGGAGTTTCGGTGTTGCAGAGGGAAGTAAGTTGGTACATGTGCATTCTCCATCGCAGACTGGGCAAATATCCTTGTCTTCGTCGGATTGAATCGGTCTGGCGACGACGGTGTTTACGGTATGGGGGTGAGCATGCGGCATTGCGGGAGTCTGCTGGGGAGAAGAAGGCGCTGAAGAACCGGTTGAGTTATCTGCTCGTGTGCTAAAGAAAGGAAAAAAAAACTTGCAATCGAAAAGAAATCGGGACATCTTTGAAACCAATATGACATGAGTAGAGCGGGAGATCCAGGATGAGATGAAGGAGGTTGTGGCACACGGGGCCACAAGAGCACAGTGGTGGAACGAGGAAAGAGTTTCCAGGGCTTGACGTGCTGATCTACATCAATTTCAGGTTGTGTCAACTTGCTGTCTTGCTTTAAACTCGTTTCTTGTCCCATGACTCTGCCTTAACTCTGGTAAGAACGCGCCGGAAAGTCGGGGAAAGCTGTCGACATGAAGTTGTCCGGCCCTTAAAATCGTGTTCTTTCCGTCACGGGTTCACTTATGGTCCCGGTAATCACTGGCAACTCTTCCCTCCCACACATCCAGCACAGATTTTGAACACGTATAAAAAGGCCTGTCTCAAGATGCGGCTTATTTTAACGGTCAAATGTCTTCCTCGAATGGCTCACCTTTGAACGGGGCAAATTTCAACCCATTCGCTACCCATCCATTCACGTCGTATGCCCCGTCACCGCCACCGAAAGCAAAGCCGCAGCCTGGCCCAAGTAGCCCGTCTGCTTATGGAATGAGCCAGTCCGCGAAGCAATCACCCCCCGCTTCACGAGGCCCTCCGCCAATCTTTGTTCCATATCGACCAGAGGCATCTCCGCCGGAGCTTAGCGAGGTCCTCAAGAAGCAACCTTCTGGTTGGAAAATTCAACAGTGACAAACACGAGGCAGGCTTTCCTCTCTTCTCCATCGATCGATTGGGCTCACTCGCTCAGGGTCGTACTTATCGTGTTACCCATGGACTTTGAAGACTTGTATTCGTATTTTTTAAGCTTGATATCGGAATAGTTGTGACAGGCCATCACTAAATTACTACTTGAGTCTTGTTCAATGAGTTCATTCGACGCTATTTCCCGCCCTTCTTCTCCCCTCGTTCGCAAGCCAGCTCCAACGCGACCCACAATATTCTCCCGTCTCTCAGCCAGTATGGCGTCTGAAAGGCCGCCAACTATTGCCCCTCCCACTTCTCCTCACTCTGAACACGACCAAGAGATGACTCAAGAAACAATTTCCCTGGCTGCCACAAGGCGACCAAATATCGCAATGACCCTAGAAAATACTGGTAGTGTGGCCCGTGACCACTTAGCTTCGGAACGGACATTCCTTGCGTGCGACTAATCGCAACACTTCTGTTACACATTTTCTTAGCGTCTTCTAGTTATGTTAGAACGAGTCTTGCCATCGCTTCCACCGGCGTTGGTTCGTCTGTTTCGTGATCTTATCTTTGTGCCTCACCTTTGTTGCCTGTCAGCGCTTGTCCAATTATTCTCCATCGCCGTGAATTCGGATTCTACGGGCCTGTCATTCTTACCTACGACTCGACGGGTTCAAGGTTGGGCACAGCCCCTTGGAGCCACGATGGTTTGCTTAGGGATTCTCGTTCTCGCAATTGGTTTGTGGACAGTGTCGTTGTGTCTAAAACCTAATCTTGCCAGGTACCACGCGTTATTTTCGCATTCAAAGTGCCTTGATCAATGGCATGTACCCTGTCGCTCGATGGACATCCGCCTTTATCACCGTTCTACTCGGCGCAGTGATAACTGTGGTCTTTGGGGTGATGCTTTCTGCCAAACGATAGGATAATGGGTGGTTTCTGTATCTGATACGTCTTTGCTTCTAGCTCTAATGGTCACTTTGCAAAAACTGCCTTCAATGCCTCAGTTACTGTTTGGATATCGCCCCGTTGCGCGTCGACAGCAGTCACGCCCATGTGCCTTTAGGAAGGACCCTGTCAGTATAAGCAGGCGCACAATGAAAGCACTGATACCCAATACGGAAATACTTGTCTGGAGAGTTGTGATCAATAGACAACCTACACCACCGCACCCAAAGCTGACCTTTAATTTCAGTGTGCAACCCACCAGCGATAACTAGGCCTTTTGCGCCGAATTTGGGGATCACGTCCGCGGCGGAGACTCCCTCTGGGAAGTATAACTGTGAGATGATGGGTTCGTGCAGATTATCAGGTCTTTTTCAACAAACCGCAGTCATTCCATTTGCGGCAAAGGCTGAATCAACCGCCACCTGTTGAAGACCAAGAGCTGCAGCGGTCTCCTTGACCTCCTTGCTTGCTGCGCGATGTAGTCTTATGCGCTCTTCCAAGGAAGGCTCCCTCTTGGTGATTTGCGTCAAAGCCTCATGATATGCATAGCTATTCATGGCGGCATTAGCAAGCGGGTAGGTAGTTGGCAAAATTCCTGACATGAGGTTCACTGGTGGTGTCGCGAAATATGCTGCTTTGCCGCTCTCGTAAGCGTTCATAATCGGCAACCATCTGAGACTACTGTGAACCACATTTTGAAATATGAGATGCACGCACTTCTTCCAGCTAGCATAGTAGGATCCGATTGGTGCTGTACGCGACTCGAAGACCTGACAGGTTCGGCTTGAACGGGCCATTTAATCCACGAATCAACATCGTGCATACCTTGATTGCTTTGGGGCTTGCTACCAGAATGCTGAGGCCGGGGGGGACCCCGAGACCCTTCTGGCTTGCCGTTAACACGACATCAATCCCCCAATCGTCCATGCGGAGCTCCTCACTCGCAACAGAGCACACGCCATCCAAGATGACCTACCCATTCACCGTCACTCAAATCGCCGAAAAAAATACAGCAAGACACACCAGAGTATCGGGCGAGACACGCTTAACGGTACTAGCAACTGCTTTTGCGTCGGTAAGCACGCCTAATAGCGTGTCAGAACCACAAAGCACAGATAGTCGATAAAACCGACCCGTGGAGGTGTCTACATGGGTCATGGTGATTAGTCTGTAGCTCTTCTTCTTGAGTGCAGTTTCGATGGCATCCTGGCTGACTGCTGAGCCGATATCAGCTTTGACCTGGTCCACCTTTGCTCCATATGCTTCGAGGCTGTAGGGACTGATAAGCAAGGTGCTGCTCGAGACAGAATCAACACAAACCACTCAGTAAAACTATCTCCAAAGTAGCCGCTGTTGAGTACAAGCGCGTTCTCTCCAGGTTGAATCAAGTTTGCTGCAACCTAGCGCTGTTTGAGTTGGTTGTCAGATAAGACATGTGGATCGATGCACCTGGTCCCATCCTAAAGCAATGTTATTGACGAAAGTAAGCTAGAGGAGACGCACCCAGAGTTCCACTTCCAGAGATGAGGAATGGCTGACCGTCGGCAGACATTACAACCTCCCTAATGTCGTGAATGGCTATCCGAGGCTGCTCTCGCTACCCGTACCTCGTCATACGAATAGATTCCCCAAAGATGGGTACAAAATCAGGCGAGACGTGGCTCATGGACGGGTGAGCATTGGCGAATAAAACCTGCAATATCAGCCAAAGCGTCGCGTCAAGCACGTTAGATTACTTCATCGGAGACCTCAATAGGCCCTGGAACACTGGCAAATTCGTTGGTGGGTTAATTCAACGACTTTGATGCGACGAACACAAGGAGTCTAGTGAATGTTGGACGAATTGCACTGGCTGAGGGTGTCTTACTTGTGGGAAGCCTATAGTAGCATGACGATGATGAGTTAACTGGCTTTCTATAGGATTGAGGAGACGGACTTGTTTGAAGGACATGGGTCTGGCCAAGGAGGTTTGGAACAAAGTCGGTCTTAAGACTCTTAACCTTCGCAGTGCTATCATGGGTTCCGCTCACGGACTTCCGGCTCGGTCGATCATACCATCATCCATAGTTTACATACAATTGTGACTGCCTACTTGACCTACACTTTCGACTTGGATTTCTCGACCTTTAACTGAATGCTAATGCCGACCAACAAACGACGGCACCAACAACACCCATCGTCGCTGTTTGGACAGCGACTTTGACAACTTGCCGACGTTTGGTTGGCCGTTCTGGGACTATATCCGAGCTTGGTATTTCCTCTTCATCTTCCACAGTCCGTTTCCGCTTCAACGATTCTGTTTGAATCAACACCTGCTCTGAGAGTTTCTTGAGAGCCTCTTTCGCATCCTCGACGCTCTGAGACTTGTCCGCCAACTCTTCGCGGACTGTGTCACGCAGTTGGGTTATCTCTGGCATTCCGAACGTTAAGAGACACTGGCTATTAGAAAAGTAAGCGCACCTGCGACCAGAATTTCCAGGGCTTTGGCTGTGGCTTTGCTCTGCTGGTCAACGTGCTGATCTTTACGCTCCATCTGTTGTTGAAGCATATCCAGCTCAAGAACATGAAGCTGGGCTTGCGCTTGTTGACAAGCATCAACATTCTCATTGACCTTGTCGGAGAGTAACGTGTAAAGGCTGTTGATATCTGAAGACTTCTCTTCCAAATTCGCAAATTTATCCGTCATGACCTTGATGTTGTCATTGAAACGTTGCTTGTATTTCTTCCGATGCTGCTGCAGCTTTTCAACCTCGGTCTACAATGACTTTAACTAATGCATGCAGACTGACAACAAACCAAACTGACCTTCAGGGAAGCAACTGATGCCTCGAGTTTCAACGCGTCTTGTGGCTGCTCGTCAAACATAACAGCCTCTTCGTCCGATATGTCGTCGAAAGGTACTTTGGGAGGTTCGTTGAAAACTACGGATGCAGTGGAGGGCACCAAGCGAATAGGGGGGAATGAGGAAGAAAAGACGGAAGGAGATGATGATGATCGGGAATGTGGCCAGGCGCCAATAACGATGGGTTCAAGAGGTATATCCGAAGGCTCGGGAGAGCTAGACAAGTCCATTGAGGAGTCGCATTCCGAGTAATCGCTGTAGTGGTCGTCCAATTGATCCTCATCATCTGGTACCCAAGACATAAAGGATGGGGAAATATTATGCCAGGGGGGCAGTTCCTCTATGTCCGAGTCATGCGAGCTAGCCTCCGAGTCTGAATCCGACGAAACGCCGTATCTCCCAGGACTGGGGACAACAAGGGGTTTGAAAGTAGGGGGGTTGTACAAAAACGAGACGCGGGCAACAACAGGGCGTACGACCCCCGCTCCAAGACCATCACAACTGGCCACTGATTTGCCCAGCGTCAAAGTGTCGCCATCGTGAAGCTGTTGCGGGGTTTCTGGTATAAGTTTCTTGACTGACTGGTCTCCTGTGGCAGGACGGATAAGAGTGCCGTGATGAGAGTTGCAGTCTAGAACACAAGTCAGATGAAAGTAGCCCACTAGAGAAAAGGTGTCGTGCCAACGAGAAAGACCTGTGGGAAGCATGGTATCAGCACAGCCACTAATGAGGATGGCGCGCGTCGGGAGGGGGCGTGTAACGGACAAGTACTACTCACTTGGCCACTATCACTGAACACCAGCTTCGCATGGATTCGACTGACAACTGGACAATTGAAGAAGGCACGACCAGGTTCTTGCTTGTTCTCTCCACCTCGTTGACCACCAGGTCTTCGACCGATTTGCACAACCGCAGAGTCATTCTTGTGAAAGACAATGCTCTGGGCTTCTTGCTCTCCTTCCCCTTCAACCTGGAACACTACACCTAAATCGGGGTTAGTGGCGCAGGGTATCGACAACAATGAGCTCTCTACCAGTCACAGGCCGGGGGGTGTTTGCCTGAAATGAAACAAGTTTGGGGGTGGTGCGAGTTGTCCCAAGATACTGGATGGAGTCATCGTCAGCCATGGTATCGATGTGGTAGTAGTAGTAGTGGAACAGGAGGGAAGTGACTAGGCTGACTCGGGCTGACTGCGTGACTACTTATCGACATTCGGCTGCTGGATGCCGGCGACTACTTTCTGCATTTCTGACCATTCCACTTCCCCTCGAGAGGCACCCAAATCCCCGATGTCATAGACATACAGCCTACCATCGCTTCCTCCCAAAGCTGCGTGTCGTCCATCCTTATTCCATTGCAGCTTATTAATCGCCCGGCCAGATCCAACACTCGTTGACACGACGGGTACCTGCTCAGCTTTGAGAGTGATTCTGATTACAATGGAATGCATACCTCCGTGTCTGCATTTAAATTCCACAGGTCGAACTTGCCTGAACCATCAACAGACCCAAACATCGCAGGGTGTTGTGGATGCCATTTCACATCGTAGACGTAGTCGTCTGCTTCGTCGAAGGAATATAACGGGCTGATTCCATGCGGCGCTGTCGAGGGTTTCGAGAGAGATTTGGCTCGCCACAACTTGACCGTCCAATCAACTGAACATGTTAAGAATAGGTCTGATAGGTCAACTGGGCCAGCTAATGGATGGAAATGAAGGCCCATGACTGGCCCAGAATGGCCCTTGTACATGTCATACTGATTGAGGCCTGCTTTCGCGCCAGCACGGTCATAGCGGTTGGCCTGGTACACATTGCCCTCCTCCGTTCCGACCCAGAATGTGGTTGTTTCGTTATTGGGAAAATCGAGCGCAGTAATTGCGACTTCGCCTGTTTTGTTGTGTCCTGCATGTATCAGTTCAAGTGTTTCCTAAATCTCATCAGTCTGGCTGTCATAAGAATTCGGTGAAACCAACCTGCGGCTGAGCTAGCATATCAACAAGCCAGCTACAGACAGTGCCATCTGTACTGCTTGTAATAAGATTATGGGCGTTCTGTGTCCCAACCATTTGGATGGCATAAACTGGATGAGTGTGTCCAGCAGCAGAAAGAGGCGTTTTTAGAACGGGTAAATGCTTAGACCGGTTATCCCACAAGAGGATCTGGCCCGAATAGGTCCCTCCAAAGATCAGGTTGGAATGAAATGGGGAAAATAGGACTGAGAGAACATCGGACTGCCGATTTCAGAGACTACGGTAAGCATAGAGTAATATCATACCGGTGAGTGGAAAACGAATTCAGGTCGCTCGATTGAGTGAGTATTCCAGACGGCAACAATGCCTGCGGGTTCGTTGAGAGCCGCATGATTCTTGTTGTACGAGGCTACTGTGAGTTCAGGAAACTGGAAGGGCGGTCATTTTGATAGCACAGAACATATGCGACCTCCTACTTTAGGTGACCAGTCAACATCAGTTATCGACCGATTTTTTCCGTATCGTTCATTCCAAAACTCGCAAACCCGCTTGACACGTCGTCCTTCGGAATCGTCGCTGTGAAGGTGTCAGACCAAGAGAGACAGACACAACTACTAACCCGTTAGCGTCCGCCCCTTGGGTATAGTCGCTCATGTAATTATATCGATCATTGAGCACACGATGGAATATTTTCGTCGAGTCGTCAATAAAATCGAGCACTTTCGGGTCGGCCAAGAATGCGATGCGTTCTTCCTCTGTCAACTCTGCGGAGTACGATTCTTCATAACAGCAAGTGTGATTGCAATGGTGACTTGCCTCGAACTTCCTCTTCAATTTCTTGATCGAGCTTCTTGGATTCCTCCTCTAGTGCTTTCTCATAGGCTACTCGCTCTGCCTCGAGATGTTGCTGCATGATAACTTGTTGTCGAATCTTCTCTTCTACGGCCTCTGGCGCTTCGGTCTCCATTTCCATCGTCTGGATTTGTTTCTCGTATTTGATCGTCCTCATCTAACACACAAGTCAAAGAGTGAAGCCAAAACACAATATTTGAACCTTTTGCGGGAGCTCAAATAAGTCCTGTTGTACGTCGACGAGGTCTGGAAGGTATCGCGGAGTAATTTCACTGCCCTGTCCATTAATTAGGCCCAAGTAGATAGCATCTCTCTTACCGTTCCATCACATTGTCGGTCCCTCCACTTGAAACAGCATGAGAGGGCCTTGGGCTCGAGTGCTCTGGAGGAAGATTGCTAGCTTGGCTAACGCGGCCAGAGCTTGCCAGATTCGCTAGGGAGGGGCTTGCTGAGCGAAATGGTGACCCGTCGCCGCTGCTAGGACCGAGTATGTCGTCTAGTACACGGTTTAAATCAGCTCTGTCGATTTCTCGAGTGGGAGGAGTGTCTGCAGCCTGACTACATCATTCAACTTGAATTGCACAAGAGTAGAACCACTGACGCCAGAGGTTCGAGGCTTTGTTGTTTGCCGTGCTTTACGCGCCTCTCGCATTTGCTCAAGCTTCGCTTTCTTGGCCTCAATGGCCGCACGCCGTTCAGAAGACATGGTGGGGGAGAAATTCAAGACGCGTTTGATGTTGGTCACGAGGTGATTCACGCTTTGCGCTTATCCCAAGTTTATCCCTCAAGTATGGTGATCACTGAGTCTATGAAGAGACGTGTTGGCGCCCACTTTGTTGTTGGGTTTCACGGAGAAACTGTGTCTGCAGACATCAAGTCATTGATCCAAAGATATTTCGTTGGCGCAGTTATTCTCTTCAAACGCAATGTCGTTGGTGAGTCCAGTATTTGATTCGGGCCCTTCAAGGTGTGTTTAACTTTGTCTCAGATGGAGGTCAGACACGAGCTCTGATTAACGAACTTCAGTCTTTAGCTCGCGATGCTGGCCATGAGCGGCCCCTTCTGATTGGGATTGACCAAGAAAATGGTCTTGTCTCTGCCTTTGGGCGACCTGACGCCGGTACCCAATTGTCTGTTATAATTCTTTATTGTGTGGCTGGCTGCCGCTCAAACAAATCAGCCCCGGTGCGATGGCGCTAGCTGCAGCCGGGTCACCCGAGCTTGCCCGTCAAGTTGCTTTTCTTACGGGCAAAGAACTGAAACTAGTCGGCATTAACTGGGTCTATAGCCCTGTCGCTGATGTGAATAATAATCCAAGAAACCCAGTTATCGGTGCGTCCTTCGTATTACCATCCTCCTCCTTCAAGCTGCTTTCAGGTGTTCGATCTTACGGTGATGGCAAGCAACCCTCACATTCTTCAAGTAGTTGGCTGCAGCTCATCTACAAGTTTAGATCCCAGCAAAGTCTCCAATTATGTCTCCGCCGTAGCTCAAGGTCTGACGGATGCCGGAGTCGCGCCCTGCGCTAAACACTTCCCCGGCCATGGTGACACAGCAGTGGACTCTCATCTTGCGTTGCCGGTGATCAACAAGTCGCGAGCTGAGATAGACGGTATTGAACTGCCACCATTCAAGGCTCTCATTTCGCAAGATGTCGCTAGTGTCATGACGGGACACATGGCTTTCCCAAAGCTTACTTCATCCGATTCGCCTTGTTCCTTGTCGCGGGCCGTCACCACTGACTTGTTGCGGACTGAGATGGGCTTTCGTGGATTGATCGTAACTGATTGCCTCGAAATGGATGCCATTTCCGACCAAGTCCAAGGAGGCTGTGGAGTAGAAGAAGGCGCAGTGCGAGCTCTCGTGGCTGGTGCCGACATTGTTATGATTTGTCATACGATTGGTTGGCAGACCGGTGCAATCCTCAAGGCGTATGAAGCGATCCAATCAGGCAGGGTTACACTGGACGAAAGCAGAATCAACACTTTGAAGGACAACTTCATTGGTGGATGGGATTCTCTTCCCTCCGCCACCAACGATGCTGCATTCGCAGATCAATGGCGAGCACTGAAGAGCGAGAGCGCCGCACTAAGTAAAAAAGCCTATTCTCTGTCAACTGCACTGCTCAACGCCTCGAACTATGCGCCTCTTGCATCCGGAAAGCCAGTGATTCTTTATACGCCACTCATAGAGAGTCTTAACAAAGCTGTTGACGAGGAGACGGATGGTGTGTTGCTGACAAAGGAGGGCAAACTGCGCAATACAGCAGGGCCATCCTTCATGTCTTTCGCTTCTTCCATTGCCAAGCGAGCCCCATGCACACATATGGTCTATGAACCTCAAGCTTCACTCAGTGTTCCCGACGACTGTGTCGCAGTGGTGTTTTCGCTCAGAAACGCAGATCGTTGGCAATGGCAGCTGGACTCGTTGGGTCGACTATCTCAGTCAACAAAGAAACCCATCGTGGTTGTCGGCAGTTGTGCACCATATGAAGCGGGGAATGTCAAACACTATCCTTACGTTGCATGTTTCGAGTATACCTCACCCGCCTTGGAGAATGCGGCAAGCGTCATTTTTGGCGAAACGGCGGCCTTAGGAAGCGTACCTGTAGTCATTTGAATCAAGTTTAGGATGGTTACTCAGCATATGTGTTGTCTTCACGAGAAACTTGCACAACTTGTTTCTTGAGAAAAAGCAGATCAGTGTGTTCACAAAAGAATCTGATGGGCACGTACCACGTGTCGCTGTTTGCGATGGCTATAAAGCCGAAGACAGTCTTCGGCTAGCGCGTCAAGGCCTGTCTCAGGCTTGCCCGGCACAAGATGCCAGTGACTTTTTCACCTTCACCAACGCTCGCAAAGTCGGCCTCCGTCTCGGGGGTCACGGCGTCACAAATACTCAAACACACACTCTCTTCAACTCACTATTACCAACACGTCGATGGAATTAAGCAGTGTCTTATCGGTGGACGCGCTGGACGGTCTCCTCAACACAAGATCGCATTCGCAGAACGACGCAATGGTTTTGTTGACACAGTTCTGGCTGCTTATAGCGAAAGCCATGCTCTGGTTGTTCGACCAGACGATGTTTGGTTGGCTATCATCAGCCAGTTCGCTTTTTTCCTTGGTGGGAGCGACAGCGAAGGGGCAAAAGCACGAAGAGACAATTTCGTCACGGAGCCGAGAGAACATGAAATATGCTCATCCACAACCGACCTACGCGGCTTATCCAAAGTGATGGGCGATATTCTTGGACACAACCTCGTCAATCCCACTCTCGAAAAGTGGATCGTACCCGATTTCTCAACCACCACCCAGTGTGATGTAACGGTCGCCTCGATTCTCGTGCTCACAACTCTCACCAAACCATCTTCATCTTCATCAGAGCTTCATATCAACGTCAAAGGCGGTATTCCTCGTGTCACCCTCGAGGGTGAGAAGAAGGATTGGGAGGAGGTGCTTGGAAGGCTAGAGAAGTTGAAGGAGTTCAGTCTCAAAACGATTGCGTGGTATCACATCTTGCAACCCGTCATCGAACAATTCATCGCTGGGTTCGACAACGCATCGAGTCCAGAAAATCGGGAATTTTGGGACACCGTCCTCTTCAAAGGCAAAGGGACTGATCTTTCTGGATGGATCGCTGCATTTTGCATATTCTCTGAAGAGGGTAAATGGCGTGGACCAACCCTGGTACGCCGACTCATCCTTTAGGCTTATGAATCGCTGACTAGATTAAAGGGAAAGCCCAAAGGCAAAGCTGCGGCGGAAACTCTGGGCTCCAAGCGATTTTGGACGACCTACAACAACAAATTTGCCAAGAACGGACCAGAGTACCCCACTATCGCCATCTCCTCTATTCCCCCTTCATTTGGAGAGCTCCCAGTTGTTCTTGCGGCTACTCCCAACGACAACGATGACCAAAAGATTCAATCAACAATTGTTGCGGGTTTGGTCGGGCTTGGAATTTCGTCAAGTCGTGATACGGCACTGTCTGAAAGCGGGAGGAACGACAGTGTTAGGCCGGTCGTTGCATGGTGGATATATGCGCGACTAAATGAAGAAAGCAAGAGAAGACGGGAAAAGGATAGAGAATCTCGTAAGAGGAAGGAGGTGGTTATCGCTGAGCCAGCCATCTATGAACCCAGCACCCAGCCACCGGTTGAAACTGAGCAGCCTATCATGCTCAATTTATCGGAACCAGTCATCATTCCTGAGGCAGAGCGTATCCCTACGCCCGAGCCTGTTGTCGAACAATCCATCCCACCAGAACCTGTTCACACGCCCCAACCCCCACCAGAACCAGAACCAGAGCTAGAGCCAGAGCCCGAACCCGAACCTGCCGTAGTTCAAACGACTGTAAAAGGAAAGAAAGGTAAAAAGGGTAAGAAAGCCGTGGTCTCCAATGCTGTCGAGCCAGAAATCCCAGTCCGTGCCCCAACTCCGCCGCCACCCATTCCGACTCCATCAATTCCAGTCCGTACTCCAACTCCACCACGAATGGCAACACCGCGAGTACCAACACCGCCTCCTGAGCCAGAACCCGCCTCTACTTGGGGATTTGGATTCGGGTCAAAGTCAAAGCAAGAGAAAAAACCAGCGGGAACATCGGCAGGGTTTGGGTTTGGCTCTGGCTTTGCCTCTACCTTGGGCTCCAGCTTCGGGTTTGGCATGTCCACTTCGAGTACTCCCGCCGAAGAAAAAGTGGCTCAGACAACCACGTCTGCGTTCGGCTTCGGCATTGGCTCTGGTTTCGGCTCTGATACACCTAACCCGGCTGTGGACAATATTGACTCTTCGCATCATTCACCAGCGAATGAATTTAAGCAATTGGACGATTACAATGAACCAATAACTGCCGACGGGCAAAATACTGGAGATTCATGGGGGCTTGATGAACCGGTCACTGATCGGCCACAAGCAACGAATGGCATGGAACCGTCCATCAGTTTTAACCCATCCCGTTTGTCGTTCACCTGGGATGATACTGGTAACACGCAAGCGCAAGAAGCGGCGAATTGGGACTCGTTGGGGCAAACAAGTGGTGCTGGTGCTGATGCAGGAGAGACTGGATTAGACCCCGCAGCTTTGAACGACGCCCAGCCAGTTAATGAGATTGGTGGGGAAGAGAATAAGGATAAGGCGGACGAATCGGGGAGCAAAACGAATGATCAGACGAACATAGAAGATGAATCAGCAAATGCGAAAGCAGATGGCGAGGCGGAAACCAAGGTGGAAGAGACGCCAGCACCTCCACAGGCTGAAGAGGACGCAGGCTGGGGGGTGCCTGTAACATCGAAGAAGGGAGGAGGAAAGAAAAAGAAAAAGGGCAAGTCATGAACGAATATGTCTTTAGGTATTATACTGTATATGTCCCATTGTTGAGACTGTAATGTTGGAATTTAGACACGAAAGGACACGAACGCGAGATGTCACACATCAAGTCACGTAACCCTGCTTGCCACCCAACGCGCAGATGGCTTCAACCAAAGAGAATAACTCCATGACCCGAAGGTCAAACTATCTCTAAGCAAGGGACTAAACTGACGCGTCTATAGTGATAATGGTCTTCCTGCTGCTAAAAGGCGCAAAATTGGACCAGCAGCATCTTTCTCATCTCAACCTGTCCAGTCATCTTTCACCGACGTCTTAGAGCGTCTCAAGGAAGAAACAGCTGATGGGTCAGGTCGGTCGTCTTTTCCCTTATGATTAAGGGTCGATAATGTCGTGAAGGCGAGGAAGGTGGGGCTGGCGCCTGGGCAAGACCACCTCTACCAAGCATAGACCCTAATAGGGACTCAATTGGTGAGTTGCATCTCATATCAGTGACCTTTCTAACCCATACCAAGTGTTCCAACAAATTGATATCGAGGAGACCGACGTCTATGGCAATGTGGAGCTCCAGTTGTTTGGCGTCACCAAGGTGTGTGCATGCAAGTCTGCACAAGAAATATCGTTGAGCGATGGATTAGGAAGGCAACAGTGTACTAGCGGTAGTCACAGGTTTTCGGCCCTACTTCTATGTGGCTCAGCCGCGAGGATTCCGTGAAACAGACTTGGAGCCTTTCCGGGAACATTTGAATGTTTGCGGCTTTCAAGCCTCCTGGTGCTGGTGTTCTTATGCGTTTTCCATAGGGCCTCACGGGCGAAGACTTCGTAGTGAAGGTGGAGATCGTATCACGACGCAGTCTCTGGCAGTACCGCGGTGACGATTTTGTCCCATTCCTCAAAATGACTGTAACGAATCCGAAAAGTTTGCCGAAAGTGCGAGATAAGTTTTTCTTCTCGCTCAGCTACCGAATTTAGCACTTATATTTGATCAGCACGTCTCTTCGAGCGTGGTGAATGCAAATACCAGTCCTTCTCAACAGATGAACCCATTGCCACGTTTGAAAGCAACATTGCTTATACCTTACGCTTCATGATCGACACCCAGATTGTGGGAATGAACTGGATTGAGATACCTCCCAGAAAATACACGATTCGTGATAAACACAAGCAGAAATCACACTGTCAGCTCGAGTTCACTGTCATGTACGCTCCTCTTCGAATTTTTATTTTTATTTGTTGCTTAATCATTTTAGATACGACGACATTATCTCGTACGCACCAGAGGGTGATTGGGCCAACATCGCACCACTGAGAATTTTGAGCTTCGACATCGAATGTGCGGGACGAAAAGGCATCTTCCCTGAAGCAGACATCGACCCAGTCATCCAAATAGCAAACATGGTCACCCGACAAGGTAGAAAAAGTTGTCCTCATATAAGAAGTGCTAACGACCTTTAGGCGAACAGAAGCCATTCATTCGCAATGTCTTCACGCTCAATACCTGCTCACATATTCTGGGCTCCCAAGTCATCTCGCACAAGAAAGAGCGTGATATGCTACAGGCTTGGAGCGACTTCGTGAATGAGGTGGATCCAGATGTGGTCATCGGCTACAACATCGCAGGCTTCGATTTTCCCTACCTTCTTGACCGCGCAAAAGCTCTCAAATTAGACAACTTCAACTTCCTTGGTAGAATCCGCGGTACGTGACCGATACTTCCATTGTCAATTATTCACATGGTACTAGGTCGTAAAACGGAAACGAAAGACACTCATTTCTCTTCTAAAGCCTATGGACAGCGAGACTCCAAGGAGACCAGTTTAGAGGGTCGATTGCAACTGGATGTGCTTCAGTTCATGCAACGGGAACATAAATTGCGAAGCTACACTCTCAACTCCGTTTGCGCCCAGTTCTTGGGGGAACAGAAAGAGGACGTTCACCATTCAGTCATTACAGAGCTACAAAACGGCACCCCGGAATCTCGGCGGCGACTGGCGGTCTACTGCTTGAAGGTCAGTCTTGGGATGAATTCAGCTCAAATCCTCATACTCGATAGGATGCATATCTTCCCCAACGACTGCTGGACAAGCTGATGTGTTTTGTCAACTACACTGAAATGGCCCGTGTGACGGGTGTGCCGTTCAATTATCTGCTTGCACGAGGACAGTCCATTAAAGTATTGTCACAACTATTTCGTCGAGCAAACCAGGAGGGCTATGTGATTCCTGCGCTCAAAGGCGAAGGCTGGTCTAATTTTTTTGACCCCAGCGGCACTGGCTAACTTGCATAGGATCTGATGAGCAATATGAAGGTGCCACAGTCATTGAACCCAAGAAAGGTTACTACGACGCGCCAATTGCAACCCTTGATTTTAGCTCACTGTATCCCTCCATCATGATGGCTCACAACCTATGCTATACAACGCTCCTCGACAAGTCCACAGTTGATCGACTGAAACTTGTCAAAGATGTCGACTATATCACGACACCAAACAATGGTTCGTCTTCATGGTTACTGAGACTCATAATCCAATTTCTTCCGGAGATATGTTTGCCAGCACCACAAGGCGCAAGGGCCTGCTTCCCTTGGTGCTTGAGGATCTCATCGCCGCTCGGAAACGCGCTAAAGCGGACTTGAAAAAAGAGACCGATCCTTTCAAACGCGCTGTCCTGGACGGCCGACAGCTGGCCTTGAAGGTTCGTTCATACCTGCTTTCCTGTTCCAGTCTAGAACGCCTATAGATCAGTGCCAACTCTGTATACGGGTTTACTGGCGCGACGGTTGGGAAACTTCCATGTCTCGAAATTTCCTCAAGCGTCACTGCATACGGTCGTCAAATGATCGAGAAGACGAAACAGGTGAGCCTCTTGATGGTTCTAGTAGCCCGTTGACCGTTTCATCGTAGGAAGTCGAGGCAGAATATTCGGTCGCGAATGGACACGCACACGATGCCGAAGTTATTTACGGCGACACCGACTCTGTAATGGTCAAATTCGGGCCTATGGATTTGGTCAAGGTCATGGCTCTAGGTTAGTCTGGGGTAGATATTGGCATCCATGTCTGACTTCAGTCTGTAGGAGCGGAAGCGGCTGACTTGGTCACTGCGAAATTCGTCAAACCCATCAAACTTGAGTTCGAGAAGGTTTACTTCCCTTACTTGCTGATCAGCAAGAAGAGGTATGCTGGATTGTACTGGACAAGACCAGAGAAGTATGATAAGATGGATACGAAAGGGATAGAGGTTTGTTCTTACTGTGGGCACACCACTGAAAGATTCACTTACCACCTAGACTGTGCGACGAGACAATTGTCGCCTAGTTTCTACCGTCATCGAAACATGCCTACACAAAATGTTGATTGACCGGGACGTGAAGGCAGCGGAGGAGTGAGAGTCGCGTATCTCGAGCTCACTGAACTGGCTGACCTAACTCAGCTATACTAAGCAGACCATTTCCGATCTGCTACAGAACAGGATAGACATGTCCCAACTTGTGATTACCAAAGCACTAGCCAAGAACGGTAGGGGATGATGCCTTTTCTTATCGCTGGCTCCTAATTTTCGAGAAGATTATGCCGCTAAACAGGCTCATGTTGAGCTTGCAGAGAGGATGAAAAAACGCGATGCAGGTTCTGCTCCGGCCTTGGGAGACCGAGTGGCTTATGTCATCATCAAGGGAATGAAGGGTCAGGCAACTTGTTTTTTGCACTGTACAACGCTAAATCTCACTAGGCGCGGCCGCATATGAGAAATCTGAAGACCCCTTATACGTTCTAGAAAACAACGTTCCCATCGACACCAAATATTACCTCGAAAATCAGTTGTCCAAACCACTTATGAGAATTTTCGAACCGATTCTTGGAGACAAGGCAAATTCGTTGTGTACGTTTCCTTTTTTTGGTGCGTAGGAATACTGTTAACTGGCGGACAGTGTCCGGCGACCATACGCGAACCATTCAAATCGCAACACCCACAGTTGGCGGTTTGATGAAATTCGCTGTAAAGACAGTCACATGTTTGGGTTGCAAGACGCCTCTTCGTGGCAACAACAGCGTGAAGAGTGAGCCACAGTTTGTCTGGCCGACTGATGATTGATGATTTCGTAGACGGAGCTGTGTGCAACAACTGCAGACCACGAATGGGGGAGCTTTATCAAAAACAAATAGCGACCACCTCAACGCTCCAAGTCCAATTTGCAAGGCTTTGGACTCAGTGTCAGCGGTGTCAGGGTTCACTCCATCAAGATGTCCTGTGCACAAGCAAGGATTGTCCCATCTTTTATATGCGGAAGAAGGCCCAAAAAGATGTCGAGGATGCTGCTGTAGTTTTAGAAAGGTTTGCTGTGGATTCGTGGTAGTTGAGTTGTGTTGAGTCCAAGTAAAGTTGAATGCACTATATATCAATAAGCATAGCCACATCTCACGTGACTTCACTTTTTTTTCCTCTTCGCGAGCCATGGCCAAACCGACTACAAACGGGAATGCTGCCCCGTCCACAGCGGCCTCGAATATACCGGCGGTTGTTGGCATTAACTTTGGCAACTCTTATGCATCGATCGCGGTCTACACAAAGGTCCGTCGACTTGTCCAACGCGGACAGCAGCAGTATAATACCGCGATTTCGTAAAGGATGGCCAGGCGGAGTGCATCGCCAACGAAAATGGAGAACGCCAAATAGCTTGTGCTGTGTCTTTTCACGGGGAAGAAATCGTGCGTCGGAATAACCCTTGTCAAAAAAAAAAATGTCTAGTTGTTGACGATGTCTCTCAGTATATTGGAAACCAAGCCATGCCCCAGCTAGTTAAGAACTCACACAACACTATCACTGGGTTTCGTAATCTCTTGGGCAGAAAGTAAGCCATGGAGTCCCCTCCGAGGTTATCTAATGGGTGCTGTAGATTTTCTGAGATCGACCAGTCGAGCACTATCAAATCTGCGCCCATCATACAACATCCAACCGAGACTGACACGCCTGCCTATAAAGTCGACATTCTCCAACCAGCGCCAACTCCTTTGCCGGTCTCTGCTACAACAACCCCTGCTGCGTCTCACGCTGCAACACCCAGATCTGAACCTATTCCATCGACAAGGTTTCTGACTCCCCAAGAAGTCGCGACTATCTTCCTGTCGTCACTTCTCCAGTCTGCTACCGATTTTTTGGGTAAACCAATCATTGGTGCAGTCATCACCTCCCCGCCGTCCTTCTCCCAGACACAAAAAGATGCACTCAAAAAGGCAGCAGAGGATGCCGGTGTCCACGTGTTCCAACTCATAGACGAGTCAAGTGCTGTTATCGCGACGACGACTTCGCCCCATTGGCCAGGTGGCGCAGAAGACAGGACTCAACTGATTGTGGATATTGGGTCATCGTCTCTCGCTTTGTCTGTGGTCGCCCTTCGTTCCGGTTTAGGCTATGTTCTGGGCTCCAGAAATACGAGTGACTCGTCAAATGTCGGGGGTGATGCGTTGTCAACGCTTCTCGTCCAGCATTTCGCCAAAGAATTCACCAAAAAAACCAAGACAGACATGCAGCACCCACCTTCGTCTAAAGAAGACATCCGAGCAACAACTAAGCTTGTTCTAGCCCTCGAGCACACAAAACGCACTCTCAGTGCTTCCCCTGCCCCTGCTTCACTTTCCGTCGAATCTCTTCACTCCGGACTGGACTTGACTGCGACGATCGCACGAATGCGTTTTGACCTCCTCGCGACCCCCGTTTACAACATCATCTCATCGGAAATAAAATCTCTTCTCGAGAGCCTTTCCTTAGATCCTTACCACATAGACGAAATTGTCTACGTTGGTGGTACCGCTTGTTTACCTGGCCTGGATAGCCATTTGTTGGTCGCCGTCGGTTTTAGCGAAAACGTCAAAACATGTTTCTCTAACCTGACTATGGGCAGCGGCGCGATAGGTGACCCGACTGGTGTCCTTTCTATCGGGTGCGCCTTGCAGGCTGCCATATTGCTAGAAGCTCAGGAATCACCGGAGCTGCTGTCAGCCTTCGAGCAATCCCCAGCCATCCAAACCACGACTCGAACAATTGGCATGCTATTTCCAACCACGGATGACTCAGAAATGGGTGGCTTATTCATTGCTATCCTTCATAAAAACACGCCCCTTCCCGTGCGGCGCGTATTCGAGATAGAGGTCACTCTTTCTGGCGGTGAAGGCGACAAGGCAACCAAGTTTGGGTTTGAGCTTTGGGAAGTCGAAGAGCGAATCAAGGTCGAGCAAATACAGCCTCCGCAACCGGAAGCGCCGCTGGACGATGACGATGAACCGGAAGAGCCAGAAGAGAAAAAGACCAAAGTCTTCGATAAGACTGGCTTCTTGGGGACGCTATTTGGAGAGACAAATGGCACCCCAAGTAAGGAAAAGTCCAAAAAAGGTGTCTATACAGCCGAAGTGCAGATAGAGTTTGTTTTCAGTTTGGACCGTGTCCTTACTGTGACCGCACGCGACAGTAAAGGGGAAAAGGTAATCGGCGAATTACGAATAGAGTAGATCAAAGTAGATTATGTAACGATCATAATTTTTTTTCCTCTTGATGCCTTCACTTGCAGAAACGCTTGCTCAACTGGAGGAGGCGGCTCCCGTTGGTATTCTTACCGCTTTAGACCATATTTGAACACCAACACCTCCTAGACTTTGATCCCGAAGATATTCCTGAACTACCTCAAGTCGATTCAGACCTAAACCGAGACCATTACCTGGATGTTGGGTGAGTTAAATCGTCAATGCTTTCTTCGCGCCTCAACATGTACCAGTGCCAGTGCCTTGCGAAAATCACAGGGCGTTGTTGCCCCCAAATACGACGGCGTGAAAATATCCAGAAAACAACTTGAAGAAGAAGAGAGCGATCCCGAGTCTGTCGACCCCGATGAGAGTGTAAGAGAGGCAGAGGACAATGGCGATTCGGAAACTGAGAGCGATACCGAACCTGCTGACAAGCTTACCTCAACGCTGCAAAGCACTCGGGAAGCGGATCGCAACAAAGGCGCCGCAGTGGCGCGACAAATAGTGTGTCTTTTCAAATGCCATCCTTCTATACGCTCATGTATGTGCAGAGCATTTGGGAATCGCTGCTTGACGCTCGAATTGGCCTACAGAAAGCGAGCACGGCATCGCACAAACTGCCTTCTGTCAGTCTTTGTTGCGAAGCAGTCTACCTGATCACTTAAAGCCCACACAAGTCCTCACAGCTTGCTAGGTACTTGGAAATCGAAGAATGTCGGGAACCATTGCATCATATGCTGGAAGAGGTTTTTCTGCTTTCGGATGAGTTGTTTGACCTTCAAGAGGTAAGTTGTCATGATATGTTTGGAATTCTTGCTCAGAAATGGCTAGAAACTATTACCAGACTCAGTTGTTCCGCCGCCCCGGAAGCGGCGTAAAATTGAAGCAGACGCCTCGACAATAAATTTCTCGACAGAGTTGTACTCAGCCACCAGTGCCGCAACCGCCTTGGAACATGCGTAGGGTTCTTGCACACGTATCGAGAAATGCTGATTCATGAGGCTAGCTATCATCCTCACCTCGTTCAAACACTGAACAAGTGGTCAACTAAAATTCAAGCTGTTGCTCCGTCTGCACTTCTACCCTCGAATCGAAATGCGTTCTCGTCACGTACTGGGCAACATCTTAAATCGACGGTTCAACTGATTGACGAAACGCTGCTCGATCACCGCAAGCTAGTCGCCAGGACCCAAACACGGAGAGGAAAGGGACCAAGAATTGGAGAAGGGGCGAAAGATGAGGACGAGGCAACCGTCGACGTCGAGGTTTTTGACGACACCGACTTTTACCAGCAGTTGCTGCGGGATGTTATTGACTCACGCAGCAACGGAGTCGCTGGAACGGATGACTGGATGGCCATCCAACGACAAAAGAAGGCCAAGAAAAAGGTTGACACTAAGGCTAGTAAAGGTCGAAAGATCCGGTGAGTGCTGTTCCCTTGGTTGTTCTCATCTGCTTACCATGTTGCTTGCTCAGGTATGAGACGCATGAAAAGTTGCAGAATTTCATGGTTCCCGTGCCATTGACTGGAATGTGGCACGAAGAACAGATTGACGAGTTGTTCTCGTCGTTGTTGGGACGAGGGTTTGAAGAGACGCTTGGAAAGGAAGTTGAACCAATGGTGGATGATGTACTCAGTAGTGGATTCAAGGTTTTTGGATAGATAAGTAAATATAACGTGACTTGAGCACAGCTTGGCGCGTAGCTAAGTCTCCCTTGTCCAGAATGAACGCATTCGAGGACGACATGAATCCCTTTCACGACACAGATTCTAATAAGACTCCGTCTTCACCCACGCATCTAGACCTTTCCAGCTCCCCCCGCCAACTCTCTCCGACTACACCCACAAATCCATTTCCCTCACCAGGAACGCACAGACAACCTCCTGCAACCTTCAAAAGCGACTTTTGCTGTACCAGAGACCGAGTTTTACACTCCGGAGACGACATTGAGATACTGGTTTGTCTCTCGCTCAGCCTATACTGCACCCAACTTATATAGACCCCAAGATTACCGATGCTCAGAAAACGTCAGTCAACTCAACCTCTCCTTACATTGTTTATGTGATTCAGACTGGTGTTCGTCCCCATATTCCTCGTTAGCAAACCCTCTCACTCTCAGGAAATAGGATGCTGAAGCCCGTCACCGTTATTCCGAATTCGAGTCTCTCCGGTTAAATCTAGTCAAACTTTACCCCACTCTCATCATTCCGCCCATACCCTCCAAGCAAACCATCGGAGATTATGCTGTCAAACAGGCAAAAGCGAAGGAGGACATTGCCCTGATTGCCCGGCGCAAGCGTATGCTCCAAACGTTCTTGAATCGCATCGCAAGACACCCTATCATTTCTAATGACCACGTATTCCACCGATTTCTCGACGGCGAGGTCTCTTGGGTGCGTCTTTCTGTTATGCCATGCTTTCCAATTTTCACAACCGCAAAGAATGAAGTCCTCAACTCCCCTCCGATCTCCCTCCTGCCAAAGAACATTCTCAAGGCTCCCTCACACAACCCCACCGACCAGAACGCGTCACCAGCTTACGCGGCTTTACCCAATCCATCCGCAGCACATCCTCTAAGACACCCAGATCAACGCTTCATGGACTCTGAAGCATTCACACTCAAATTCGCCAATCACGTGAGCGGGCCAATGGAGAAGGTTTCGCGAAGGACATTAAAGCGATGGGCGGGTGAATTTCTTTCCTGTGCTATTTATTTCAGCACTAAAGTTGGCCATTAGACCAGGCGCAAGATCATGCTGACCTTGGTGCGGCTTTAAACGCATTCAGCTTGCATGAGAGTGGTGAACTCTCCGGTGCGATAGAAAAGACGGGTCAGGCCATTGACGCCACTTATATGTCAACAACCAAACTTGTGAGAGAGATGTCTTGATGATCCACTGCTTGCATTGACAGACATCCTGCAGCTTCAGGAGTTGGAGCAGAACTGGGCTGAGCCGTTGCACGAGTACACTCAATTCGCCTCTATCATTAAGAAGCTTCTAGCCTATCGGCACCAGAAACACGTTCAGTATGAAATGACTCAAGATTCTCTGGAAACCAAAAAAGAGCAGTTGGAAGAGTTGGAAAAAAGCGAGCGCGAAGCTCGGCGTTTGGAGCAGGCACTTGGTCGTGGACGTTTGTCTAGTGATCCTCTACAACAAGACAACCAAGATGCAGAGCAAGAACAAGCGCAAACACAATCTGCATACCTTCCTCCGCATCCAGGCCCAAATCCCTCTCGAAGACGAGCACCAGGCATGGGATTACTTAATGCCATCAGCTATACGTTGCATGGTATGATGGATGTTGATCCTGAAACAGCACGAAGGAATGGTATAACCAAGTCGCGTGAGAATATATCCCAGGTCAGTGACAATACTCTATTCCACTAACTTGGTGTTCTGAACGACTTCTCAGTTGGAGGATGCTCTCCATCTCGCCGCACAAGACTTGAAATATTCGAGCTCTACCATCCAAGCCGACCTAGATCGTTTTCAGCGGCAGAAAGTGGCTGATCTTCGTGAGATGGCCATAAGCATGGCTCGTTCTCACCGAGATTGGTGCAAAAAAGTTTGTTGGTCCTCTTTCCTTGACCACAATCTTTGACGTATCGTCGCAGAACCTGGAAGCTTGGGAGGAGGCAAAGGTACAGATTGACAAGATACCCAACCACCCAAATCAGGCGCCGTCACAAGAGCCAGCTACTCCTGCCCCTCGCCGTGATTCGACAGCTACTGTGAATGGGCGTTGAAGAGTAGTGGTTGATCTTTACTTAGCTTAATGTACACGACAGTTGTTAATGTCACTGTGACTATATCTGGCGGAGTCATCCTAAGTCTTGTTTCCATTCAACCATGTCTGCAGATGACTTTTCCGTCGACCAACCCATTGTCCTGATTCTCGTGGGCCTGATTGGGTCCGGCAAGGTATATCAGTTGTTGAGGTATGCTCTACCCCACTGAACCGAAGACCAGAGCACGTTCGCGCAAGCAGTCACCCAACATTTTCCGAGCTTTGTTCGTTGTAATCAAGATGACCTCGGAGACAGACGTCAGGTTGAATTACTCGCAAGAAGGTCTCTGAAGAGCGGCTGTTCTGTCATCATTGACCGCACAAATTTCGACCACACACAACGAGCCCATTGGATACGGATTGCTGCCGAGTTTCCAGCAACACAAGTATGGGTCTTGGTTCGTAGTTCCTAAGGCTTACTGCTTATCCACTAAACTCCAAAAAAGGTCTTTGATACACCCAAAGACGTCCGTCGATCCTTTGCTTACTAATAGTTTGCTTATCTCGGTCACCGTAGATTTGTGCGATGCGATTACGCACACGTGACCATTTTCTTATCGCTGAATTCATGTTCGCTGACCCCACATACGTACTAGGCTTCGACCATCCAACGATCCCCGACCCCGTTGATGCTTTGGACATCCTAGAAAGATTTGCTTCGCAATACCGCGCGCCGTCACCCGAGGAAGGGTACCACCGTATACTTTCCTTGACCCCTAGCGAGCAAGCAACGACATATTCACGAGAATATGTTGCCAGCACTCTTACTCGCATTCGAGATGCACCTACTGTTGTTCCACCTGTGGGTCCAAATGTTCATCGCCCAGTCAGTACACGAGGCTCAACTTATCACCCTCGAGGCCATTTTTCGAGAGAGGCTGCTAGTGGCTATAACTATCACAGTAATCCTGGTTGGAATCGCCGTCAACTTGAATCGCCGACGAATGGCAGCATCGGCACAATGATTGGGACCTGAGGTTTGGCGGTGGTCAACCTTCCAATGTACATATTCATATGAAGTCTCGGGTAAAAACGGTGTTGTGATTTGTTCTTGCTCTCGATCCTCTTCCCAGCGTCGAGTTGAGTGACCGAAACGGAACAGAAACTGAACATGAGGAGTGCTTCTCGTCGTACCTCTCCTTGACTATAACTGACAGTTGCGAGTGCTTCCATTTTGATAGGTCCAAAAAACAGACAACCGAAAAAAAATGCAACCGACGGCGAAGGTAATTCGGTGAATGGTCCGCCCGCGATGGAGGTTGCCTTCGTCGCTCGTAGACAAGCGTGGTATCCAAAGACCAATGGCATTGTTCGATCGCAAAGTTGGGGGTAACAATAAAGAGGCTAATCCAATAGCCACAGGGAGAAAAAAAAATCAGGGCTTCGATGATTTCTCTGTGTCTTCAGCTTCCTTGATTTTTTGACCCAATAGCTTTGCGCTGACATTGCGGATATGAAGAGCAGCTCGCTGGATAGATCATCAGACAAGTTGATGGGTTAATTGATGTTGGAATACCTCGATACCTCTCTTCTGACTGTGTTGATACTGCTTCAAGGCTTCTTCAAGATTTCCAGCTAAAGGAATAAGAGATAACAATAGTGAGGTAAATATAGGAAACAATAGGAAACAACTGACTTGCTTCCAGAACAACGGCGAGGTTGAATGCGATTTCGGCGTCATCCGGGCACAAGGAGGCGGCAGTTCTGACAATGACCGGGTAAGTTTTGTGGCTGAAGATGGTGGGACTCTTACTCAAGATGTTTAAGCGCCAGATCTGTCCTCACCACAGTCGACATAAGATAGGCTGAGGCTAAGTCTTCGCAAATTGGTTAATAATAATTAATGAATAGGGCGGTAAACTTACTTGTGTGGGTGTCCGCACTATCGGGCTGCAGATCGAGCGATAGTTTCCAGGCAGCAATGGCCTCGTCAAATTCCTCTGCTACAATCAGCAAAAGACAGAGAGCGAGCCAGAAGACCCCCACTTAGATGGAAATGGGTTACGCCCAAATTAAAAAAAGAGCTTGGGTTTTTATGTATTTGCGAGCTGCGACGGTATAACTCCTTGGCTGCGACAACATCTCCTTCTTCTAATTTGGTCGTACCCTCTTCGATGCAACGTAGAGCCTCAGATTCAGCAGGGTCAGAAATAGTAGAATGGGCGGTTAGTCCTGTTGCAAAGCGTGCTGCACGTATAGCAGAACCTTGACTAGTGGTTGGTCGGACTCGAGAAAGAGTTTGACAAGTTCGAATCCCAGCTCGGAGAGAACGGAACATGACCGTGCGTGTGACGTCGTCACCCGTGACCCCAGCTCAAAATTTCCACCATGGCTCAAGACAACAAGCCAGCGCCGTCTTCTTCAAACGCAGCTGACCACCTTCATACGTCTTCGTCCTCGTCTGTAAATCAACCTGAGGGAGCTCATGTTGCTACTGCTGCTGAACTTCTAATCGGAGCTTACGACCCGACCAAGTTACACCCATTAGCTGACTTGGGCGACAAATTGGACTATTTAATCCTAGAAGATGACAAAACCAACGAAATTCCTGGTGCAAACTCGGCGCTTCCATCGCGCGGTTGGAGTGATGATTTGTGTTATGGGACTGGGACGATGTATCTCGGCGGTAAGTCAGATCTCTTTGAACTTACTCTTTTTGAACCATTGCGTGCTCCCGCTCTCGCTTATTCACTCTCACCTTATCGGTCGTTGCTCCTCTTTCGTCAACTCTTTATTGTTCTCCTCTGTCACATGCTCATTTCTTTTACTTCAAGGGCTGGCACTTGGCGGCGCGTGGGGGGTTCGTGAAGGAGCTACCAGGACGCTTGCTGTGTCCAATTCTCGACTACGAATCAACAGCATTCTAAATTCTGTGACAAGGAGGGGGACTTTTATCGGAAACTCGGCTGGTGTCCTCGGTCCGTTTCCTCTTCTTAGCTTGGCTTTACCGCTGACAAGTGCCTGTAGCCCTGATCTACAACGGCGTTAACTCCTCCATTGATGCCGCTCGCGGAAAGCATGACATTTTTGGGAGCATGGGTGCTGGGGGCATTACTGGTGCCTTGTACAAATCAACAGGTTCGGACTCGTTTTAATTAATGAATTGATATTTTAATCCTCTTTTTTTGGCAGCTGGTGTTAAATCTGCTCTTGCTGCTGCGACATTCATGTCAGCTACGGCAGGAATCTGGAGTTATGTGAAAAAGAACTTATAATCATCGTGTAATCGAGCATTATCTTCACCCTCGCTCTCCATCTTCTCGCGCCTCATTCAGACAGCAAGCTATTTCAAACTCGCCTTTGGCCGGTATGATGTTAACACATCTTCGCCGTGAATTTGGCGGCTGAATGTTCACGTATCGAGGCAGTGGCAGGTCTTCCAGAACCGCATCGAGCTCAACACTATAAATGATACCGAGCTACCAAAGTCGGCTCCCAGTAGTCCCCTTAGAGTGGGCGGCTATTCGACACATGCTACGCAGAGTGGGGAAACCCAGGTGCGGTTATCGGATGCCTCGAAATGCAGCTTATAAGGTAAGTAGGCCTCGCTATTGTTCTTTTGGTAGGACGTTGACCCATCAGTTCACGAATTCAATTACGAAATCCACAACGAGGACGCGAAAAACTCACATTCGTTTAAAATATTCAAGCAGTGATCGTTACAAGCTCAGATCTCGCACCGGAAAATCCTTGTCGACAAGTCAAGCGACATCCTCAAGTGACACATCTTCATCGGCCAGCCAAAATTCGACTTTAGAACGCAAAACTCATCGCCCCTCCCGCTCAAATGCTTCCCGCTTGCAGATCGCTTCGTTGTTGGGAGAAACTCGTCCTCGGTATACCCCCGTCGTGGCTTCGAACTGAAGGGTTAATGTCCTGACAGTAGATCATATCAACTTAATGTTGTTCAAAACCCAGTCAGGACAGCAGAATTCCGCACTGCAGCCCTGTCCCGCCTCCCACTGTCTCCTCCACTTGTCGTTCAATTAACTGTCTGTGATTCTGGTGGAAACTCGATCACCCCGTGTGTTTGTTTTTCTGCATGTCCTGGCTCCGGTAACCCCGTGAGCAGCGACGAAGAAATTCCGTTTCTCATAGCCCACTTGTCGCTCTATGCCGATAACGGGACAACCCTGCTCGACATGGGGTCACTCGGCCTTAGATTGGGTGCTCCCCTACCTATCTTATATGGTAATTTAGTGTCATCTTTGCAACAACTCGAAGACCACAACGGAAACCGTGGTCTGTACTTTGTGTTTCCAGACGTCAGCATTCGTTGGCAGGGGCGATACCAACTCGGCGTGCAACTACTCAAGATCAGCAGGCGAGTCCCTGTTATGTTCGGAGTCTTGTCATACCCTAAGCTTTCATTCTCACCTCCAATATCAGACCTGATGCGTCGGGCTTGGCTGAACAAGCCTCCACACTCGCTCAAGCCCAAACTACAACCTTTGACGTTGTCCCCTACGATGATTATATCACACCTCGTCCGTTTTGCTTACACTCGCCCTGATCTGCCTCCATTGAACACCATCGAGCAGCTCAAACACGACTCACGCAGGCATTCCTTCGTCAAGGTGCCCAAATGCGATGACAAGTCAACGACGCCATTTCGTTCTGGACTCTGAACATTTTTATAAGCATTTGCATAGCATTCGTTCACCCCTAATACTAGTGTTTGTTCAACAGAAACTGTAGGATAATAATGATTCTCCACCGGTCAAGTACCCGCCAGCGTCTCCAGCGAGGCCGTCTATTCGCGGCGCGAGTCAGCATCGCAAAAGGGAAACCGCCTTTGCGTGCAATCGGAGGGGGGCCAGTCCAAAGAGTCAACTCTCCACTTCCCACTACCATCCAGCTTGTTCAAATCTTTGGCGCTCCAACTCTTCCCAAGTTTCCAGTCCGAACAAGCTTGGCAAGCGTTCCCAAAATCGAGCTCGCCGAGCGGCCCAGTCTGTCTTCATATGCGCAAGACAGGGGCCACAAACTGAGAGGCGCGAAAAATCCTGGTAAGCAGAGATCAGGCTCTATCAAGCATCTTGTGGGCAACTGGCATACCTCTTCACTCCAGATAGCCCGACCTTCCTGATCTTCGTCTGATTGACCAACTCTGCTGCCTTCCGTATGGAGTGTTTCGCTCTTCATCCCATCGGAGAGCTCGGCATCACCATTTTCGTCACCCACCGTTGCGAATCCCTTTGGGGTTGCAATAGACACACATATCGGCAACAACGCAAGAGCTTCAGACCGCCATCGTTCGGCTGCCACACGCATCATAAGCCGGCTTGAGGTGCAAGCGTTGGTAATCCCATTCGACGCTGGTCCGCCAGAATTTGCGTTCTCACAGCCAGGTATTACAGTCGGACTCCAGAGGAAGCCCAGTATGTCTGCTATAGGCTCACCGAGACAGGTAGAACCTGCTTCGAGTAAGAGTACCTAAGGTAGAGTTAGCCTTACTACGCATAATGGCCATCCAAGCCCACCTTGTCGGCTCGTTCAAGCTCAACATGCACACTAGTATAATCGATACCGTCCAGAATGTCTGCGCTAGACAACGTTGCCAAGGCTCTGAAAAATGCAGTCGGCAGAATCCAATTCGCATGGGCCGCTCGAGCAAGAGTGATGATAGGCAACTCAAGATTTGAAAAGTCAAACGAAGGTCCAGCATAGGCCGGTGGCGCGAAGGACGAAGTGGAGTTAGAAGGGATAGAACAAAGACTGTCCCAGGCAGCAAGCGATGTAGGATGGGCCGACGCTAGGTGTTGGAGAGCGCGTCGACGAAGTGGCTCGACACGATATTTCGTGCCCAGCCTCAGTATACCATGAATTGAGTCGAAGTCAGTCTTTGCTGGATAAGGTGCAAAGAATCTAAAGGGAGCGAAAAATCAGTCGTTTCCGAAGAGAAACTTGGGCACGACGCACTCGTAATCGAAAAGTGCCTTGAGAAAGTAAAGCATGTCGGCAGCAGAGTCCTCCAAGTGCATTACTTGGCATCCGTCGATAGTTTCAGAGTCATCAGGCTGAGGAAATGCAAGCAAGTCCGCAAAAACGGGAGATCGTGCTTCCAAGAGACCTCGGTAGACGCGGAAAAGGACTCCATGGGCTTCAATGATGATGTTTCCATCGTTGAACCAGAGCGAATCAACGCGCTCCATTTGAGATGTGTTCATTTGGAAATAGAGCAAGCAAGCAAGAGAAAGAATGTGGGGTGCGGATTCAACGTGGTTGTGTGTGTGGAGCAACGGTCCGATATAAGTGACCTCCGTTGTGACAGGCGTCTCGGAAGCGGCGATATACCGGAGATTGACAAATCAAGATTTGTTGGAAGTACTTCTACAATTTACACAAGTTCAGCTTTGATGCCATGTATTACTGAGTTCAGCTGTAGTGACCCTCTCCAATCAAGCGAAGCAGCAAGTGTTCAAACACACCGCTCGTCTCCCCTTTAACGCGTCTTGTGAGTTGCTTGTCATATACTCTGCAAACAGTAAGTTGCAGCCCAAAAAGGATGCTGGAAGCACTCGCCGTTGATACCCCTGTTTCGTAGCTTCCATTCGAGGGCGAGACCAATGAGCGCGTAAAACACTAGTCTCTTATAAGATAAGGTTCTCGACTTGAGAAGAAAACGACTGAACCGTGTGATCAGCAATGAGTTGTTTGTCCCAAACCCTTTCATGGTTTCTTCCAGTAGAATAGCATCTCGGATTGCCAAAGGTGAGACAGCAGCAAGATGAGGCTTCTCGCTAACTTCGGCACCCTGGACGATGAATAACAGAGCTTTCGCGTCGTGGTTGCTAGTGCCAAATTCGCTGGCGATCACAGTCGAGAGTGACTTTCTGTGTTTGGCTTTGTAATGAGTGCAAACCGCGACAAGGTGATCTTGCGTTCGACAGGTGAGGATACGGTAGAATTTGTCTTCGTTGGTTCCAACGCGTCCGGTTCCCGCCTTATAAAGAGCCTCGACATCTTCCTCCAGCAGCTTTTGGCGCTGTTCAGCTGTTGCATTGGCTGCTGGAAGCTTTTCGCGCGAAGGATCAGTCACAAATTTGAACACTGAACATTGGAAAGTGAGCTTTCAGTCTAACCACAAGAATGAAGGCCCACATTTGAGCACGTTTCCACTCAGATCGTCAGCAACCTCCTTCGACAGGTGCTTCTTATATTTCTGGAGGTATATATAGTCGAGTGTCGCAATATCTGCAGGGCTATGGTCGAGGATGGCTTCGTTCAAGAGCGACTCGTTGGTTCTCCAGAAAGGTCAGAATGAGGAATGGAGGGAAACAGATGGAGTTACCCAAATCCTCTGATGGCGTCTTTAACAAGATCCGCGTCGTATTTGAGCGGCCCCTGAATGAGACCTAGAAGGGCTTTCCTAACAGAGATATGTAAGCAGAAGGCTGACACTGGATGAAAGAGACGCACTCGACATTGCCAGTAGTTTTTCTTTCGACGCGCCGGTACAACGTCTCGCCTTTGTCATTGTGTTGAGGGAATTCATGGACAAGCACTTCCATCTTGAGCGGTCCAAGTCCGGTGAGAATATCGACGACTAGAAGCGAGATGAGTTGAAGAAAAGAGAGTGCAAGGTGACTGTGTTCACGTTTCTTCTCATCGCCGCCAGCTTTCACAATCTGGTCGATGTCGTATTTGATTTGGTCTTTAGTGTAGCCGACGACATTCAAGCCTCCAGAGAAGCGTGGGTTGTGGATGATTGTGTCACGGTAGTAGATGGTTGGAGGTTCCAAGTCTACGGGTGGCGCGTAAGGGCTGACTGGTGGCATTGTAGTATTCTGGGCAGCATTTGGTGGTAGGCCTGACGGTGGCGGGCCCGACGGTGGCGGGTAAGGACTGCTTTGGTAAGGTTGCTGTTGTGGCGGAGGAGCATAAGCTGGGGCTTGATAAGGTTGTTGCGGCGCGGCTTGGTAGGGACCAGCTTGATAGTATTGTTGGGAAGGAGCGAAAGCTGGTGCCTGATAATAGCCACTGTTGGGAGGAGGATTTGGCGACTGAGGGAATTGAGGGACATATTGAGGCTGATAACCGCTAGGTGGCGGCTGACGAGACGCGTCAGTGACGAGTTAGGATAACAAGACAACAACGAGACTCACATAAGCTCCAGGCTGCCCAGCTGGTGGAGGCTAAAATATACTCAATCGGGTGAAATCAACTGCCAGGAGTGGCGCAACTTACATATGGTTGGCCGGGAGGAGGAGGCTGAGAGGATTCAGAAACGAATTAGACAAGTGGAAAAAAAGACAGACATAGCCGCCGTATTGCGCGTTGGGCTATGGTACGAGTCAGCTCAAAGACCAAGGTTAGCTTATTTGCTAACGAACTGGAAATGGTGGGGGCTGGGACATGATGAGTTGGAGAACCAGAATTCACGTCGTGTTTAAGTATGAGACAAAAGGCAGTACGACAGGAGTCAACGCAAACAGAACAGCATTTCACTTTATCCGATCTAGTATCTCCGCACAGCCACTGATCCAACAAGCTAAGCCCTCGTTCGCTTCAAAGGTCGCCATTCTTGGTTAATTCCTCCGTCCTCGTGCTCGTCATCGTCTGAATCCTCGTCGTCATATTCAGACCATTTCCTCTTGGAGAGTAAAGTTACGAGTATGGCCAGCGGTGACTTGTGTGCCACCGATGGGCGTCGAACTCGGTTAAATGGCGGCTGTTGAGATGGGCGTCTTGGTTGTGGACGGGTAGTGCGATGGATGATGGGCACTGCATTTGGCGTGGCAGCTACGATTGGAGTAATGGCCTGCGGTGGAGTTGGAGGTGGAGTCGGAAGCTGGGCAACAGCAACAACGTTGGTTGGCGGCACGACATTATTCATGGTGTAGGGCGGTGGAGGAGGTAGACTGGGGAGGTGGTGTGTGACCGATGTGGTAGAAGCACTGAGGAAACGCTTGGTCCAAACAATGGCTACAGCAATAAACACGACTTACGTCACATTAACCGTCAAAGCGGTGGCTGGTGTGCTCGAGGTAGTATGGCCTCCGCTACTGGAAAGTGTCTGTGAGCCAGCATGTACGCTAAGCAAAGGGAGATGGAGGATACCTAACGTTGATGTTGATGGAGTTGTTGGTCTGGGAGACAATAAAATTGATCCCAGTTAAGGACAATTGAGGGTGGAGAACGCCAGCGCCAAAAGCCATGGTTATTTGCTGCATGTTGTTGGTGTGACTGGTCATGGCGGTAGGTGGGTGTGGGTGGGTGGCATGGACGAGGCCACGCCCTTTTTATGGAAAGGCGCTTGGGATGGCCTTGACTCACTGCGCGTGTTTGATGAGGCTATCCATTGATGATTTCCAGTTCTGCTGCTCTACGCACCCACACACAGATAACTGTTGTCATCCCAAGCGCCATTGACCTGTTCGACACTTGGTGCTTTGACTAAGGCAGTCGGAGCTTGATCCCAAGCTTAATGTAGAGAAGATAGAAAAAATGGACCAGCTTGGAGCATGTGCAGCCTCCAGCTTTACGCATGCCGAGCTGAACCATGGAACGAGGAAGGTGGTTAAATCATGTGACCGTATTGATTAGATGAGATTTGATGGCAGTGTTGGCAAAGCCGTTTCACAGAGACAACCACACCCAGAGCCACAGATAGGAACGCTACGTTGTCGCCAACACGAGACATGCGAGACGTGAAAGCAACGCATGCAACTTCGAGACAGTCCTGCAGCACTGAAATTACTTAAAGAACAGATGACTGGATGGAAGCGTACCTTTGACTGGAAGTCGACAAATGGTGCAGTGTGGCATGCTGGAGGTTCTGAAACAACTGGGGCATATATTCTTGTCAGCCGCCAGCGCCTCATTGCATACTGAACAACAGCGTATAATTCCTTCAAGCGCTGGTTGAATAGCTATCATGCAGCGAATTCGAGACATACCTATGTCGTGTTGGCTGTCCACCGCTGGAACAGTCAACTCAATCGACTTGAGCAACTCTAGGCGTTTAGAATGCAGCTTCCAGCAGAAAAGAACGTCGGCGTATAGATGGATGTGGTTCACAAATTCTGTCAGCTTTTGGTCCGGGAAGGCCAGAGTTCTGTGAAGGTCGTCAATATCGGTTGAACACACGATGAAAACAATACTTGTCGTCGTCTCGCATAGGAACATCGTAAACCACCACCCGAGACTCGTGAATAGCATGGGGAGGAGGGGGATACGAACGGCACCCTTTTGTGCCCTGCTGATGAAAATGAGACGGCCATCTGTTTTATTCCTGGGGATGTTGTCTCGTTCCACGATCGAGAGACGGTAGACGGTGACACAAGGCCGCTATGGGCGTCGCGCCAGTGATGCCTTCTTGATGAGTCCTTGGAAGAAGGCAATTCGGAGGGGGTCATGAAAGAATCTTGTACCCCGGACACGAACTGACGCATAGTCCCAGCATTGAAAAGACTAGACCAAGATCCACGGGAAGAGCCTGAGGTAGATAACGCTGGCTGAGGAGGTCGAGACCAGGAAGGAGAACTGGGGCTCGGTGGACCGCCCACAGATGTTGAACGTGTAAGATTGAAATAATCAACAGGACCATTCCTTGGCGTTGGTGTACCATGGAGTGGTGGAGATTGAATAGGTGGGACAACTTGCTTGCAGCCTTGAAGGACAACAACTGAAAGCATAGCGAGCATTTGCAGATCTTTCAAATCACATAGCTCCTCGTGCCTAAAGCAATGAAACAAACTGTTCCAAATAGAGCCACAAGGACTTACAGTCGGTGAATCATTTTGATGACGAGGTCGTTGGCTCCAGTCACACCCGGATACACTCCAAATGCAGGGAACAAGGCTTGGAGGATTTTGAATATTCGTTCATGGTCACTTCGGCCATGAACTCTGGCAACCTCTGCATTGCGCTGACAAAGGATTGCGAGTGTCTTGTCTTGGAAAATGTACTCGGAAGCGACCTTGCGATCAGCACCAGAGATATGAGAGGTACCCGTGATGAAAACAGTACTTCGTCGCAGGGGTGGCGGGTTTGGTAGGCGCCCATTGAGGAATGCATCTTCACCCCTCTGTCGCGAAGTTTCCGACTCGCGATGGCGGGGGGGATCATGAGAAAATGTGAGCAGGTTTGTCATGATTCTAAGAATATGATCTCCTTGTGGAGGTTGTCGAGGGTCGAGTGGCTTTGCGATACGGTCAGTGGCCGCCAATGTCAACCGTCGCACGGCATCGGCAATAAGGGCCGGTGAGCGGGATTGTCGCGTCTGAGCTTGGTCTGAGCTAGCTTCTAAGCTATCGTGACCTGGCAACAAGTCTGAAGTCGTTGGCGCTGGCGAAGAAGAGACAGTGATTAACGGATCACGTAAAATGTGTTGCACAATCCTTGGAGGCGTCCTAAAGAAACAGACAAGCTCGCCTGAAATAGGAAGATAAAAGACATTCACCACAAGTTACAAGCAGACATACCATTTGGTCCGAAGGTTCCTTGCGAAGTCCGTGGTTCAGTCAGGTTCTTGTGACTCCGCATCAGAGAGACGGTGACGTTTCGTGACTTGCTCGTCTGTTTGCCCTCTTCGTCCGATGAAGATTCCATGGTGTACAATGCACCCATCTCGCCCTCACTGAGAAAACGAAGACACGACTCGAGACAAGGCCTCTGTTGTTCACGGATGTTACGTAGGCGGCGCAGAATGAATGCACGGTTTTTGAGAGAAATGAGTGGGTTTCGTTCAAGCTCCACAGTTGGAGTTCCTCGAGGGTGAAGCCCATGAGGATAGTCTCTTGGAAACGTGAACGTGACCCTGATAAAAACCGAGGATGACTCGCCCCAAGGACCGTGTAGCCCAAGAGTGCACGTCCGCTTTTTTGTTAGATCGTGCTTGAGGACCGTCAGGCGCTAATTCATCGTTAACACGAGTATCTTACCTTCTCCAACTTGATTTTGGCAGAAACTAGTTTGTTGATCACCGATGTTAACCTAATGCGCTGAGCGATGCGTTGAATAGGCGGCCGGTATAACTTACTCGTCCTGGAGGCTTTGTCCTTCGTCTCCTCGGGCACCTCGACTGTCACTTCGTTTCCTTCCAACAGCCAAACTGTCTCCGCGTTCGATCTCACTTAAACCTCCACTGCTGCCGCCGGCGGCGCCCCCTAGAGCTACTTCGTTCACCGGTAACACTTCCCACCACTTCTTTAACGCCAGATATCCAAGCAACGGGATCGACGATTCCTGTTCTTTTTCCAGCTGCTGTTCCACGTGACATCCGTATTGATCCGGCAGCTGTACTTGGGACAAGTTCTGGTGGTGGGCGCGGGTGTCGCCTGGCATCGACAGAATCGGGGAGTTGTACCACTGCGGCGCCAGCGCGAACCCCAGCAAGGATCATCCGAGCACCGATCGGCGCAGAAAGTAAAGCCATAGATGCAACAGCGCCCCCACTGACACTCGATACGGAGTCTTCACTAGCCTCTGGAATTGGTGGGTTCCTAAAGGAGAAAGACGCTTTATGGTCCTGCTCAGCAACGATTGAGGGCTCCTCGGTATCTGAGCGTATGTGGCCGACTTTCTAAGCCACAGTCAATGCTAACAAAAAAGTCGCTGCGAGAGCCTACCTGCATCATCTCTTCATCTACAGGCCAAAACTTTAGTGTTCGGTCTTTAGACCAGGTGATGAGCTGAAACGTCGTTCCGTCTTGACTGTCAGCGAATAGCAGCGAAGAAATACAACAACATACTGGTATCGCGTCGCCAAACAAACTCTTTGACAACATCTGTATGTCCTTCAAATACTTCAACGGGCTGATCGCCAATCCAGCTGCCAGCACGACTGTGTGAGAGCACTGGTTGTGGTCCACTAGAGAGGTGATCTGCTCCTGCAAGTGAATCAGATCATGCCACCATATTTTAGATGAACTGACCCAGGGCATACATTCCGAGAGTTGTGCCTCCGCGTTGCGGCAGACTCAAAACACCTCGTCCAAAAGGCAAGTGACGGGCTCGCCAAACTGGATGAGCAGTGCGAATAGTCTGCACTGGTTTTGGGGTGGAGCCAGAATCACAGTCTGGATCCTGAAAGTAGTCTGAGCGATGAGAAGAAGAGTACGCAATGGGAGAGACGAACACAAGAACAACTAGTGTTAGAGTCCTGGCATGCTGCAAGATCCCACAACTAGAATAAAAGAAGTGAACGACAGACGTGTTCTAGGCAGTCTCTTACCTTGATGGTACCATCCAGGGCACAAGTGACGAGTTCATCGCGACTGGTCCTACTCCAATCGATACCATAGATTTTTGACCGATGTGCATGCAAGCGAGTCACTGGAAGAGAGCCTTTCTAAGAATAATGGGTGGTTGAAGCAGTCCATAGTTGGGTGTGCAACATACCCTGCGGTCCCATATGAGCACTTCACCTCCGTGACTAGAGGCAAGCATATGTGGGTCTTGACGATTCCATTTGACTTGAGTCCCTCCCGCTGTGGGCTGTCAGAAGAAGAGTTCCACCAAATGAAGATCAAGGCTACCGTTAAATGCGCTAAACCCAAACACAGCTCGTCCGTGTCTCGCGGCACGGAGATCCCAGGCCCACAGCCAGGAGTCAACCCCAGTACTGACCACCAAATCGCGCTCTGAGGTTTGAGGATGCCAATTGATATCGGTTATAGCTCGATAGTGACCCCGGAGTATGTGTTCGATGTTGGAAGTTGGTCCAGAGTTGACGAGCAGGTTCCAAATAAGGCTATTTCATGGTGAGAATTAATTGATTCGTCGAGAAAAAAAAAGGTCCACCTACAGCTTCTCTGAACTGGTGCTGACAATATACTCTGCTCGACTGACATGCGGATTCCATTGAACGTCTGCAACATCCCATGTTCCACCTTGAGGCAAGAATCGGGGAACACTCAAGGGAGAGGAGAGGTCGATGATGAACAAACCTTTTTTCCAAGTTCTAGTAAGAGCTTTTCAACACACATCGACACGCACCCCTTCGAGCAGCGAGAACTATGTCTCGTTTGGTAGGTGATATACTCATATTTCCCACCGCGTCTCCTACCAGCATTTTCATGTCAATTTGCATGCATTTCTTGAATATATTGGACGAGTCTGAGCTCGGTGCGGAAGGAGGCTCCGAGTCAGTCGTTCCTTCAGATTCGGACATGGAATCACTTTCTTCAACACGTTGGAATAGTTCTGACGGGGGGTTTGGTGTCCAGCTAGGTCTTCTCCCGCCATCTGGAGTCGTTATTGGAGAAATCCACGAAGGCCGACGTGCTGGTTGTTGGAAGCTGATAGTATTCATGAGAGCACGTGCCAGAGCAATTTCTCTCAATCTACTCTCACGACAATGGCCGCAAATGACTATTACAAGCAGGGCGGACAGCAACAGCCACAGTACTATCCTCCGCCAGGTAAATCCCGTTCGGCGCTTATTTCGACGGTTAGTTTGGCATCTACTGACATTGCCTTAACAAGGTGGCGCACCAGAATCTCAAGGTGGCTACTACCCTCAACCGCCCGCAAATGCATACCAGCAAGGAAATTACGGGCAACCTCAGTATGGACAGCCACAATATGGTGGTAGTCCGGGCTATCCTCAACAGGGCTACCAACCCAATCCCGGACCTCAGACGATATACGTGTAAGTTGGCCTTGCATGTCCCCAAACGATCCGTTCTTCTCCTGGGGCTAAACAATAACCGCGGTTTGACTGAGGCTACCAAGGCCGTGCAGCCGGCGACGACATATCACTAGCTCTTGAATGATTTGATTTCTCCTGATCCTTTGCAGACAACAACCTGCCCAGCAGTCAAGTGGTGCTAGTGGAGGATGTCTAGCCTGTCTTGCAGGCATGTGTCTTTGTTGCTGTGCCGAAGTTAGTCGTCCTCAATTTATCTTGGACTGAGCTCATTCTTTCCCTAGGAAATCTGTGAATGTCTTCTTTGATGAGAGTGCAAGGAGAAGAGGACTTGAACTCTATATAATACCTTTTATGCGTTCTTCTTAACAAGCTTACCACGGTGGCAAATAACTTGAGTCTGAGATCTACTGGAGAATAATCTTGTTGAACTGCTTGATCTGGGCCAACCCGAAATTGGCGAGTGGTGATTGGTGTTCCGAGATCACGCGTTGACGTTGCCGATTCTTTCCTACTCCCAAAATGCTGGCCCGACGCTTGGGCGCGACGAGGCTTTCTTCTCTGCCCAAAAAAACTACTGCTGGGCTGCCGAGAGCCATTCTTGTATGTTTGAGCCATCCTAACCGACTGTGAACGCTCAAAGGGCTTTAGACTCGCAATGCGTCGAGTTCGTCGTCCTCTGCGTTTGAGGTGCTTTGGCTTCCTGCTTGTTGCTTGATTTTTTCTGACGCTTAAAAGTCTTTCCTCAATTCGCGTTTGACTCTTGTCTCTGTATCGCTTTTTACTGCTGGCACGGTTGGCTGGTATACCCACCTCTACGGCTCGCTCCCTTTCATTCCCCAAGTCCACGCCAGCCTCGATAGCGACGAGGGTCTTCATCCGCCTGCGTACCCATGGTCTCACAAAGGCATTTTCGATACCTTCGACCATGCGAGGTAAAATGTCACTTTCTTGGTTCACACTGACGACTGACTTGTTGCAATTAGCATTCGTCGAGGCTATCAAGTTTACCGTGAGGTTTGCGCCGCATGCCATTCTCTCGATCGCATTGCGTGGCGTAATCTGGTTGGCGTTTCTCATACGGTCGATGAAGTCAAAGCTATGGCCGAGGAGGTCGAATATCAAGATGGTCCCAACGACGAAGGCGAAATGTTCATGCGCCCGGGAAAGCTTGCCGATTATATGCCTCCTCCCTATCCCAATGAAGCAGCCGCTAGAGCCGGAAACGCAGGTGCTTTGCCTCCAGACCTCAGTTTAATCGTCAAAGCCCGTCATGGTGGTGCTGTAAGTCTCCAACCTGGCCACCTCCAAGTTTCCTTTTCACATTAGAATAGGACTACATTTTTGCTTTACTCACTGGCTATGTCGACGCCCCTGCTGGTGTTGAAGTCCGCGAGGGAATGAACTATAATCCTTTCTTCCCTGGTGGTGCGATTGGTATGGCGCGTGTTTTGTTCGATGGATTGGTGGAATATGAAGATGGTACGTGTTCTTATCGAGACTAGCCTTGGTTGCTCAACAAACACCAGGCACCCCTCCAACCACCTCTCAATTGGCAAAGGATGTGGTCACGTTCCTTAACTGGGCAGCGGAACCAGAGCATGACGAGAGGAAGAAGAACGGAATCAAGGCCGTTATCCTTTTCTCTGTTTTGACTCTCGTTAGTCTCTACGTCAAGCGTTTCAAATGGACCCCCATCAAGAACAGGAAACTCAGTCAGTATATCGCCTCTCCGTCGTTTCATGAGCTCACCAATTCTAGTCTACGATCCCCCAGCAGACAAAAAGCATTAATTTTTAGATCGTCTATAGTATTAGTTACTGTAGAAACCAGGTTATTGTCAGAACCGCTCCCTGTGACTCCGCGTGACTTTCTCAGTTTTTTACCATGTCGGAAGCGTGGCCACCACAGCTGAAGTAGCCCACACTTCACACTTATAGTCCACACTAAACTGGGACATATTAGAGAATGGGTCGCAAAATGCCTTGGCCAAATGACAGATTTGAACAGGCAGGAGGCGCAAGCTGAACTACGACAGGTTATCGCGGATTCATTTGCCTCTCAGACCCTTTGGTCGACGGACTGGGCTGGCATCCAACTCAAAGCTCTTCAACCTCAACCTAGCTTACAACTCAGCACGACTCTCAAACGCAAAGGGTGCGTGTCCTCGATGTGATCCTGTCTCTCCTCTCAAGAGACAATTCAAGTCACGACAACTCGCCCAGTTCCAAAAAGGCGAAGAAGGCAGCAAAAACCACCCACCCTACGTCCTCCACCTTTGATCCAAATGACCGTGCTGCACTCGATAGACGCGCTCGACGTTTTCAGCGTGAACACAACATTGAACGAGAGAAGACACAGGGTGGTCATACCGCACTACGAACGAGCCTTTCTGCTTCACATCTCTTCAACAACCTCAACTCACGCAGTTCCCTACCACTTGATCACTCAGAAGACTCAGAAACTGTTAGTGGAACGTTTTCTTGCCAAGTTCCACTCACTTAACCCGTATGGCAGAACGCTGTCGACTGGGAGAAGTCTGCAATCGTCGGAACTTCCAAAGAGATCTTCAGGGAGTACCTCAGGCTCACATCGGTCTGTCGAGTTAGCGTTGAATGGTAAGACCTGACCGTGGCGGTGTAGGAACCGAATCCCGAGCAAATCCGGCCATTCCACATATTAGAACAGACCTTGCTGGAACTCAAAAAGCGATTTCGAGAGAAGACTCCATATAGCTGGATATGCAGTCAATTCAAGAGTCTTCGACAAGATCTCACCGTGCGTGCGTCCTTCGGATCATTTTTCCATAAGTTATTCCGCTGGTGCTAGGTGCAACGCATCAAGAATGGATTCACTGTCAAGGTCTATGAAATCCACGCGCGAATATCATTAGAATGCGTATGGATGCTTTTTTTGCTCGCTGTCATTGTTTCAAGTTACCCTTTCAGGGCGATATGGTCGAGTACAATCAATGTCAGGCAACGTTAAAAACACTTTACGAGCTCGGAATTCCCGGCCAAGTTGAGGAGTTCACTGCTTACCGCATTCTCATGCTCTTGCACGGACGCAACAGAACAGGTAGCTCCTGCGTTTCGTCGGCCCTAGAAAAAGACTGACCATGAACAGAGTTGAATCTATATGTAGGTCAGCTAACACCAAAACTCAAATCAGATCTTGCGGTCCAGCATGCGCTGCGAGTCCAACGGGCTTTGGCGATTGGAAATTACCACGCGCTCTTCGAGCTGTACTCTGACTCGCCGAATATGGGCGCATATATCATGGACCATTTCGTCGCGCGCGAGAGAGCGAGGGCGGTCATGGTGATTGTAAAAGCGTCGGTCTTGATTTTCTCTAGACCATCTCGGTCAATGACCCTCCCTGTAGGTACCGCACGATACCACTCAGTTTCATCCATCAAGAACTTGCTTTCGAAACCATAGAACAAGCTCGCGAATTTCTAGAGGACCACTCAGCCGCGCACTTCACCAACCCTAATAGCCCGGATTCCGACAAGACGCTTGACTGCAAACTTGCAGGGGCCCTACTCGCACAGACCTTTGAGGAGAAATATCGCAAGGTGTTGATCAAGGGTGCTATCTAGGTTCATTTCCTTCGTCGGCCAGTCTCTCCTCCAAGGACACGTCAACACCCCGCTATGTAAATTTGTGTATTATTTTAAATTCAAGGATTTTTCGTCGTAAAATTATGCCCCCCAAACCTCGTCGACGTTCACTTCCCGTGGTCCCTGAATTTGAGATTCAGTCGATGGATGGGGGTTCAACGCAGGGTGATCTGAGTCGTCTCCGGAGAGCGCGACAGGCCCATGATCAGGTTTATGTTCTACTGTGCTTGGACGATTCATGTAGGAACGTGCGATTGTGAACAACAAAGCCAGTGGATGAATGACCGTGAAGATGATAGCGGTGATCTGCGACAAATGCAGTTATTAGCTCGGGTCAGCACGGTTGACTTGGACTGCACAAACGTAGACGGATTGTGCCTTTGGTCGAAGCGACCAGAGACTAATGCATATCCATGTGGCGGCCACACACCACACAATGTCACGCCTCAACACAACAACGAGCAAGCTGGTGAGCTGAGTCCCAAGAACAACTCCAAAACTCGGCCATCCGTAGGCATTGGGGTCCATTGGCGTGCCGTCATACATTGGGGTATATTTGAGGCCCAGTGCGATGCTAAAAAAGTGGGTTTCAACTTGGTTCTCACAAGAACTAATGTCAACTGACAAGAGAGTAAGAGGGAAAACGAGCGCGAATTGCAAGACGAAGAAGAACCGAAGGGGTGCATGGATTAAAGCAGTGTCGAAGGGGCGCGAGGACGTAGGTGGATGGTAGACCAGGAGAGAGACGTTGGAATACAGAAGAAAGAGAAGCAACAGTCCGCATAAAACTGTTGCCGCAACAAACCACTCAAACACCTAGTAAAGCAAGCATAAGTCGAAATAGACTAGTCACAGTGCCTAGCATACCCAAGCGATAGCCCAGAGTGCCATAAGCCAATTGGCGAAGACTAGTGGAAGGCCGACGCCTTTAGTAAGAGTGCTCTAGTTCTCGAGTTTGGTGAGAAACATTGCGATTTGTGCAAGCCTAACCTTGGTCTCTGGTTTCCTTGCGAGTACGAGAAGAGCACAGTAACCAATTTGAGACAGATATATCAGAGCAACATATACCAGAATCACAGATGGTCGCGGCGAAATCGGAGTGGGGTTTAGTTTAGAAATTGTTTCTGATAAGAATTAGAGGGCTCTTAAAACGTTGAGATTGGTTTGAATGGGAATACGCAGTGATGGATTGACGAGGGTTGAACAAATTACAATGCAGGCAATGTTGATCAGCAGAGATAACGGTGTGGTCATTTGGAGTCTAGTGTCTCTGAGTATAGCAGACACTTAACTCGGAATCAAGCGCACCTGACGAGAGCCAGATGTTGTCGCAAAGCTGGATGTGACCAGTCAATTGGTAGTTCCTGCATTGAGTGTTGAAAGGGGGGGTCACTGTGTGGTATGGCATAGTTTCACACCTCCATTGAGCGAAGCAGCAGGAGGCAAGACGCAAAGACGTTTGCGATGATGTCACCTTATGCTCTGCGATTGTCGTGATCGGATTTCGGGTAATCTGAGGAAGCATGACTTCCCTCCTTCAACCCAGTGGGAGGAAAAGGCCAGTGGCAAACAAAGCAGCAGGCCGAAGGGGCGACAACAATCGGATCTACGCTAACCCACTGCCCTTGACATTCCTATATCCCCTTCCCTCTCCAGTGCGCTCCGTACTTGGTCTACTGGGCCTCAACTTGGCCAAAATCGACACCCCCCAAATCCACGGCCTCTTTGATCACGCAACACGCTCAGTTTGGATTACAGACCGCGCTCAATCACTTATACTTTGGCGCAGAGGTTTTTTCGGCAAGGGAGATCTGTCTCGAAGTGAGCCAAGCTGGCTTAATCGACAAGTCAATGCCCGGCGCGCTGCTGCTGAAAACCGTACGTAAATATGAATTTTTACTTGCACTATTTGCTTACGCTTTCAGGTCTTACGGCGGAGGAGTTAACTGCGAAAAGAAGGGCTGAACGCAAACAATTCAAACTTGATCGCGCACGCGCTATTGCTCAAGTCGCCGCCCAAGCTGAAGCACTGTTTGAATCGGAGGGTCGTGTCGTTATTCCTGCGCTCTCAGGCCCAAACATTCCGTCGGCGGCCACTTGGAAGCCTACTCCTCAAGACTCATCTACTCTGCCTCAACAAATACCATCAGAAGACGAGGAACCATTTCCAGACGATGTAGAACACCTACAGCTAACCTTGCCAGAGGCATTTTTCCTGCTATGGAATCTAGACTGCCTCGTCGTAGAAGACTCCGATGCTGTAGGCCAAAGCTAAGCTATGACTCAATTGAACTCATCGCTATGTGTGCAGAATCAACTCTTGAGTATCCAAGACATTTGGATAGCTTTCCAGATGGCATACCTTTCGCAGCCTTTCTCAGGTCCGCTCACTCTGACGCCTCGCCTCGAACTCGACAACCCATTCATCGTCAACTATCTCGTGTACCACCACTATCGCTCTCTTGGATGGGTTGTTCGAGGCGGCATCAAATTTTGTGTCGACTATATGTTATATAAGCGTGGTCCGGTCTTCAATCATGCTGAGTGAGTTCAAAAGACTTAAAATGCCTTAGCTAATCAACTCAGGTTCTCAGTCGTCGTCTGTCCCGTCTATGAAGACCCAGCTGATGAAGCCGCATCTACGACCAACCTCCATCACGCTGCCCCGTTTTCTTGGAGCTGGCTAAGCACTATAAATCGCGTTAATACCCAAGTCTTCAAGGTGGGAAGCCTGCAAAAATACGATAGCTCTGACTCTCTGTCCTAGACGCTCGTGTTAGCTTATGTCACGATTCCGGCGCATTCACGTGTACCAGAACAAGTGTTACACAGTCCTGCTTGCTTGCAGTATTACTCCATACGAGAGGTCACTGTTAGGCGCTTCATACCAGCTAGGATGCGCGATTAAATTCTGGTGGTTGTACATCTTGGTTTACACTGTCCTTTCCATGTCTATTTAATGGTCGAGAAAAAGCTCCTTCAACAGACGAATCGTGTGACTGGGTCCCTCCACAGTATGGCCAATCGTTCGTGGGTCGGAAAAGATCTCGTGGTCATTTCCTCCCTGGAAAAGCCTCAGATTATATGTTATGACGACGAAGAAAAAGTCGCACGGGGTCGGTTTTATCGCCAAAAAAGTGGATTTCCTCAAACTGCTCGTCTTCAACGCGCGAAAGGGCGTATCTCTTGTCCCATCCGTTCGGAAACACGTCAAAGGAGATCTGACCGCCGATGGAGAATGTGAGCCCGTAGTCTGCGAATTTTTCTCTGAGCACTTTCACGAAAGCTGCTCGGACTCCATTTGCCTGACGCGATAAGTAAGCGGCTGGAATCGACAAGGGACCAAACCTGATCGAATTGGTTGAAGTCTTTCCGCTCTTGAAGACTACAATCTCTGTCAGTTGGATTCAGTTGGCTGGAACAGAGGGTACACACGTTGCATTGCGACCAATTGGACTGACGTTGATCATCCCGTTACGGAATTCGACGAAGGTACCGCTGGAGAGAGATTAATTAAGGAATGCGTCTTGCAAATCTTTTGCCTACCGCTTGATGGGAAGGTCGAGATCGGCGATGTAGTGGAGTAGAAAGTTGACCAGGCGTTTGTACCGTTCTTCGCCGACGTATAAGATGAAAGAATCTGAAGGTAAAGCTTCTCCAAGTTTGTATGCAACCAGTCCATTTTCGTAGAACGCGTAATCGAATGCTTGAATGGCTGGAGTCGAAGTTTCAGTTGGCCATGCATCGAGTATTGATTGGTAACCTTGGGTGCCACGGACAGAGAGCTGCTCCTCAATCTTCTTCATGTCAGACCCACTAACGAAACCGATGGCTGCTTTTTTCCGGAGGGCGGCTAGGGTATCCAACATTTCTTGCGATGCGGCCTGTGAGATGCGCGATTATTTTATGGGGAAGTAACGCGAAGTCTGACGAGACCTGACGAGCAAGAGTGAGGGTTTCGTCCACATCGAAGAGCACAAGTTTTTTCCGATTCGCAAACGCAGCGGACGCCATCGCAGTTCGAATCTCTAAATGTGACACACACTGTGACTCGCTTCCAGTCAACGTCGGTTCCGTTGTGGGTCCTTTTTAAACGGTGTTCTGTAATCTGTGTCAAATCCAGTTTCCTTGTTCCTATTGTGCTATGGCCAACCACGTTTACAACTTGCCTGTGCCACTTCTCGAGTCCCTCACTCCTCGCAACTTTGTGGGAGATCTAGAACCAAAATTACCATCTTCTCCACCGCCAACGAGTGTTGCTTCGACATCAGCAGCTAACTCTCGCTCTTGCAACATTTGCAATGGGGCTACTTTCACTGATGTTGAAGACCAGCGTCAGCATTACCGATCGGACTGGCATCGATATAATGTCAAAACGCGCCTCAATGGTGGGCAAGCGGTATCAGAGACGGAGTTCTCGAAACTTGTGGATGGTATGGGCGACGAATAAAATATTAATTCCTCCAACTCACTCGTGTGGCAGCTCTTGAAGATTCCATCTCCGGTTCAGCATCGGAAGAGAGCGATTCAGAGGACCCCGATGATGCGGTAGACACTCTGGTGTCCAAAGCCACACGTAATAACAGGTCACCATCTCCCGACCAAATCAAAGCTGCGACCCCACAGACCGCAATTGCCTGGTTTCATGCCCCTCCTGCTACTCAAATCGGTGTCTATAAAGCCCTCTTTGACACGGGAATGCACCAGTCGGATTATCTCGGCCAACTTCGACAAATGCAACACGGAGAACGTACCTGGGCTATGTTTATGGTAGCGGGTGGTCATTTTGCTGGCGCCATTGTACGCGTCAGCGACGGAGCTGACCGCGGGCCGAATGATTCAGAGCCCAACTCGCAAAAGAAGAAACAGAAAAGGCCTAAGACTGACACCGAAGTGCTCAAACACAAGACCTTCCATCGCTATACCAGTCAGTATAATCAGCCCTCGAAACTGAATTTGCTCTGATTGATTGACTTGATAGCTCGACGAAAGCAGGGTGGCTCCCAGAGTGTGAATGACAACGCAAAGGGTCCGGCGAAGAGTGCAGGAGCACTTCTCCGACGCTATGGGGAACAAGCGTTGCGAGATGTATGCCCATAAGTTCTCTAACTTATTACATAATCTCTCATTCTCCACACAGGACATCCGTAACCTTATTCAAGACTGGGCCGAGGATATCAACGCTTGTGAGCGAATTTGGATTCGTGCCAGTGCGAGCAATCGCAAAATTTTCGTGGATTACGACGGCTGCGTGATTCAGAAAGGCGATGGACGGTTACGGACATTCCCTTTCCCAACAAGACGCCCGGTTCGTAACTTGCCTCATTCTGTTCGCGAGGGCTTATTTATGTGGGGCTTAGACACAATCCGAGGTTTCCCGGTGTCTCATTGAGCTAACTCGCGTTAAAACATCGCATTTCACTGAAGAAGCACTACGCGCACAAGATGAAGCACACCTAGCCTCTCGGCCTAAGCCAAAACCCATCCCTTCCACTGCTCCTGCCGCTAGCCCAGTCAAATTCAAACCAGTAAAGCTATCGAAAGAAGAGGAGTTCGTTCGTGAGAAGTGGTCTCGGCTGCTCGAAATGGTTGAAAAAGGACGACTAGAACCGCTAAAGTCTTTTTGGGAACGCGAAGGGGAAAGCCTTGGTGGCATTGATGCACCCATACCAGAATGGACAGGAGAGAAACACGCGACATTACTGCAAATGGCCGCCTATGCTGGCCACGACGTTGTTGTGGAGTGGTTACTGGAAGTCTTGCATGCCAACCCAACCGTCGATGTACCACTGAACCGAGTCGATCAAGATAGAGATAGCGACGAGGCTTCCGATTCATCCAAGACAGCGAAAGGTAGTCGTCGAACCGCGTATGACGTTGCTCGAAACCGCGCTGTCCGTGATGTTTTTCGCCGTTGCGCGGGCCTCCATCCAGACTGGTGGGATTGGTTTGGCGCTGCTAAAGTCCCAAGTGCCCTCAGCAAGGAGATGGAGAATGATCGAGACGACAAAAAGAAGGCAAGACGCAAGGGGTTGAAGGACAAAGTTAGGGAACGTGAAGCCAAGGCCAAGCCACCAGAACCGAACCCAGAGCTAGAAACCCTCTCGATAACTAGTTCAAATACAGCTAGCATCGTGACGGGACCCCAACGTTTGGGTGGCGCTGCTGGTACCTCAGAAAGCATCGCTGGCCTGACCATTGAAATGCGAGCAAAGGTTGAAAGAGAGAGACGGGCACGGGCGGCCGAAGCACGGTTAGCAGCACTCGCAAAATGAAGATTAGATTAGATGGGTACTTTATCTTACGCGGTCAGGTGACCTCTACTGTGTGTCCTTTTCAACTCCTCGAGATACTTGTGAGCCTTGCCTACGAATTTTTAGATGCGAAAGCTCTATTCGCGCGTAAAATATTCAAACCTAGCATCCAAATAGGAAAGGAAAATTTGAAGTTGGGATATGCGATCGCGCACGTCTTGTTGAATATTCCTTCGATTGCCTCCTGCGCCCAGGATCCATCCTATGAGAATATTAGTCATACCTTCGCAAGAGAGCTAAGAATGCACTGACAGGTAGCTGACGAGCCATTACAAGTGCGACTGCTCGCTCCAAAGGTTGTGGGTAAGGGTATTTGGCATACATCAATGCCATCGCTGCCCAACAAGTTTGCACGACTTGGGTATTTTCGTGCTCAACCCATTGACTGATTTCGCAACTCTATTCGAAGATAAGCCATACTCTTGCACAAAGAAGATGACAAGCACCTTGTAACTCTCCCCCCAGCCCCCATCCTCGCGTTGTTTTCTGATTAAAAAGTCACAAGCTCTCCTGCTGGCTTCGCTTGTGCCGTAAGTCTCGCCAACAAGGGCGAGAGATTCAAGCGCGAATTGCATAGCGTATGTGAAACATATGCCCCACGAACCGACCCATCCGCCCTCTGGTTGCTGACATCCATGCAGATATTTGATGGCGTTTCTGATAGTGCGCCTATTATATGGAGAGGTTAGTGGAGGTTTTGGGTCTTGTGGGGTGACATACTCGATGTCAGCAACACGGTAGTCGGGATAGTGTTGGCGGAAGATAGACAGAGAAGTTATGACCGAAGTGGTGCACTCGGGGTAGTTGTACTCAATCATAATATCACCTGCACAAGAATGAGGGTCATTCAAGTCAGACACGTCGACATACCGAACACCTCAGCTGGATTCAAGAGCTCTAACCATCGTGGTCCCCTTATTGGCTCATAACTAGCAAATCCTCCGCCAGAGTTTTGGAGCGTGAGTAAAAGATCGACCGCGTCATATATTCTGCGGTCGGAGACAAGTTGAGGAGTGAAGCTATTAAAACCGTTATAATCGGCTACAGTGCTCCAAAAAAGAACCAACTTCAGATTCTTCTGAAGGTAGAGCACTGCTTTCAAGCCTTCCCCAGTACAATCGCTGACCACGTATCCTTGCTCCTTGGTACTAAACTGTAATGAGAAGCCGCGAATAGTTCAAGCAGCTCACACAAACCTGAATCCCCAAGCACCCTTAGTCCCATGGCGATATGAGCTTTCATAGTGCTTGGGATTGTCTAATATCTGAGCGTCTTCGAGCCACTCCAACACTTTCAGCAGGCTGTTTTGGTTCTCGGGCAGTTCTGCAAGTCCTGTTTCGACCAAAGCTTGCGCTATGAACCCGATGTCCCACAATTGACTGCCGTTTGTTCCACACATCATCATACCCTCCGCTCCCATCCACATGAAGTCGTAACGTTTCTCCCTGTGCTTGCGAAAAGCCTCGCTTTCTACGCCCTCAGCGTGAACACGGGCTACTTGGTTGAACATTTTGGAAACAGGGCCGAGTGTCTGGTACCCAGTATTTTCGTCTTCGCGGACGATGAGCTCATAAGCTTTAGCTATCGCTGCTTGGCGTAAGGGTGGCAGAGCGCAGGATTCGTACATCCCCAGAATACCGTTCAGCATGTCGAGGAGAGTCGAATGAGGGGAATATAGATCGACGGCTGCGACATGATTACGCTGAGATGGCCAGTGAATAGAGTAATAATTCTCTGGATACAGTTCCTAGGAAAGTCAGCGTCACGTTTTTTGAATGACGGTGAGAGTGCAAACCTCACGCAATGCGAGGATGAGTTCATTTTCTGGCATTGTAAAACGGACACCATAGAGGTAGCTCATTGGGATGTAAACGGTCCTTGTATGAATCCACCATCGATGAGGATGGAATGGTATCCAATCAGGGAGTAGCCTACCATATTTGTTAGTGGGGGACTGCAAGAGAAGCAGAACGTGTGGACCAGAGCTCTGGTGGTACGGGATTATTCCCTGCGATAAAAATGCTGAAGAATGTTATCAGTCCATGTTTAACAAAACACACCTTCCCAATCGTAAACATTGAGCAGCGAGAGCCAGAATTTCCCCCATGATGGTATCGCAGTGGCTCCACCTATGGCACGTAAGGAACAAGACAGGGGTAGTAAGCTACACTTGCCTAAATGATGCAGAGTAGCCCTTGCCTTAGTACACACTGGATGATCAGCTTCGACGCCTAGAATACGCAAAGCCGTATAGTTCAGGCCAGTTCCGAACACCGTAGAAGGGCCCTCGACATGTCTATCGGTGGTCAGCTAGTCGTCGACTATTCAATCGTTGTTGTGGCCCACATTCCCCATCCACCATCTACAGCGTGGGCTCGATTCATTAGGTATCGTATCATTTCAAGCCGCTCTTGAATTGTAAACTCCATGCCAGAGATGTAGCTACCTGATGGTATTTTAGGTTGACAACCAGTTGCAATGCTAGCCATATACCAATGACGAGGCCAGGCAACAGAAACATAGGACCCCCATACTCTCCAGGAAAGTGGCCGTCATGAGATTGCAGATTTTTGTAGAACGCGAAGCCATTTTGGGCAGCTTCAAGAGGATTTTTGGCGCGCGGTAATGTGGGGCAGGCTAGGTCAAGTCCAAGCCAAAATTTATCGACAAGGTTTTGAGGCCAATTTTCAGCCTCCTCTTCGGTTTGGAGATAGTGCCAGCTTCAAAAGTTTCAATTAATGAGGGCTCAATGAGACCGGCTCAGACGCACGTATGCCGACCACTGTCGCTGACGCGTAATCTCCAACGAGAGTAGTCTGTAAACGACTTTGCCGCGGAAGTCTGTACGTCGAGTCGCGAGTACATGGTGGTTGTTTTTGCATGTACGTATTTTTAGCGATCGAACCATTTCTTTTGCTGCCGTCAAACGCGTGACCGTGACTCCTATGGCTTCCTTCAGAGATTCGACAGTTGTGGTTATCGAAACAGGACGTACAGTCATACGTGCTGGCCTTGGGCTCCATGAACTTCTAAAGACTCCAGCTGTGGTAGGTAACCCGCTTAGTTACGTGTTACCAACTCTGAGTGCTCACAGGAAGTTACTGCACGCGTCGGCCTTCGTCGAGACGCGTTGACAAGCGGTCATGTGCCAAATGGTATGGTCTACATCCCCAAGATGAAGTTCTTTGAACTATTTGCATTCCAGTCAAGGACTATTTAGTTGGCACCCAACTTGACGATGCACTTGCTGCAGCTGCCGATATTTTGGTGTCATGGCCATTTGCCGAGGGGCCTATAAAAGACTGGGTACAAGCTGAAGCTCTTTGGTGATCTCGTAAAATGATGTCACATCTCGTTGAACTAACGAGGAGCAGGAAACACGTTCTTTTTGACAAACTACAACGACGTCGCGTCCAAAACGAATCTCCCGTGCTGCTATCCATCGCTTCAGGTCTCTCCAGAGACGAATATGAACGGATCTGTCAAATGTTCTTCGAGCGCTTCAATGTGGCGGGCTTTGGTATCTTGGAGCGTCCCATGGGTCAAATATATGCTGCTAACAGTCTGAGTGGTGTGGTCGTTGACATAAGTCAGTTCCAAACTGACATTACCCCGGTCTACGAGGGCTTTATCGCCCGACAAGCCCGTGTCTCGACTTCTGTTGGGACTGGGGACTGCGAAAACTATCTTGCATATCTTTTGCGCTCAAATCAATCTGTTCTGGCCGCAATATCACCACCAGAGGCTCCTCTAGAACCTCAGAATGTCCACGCTACCCTCGTTCAGCTTGCTAGTCAGGTCTGGAGAGAGGGACACGTCAAAGTCCCCTCGGACGGAGAAACTGCTGCTACCGAAGATGAAGGGGTGACCGATATTGCCGCTGTTATTGTCGCGGGGAAGGAGCGCGCTCTTATTGAGAGCGGTATGAAAAAACGAGCAACTGCAAAGGCTTCTGCTGCAGAACAAGCCCGGGCGCGGGAACTCGAGGCTTTGGATCTTATAACGGTACAGTTTCGCGGACAGTCTGTTACATTGGGCAAAGAACGGCATAGATTTTGCGAGCCTTTGTTTGACCCAACCCTTCTACGTGCAATTCCCTCTACCTTACCAGAATCCACACCACGGTCTACTGAAGTGCTCTCGTGGTCTTTACAAGAAGCGGTTGGACATGCCGTCGCACAAACAGAAGTCGACCAACGTCAATATATATGGGGCGGCCTTTTCGTGACTGGGGAAATAACGCAGCATGTGAAAGGTATATTCCTCGTGTGTTTTGCCTCGGAAAGTGCACTTAACGGGTTCAGGGATCGGAATCGCGCTTCAATCCCGTGTTGCTCCGTTTTTAGTCAATCCAGACCTACAAACCGAGTTGCAAACAAGAGCGGTTCGGGTGCTCAATGTCCCAGACTATTTCCCCGAATACCGGGACACTGGCAATGGTTTCGCAGCTTTCCTCGGCGCCAGCATCACTGCCAAAGTAAGCGTTTGGTTCAGTTGCAGACAGTCAATTGAACTCGCTTAGATTACATTCAACGACTCAATGAGCAGAAATTTTGTATCTAAAGCAGACTATTCAAGTAAAGGGCCGCGCTCAGTGATCGAGATGGCGCCTTCGTTGTTGTAGTTGTTGTAGTTGTTGTACCATCAGCATCGACCCCACCGTTGTTGCCTGGCGTTGGCTTGAAACAAGATACCGTGACGTGTGACATGACCACTTCCAAGTTTACCTCCATCCCACATTGCGCAACCCACGATTTCTGACCCACAACCACGACCTAAACCCTCAATTTCTCATAATGCTCATAAGATTCTGATCCCTTCCCCACTTTGATGCAGACCCGGCCAACCATTGGTGAGTCTTTCTGCCTTTTTTTCACTCCTTTGCGTCCTCTCCGCCCGCCACCAGTTTACTTCACAAACACTCTTCCGCTCTTTCCTGACTTCTTCTTGGTACTAACTTTCCTAGTGATTTTTACCTTGGTCTTGTTTACGTGGCCACAAGGATCATCAGCCTTGTTGTGGGGCGGGCTCACTCAGGCAGGCACTTTGTCTTTCCCTGGACTATCCTCCAGCCCGATCGGCGTTGTGTGGTATGAGAGCAATGACACATGAGGTGTTTTCGACTCGTCCGACCGCTAGCACCACACAGACAACAATGTGCTTGTTTTCAGTTTGATTTCGACGCGGCATCGAATACGATGGTTGATGGGTTGTTCCTGCATTATCGTCTGCAAATACTGGCGGCTCAGTGATCTGGCGTGGTGGTCGGTAGGGTTGTCCTTCTTCCACTTACCGTGTTCTCACCGTTTTTCTCACAGATGATGGGCGGAGCAGTGGAGACCTGCAAGAGAGCACTGTTTTATAACACATGTCAGGCCCTTCTCTCTGTCTCGTAGTAGGTGAGCTCGTACTATCTCATCGCGACCTCCAGCAAAACTGACCGTGACCCCGTGACATGGATCAGATCTGAAATATCATTTCTGTTTGCGTCAATTCCGTTGCCTTCACCCACACAAAGCCACCGCCGCTCGCCAACTCCGACGTCCTTCGGACAACCCATCCGTTGCTTGCCACAGTGGCTTGGTCTTTCTCCATGACATGCCCCGCCTTCTCAACACCTCTTCTGCTCTCCGCAACCGAAATCGTATTACCAACAAACATCGTCTCAAAATCTTCAAGGGCGAACTCGAAACCGAGCCATACATCCCAGATGATGATGAGGAGAAGAGTAGATCTACGCTTGCCGTGGCAGGCGTTGACCAGGAGGATGCGAATGTGAGTAGCCTCCTTGCCACGTCACCAAAATCGATGTGGCTGTGCGACCCGCGGAACACTTATGTCATCGCTCAATTAGGAACACCATCTCCAAGCTGTTCTTTCAGAGGCCGCTCGACGCAACCAGGTAATACAGCGACCAATCCGTGGTGGTGCAGACAAGAAATTTCAACCAGCCACCGCCACAGCATACATCCCGACACCTGACTCAACCGGTTCCGTGGACAACTACTCCCAACTCTATCCTTCCAACCGTTGGAAGGACCCACTAACCTATGTATGCTCTTCGCAAACCGTTGAGGAGGCTATTCTAGATGGTCTTGCTCAAGATTGCACCTACTATATGGATGAGCGGGATAAAGACTGGCTGGACAAGAACAACGAAGAGGCTCGAGGGGAAGGAACTAGTGCCCATGGTGCCATCTCGTCAACTGCACGTATGACATCCCGAAGTGCCAAGGCCAAGGGCAAAGAGCCAGAGCAAGCTGTTGCCACCCTCATTACTGAACAACAAATGGAGCTCACCATGGGCTTATTCGAGAAGATTACTCACGAGAGACTAGAGCTTTTTCATTTGGTCAGTTGAATCTCGCCGAATCCTACTTAAGACTTAAATATCACAAGAGCATCACTGGCATGGAGTTTCCGACCTTCGCTGATTATTCGGAGGTTTTCAAGCAACCTCTTCACCCGTCGAACTTTGCTGCATTACAGGTTCCTGTCTGGGTCCCACCCCCACAAACCATGGTTCAAATTGCTCGTGCGATCTACAGTCACTGGAAAGATCGTAAATTGGAACGTGAGGGTCATAGAATAATGCCAACACTCAATGTGGGTCTAATAAAACTTTTGTTCTGGCTTGTTTCTGACAAGGAGCAGGGAGATGAGAACGATCTAGCAAATGAATCCTATGTCTGCTTTCGTCGACGAGAGATCAAGGCTGTTCGTAAAACCCGTGCTCAAGTCACGTCTTCTGACAAGCTCCAACGCTTACGAGACGAGTTTGTACATCCACTGGATCTGGCCAAACATGTCCTTGCTAGGGAAACCATGAAGCAGGAAAGTGTGCGGCAGTCACAGGATGTATGGGAGAAACGAATGGCAATCGTCGATTTGAAGCGCAAGTATCCCGCGCTTGTAGGTGACGAAGAGCTGTTGATTGATAAGGAGCGACCGGTGAAAAAGCCAGAGCCCTCTTCGCGACTAAGTGGATTACCGGGACTGAAGATCAAGACCCCACTCGAGCCCAGTGCCCCGACACCGCGGGTCGAGCCAATGATGCGACCGCAAGCGCGCTCAGCCATGATTCAGAGCAAAGTCGATATCGAAATGACAAGACAAAAAGATCATGGGTGGGAGGATGGCGTCACGGTCAAGTCTTTGTGTTGTACCCCAGTTATCCAACTGACATGACCGTAGAACTCGTATCAAACTCCCTATTCGTCATTGTCTTCGAAGCTTTTCAGATTCCCATCTCCTCCAACACCTCAGGTTGAACCTATCTCTCGCGGGGTCCGTGTTCGTATGGGCCGAGGAGGTCGAATCATGCTCGATCGGCGGTCTACATCATCACCCAAGATTGTCATTGGTGCTCGTTCGACCTTGGTTGGCTCATCTGCTTCTCAAGATGTCGATGAAGAGTCTTGGCAGAAGATGAGAGAAAGGTGGCGATTTGATGTAGACGATGAGCCAGTTATGGGACCGAATGGGTTCGAAGAGCAACATCGTTCGCTCATTGATGAGTATGACCCAACGTACGTGTACTATGCATTATTCCTCGTTACGCTGAAGTTGACACCGTCGTAGGTACTTGCAGCATCATTCTTTGGGACTTTTGACGGACACTGATCACCAAACCCTGGTCAACGATTCTTCATTGCGCTTTGTGACGAGTGATGGCAGTCAAGAAACCAAGCCAGGATTTAGATTGGGCATTCCATACATGCAACGTAAAGATCCAGTCCCCCGAAACCCCGCCTCTGGCGTGACACCTATGATTTCACAGCAAAGTGGGTCAGCAGGAATGAATGGAGCGCCCGTTGCCACCCAGATGAAGAAGTTGCAACCAGCGCCTGGTCCGCCTCTTCGTATCTCGTCTAACGGTGGAATGCGACCTCCTTCCAATCATACTTCGCCGCCACAATCATCTAGTCATCCCCAACACTCTCCCAGTCCTCATCCTCCCATAAATGTCCCTCATCTCGAGCAGCCTCCTACGCATGAAGTACAGCTTCGCACGACCCATGTGCCAAGTCACCCACTTCCGGAGGCGGCCTTGTCCCAAGAGGGCATGATGAACGGTTTTCGAGCCAACTCTCCTGCTCGTCCGAAATCACAAAACCAGTTTGTGAACGGGACTCCGCTGAATGGCTTTCAAGTGACTTCGACAACAAATGGTTATGGCCATTACCTGGTCCAGCCGCCGTCCAACTTGAGTATGCAACAGATACAGAACCTCAAAGCCGCATTCTCTGTTAACTCGCCGAGCCCGAATCTTCAACATCAGCAGCTGCCGTCGTCCTATCCATCCAACTCGAATAACTTTGCTATGGGAATGACTAATAACGGAAATCTCAACCTCAAACTCCCCGCTTCTCGCCAGATGAACTGGACGCCAGTGCGACCGGGTTCGGTGGTGAACGGAATGGGGGAGAATGGAATAATCCAACATAACTCTCTGTCCCCAAGCCCCAACCATCGACATGCTATACCTATTCCAGTGCGGACTCCGTCTGCAAATGGAGGAGGTCTGCGACCCATGATGTCGATTTCGCCTCACCAGCATCCTTCACCGATGATGAGTCAGTCTCCTCCACGAATTCCTATGAGTTCTCCAGCGATGCAGGCTGGGGGCTTTCCTGGTGTCTACTAGACTTGTAAATTTTATTGCTACGATTATTGTCATACCCGACTTTTGTTACGTCAGTGTACTTTTTTTCTTGTAAGCAGTGTAGTGTATTGCCGTAATTGCCATCATTCTTTCTTGATGTCTCGTACTGACTATGTCCGTGCTTTACCCCGACGAGCTTCTACCTCTGGTCTGGCTGGCGCTCCCAAGGTGCAGCGCACATCCAAGACTTCTCAGAAACTAGTCGTATTGCCATCTGAACCGCAAACCAAACCACTTGAAGACCAGGACCTAGCATTTGGCTATGAGACCGACACTGGAGTTCGCGAATATAAGAGCGCAGCAGAACGTATGACAAAGCAGCAGCGTAAACGCGCTGGCTTCAAGCGTATCACTGCATACTGCGTATGCGAGTCATTCAACTCCAAATTGCTCAGCTCCTTTCTCAAACGCGAACATAATGTTTCTCCTCGAGTCTTTGATGAGGCTATCTACGTGGTACCTCTTTTCCTCTCCCAGTCCCTCTCTTTCACATATCATTCAGATGTACCACCTTCCACTCTTGCCAGGTTATGGACCAAATTCCAACATCCGCTCCTCGGTCCCGTCCAAACTAACCACCGGCAAGTCGATATTGTCGCGGTTATCGGAGGCAGAAGAAGATGGCTACCAGGGTTCCTATTTTCCAGCCCCCCGTTCTCCAAAAGAACACCATGACGGCTATATCAGCTCTTCGTCTCCTGTGTTTACCCGTCAAACTTCATTTCCACACGACACTCCTGCCTCCGAGCAAATACCAGAGACGCCTATATTCGATGCAACATCGTTGCCACCTAGTCAACGTTCACCAGAAATCCTGTCTTCTAACGATGTTCCACCACCACCACCACTTGCAGCACCAGACGAAGAAGTCGCGGAAGTCATATTTTTTGATTACGGGGTAAGTGCACTTGTTGGCTGAGATTTGTTGCATGACCGATCATGCGACAGGTCGTCGTCTTCTTTGGGCTCGACGAGATCCAAGAAAAGAGTGTTTTAGAGGACATCGTCAATGCTGGCATCATGAAGAAGCAGTTGGCAGAGGACGACTGGGAAGTTGAGGAGTGTCATTTTGCAGTTCGTCATTCCTCCCAATCAACTGACAGTCAGTTAACGGATTCTTCCAGCATGATCGCCAAATTGCTTATCCTAGAATCTACAACGACTTTTTTACCCTCAAGTCGCGTTCTCATCTACTTAAGCTCTCCATCGCGCATGCGCTGGCCCAAAGCACACTCCTTGCTCGTTACGAAACCAAGGCTCAACAGGTGCTTTCATCTCCGCTTACCTTGTCAATCCCCAACCAACTGGCGACTTCCGGCGCTTTGCAACTACGACGTCGAGAAGCCCTCCAACTCATGGGCGATTTGTTCAAGCTACGGTTGCACGTGAACCTCGTCTCGAATGTGCTCGATGTCCCCGAATTGTTTTGGAGCGAAGCTACACTCAAGGCACTCTATGACGCTGTTAGGGAGTACATGGAAATCAGCGGACGTGTCCAAGTTCTGAACGAGAAGATTGCGGTGGCCAGTGACTTTGTGCGTCAGAATACCCAAACTCTCTTCGTCTACTTAGGTAGATTTTTCTTTTTAAGCTGGACGCAATCCACGACCACCTGAATAACTTTGCAATGGAGCGGATTACTTGGATCATCATTTGGTTAGTTTCCTCTCCAAACCAATCTTTCAACTCGCTGAAGAAATCAGGTTAATTGTCGTCGCGATTCTAGTCGAGCTGGGTGAAGTTGTTGCCCGTCTTATTGTGCACGCAGAGCCCTCTAAGGAACAAGTGATGGCAACATTAGAGCGCATGATGTCGTAGTCTAGCATTGACATGGGGAGCATAATACAATCGTAGTAGACGCAACTCAAGCAGTGTTACCCTCTGCAAAGTTGAGCAAGTCAGAGTCGCCCTGGTCCGAGACAGTCATGACACTTTTTCTATATCAGAATGGACCTGAAGAATGAGACCAAGAGTAGACGCACCCAACACGGAAGAGCTTTCCAGCAGCCGTACCCAGAGCGACGTTGGTGCCAGAAAAGTGGTGAACGGTCGTTTTTGAGAGCATCGCATAGTACTCGAGTTCAGATTTGCGAAGAGGAGGGCAGTTACCCGCGATAAGAACAAGTTTGGCTGCAAGATGAGTTAGTTACAGGGACCTTCTCAGCCTCACGCTCCAGTCCCCGAAAAAAATGAACAACGTACCCTTGCCATTCCTCATCTGCTTCAGTGCCGACTTGTACCCCAGGCTGTATTTGCCCGATTTTACGACAAGCGCCAACTTGGCCGCGATGGACTCGGATGATTTTGCGGCTTTGGACTTTTTGGTGGGCGCCATGGATGCGGTCTTGAAGAGGCGTGATTGTTGTGACCACCTGGCTAAGTCACATTGATCTATGATGAGCTCTGTGATAGGGGCAAACAAATCAATGGCTGATTTCTTCGTCGATGTACAGCCGGGAAGCTTCGCTTCATGTCTAAGAACCCGTCGGGTAAGTATGCGATTTTGCACATTTCTTCCTCTGTTGATATTTGTCGAGCATTTCGCCAAAGGAGAAATATTGACTCTCCTAGACAAGGCCACACACAGCGATAATCAGGCGTATAGTTCGGTACAATGCGGGAAAGGCTTGCATATCGAGCTCAATTGCGAGTTCCTTTATGGCAAGTTGTGTCGCCCTCAATGTTCGCGTGTTGACGGCATCGTGACAGTCAACCATTCATGCGACCCCAATACTTTTTTTGATCTCTCTCACAAAGACCGCCATAAATGGCAGGTGCGAGCGGCGAAAGACATCAAGGCCGGAAGCTCAAGTGAGCCAATTATTCCCTTCTTGTCAAGAGAAATTGAGTTTCCAGTTACATTCTTTTATCCTAGCACAGAGTGGGAGATGGATCAGCCATTCCAATGCACCTGTGGAGCCAAAGCAAGAATTTTTTTCTTTCCGATTGTCCACTCAGTTAAAATTCCTCGCAGAGCTGCTTGAGATGGATCGAAGGTGCTAAAACTCTGACCCTTGAGACGGTTAGCGAGCGAGGCTTTGTGAATAGCTGGATCGGAGAATTGATGGTAGAGAGAGACGCGTCGCTGACAGAATGATTACATATCGCGTTTGATTGCTCTCACGTGCTGAAATACCTCTCTGTTGACGACCTCCTCGATGTCGGGTGAATCTGACCCAGAAAATACACCACGTCCTCAGCGCATACGCAAGCGTCTTAGTGATGTCCACGATGTCAGCTTTGCAGACTCACCGCCGCGTCAACAAAGGTCGAGCATTAACGACGACAACGCCGAAAAAAGGAGACGTCGAAAGAGCACCAAGATTGCCATTATAGAGCAGCCAGGACCCTCAGAAACTATGGATAACAGGGACGCAGCTGAGACATCGCGTACTGCCAAGCAGAAACTACCTCTAAACTCGGTGGCAGCGCCAGTCGTAGAGCCCCCAAGACTGGAAATCCTTAGTTCAAATTTCGACGAGTGGATGAAGATGGCCACCGACAATGTGCGTATATCTTCGTCGAAACCTACATTCCTTTTTACTGACCGTCTTAGAAAATCAACGCCGGCAACTCATGGAACTTCGCGCTCATTGACTATTTCCATGACATGTCCCTTCTCCGCAACGACGACGGGAATACGATCAACTTCCAGCGCGCCTCTTGTACATTAGATGGCTGCGTCAAAATCTGGACAAGTCGCGTCGACAGTGTTACAACAGAGACGGGAAGGTTGCTCAGCAACCTCGCTAATGATGGCAAAGATGAAGAAGACGACGAAGGAAACGGCTCAGATAATCCAGACGAGGAGGGAACGGCTGTCAAGAAGAAAAAGTCCCATCGCCCAGCTGCTACTCTCGCCAAAGATCCAGCTCAGTTGAGGAGCAAGAAGCTTGAACTCGAGTTTAGCGTCGACCCTTTATTCAAGAAGACAAGCGCGGATTTCGATGAGGGCGGTGCCCAGGGCTTACTAATGAACCATCTCAGTCTCGGTACAGGCAAAGGAGGGTGCTTACGAATTATTTTCGACGCCAGTGACTCGGCCGCGCGAGCGGAAGGCGAAGAAGAGGAAGATATGAATGAACCGGAAGAATCCATTGATCTCTCAGAACTACGTCGTATGTCCTTGTGTCAATTAAGACTGCCTATGGGCTGATCAATGACTTTTAGAATTTATACCTGATCTGACTGTGTTGGACGACAAAGAAATAGCACATTCCCTGGCGGACTTTTCTTTCTCCAAGCCATTTGTTTCCGAGGAAGCGACATTTTTCCAAGATAACACCCAGCCTTTTGACGATGATGACGACGAGCCTCTTCCTGCCGAGTTTCAGATGGATGTGGACGGTGAAGATCCACCACCAGTTCAAGATTTCTTCATGGCAGACGATGGTCCTCACGACGACTTCGGTGGAGACATGATGGGTGGAGATGATTTCGCGGGTGAACACACCTCAAATGGTTCTGGGTTAATGGCGGAACAGGGGCCTTCTGGTTCTGGCACTGTCCCCTTCGATCCTCGCAGACCAACAAATGACCTCGTAATGGCCATGACAGACGGAGACCACGAGGGAGGGATGATGGACTATTTCGACAAAAACTTTTCCAAAAACTGGGCAGGGCCAGAGCATTGGAAAATGCGAAGGGTCGTTATCCGGAAGCGTAAGAGTTTCCTTTTAGTTATCCATTCATCTCTCACGACTGCTCAGCGGAGGGCGCCGATGGGAAGCAAGGGACAAAGCCTCGTCGGGAGAAGAAAGATCCGTTCAAAGTCGATTTCATGACACCGAATGAGAAGAGCCTCAAGGAACTAACGAAAGAGCTTTTCGCCCCAGTCACCAAAGGCGCAGGTATCAATTTACCTGGCACTGGCCCAACTGCACGCAAGAGTAAGAAGAAAGGTAAAGAGAAGAAGGACGATCACTGTTTGCCCGACGATATGCATTTCAGCAGTCGACAACTTGTATCGCTATTCCTCAAGCCCAAGTTCCGGGTACGCTTGCTTTTTTAGTTGCGATAGCTTGCGTTGACGATCATTCAGCTCAAAATGCGTGGCCGCAATGTCAAGTACAACGAAGATGGCGATGGTGAGGTGGACGAGAACTTCTGGGCTCAAGCAGCAGCAGACCAAGCCGCTGGCCGTCAAGCTGGCGATGATGAACCTGGTGGGATTCTTCTTTATGACTTGACACTCGCATGGCTCATTTGTTTCTTCTAGGTGGGGAAGTGATGCCCTTCAATACCCAATTCTTCCACGATGACTACGACGATGGACCTGGGTTTGATGATGGATTTGACGACGGAGATGCTCTCGCTCCCCCGGAAGCAGACACAGACGAGCAGGATTTGCTTGCTGCAACCCAGGGCAAAACACGCAGAGTCCGGCCTGACTTTGTCAATTATGCAAAGCGCGCCAAGAGAGTGGATGTGCGAAAGCTCAAGGACAATATTTGGCGCGGATTGGACATTGTCATCGCGAAGCCAAAAGAGGATGCAGAAGAGGACAATATGGTCATCGACGACACCACGGACGATTCACCGCCACCAACTGATCCGTCTGAGGCTCGTGTTTTCAGCTCCGTCATTTCTGGCCTACAAAAATCATACCCACGAGAAAGAATGGAGGAAATCAGCACCAGTTTCTGTTTCATCTGCTTGCTGCATCTTGCCAACGAGCAAGGACTCAAACTCGATTCTGGCATGGGTGAACTTCCTCCGAGCGATGCGGTTTTGGACAAGAAAATAGGAAATATTTGGGACCTCAAGGTTTGACTTGCGCTTCTGTGTCTTTTTATGACTAATTTTTATTTCTCTAAGATTTTCCGGGACCCTGATGCGACGCAGTCGGCGTGAAGATGACAAAGCCATATAAGTATCTGAATCTACAGCCTAAGTTTATTGCTCAGTCCGACTACTTCTGTTGTAACATTACAAATAGCTTACACTACCACTATGAGTTTCCAAACATGTTCTTGCTTGACGAAAGTTCGGCACCAAGCTTGTAGCCCGTAACCTGCCAATGCTCAGTTACCGAGAAAACCGTGCAGTCAGACTTGCCCTATCCCAATCAATTTTCTGTCTTGTTAACGGCAAAGCGCGGCGCAGACTCTTGAATGTCTTTTCACCCATTTCTTGGTACGTGTCGTTGAGAGAGATTTGGTACCGGCCCTCCTCGTCTTCGATTAGTGCCAGGATTTTGGAAGCAGCCGCGGGTGCTGCAGCCGAGGTGACTGCAGCAGGTAGAGAGAGGGAGACATCATGAGTCGTCGATAATTGAACCTTGGTTTCGGGTCAGTCTCTCTTCACAGCAAATCAAAAGGGCCCGCTGACATTGCCTTGCTCGTAGTAGTGGACATTGACGAGAATCTTGCCGCGGAGAGTGCTTTCGTTCATATCGACGCGGTATTCAGACCTCCATCGGCCTGACCTAAGCGCGTTTAGTCGCCTGTGTGTTACGGAATTTGTCTCACCAGTAGTTGGCAGGATTATATTTGTTGGCAACCACTTGGATGACAAAGTTCTTGGTTGAGCCTTGAGCTGAGAATATGGACGCGACTCCATCATGAAAGTGGGCGTGTAGATATGTCAGAGTCGATTTTTCCAGGGCGGCTCTTTATCAGTGAATGAGCAAATGAGGCACAGCGAGGCTTGGAACAGTCCACCGGAATGACTCTGCTTCTGAATCGGGTTCAAAGGGCTGCGGATCGGAGGCTTCCTGGAGGATGCCGATAAGTGTTTGAGCAGTTAAAACGGAGCGAATGAGCCAACGAGAGTTAGATGGTCGAAGAGGAATGTCATTTTTGACCGTGGGTCTACAAAGCGCTCTTGTGCTTCTTCGGTTGGATCGAGGCGTGCCGCGTCGCTGACAATCGACTGAAATCCAAGTCAACATTGAAGAAAGCCATTTGGTGGATTGGTGAACCTGATGTTCTGCATTAGGCACGTCCGCAGTCATGAACTGAGTGAGGTTATATTCTTTCAGGGCAGGAAGCACCCCGGCATGGAGTGAGTCGTCATCCGAGATAATGTTGCGCACATCTACGCCGAATTTTGGACTCGAGGAGAATTGCCAAACGTAGCTTGACATACCATTAAGTACGTCGTTTATTTCTCCGGGCGGCGATTGCAGAAGGAAGCTTGAAGCAGCCTCGATTCTCTCGCTCGCGTTCATGGTGGTAGGAAAGTAAGAAGCTGATGCCATCATCAATCTCAGATCAAGTCTTCAAACTCAGAAACTTGAAAAGCTCAGTATATGATACACAAAGTCGAACTAAATAATACACGATTAGAACGAAAGTAATTAGTTTGGTGCTCAAAATTCCTTGGCCCAAGCATTCCACAATTTCTCATATCGGTCTTGCTGGCGGGCGCTCAGCAAATAAAACTCGGTCACTGCCTCTTCTGGCAACTGGAGCATCGAACCAGGTAATAATGTTTGGGTCCGGTCGACATCGGTTGGTGGGAAGATTGTCAAAATGTCGCTCGTCTTGATGCGGGCTTTGGGAGAGTTTGTAGCCAGAAAGACGCGGTCAGATCCAAACGGCCTGAACGTCGAGACATCAAGAAACCGCTCTCGTGTCTTGTGGGATCGTGTAGCTGGCCATAAACTCAGGTGAGTGACTATCAAAATCTATGCGTAGCTCAAAAGGCACCTTGGAAAACAACAACTTGGCGCGCAACGATAGCAACCCCAAGACTACCCTCCCTCATCTTCTCTGGCTAGACAATGACTTGCATGAGTTTTATACTTTTGCTGTGCCCTTGTTCCCAAATTGATCAGTTGTTTTTATTCCCAAAGTAGAACAAAAGAGACAATTGGATTACGAAACTACTAACCGAAGAGTACAGTGTTACATTTACAGGCGCAATTCGTCCCTCCACTTCCTGAAGGAAGGAAAACGAACATACTCCCTATCTAGGAAATGGAAGGCATTAGAGTGGGCGTCGCAGCCTGAGATGTGGTTGCCAACTGCCCATCGAGACATGGTGGATGCTGACGAGAATAAGATCCTCGAGTTTTATATGGTGCGGTCCAGGACCAACTCTCCATCTTGGATCAGCGTCGTCTTCCATCGGTTGACCTTGTCTCTCCTGCAAAAATAAAATGGTACTGGTATTCTTACCAGAGCTCGATCAGCTTACCTGAATAAATCTTTGTACACATTTGGCAACATTTTTAGCGAGTTTGGCGCGTGTAATTGGGCCAGGGGGACTACGGAAGTCTTTTGTTGGGATCTGTCGGCTCCATTGTCTGTATCCGGGCCACTAAGAAGAGCAAAGACGAGTCAGATGCCGTGGGAAAATAATGAGCGACCAACCTCGAGTCGAATAGACACACTGGGTCCTCGGCCTTCAAAGACGGTCTCTTCACGCTTCAACAGGCGTCTGACTCGAGAGTGCAGCGCATCGGCGAGGGGAATTCCACATTCTGAAGGATTTTCGACCCAAAAATGGATTGGCCCTTCTAGGTCGACTTCCTCAACGTACCGACGGCGGTCGCTGTTAGTGTGTGGCTTGTACATGAGTTGGGGGACAAAAGGCCCGGATATTCCAGCCGTGGGAAGCGAAAGAGCATCTTTGAAGAACTGCAGCTGGTCTCGATGGGTGTACAGCGAGTTGGATCGCCCTTCGGGCTACAAGCTGAGGTTAGAATATTGCGAGAGCAGCCAATTAAAGACGCTGGACTGACTCGGGACTGCGCGAAAGACAGCAGAGGCGAGTTACGATCTGGACTCGGAGATGCTGTGAACCCCTGCTGAGTACCACCGGGCGTCGTTGGTGGAGTCAAATGAAGGGGTGGCGTAGTGTGTGGTGAGACATTTTGCGAGTTGTAGTGAGGAGACAGCAGTAACTCTTGTGATCCAGCGGGCGAAACGTGTTGAGCTTGTGGGTAGGCAGGGTAAGGATTGCTATAACCGAAGGCGGGGTCTGCGACGTAGTCAGGCATCATATAATTCGATGCCGGTGAATGTATAGAGCCGGAAGAAGACCTCCGAGGAGCTTGGCTTTGTCGCACTGGCCATTGTTGCTGGGAAGTCGTTGCGTAGGATGACTGTAGTGGCGGATAGACTGCATTTACAATGTCATGTCCATGTCCAAGAGCTGCCGACTCGTCGATATGAATGTTGTAGTCGCCTGCACGAAGAGCATGCTGCCAGTGGGGGTCTGGGTAGGTAGCATAATGGGAAGCAAATTGTTGAGCTGGGTCGTGAAACAACTCCTCGGCTGACGCGTTGTGTTGTTCTGCACTATATGGGCGATGCTATTTGGATGAGAGTTGAGGATGTTGACGCGACGGAGGAAATCTTGCACTTACAAAGTTGTGGTACCCCGACATGGGACGAGAATGAGATGGTGAAGTGAGGAGATACAGTTTGGCGAGGGTTGCCTGTTTGAGAAATAGGCGCGCTTGGCGGCGGGAGGCGGGAGAGCGTACTGTCTGGTCAGCGTCGGGCTTGGTTATAAAGGACTCTCAACTCACTGCATTACTGTCGGTCTTCCTCGAAGAAAATCTTCTAACGATTAACGACCAAGTTACACGGGTAATCACTGCCTCGTTGCCGAAACGGCGAAGCATTCACTGATGGAAAGCCTCGCTGATCTTGACCGCGCTGTTGCCGAACCTCTGCCGCCTTTTGCCTTGACTCCATCAAGGGGGTCCTGGCCATTTGTTGTTAGCGTTAAGCTGGTGGTTGGTTAGAGATGATTCAAAAGACACATTCACCGCAAACCGAGGTGAAACAGAAATTTGTTGCTTACGGTCACAAAGCCATGTGTGCCGCCATAGAATATTCTATATAGAAGGAGAAACACAGCTTTGGGCGCGCGTCGGGGTCCTTTTGGCATTTGCGTCGGGGCGGGCGGCGTACTTGGCATTTGAGGGTTGATGGAAGTTCGTGATAGAACCTGTCACAGAACGCGTGACAGCTCAAGCAGTGTTGACATTCCGCCGCGATGTCCTCTCTGGCTGGCGCCCTGGACCTTCCAGTGAAACAAACAACACAGGTGGTTCAAGATGAAGAAATGGAAGATCTCTTTGGCAATGACGAGCCTGAGTATGACTTGCAGTACGAGCAATGAATGGCACTAATCCAATCAATTCATAACCTTAGAGTCGCGTCAGCCGTAGCCTCAGAGGACGACATTCCCACCGAAGAGCGAGTGAGAAGGCAGGCGCAAGAATATGGGGAAGATGACCCACCTCAAGAAATGACTGTCGAAGTACGCGAAGCACTGGTTGAGTTTCCAAACATCCCAGTCCCAAAAAGTTCGAATGGAGACGTCAGCCTCTGCCACTATCTCGTGAATCTCAACTCAACCAACACAGAACTGGATCATTCGAATGCCCAATTTCGTCAAAGTTGACTCCAAACCGTTCCATCCGGACACTTATATCGGACCAGAACATGAGGAAGAGGAGCCTCAGCACGTCGAAACGCTCCGAGAAAAGAGCATGACGATAAAACTCAAAGTCGAAAATACGTTGCGATGGAGATGGACGAAAGATGCAGAGGATCAAGACGTTAGTTGGAGTTGGCCTTGTTTCTTTATTTTTTTCATGTTGACGGCTCTGCAGGTGAAACAGTCCAACAGTCGAGTGATAAGGTGGTCAGACGGGTCTCTGAGTCTTCGTTTGGGCAAAGAACTCTTCGACATTAATAAAAGCAACGATGCGTCCGGAGGCACCAACGCCAGTGGTTCATCTTCGACTCCTGCGAAGACGAGCCAAGGTCTGACTTACATCGTCGCACAACACAAGAGATCACAAGTGCTGCAGTCCGAAGCGGTCGTCACGGGTTATATGACCCTTCGTCCTACAGGAATGCAATCAGAGACCCACCGGATGTTAGTTCGTGCAGTTGGGCAAAAGCATAACAAAGTGGCTCGTCTGAGGATGGCACCTGATCCAACAATGGACCCTGAACGCGAAAAGGTTGAATTGGCCAAACAGAGCGCGCGGAGGCGCCGAAAAACCGATTCAGATGGGAGTAGAAGACGGTCAAGGAAAGCACGTCACAGTATATGGAGCGACGATGAAGATGATCAAGGCCCAATGTATGGCTCTGATGACGAAGAAGAAGAGACACCAGGACGAAAAGCCAAGTCTCGTGTTCAGGAGGAAGACAAGAAAGCAGAATACCAGCACGACGGCTTTGTTGTTGGAGATAGCGATGATGAAGAGAACGGGTCAGAATTTGGAGCTGGGAGAAAGGACGACGAGCTGGATAGACTAGATGCCCAAATCAGCGAAAACGAAAGCTCCGCGAAACGGCGACGAGTCTCGAACGACATGGATGTTGAAAGTGAAGAGGAGGATGATGATGAAGAGGACAAGGTCAGACCAGTCGGGAGGTCACGCAGGCGACTGGCACAAGAAGATGATGAAGAAGAAGGGTAGTAGTTAGGAGTGTCTGTGCCCTTTATAACATTTTTGAACTACTACTACTACTTACGGACAGCCCCAGCACTGTCCACCAATACGCCATTGTCGTCCCACTTTCCAGAAGGCTGGATGGAATCTACCACAGCTTGATTTTCTGCATTTCCGTCGAGAAGGTTGTGTAATGTGAAAATGGCATGCTCGCGAAGATCTAGCGAGGTGGTTTTAACCGTGAAAAACCAGGTTTCAAGGGACGTACAAGGGTTCCTTTCATCTACCACACACAGATTCATGACCACTTCTATGCCGCCACACTGCCTAGCACGGTCTTGCACTGCTTTGTTCTCGTGACAGAGAATTCCAAGTAAACGGACAAGATCCCTTTTTAGGTAATTGAATCCAGTGCTCCCATCACCACCGACGTTTGATGGCTGTGCCCGCCCTGCGTCGGGCACAGGTTTCCCGAAATTGATGCGTGGCAGAAAAATGTCTAGAAGACGAAGTAGTTCTGCGATAGTTGGCTTCAGCCTACATGTTCAGATACGGAAAGACTTGCCGGTGAGAGACTCGACAAGGCCAACAGCACCAGCCCTCGCTTCATTGAAGTAATCTTGAGATGATTGCTCGATGCCCACAGAAGACCCCAAAGTAACGGTTAAGATGCATTGGGCGACGAGAACTAACGCTTCACATGCTTTGGGTAGCATTACATCTAATGACCCAAGCTGTGCCGGAGACGGAGAGAGTGAGTCCCGAATCGAGTTTTGGGCATACGTAGAAAGGGTAAAGAAGCTTTTAGCCAGCATTGGACGTAGTTTGGAGTACAAGGGTGTTCCAAGAGGTGTTGCTGGCGCAGTGGACATGCTGGCCGACTGCAGGTATGAATCCACGAGTTTCAAAAGTGTAGTTTGGTGAGGCGTGATGACTTCGTCCTTCCTATGACGGATGAGAGGTTTTTTGAGTTGAAAGGCAGTGACATACACGCCAAGACGCCCAAAAAGACTGGGGACAAGGTCTGCATCCATGATCCTGGAGAAAATTCCGTATCTGGATTGAAATAAGGACGGTCATTGATTGTGAACCGGCGATGTTACCCAATATCGAATGCCTGTGCCTCGTCGGTTGACTCCTCCGCGTCATAGATCTTGACCATATCATCCAGAAGACATATGCACACTCTCACTCCGATTGCAGTTCGCGTCAGCATCTTTCTATCAACCAATCAGCAAAGGTTGGCTGCGCGGCTTGGACAACCAACATCCGGGTCCTGCTTCCATCGATGCAGCTTAGAATGACTATGAGCGCAGCGACCAGCGTGCGAGGGTCCGGAGAGGCCAAAAGTCGTCTGAAGTCTTTGAGTGTTGTTCAGAGGTATAAGTATTTGCTGGCCACATTAACACTACTTGATCTTCAGGGAGATTCATATAGGAGCTCCATAATTTTGACGCGAGCTTATCGTTGCCGGACACGAGGTTAGCAAGAGCTTGGGAGAGTACGCGGGCCACAAGGAGGGCTAAAAACTGCATTCGGTTTCGAGTAACAGAGGTTATGTGTCTCTACCTTCTTGGTCTTCGAGGAACGACCATGAGGTATAATAGTGAAGCAGGCGTCGAATGGAAGGCTCGTTTTCGCTGCAGGTCGATCAGATTGTCGTGGAATTCAATCTGAACTGGGGCATACAAAGCCTCGATTTGATTTCGAGGGACTCCAGCAACAAGGTTTCTCGTGAATCGTGCTAGGCTAGCAGACAGAAGACGGAGAGTAGATTGCTTTTGTTTCTCTTGATCAGCCACTGTTTCATCGTCTGAATCATCGTTATCCCAGAATGTTAGCTGGGCTCGGCTAAGGTCGTGCCAAAGTTTTCGGAGATCTGACCATATCAGCTCCTTCTCGCCGAGTCGCTCTCTGAATGGAGGTTAAGTATTGATGTCGGTGAGGAAAATGGCTCATTGCAACGAACCGGAGAGGCTTGCTCTGAGCCAATTCTGTAGTAATGGGTTCAAGAATTGCTGCCAGCGAGGAAACACTGTCATGAGAGTTGATATCGAAGGCACTGGGAAGGAGTGCAAACTGGATAGTGGCTTCGGGCATGCAAGCTCATAGACGTAGGGTCACAAGTGAAGATATAGGTTGGTAGAGATCTTGTCGGTTTCATCGTCAAACAGACGTCACAGTCAATCAATGTCTGCTCTCAACATCTCCCTCGAAAGCCACCTACATGAGACAGTAGCACCATTGCACTCATTACTGCCTGATGAACTTGCTACTCAGTTAGCTCCATTTGTCCTTGGCACGCCGCCTTCAACGATACCACACTCTCTTCTACTTTCCATAAGCAAATGGTCTCGGTCGTCTGACGGCATTTCAGTGCTTCGAGCTGCTTCACTTGACCCACAATCCTATACTATGATTGCTCTCCTCGCCGGCACAACCACTTCCCCAGAACGGAAATTACCAGCCTACATTCCGGACCAGAGTCCTCAAGACGTTGCAGCAGCCCGCAAAGCAGAGAGGAAGGCCATCACCACTCTCGTCAATGCACTTTTGAGTGTGTTTGGGTCGGGTTTTGCGGCATGGTGGGCAGCTGACAAAACAGGCTGGAAATATGAATGGGTGTGCTTCTATTTTTTTTTCAATTCTATTTCCTAGTCCAATATCCCCCATAGCGCGTTCTATTTGCCCTTGGTGTTGCAATCGTCGTGGCTGTTGCCGAAGCGGGGTTGTTCCTCATATGGGAATCCCGTCATTCTAAAAAGCTTCCCAAACGGAAACTCGAGCACTCCTCGAAAAAGAGAGAGCAGTTGCAACCTCCCATCGACCCCTCTCCAGTCGAACATGATGGAGCTTACACTGGTCTTCGTCAAAGAACGCAGGTTTTACTTCACCCAACAGAATCGTAGATTTGAACTTGATCACGGTAACGTGACATTACAACAGGCAAATTAACGCGTTGAAAGAATGCTTCGTTCATGCTTCTACGAATAACGACTTCAAAGTCGACGAGAGGAGCGAGAGGTACCAGCCTGTTAGTCCCCATACCTCGATTCTACCCTCTGTTCCGGGCCCAATTTCGCCCTGTGGTGGTTCGGTTGAGACACTGGTCAGGCCGCTATTTGGCGGCACCAGATCGGAAACGTCTATAGCGGAATACGGACGCTCATTTCTGAACAGATACGCTCTGAGCCTTGTTGGATTGATAAGCTCTGTCAATGGCAGGTGAAAGACGAGCTCGACTTCATCCTTGGAAGAAGAGTTTTGGATTGCCGAGATGTCAATGGATGGCAAAGCTTCGTCGTCTGGATCTGTCTGAGGCTTTCGTTCTGCTGTCGTGTGTACAAAGCCCTGGCATTGATGTTATTGTCACGGTTGATAACAACGTCAAGACGTTCTTACCACTAACGGCCAGACAACATCGCCACGTAGGCTGCGTTCTGGCGGATGAAGAAAGCCCAAAGGTTCCACTCTGTTGCCTTGAATACCCAGTTCTTCCATCGTTTCTCGTAAAGCAGTGTCGATGAGGCTAACATCCTCTGGGTCTACCATACCACCAGGACAACTGTCGATGAAGTAAATGAGTCATGAAGCTTGATAGCTTCGTACCTAACTTCACCAGAGTGCGACCTCAAAGTTCGCGATCTGACTTGTAGCAGTATACTGCCTACGTCCCGTACGTTGCACAACGAAATAAGAATTGCTGCCGTTTTGGTCTTGTCCACGTTGGTCCATGGGGGAGATGGGGGGCCATTCATCAGCGCTGTCTGAATGGCACGTAGATGTTGGCGAGACAACGGGCGGTTTAACATCGCTCTAAATCCGAATGTGTCAATATATGCTACTCCGGACTAGACGATGTGTCTGGCCTTTTCTAATCCTCAAAGCGAGTCAAAGGTGGAAGGCAGGTTGTGATCATGACGACATCGCACGTGATGCTCTGACACTCTTAACCACCACTACAATGTACTGCTGGTGAAGATGCGCGGGTATCATATTCGAATTTCAGTTACCTTGGAATCTACCAATCAAACATTACCCTTCGCTCCGGGCTCCATTTTCAACCCACTTCCTGCACAGACACCGAGACCAACGGCGCGTCAAAACGCGACCTATAACCCAAGACACAAGGATTACAGACGTGGGCCTATCCGTCTCGACTGGATTGACCTTGATATGAGCGATAAATCAGCACAGAAGGCACGCGAGAAGGGTCGCGGTACGGCTTTCAATAACCGTTAACATATCTTGTCCTCATTCGTGAGTCAGAGCCTGCGATAGCTACTTTCATCGCGAGTGAGACTGTGGAATCTGGGTCAACCAATCTTCCTTCTGGAGTGGTGCATTTATTTCGCCAAGGGGCTGGCAAGTTGCCTCAAGATCAGACATCCTCTTCAGCTGTTACTGCAGACGCACCAGAGCAAGATGGTATCATGCTTGCAGTGCTGGCGGTTCCACCATGGATGACTCCCGCTGACTTTCTAGCCTTTGTGGCGCCAGCTTCAGAAGGGATAACACACTTACGCATCATACGGTTCGGTCTCTTGTTCCAATGAAAAACTTGGCTCATGTCCAGAACAGAGACACAATCCCAAACCGATCGATGGCGGTCATCAAATTCTCTCATTCAACTCGTGCATCTGAGTTTGTGGAAGCCTACAATGGCAAGCCTTTCAACTCATTAGAGGTAATAAAATCATCCGATTTCGGACTACCTGTTTTGACGATTACGCCCACCAGCCCGAGACTTGTCACGTTGTTCGTGTTCTCTCTGTGACAATGGAGGCCGACGATCCCTCCCTCTCCCTCCTCGCGTCTACTCAGTCACTCTACGAATTACCGACTTGCCCTGTTTGTCTTGAACGAATGGACGCCGCAGTAACTGGTCTTATCACTGTGCCATGTTCACATACGTTTCATTGCATGTGTCTCAGCAAATGGGGAGACAGTCGATGTCCTGTGTGTCGATACTCGCAGAACCTTATGTCATCGCATCCAGCACCAGCCTCCTCCTCCTCACGTGCCATCCCCTTTTCCAACCCTTCCACGCCAAACCAGTCCGCTTGTTCATCGTGTTCGTCGACCACAAACCTCTGGATTTGTCTTATCTGTGGAAATATTGGCTGTGGGCGCTATGGTCGCGCTCATGCACAGTCTCATTACCAATCGACAACACATCTCTACGCATTGGAATTGGAGACCCAACGTGTGTGGGACTACGCTGGTGACGGCTACGTTCATCGGCTAATACAGAACAAGGCTGATGGCAAGCTTGTTGAGCTTCCTAATGCATCCTCTTCAATGGGTACAACCCAGAGAGATGCGGATGGAAGTCTTGGCCCTGGTCCCGCTGACGCCTTGAGTGCGGAAAAAATTGAGGCAATTGGAATCGAGTATTCTTACCTCTTGACCTCTCAGCTGGATTCGCAGCGTGCATATTATGAAGACCATGTCAACGAACTGAATGCTCAAGTCGGTGAACTACGAGGTATGCTAGAGCGATTGAGCATCGAGTTCGAGAAGGAAAGAGTTTCGACCCGAGCAGAGATGGATCAACGGAAACGGGAAGATGAAGAGAGAGCCGAGTCCTTGTCCAAAGACAAAACCAAAGCAGAATCACGGGCGGAAAAGCTTATGGATTTAGCCCGTCGCCTCGAGAAGGAACTGAGCGCAGAACGGGCGGTTAGCGAGGGCTTGATGCAAAACCTTGGCAAAACCAAAGAAAAGCTAGAACATTCAGAAAAGAGTAAGCAAGAGAGCGCAGCGAAAATTCAAGATCTTGAGGACCAACTCCGGGACGTCATGTTTTTCCTGGAAGCAAAGACCAAGATTGAGCAGGGGGAGGGAGTAGAAGCCGAGGCTGCGGGTGGCTCCATCGCGATAGTTGAGACATCGAAATCAAAAAAGAAGAAAAAGAAAGGTTGATGTTGGTACATGTGTTTTAGGCTCCTGTAGTAGCCTTGAGAGCGAGTCTTTGTCCTTCTTGCACCGCAACCGCCTATTGCATTTATGAGAAGTTGCAGCGACCTAATTAATGGACCAACCTCCTCCACCCACGGCAGCTGGAAGAACTCGCTTCTTCTAAGTTCCTCTTGTCTAACAGATAACCCCTCAGAAGCGCCGCTACCCAGGACAGTCTCGAGATCACGTGATTGGGATTCCAACCATGTCTGAATGAAATGCGCCGGGTCCTGCGCGAAAGATTGAAGAAAAGTGCGCTTGAGGTATGAATTGTGTAGGGACTGAGCATGAGTTGAAATCTGTACGCGGTAGTCAATGACTGGGAGCAACAAAATAAATGGGGGCCTCACTTCTTCATCCAACTTGGCTAAAGTTTGCATACTCTCTTTGTTTCCCTGGACCATGACCGTCGCTTTACCCTTGAGCGCAGTGTCTTCCATCTTGACTTCCACGTCCCAAGCGAGAGGACGATCGGGTGCAGGGACGTTGGGGTCGATTGTGTAGTGGAGGACAATCGGTTCTGGAGTGGCGAGACAGCGGTTGACGAGTTCGGGAAGTTGCTGAAAAGAGAATGTCTCTTTGCCGTTAAAAATCTGCCGTTGGATGTTAATGCGTAAGAGGAGATGGGGGATAAATTACATAACGTAGTTTCTCATCCGAGTGGATCATCCGGCGGTCAGCCTTGTCTTGAAGGCCTTGAATCTTGATGTAATTCCACAAGTGTTGAATTACGCCGACACGTGAGTCCTCCTTGATACCGAGAATATTGCCTAGTAGTAACAAGTGAGAAAGCGACATTTGTAGCCAAGTTGTCCTACCAAGCTCGGGTACAACGCGGTACTGTTCAGGGAATTGCTCGAGGTTGATTATGACGCGCACTTTGGTAGGCATGTCACCCGTCCGACGAACCGTGAAGCCATCGAGTTGGGGATTCTGAGGGCCAATAGCCCGAGGCCACTTGAAAGCAATGTCAAACATTCATTGGCCAATGAATTGTACTGCCAACGCACCTCGACCATATTGCCATCGGGATACAATGCTGGGTCTCGGTCGAGTTCAACTATCATGCGCTTGATAAACGTAGAGAACTTTCTCAGCGAACTCTTGTCCCTCATTCGTTGGTTGGGAAGCTAGTCGTTGTTCAGCGCGAGCACTGACAACTAATGCTGAACGCACCTCTAACAAACGTCCCTCGATCTTCATCGACCACGCAGGTATCCCTTCACCAGTATCAAAATTAGGCGCGTCATTGAGGTCTGGGGTGGTTTGCCAGGCTTGCCCCGAGACAGTATGGCTCAAAAATATTCTGAGCGTTCTGGTCGTCTATAGATGGGGTCAGTTTCGCAGACAAGAAATAGTTGAAAGAGCCCTACAGAGGGTGTACGGGCAAGGGCGTCTTGAATTTCAGCCTTTTTGCGCATCATGGTCCAGTCTAGCTTGCGCTCCATAGCAAGCAAGTCTTGATACATTTGTGAGTCTTGAGCGAAATCGGGGTTATGGAGAATGGCATGAGGAACAGATTTGTCTGTAATTTTGCGCTTTCTATGAGGAATCAAGTTCTGTAGCCGAAAGAAGGTAGACAAGGAGAATTACTTCGCAGCTTTGGGACCGTCCATGACTGTTGTGTGTGTGTGTGACAATGATGTGACAAGTGGAAGTGAACGTCAAGCTAAAAGATTGTCGATGGATGCTATAAGATACTAGAGTCCTAAGCGAAAGCAAGGTATACTATGCTGCTCTCGCCAGCATTATTACGACGCAAAACCAACTTCATAGTCTCCCCTTCTTTGCGATCGAGCCCGCGCCGCATAGACTGGTGTTGCCCCTTCATCACTTGTGTTATCTCGGTATGGACTTTGGCCCCCAGGAGTATCGTCTCGGAAGGGGGACATCTCATCGCCAAACGGAGAGTCATGTGACTGTTGATGATGATACGGTTGTTGCTGGTAATCGTAAGGTGCGTTGGCGGCTGCAGTTTTCTCTTGTAGACGAGCGTTGTCTGCTTCCGCTGCTGCTGCCGTAGCTGCTGACGCATCACCAATACCAGCACGTGTTCCCCAACCAGTCTACCAGAAAAAGTCAATGTTGAAAGAGGTGCAAGGTCAAAATAGCACACCTCATGGAGCGTGCACAGCGCGTAGAGTTTCATGATGGCAAAGTAGTAACCGAAGAGAATGAACGCGGGGACATAGATAATGTCTTGAGGTCGTTGCCATAAGTGAGGAAGTAGCTTGGCGGTACGTGTCGCAAATAGCCACACGATATAGGATGCGAGGATATTCCTGGCGGGAACATGAATTTTTGAAAATGACAGGAAAAGAACTATCGGCGACAGACCACCACGGGAGATGATAACCGCCCTCTGAAACAGGAATCGTGCTCTGAACCATTAGACGGGCAACAAAGACCGGGCCTATTAACAGAGTGAATGGGTTGAAGAGTTTGTCGACCTGAGGATAAGATGTGTAAGTAAGGGTCAATGGAGCGGAGATCAGCGGAGTTCTGACCATCGTATAGGCGACGTAAGGGTGTGACGTCCAAATATGACGCTCCATGAAAAGACTGCGCAAGTCTGACCGCCAAGTGTTCCGTGTCCAGCGTAATACCTGCTTAAGGAAACGCCAATTTGGTTTCATCGTACTAAGGAGCTCTGCCTCCTTGCAGCATTGCACGTAGGTGCTCCAGCCATGTGAAACCATCCATCGAGTGAGGAATTTGTCGTCGCCAGAGTTGAGCTGGTATTTTCCCAGCCAGTAGTCATGAGTGAAGCCATGAAGGAAATCTGGGTCTTTGAGAATGATTGTGCGATATGCAGCAGTACGACCTGACAAGCAAGGAAGACCACCGTCGATATGGGTTGAGGAGGAGATTTCGATATTGCGAATAGTCAAGCGAAATGCTGCGAGGACCTCCCAGACAGTCATACGATCACCGACAGGTTGAACTCGTTGACTGGTGCCTACACCGCCAACCTTTTGGTCCTCAAAACAAGCGAGAACTGAAGGGAGGAGAGTGGGAGGCCAGATAGCGTCGTCATCAGCGAAAACGATAATGTCGGTCGTTGTATTCTTGATGCCGTGGCTCATCTGGAGCCGTTTGTTGGCAAAAGGGACGGTGAGAACGCGGATGCGCTCTGGGTCGACAGCGTTTGCGAGAGCTTGGAGCTCCTTTAACATTTTCTCCTCGGTGATGATGAGAATTTCCTTTGGCTTTCCGACAAGCCAACTGCGGGCAGCCTCCTTAAACTCCTCGCCTGCATCAATGGTGGGGACAATGATCGTGACGTCTTCGGCGGCGATGTAGGTCGGATTCTCGGGCAAAGGCACTGGGCGGTATGTGAGGGAAGCAGCTATACGGATGAGGTACCAGAGGTAGCGGTAGAAGCTAAAGACCCAAAGTCAATAAAGCAACTTGGATGCGAGGGTAGGGCAACGCACCCAATGACGCCAAAAGGAACGACTTGAAAATATGTTAGCGGTTGAAATGCACCAGCAACGAGTACTCACAGACAGGAAAGAGGTCGCTCGTAAGGTAAAGCATCTTGGGCGGAGGCCCGCCGCTACGAGCTGAGTGACGGGAGGTGAGGAAGAGTTTAGTCACGAGCTGTCACTTTCGCTGCCATCATGGCCAGTCTTGTCGCAATTCTTGACCTCAAGGGCAAACCACTCATACAGCGCTCATATCGCGACGATGTACCTCCTTCATATGTTGAACGCTTTCTTCCAATAGTGCTGGAGATCGAAGAAGATGGCCAGCAGGTCACCCCTTGCTTTTCAAGAGAAGGAATAAACTACATGCACATCCGCCACTCGAATCTCTACCGTATGTCGGTCATAAACAGCCCCCCAATGATAAAATTAACCGCTCTAGTATTGGCTCTCTCTAAGCGCAATGCAAACGCCGCAGAAATCATCCTATTTCTCCATCGCATCACTCAAGTCCTCGTTGAATATTTCAAGGAGCTAGAAGAAGAGAGCATCCGCGACAACTTTGTGATCATCTACGAATTGCTGGATGAGATGATGGACTTTGGCTACCCACAAACAACAGAAAGCAAAATTCTCCAAGAGTGCGCCCCAGTACAATTACACTCTAAAGCAGTCCGACCTGACGCGTTTCGCAGATACATAACGCAGGAATCCCACAAACTCGAAGTTCAAGCTCGTCCTCCACCCGCCATTACCAATGCAGTATCATGGCGGTCAGACGGGATCCGGTATAGGAAGAACGAAGTCTTTCTCGATGTTATCGAGAGCGTAAATCTCCTCGTAAACGCCAAGGGCGATGTCGCTCGCTCTGAGATTCTTGGTGCCGTCAAGATGAAGTGTTATCTGTCTGGGATGCCCGAGCTTCGACTGGGTTTGAATGACAAAGTGATGTTTGAGAACACTGGACGTAGTATGTCCTATCTCTCTTTCATTAAACGCGGCTCTTGACAACCTTACAGCCGCGCGAGGCAAAGCAATAGAAATGGAGGATGTTAAATTCCACCAATGCGTGAGGCTTGCCCGTTTCGAGAACGACCGAACAATCTCCTTCATTCCTCCCGATGGCGAGTTTGAGCTCATGTCGTATCGACTCTCAACTCCCGTCAAACCGTTGATCTGGGTAGAGGCGGCAGTAGAGAGTCATCGAGGTAGTCGGGTCGAGTATATGGTCAAGGTCATCGCACAGTTTAAACGAAGAAGCACAGCAAATAACGTGGAAATCTATGTTCCCGTTCCAGACGATGCTGATAGTCCCAAATTCCGGGTTAGTCTCAGAGAAGATCGTGTCTTTCTGCCTGTTGATTGACGCTTCGCAGGCTTCAACGGGTAGCGTTCAATATGCGCCAGACAAAAACGCGTTCGTTTGGAAAATAAAGCAACTAGCAGGTGGAAAGGAGTTCTTGATGAGGGCGCATTTTGGTCTCCCCAGTGTCAAGAGTGGTGAGTAATGTTCTTGCTTGGGAAAGTAGTTTGCTTAATGTCTGGCAGAGTCGGAAGTTGGGAATCGGGCCCCAATCACGGTAAAATATGAGATTCCTTACTTTACCGTTTCTGGTATCCAGGTGCGCTACCTCAAGATTGTTGAGAAAAGCGGTTACCAGGCCCTGCCTTGGGTGCGGTACATCACGCAGAATGGTGACGATTACAGGTAAACAAAGCTTTAAACTCGGAATCTCAAGACCTTACTTCTTTCATCCAGTTTACGAACAGCACATGAGAAGGGTAGCGCGCCGATTAGACAGTCAACATAATGTTTTTTTTTGTACGATAAAACTGACTACCGCGTGACACCCGTGACATTCTTTCCAATGAGCCAGTTGAACCCGTATGGCCGGGGAGGTCTTTACTCAGATGGGACTCCCTTGTCCGCTCCCCTAGCCCACCCAGTTCCTCACCAACCTCCTCCTCCATTTTTACCCAACAACAACGGACCGCTCCTTCAAGAAGATGGCAAAATCTATTCACTTGTAATTGAGCTCATGGATCCCAATACCCGTGAAGCTGCCCTGCTTGAGCTAAGCAAGAAACGCGAGCAATATGATGACCTAGCCCTCGTTTTGTGGCATTCATTCGGTGTGGTTGCTGCTCGATCTTCACCATGGACACTAACGGGTCTCCGATAGGCATCATGCCTGCGTTGCTCCAAGAGATCGTCTCTGTCTATCCTTTGCTTTCCCCTCCCAACCTAACGGCCCATGTCTCCAACCGAGTTTGTAATGCCCTTGCCCTCCTTCAATGTGTGGCGTCCCACCAAGAGACGCGTCAGCTCTTCCTCAATGGCATGTCATGGTTCATTCGTGATCTTGCTTATACTTATCAACTGCTTGCAGCACACATACCTCTATTCCTATACCCATTTCTCAATACGACATCCAAAACACGACCGTTTGAATACCTTCGACTTACCTCTCTTGGTGTCATTGGCGCGCTAGTCAAAGTAAGGCAACAGTTCAGCCTTGAGCCCTCACTGAGGTATCGCATAGCAAAACGATAATACGACTGTCATTCATTTCTTGCTTTCGACGGAAATCATCCCATTGTGTCTGCGCATAATGGAAACGGGCTCAGAACTTTCCAAAACGGTGGCCATCTTCATCGTGCAAAAGATCCTCCTCGACGAAACTGGCCTGACATATATCTGCCATACCTATGAACGGTTCTACGCTGTTGGCACGGTGCTGAGCAATATGGTCAATCAGTTGGTGGAAACTCAGGCGGTCAGACTGTTGAAACATGTTGTCCGGTGTTATCTGCGTCTCAGCGACAATCTCAGGTAGGCTCCTGCATTCTAAACTCTAGATTTGAACTTGACGCGTAATCCAGAGCACGCGAGGCTTTACGCGCTTGTCTACCCGATCCTCTCCGAGACAATACCTTCAGCGTTCTTCTCAAGGGTGACATGGTCACGAAACGGTGCTTAACAACTTTGCTCAACAACCTGAATGAACCATAAATGTACCATATAAGAGTGTTTTTGCGGAGATTTAGTCCAAACACTGTATTCTATCTAGCAAAAGTGTGTGTACTTATACCTACAGTATGATCATGAGCAAATCGTCATCACGTCATTTGGAATGTTTTTCTAGACCACCATGACCTTTTCTCGTCCGTCCACCATGAACACCACCAACTGTGTTCACTTTGTCGACGGCCTTTGCGTCCGGTCATCAAATGCTCCTTGGTACTACTCCTACAAGGTTTCCCTCATCGACGGCGTCTCAGATCAGCATCTTGCATTGGGAGCTCCAGTTGTTGCCTATTGGCTTCTCTCCCTTGCCTTTCATTACCTCGACACTCGCGAGTGGAAGGCCCTCAAAAAGTATCGCCTCCACGATTCTCCTGAGGTTGCCTCCACAAACCAGGTCACTCGTGCTGCTGTTATTCGAGGAGTCATTGTCCAGCAAATACTCCAGACCGCTCTGGGTCTATTTTGGGTTGATGACAAACCCCATAGCTCTGCGAGCCATGCTGAGGAAATATCGCGAATCGCCCATAGACTTGCTCCACTCGTTGGATCAGCGGACGGTGTTGCATACTGGGTTTATTGGTGGGCTATACCAATCATCCAATTCCTTGGTGCTGTGTTTGTTCTTCCACTTGCCCTAGTAGCCTCAGCTTACGACTAAAACAGTTTTCTCGTCGACACCTGGCAGTACTTCATCCACCGCTACATGCACATCAACAAGTTCCTCTATCGCAAAGTCCATTCATGGCATCACCGTCTCTACGTTCCCTATGCCTTTGGAGCGCTGTATAACCACCCTTTGGAAGCCCTACTACTGGACTCGCTCGGCACTGCCCTTGCGGAAACGTTGACTGGAATGAGCACTCGCCAGGCCGCATTGCTCTTCACCACAGCAACCCTCAAAACTGTGGACGATCACTGTGGTTATAACCTTCCCTTTGACCCTCTGCAAATGCTCTCATCAAACAATGCGGACTATCATGACATTCACCATCAGGTACTTCGCCCTTTTGCGCATTTTTTTTCCCGTCTCACTCGTTCCAGAAAATCGGAATCAAGTCCAACTTTTCCCAGCCATTCTTCATGCATTGGGACGCGATTCTTGGCACACAAATGACTCGACAGGAGATGGAACAACGCCGGCAGAAGGCGAGGGTCAAGGTCGAGTAGTTGGCCAAACAATTTTCACCCCCCTATTATCTTACCACCTGGACCCCATGTAATCGGTAGCTGTTCATCACAACTTTGGATCTAATAATATACGCGTAGAAATGTTACCAAGAAGCAAGTGCCTCCCGGGTAAGAGGTACACTTTCCATCTCGTATTCGACCTCCACCCTGGGACCTTTTTTCGGTTTCTTGTCCGGTCGTTTTCTTGAAGTGGGTGCAGCTTTCCGTTTGCCCAATGTTGCCTTTGGCCTTTCTTTTTGTTCTTCTCCGCTGTCCGAATCATCTTGATCTGAATTGTCTTGCTCTGCGAAGTCCTGTTGAAGCTGGTTTAGATGCCCTAGAGTAAACAAATTGAAAGGACTCACGGCAGCATCTTCCAGATCGCTAAGGCCATCTCCGTCTTCAGACTCGCTCACATCGCTCACAAATTCTCTGTCCCCCCAATCATCCATGTCCTCCAACTCTTCCTCGTTTTCTTCATCGGTCTCGTCTGCTTCTAGCTCTAGTCCATCCTCCAAGTCTTTCCCGTTCTTTTCCCGATCCAAAACCGCCTGCCACACATTTTCGTTAACATTTAGTGGAGCGTCGCCGTAGGCCTTTGACTTGAGTCGCTCTATGAGCTCCTTCTCGATCGAACGCTCGATATGTGCAGCGGAAAGAGCCTTTCTTTCTCGAACAGCTTCCCGACGATCCAACTTCTTTTTGATACCCACAAGTTTTGGTCTTGGGTCCCGTCAGTTACCAATAAAAACAAGAGTTGAACGCACTGTTGACGCAGCTTCATCCTCCGCATTTTGATAAGGTACTGAGTGATTTTCGTGACGCGTTGTTTGCACTTGTGAATGGTGAAATTAGGCCAGTGTACCAGCTCAGCATCGATCTGTATAGTGTTAGCACGCAGCGAGAGGGTGGGGGCAAGTGTGAAGACCTGCTCCAGAGCCTTGGTATAATTGTTGGAGAGTTTTATCTTCTCCCACATGCGAGCTGGGGAGTGTGCACGCTCGATTGTTTTGACATAAAGGTAGAGGATTCCTTCGTCTTCTCTAACGGTAGCATAGCGTGAATTCGCAAGGGGACAGGACTGCCTGCTGCAAAAGCCAGTAACATTATATTCGTTTCGACAAAAGTTTTGTGTTGACGTTCTACGGGAACGATTAGGCTCAACTGGTTGAGGTATGTGCTAATGTACCCACTTGACTTTATACGAGCAGAAGCCGGGATTGATGCAGGACCAGATTACATCGTCGCTCTGCATACTTGAGGTAGAAAATAATTCGCGTTACGTGTGTGACATGACCAAAATGGTCGCTGCAGTCAACGGCCACAGGCCCAAGTCAAAGAATCAGCTTCGGCGGCTCAAACTCAAGCAACGCAAGGCAGATGCTGTGGCAACCCAAAATGACGATGCCCCTTCAGCCATGAATGTGGATGACGAATCCGAAGAGGATAACAATGTAGAGTACGTCCCAGAGCAGTTGGATGCCAGCGAAGGCTTTTCCGACGTGTTTGCTCGTTTTCAGCTGCCTACAGAGGCATCTTCTGTGCGTACCTACCTTTTGGCTTGGGCTATACCCATCTCTTGTAGGGAAAAGAGAACGCACTCGGCAAGGGTGAAATAATATACTCAGACGACGATATGGCTTCAGAAGCAGACTCTGAAGACGAGGAGAAGAAGCCTCTTTCGAAGAAGAAAAAACGGAAACTCTCCCGGTTAACCGTCGCAGAACTCAAACGTCTAGTCAAGAAACCAGAAGTTGTTGAGTGGACAGATGTCACTGCTGCTGACCCCCGGCTCCTACTTCATCTTAAATCCTACCGAAACACAATACCGATACCAATACACTGGTCAGCAAAGCGCGACTATCTGCAGGGAAAGCGTGGTATCGAAAAACCACCATTCCAACTCCCCTCCTACATCGCCGACACGGGAATCGCTACCATGCGAGACGCTGTGAAGGAGAAGGAAGCGAATATGAGTCTCAAAGCCAAAACGCGAGAGAGGGTGCAGCCAAAGATGGGTAAAATCGACATCGACTACCAAAAGCTCCACGATGCATTCTTTAAATTTCAGACCAAGCCGCCCGTAACGGGATTCGGCGAAATGTTCGTTCGCCTTATATCACTATGTCTTTCTTACCTGTTTGTCCAGGTACTATGAAGGCAAAGAGTTTGAAACTTCTCTCAAAGAGAAACGACCTGGGGATCTCTCGCCTGAGCTTGTGGAGGCCTTGTCGATTCCACCCCTTGCCCCACCTCCATGGCTCATCAGCATGCAGCGCTTCGGTCCACCACCAAGTTATCCTACGTTGCGTATCCCTGGTCTCAACGCACCAATTCCTGAAGGGTTTGTTCGTCATACGTGCTAAATCAGTCCGACTGATTCGTTCACAGTGCACAATGGGGCTTCCATCCCGGAGGTTGGGGTAAACCGCCGCTGGACGAATATAACCGACCACTGTACGGAGACGTTTTCGGTGTTCTTCCTAAAGCAACAGACGCTAATGTAGGTGCCCACAAAAAAAATCCAACAGAGTAGTTAACCGTCATTTCAGATGGGAGAGCCCATTGACAAATCTGTTTGGGGTGAGCTCGAACCCGAAGAAGGCATGTGTTCCTTACTTTTTTTTTTCTACTTGCACTAACTTTTTTTTACCTCAGAAGAGGAGGAAGAGGAGTCTGAAGAAGAAGGATCTGATGTTGACGAAGAAATGCCTGCTCCAGCTGACGGACTGCAAACGCCATCTGGATTGGAAACGCCCTCGGGAATGACCAGTGTTGTTTCGACTGTTGCTGGTGGACTTGAAACACCAGACTTTTTGGAGTTGCGCAAGGGCAGAGCAGCATCCGAGGTCCACGACGGACCCCGGTCGCTTTATCAGGTCGTACCAGAAAAGCAAACAAGTGTGCGTGGACTTATGGGCAGCGAGCGAGGATATGATGTTAGCGCTGTTGCTGGGGGCTTGCCGGTGCTTGGGGACGACCGATCTTCTTCTTCAAAGGTAAGTAGTCTCATCTAGTATCATCCTGGCTCATTATACTTTACAGAGGAAGAATGGCGTTGACGTCTCTATTGACGCTGCTGAACTGGAAGGCATGTCTGAAGAGGAACTACGGCGGAAATACGACGCCCATTCGCGAGGCTCTGCTGGTGTGCCCGGTTCCAAGGAGGACTTTTCAGAGTTTGTGGCCAAAGAGATGGCTAGTCGCGGTAAAAAGCAGCAGGCTCAACAGCGCGATCGGGAGGCAAAAAAGAAAGAGTTCAAATTTTGATATTTTTTGTACAACTCCCGCAGCAATTACTATTTTAGGCAAAGGCGGCGGTCACCACAAAGCTGATGTCATCGTTGAATGAAGCTGTGTTGTCGAAGTCATGGACCCCGCCATTGCTGGCAATAAAAAGATTGTTGTTGAAATGCCTAAAGAATCGTGTTGGGTAGCTCCAGCTGCGAATAGTGTTTCCCTGGGATGATTATTAGACGAATGATCCTCATGGGCAGAAAACACCGACTTGTCCGTTCAAACCTGCTTGTGGACAGAACGTCGCGTCTTCGCGGAAAGTCTGGGAGCCATCATTGGAGTTGACTTGCAGAGCGAAGTTGAAGTGCCGAAGGTAGCTGTTGGAGGTGTCCCGAGACTGGAAAGAAATGCATCCACTGTTGGCCAGACCACTAACCACATTCCAGCTGGCGGAGAGTTTGAGCGCATTGGAGCTGGAGGAGCTGACGACTTGGGTGTTGACAGCAGTGCCATTATGGGCAATATAACGAGTATTGAAGTTGGGAGTTGTTACGCGGAAGGAGACGCTAGAGCCAACACTGATTGAAGGTCCACTGACAAGTGAAGTCGTTGCATAACCAGCCGCGACGATGTTTGCTTGGACGGAGTTCTCCGTCGCATCGGAAGGGTACCCAGTCGTCATCACACCCTCGTAGAAAGTGCCTTGGGCACCATTACTGTTGTCCCCACCGATTCCAAGGATAATTGCTCCCTCTCTGACCCAATCACGTGAGTAATATTGCACGACCAAAAGAAACTAGCATACTTGGACATAGGCGAGTACCCACCAACAGTAGGCCGACCTCCACTGTAGTAAGTTGACAGAGAGCCAGAAGCAGCATTTCCCCCGCGAATAGCCCATAATCCAGGTTGGCCTTTGACAACGGCCGTGATGAACCGGGATGTCTGAGTAGGATCGCCCGAGTTGAGCTTGGTGCCCTGTCCAGAGAACAAGCCATTTTCGAGATCAGCCATAATCCAAGGGCCATTTCCGGAGCCCGTGCCCCACACATTGTTGTTTCCAAAGTATATTGCCTCCATATGTCCATTTCCTAGAGGTAACTTGGCTCGAGACAAATAAAAGCAAGCAAGACAGTACTCACCAGTGTCTCGATTATTGGTCTCAGCATTGCCGTAGTCAAAACAACAGCCCTACCATGATTAGCGCTCCTAGTTCACGATGTTAGGCGGAATAAGTACCCTAGAAAGAATTCAGTTCTATCGTACGGAATAGAAAAACGATATACCCATTGAAGTGTGTTCCATCGAGGACAGCATACATGCCTTCTGCCGCATCACCCTCGAAAAGGCATTAAAACCTTGGTCTGGAGCGACGGAATAGACACACCTTGGCGATCCCGTTCGTAGCATCGTTACGGTACCCAGTTCCTGGCGAAACGAAGACACCGTATGCTTTTTGTCCGTTGAGTGTGACTGGGGCACCAATGGCAGACGCAAGATTGTCAGCGCCATTGGATTCTGGGCCGTTAAATCCACCCGGGGGAGCTTGGGTTAAGTGGTTGCCGCGGCCAGACTGGTCGTAAATGATGGTGATTAGACAGGTCGTCCCAGAGCAGAAAGAATCTTGGGCTGCCGCATTGGCTACACCACCCGCCGAAAGCGGGGCGATATTGGTAGTCGCTCCGTCTGAGCCACGCTTCACTTGGTAAAGCGAGCTAGAAAAAGAGCTGTAGAGTGCTCGTGTTGTACTATGGGCAGCAACACATGGCGTCCCTCCAGACGAATAAATGTCGCACGGCCCTGCAGCAACAAGAGTAGCGACAAGACACAAGCCAAGAAGTGAAGAGAACATTTCTCAGTCAAGCTATTCGTCAACTGGACGCTGGCCATTTTGAGGCTGGCGGTCGTGCTACACGTGAATTATCACGCGGGCTTGTTCCTGGTCACGGAGTTTCTGGGGAGTTTTTTATCGTGAAAAAAGTAACATTCTTGAACGCGGAAGCGGATGGAAGAAGTTGCTGCCATGGAAAGCAGAATTTTAGGATGAATGCCATCAACAGCTGGACGGTCAGGAAATGACCTTCGGCCCGTGGACGACGTTCATGCCCCTTCCAACGGATGAAAACCGGAAGTTTGAGCGGGCCGTAGCAGAAGCAACGATGGTGAGAACAAGCAAGAGAGCAAAGTGTGACATCATGCTTCTGCCTTTTACTTCGACGACAACGCGTCTCGGTCTGCGACTATTTTCTTCTTCATGTCGACGTGGTGAATTCCATTTTGATACCCACCATTTTGTCCAGCGTCTTGAACGCGAAGGACTGAACCGGGCCCAAGCCGAAGGCATCATGGCTGCTATGGCTGAGGTTATTGACGAGAGTATCCGGAACATGACGAGTAATATGGTCACAAAGGCGGAGCAGGAGAAGGCGAGTACTAAAGTAAAAAGTTGCCATCTACTACATGCTGACTTGAACGCCAATCTAGCACCAATATACCCAGCAGGTCGACTTCGCTCAGACCAAATCGGAACTGAAGTTGATGGAGAAGAACGAGACTGCGTTAATAAAGGCAGAGAATGACCGATTGTTGACGGATATCGAGAAACTTAAGCAGCGGTTGAGGCAAGACATTTTACAAATCCAAGCTGGTGTGCGATTAGACATAAACTTGGAGAAAGGCCGACTCCGTGAGGAGGGGAGTGCTCAAGAACTGAAGATCAAGGAGGTTGATACTCGAATAGAGCAAGAAATTGCTGGTCTGCGAACAGCCATCCAAGCATCCAAGGCAACAACACTCCAATACCTCGTTACCTTTGTTACTGGTAAGTTAAACAAAATCTGGTTGAATCTCTTTGCTCAGTTCTGCCAAGGTTCCTCTGCTCTCCTCATGGCATATCTACGCTTTAGGGCTTAATTTTTACTACTCTGTACCACTATTGATCTGGAGGACCCAACGACATCATGCTGAACTGCAGACTCTCTGGCCCACCCTTGATGTATACCTCTTGGACAACCTTGGCCACGTCTTTGAGGAAATCGGTGCATTCGCCTCTGTCAACTGGTCCTTTGCGCCGACCATCGAGCTCGACAAGTCTCATTCCAGTTGCTTCGGATTCAGGGCCTCTTCCAGCAGGAGCCTCCACAAAGCAAGTAAAATGGAGATTGGTGTCTAAATCTGTCGGGACCGCGCTTTGGCCTCCAGACGCAGCTTCCGCGTGGATGTCACCGAATAAAGGCGTTGTTTCCAGCACTATTCGTTGCTTTCTATCAGAACTTGGCATAAAAGCGTCAAGAGTCACTGACGCTTGGCACGTTGGTCCGGAGTCTTGTCTATAATGACGTGAATACTTGGCCCGAAACCACCCAGACGACCAGACTCACCCGAGCATTCATCGATGAACTTGGCCAGTGGGCTCATGGGTGCGATGGTTACATCGCTCTGTTGATTCATCCATTAGAGCGGGACAGTAGAGACAGTTGAGTTGCGTGCGTTAGCAATGGCGTGAATCAAGCCCATGGTCCCACAAGCATTAGAAATCTAATGGTGGTTGAGAACCAGTGAGGAGTGAAGACCACTCCGACCAACCGTTTGCTTGATCCAGAGCAGAGTAGGATCGAGTGACAGCTGGCCATTCTTTTCGATTTCTTCTTCTTCTTGCTTTCGCTTTGCTTCGGATGCGGGGGTGATAGGGAACAGTAGAACGATGGCTTTGGCCTCCAAAGGACTTTAGAGGAATGTCGCGATTCACAGATAACAGACCGGCTGGGGGACCATAGCCAGAAGCTAAACATTTCAGTTCAAAGCAACGATTGCGATGGGAAGAGTGTGTACCCCTTCTTCCAAGCCATACACGTCTGCAAAGCTAGCGTTACGGAGGCCCGCTTTGGTGGCCCATTTGTTGAGGACTTCGGGGTTGCTTTCGAGAGGAATCCAACGCGACATAAGGATCAGAGCCAAGTTCCAAAATATGATGTCACACAGTGCTCTATTTTCTTATAGTACAATTCTATGCAAGTCCCGCTTCCTTGGCCAGCGAGTAAAATATGGAAGATGGTCTGGTCAACAATGCCTGAGGGGGCTCAAACTCCGCTACCTTCCCGTCAGACATGACTAGAATGTGAGTGCCTCCCATGATGGTGTTCAGTCGATGTCTACGAATTCTTTCAGTCGTAAAAAGCGTAGAGAACTGTGGTACTAACGCGATTGTGAGGATTGTAACGTCCTCAAAAGCAGGTCCCCTGATGATTTCTTGGATGGCCTTGTCCGTATCCAGGTCTACGGCGGATGTGGCTGAAAATGTTCATGAGTTGAGAATGTTCAAGACTAGACTTTGAACGCAAACCTTCATCCAAGACCAGAATTTTGGACTACGGAGGTTAGTTGCCTACTAGAACGCATTTGGACTACCCACTTTTCGTAAGAGAGCACGGGCAAAACAGAGTAATTGCCGTTGTCCGGATGAAAGCGACTGACCGCCTTCTCGGACAGGCGCATCAAGTCCCTGAGGTAGAGACTGGACGTAATCTTTCAGGTGCGCTTGCTCAAGAGCTACCCAAATTTCTGCGTCTGAGTATTTCTCTATTGGATCTATGTTGAGCCGAAGAGAGCCTTCAAACAGATCAGGTGTCTGAGGCACAATCGAAATCGATGAGCGTACTGCATAGGAAATGAGACCAGAGTGAATCCAAGCAGTGACATACTCACAGTCATGAAGCCCGATCTTGGAGATGTCCACTCCGTCGATGATTATTGAGCCCTCAACGCCCTCGATGATACGAAACAGCGCCAATAGTAAGCTTGACTTTCCTGCCCCGGTTCTTCCACATATACCCACTTTCTCTTTGGGTTCCTATATAGGACACTGAGAAAGGGATCGAACATTAGAAAGAGATGCGCACAATCTCCAGGGCAATATCCTTGAGAACGAGGTCTAACTCAGGCCGATAGCGAGTAGAATAATTGCTGAAGCCCAGTCAATGAATGGATCAAAACAAAATCACATGACCATACCGGAATTCTATCTTGCCTGCCGATGGCCAGTCTGCGACCGGTTTTGTTTCAGGGATATATTGTGGCGCCTCTGGAGCAACCTCAATTTGATGCAGTATGCGCTCTACGCTAACGATGTTTTGCTCGACGTCGCTAGCAGATCGGACCACCCAATTCTTCGTGCTCAATGAGCAACAACTTGAAAGGAAGGATGCTGTCTCACCAAACTCGATGTCGCGTTCATGGCGTAGCTTAATACGAGACCTACCAACCCTGCATCAACACCTGTGGTGCTTAAAGCCACCATAGCAAGTGTCGCCACCAAGAAGATGATGACAGCACCCACGATTTCCAAACGTATCGAGAGCCAACGATTTACTGTTTCCATTACTGAGACTCGCAGTTTGATCGTATGGGAGTTACTTTACCTGAAATACTTGGCAGGTAGCAGATCTGATTCCGGTCGATATGTCTCTGGTTGGCTTTGATGAAGATGGCTTGCTGGTTGAAGGAACGAATCCTATAAAAGGTCGGTTCAGACGAGGTGGGGATGAGTTTGGACCATTTGCATACGTTGAAACGCCAGCCAGCGATTCAGAGAACCAAGCAAAGATAGGGCTTTTGGAAACGGCATCTAAACGCTTAAGTTCTCTAGAGGTTGACAGATAATAGCTGCTCAAGATCAGTCATTGATCATCTGTTGCGAGTTATAACCCACTTCATGACCCTCATATAGAACCAGCCCAGAGGAATGACCGATATCAGGAATGGTGGGAAGCTGACACCAATAACCACCAATATAGAAAGGCAAACGAGCCCTGTTCTGACCACGTTTTCAATATATCGGGCCAGTAGTTGGTCCACAACATAGACTGGAGAAGTCAATGATTATTGGTTGGACAACGATAAAAGTACTAACGGTCACGCGAGAACAAGTTGAGGGTACTGCCGATGACATTAGGGCGGAATTGGATTGCAACTTGTAGAACTATGCATACCGCCCGGTGGGTGTAAGCTCAAAAAAGCTCAACGGCGCATTCATCAGAGCCGACAGCATCTAGAAATTTAGTCAAAGCTGAGACTTCATGGCTTGGTTATTTTGAGCTTACCGAATGATGCAACCTTTCAGAGCTTCGTAAAGAGCAGTAAACCCATATCACAATCCTCGCAGCGCCACCAATCAACGTTGAACCCAGAGTGAATGCACCGTAGATTGCAAGATATTTGCCCATGCCATAGTTGCTGCCGATTTCAGAATTGTGCTCTGCCCATGCCCGCAATGTCAGATTACTCAGCAGGACAGCTAGTTGCTGGAGAGTGGTGAATGCGATATAGGTCGCAAAGCCGAGACGAGAAGCTGCTGCCATGTATTCCGTATAAACTTTGCCTTTGACGCTGTTGCAGATGTCAATGAAGAAACAACAAAACGAGCAAGTACAGACCGGCCCTTCTCTCTATGTTCAGTACTCAGACCAGCCGAGTTAGCCGCCCGCACAGGTTTTGGAGGTGCTAAAACGGCCCGAGGGAAGTTGACACGAGTGATTAGTTTTTCAGAGATGGCTTCAGCTCGCTCCGAAGAAGTATCTTCTATCACAACGGCTACATCCTCAGTCGGAGTGACACTGCCACTGCTTATGAAAGGGGTTGAGGAGCCAGATGCGGACCCAGTGCCATGACCACGGCTGTAGAACTATTAGTAGTGAACCAGAGCACAGCAAACAGTCAAACAGTCTCACACAAGCTTGCAGATATCACTGTCGGTATTCTGCATCAATGCTTCATAGGAACCGCATTCAGTGATGATGCCCCGCCGGATAAAGACGATTTGTTGGAATTGTGAGACAAATGCGATGCTATTCGTCACAAGTATGCGAGCATGAGACGCAAGCAGCCCGTTCGGACCAATCACGCGGTCTGCGTAATGCTTTAGTCTCTCAAGTTCGGGTCAGTAAGTGGCCTACCAAAGACATGCCGAGCCACGTGGGAATCCACCGCTGCCAGAACGTCATCTAAAAGAACGAGGTCGGCCCGGGCGTAGACGGCCCTGGCCAGGCTGATTCGTGCTCGTTGTCCACCGCTCAGCTGAAAATTTTCACTAAGCAACGGTGAAAACGATCAATGGTTGTCTGTTACCGTGATACCCTTTTCTCCAACCTCGGTCAGGTCCCCTTGAGGAAGGAGAGCGAGATCAGGACTGAGCGCGCAAGCTACAATAGAGGTAAGACTCTTTGGAAAGGTAGTCCAATTTTTGTCACCTTCGATAACTTGAGTGTAGAACTCTTCGTCGTACTGAATTTTGAATGTGAATTCCGTTGTTGAACCAAAATCCACTCACGACATGATTGAAGATTATGTTATCACGCACAGTGGCGGACATGATCCTACAAGGGAGAGAAGAGTGTTGGCGTATGGAGGGCACTGTCAAATCGACTCATACCATGGATTTTGTGGTGCATAAGAAACCGACCCGTAAAGCTTCACTTTCCCCTCATTACGGGTCATGTCCCCGATAATTGCGGATAGAAGGCTCGTCTAAAACCCGTTGATTCGTGAAGAAGGTAGCGGAAGTGGTACCCACCTTTCCTGCACCAACACGCCCCATTACAGCAGTTAGTTGGCCTTTGCGGGAAACGAGGTCTATGTTTTCGAGTGTGGGTACAACTTGCTTGGAGTCCCAACAAAACTCGGCATTGGAAATGGATAGGACCTGGCGCAGTCAAAAATGGTTGCACAACTTCCAAAGTCACTCACCTCATCCCCAATTTCGAGATTGGGTTTATGAACAAGTTCCCTGGCATCCGGCTGAAGCTCTGATGCTGCAAAAAAGTCTGACAGTCGCTTCACCGACACCATTGACTCGATTATTGAGCTGAGAACGTTGGATAGCATTGCGAGGGGGAACTAAACGCGAAATCAGCACCTAATCAGGACAAACAGAAGGCTTTGATATACCTGTAGCAGCATGAAAAGGGAGATGCAAGGAAATATGATATCGGCGGTGAGCGGAGTGGAAGACGTCCAGGCAGCCGTGGCAAGAGAGGAGAATGCGACAAGGAGAGGGATGCCGGACCACAATGTCATGCTGAATGACTAGAATTCGATTAGATTGTGCAAAAATTAGGTGAGATGTGCGCTGACATTGAGCAGACCTATTTTTTTGAGCATGCGCAGTTCTCTGTCGTTACGAACTTCCATAATGCGCTTTACAAAGGCCGACTCCCATGCATAGAGCTTGATGGATTTGATGTTGGATAGCAGTTCGCTCATGAGACGTGTTCGTTCGTCTCTGTTCTTCATTTGTTGCTCTTGCATCCGTTTCAATGCTCGTGCGATTGCTATATCGTGTCAATGAGAGAGAGAGAGAGTGAGGAGTGACTGGGGGAGAAGGAGCACCTGTGGTAAGCGGCATGGATCCAACCATGATAGCCACTCCAACAAAACATGCCCATCCTATGAGGTTATAGAGTGAGATGAAGGCCAAAGTTATCTATTAAAATTAGTCCCGAGGGAGTTCTTGTATGCTTCAATCACCTGAAATGGCCCAGAAAAGGCGATGATGGCATAGGTACACAAGTCTTGTAGCCTGGTAGCATCGACTGACATCAGGTTGGTGATGTCTCCCGTACTTCGGCTTTTTTCGTCATTCGAGAGTACTAACGCTTTGGAAAAGATAGCTGTGACGAGTCCTGCACGAACGCGCATGCTGATATAATGGCTCAGCGTGATATCACAAGGAGAGCCAGATGAAGTACCCAGTCTCGAATGTGCGTTGGAAGTAAGCGTTGAGAAGGACAGTTTGGGCGACTGAGGCCACAAACATTATCACTGCGTATGAAAATCCTTCCAAAATGTTCGGTCGACCTCCCTCACTGAACCGAAGTGATTGGTAACGGGATATGTAAGCCAAAAGTAGGCGAAGGAGTTGGGGTTGAGCGAAAGCCAGCGAGTCCTAGTTCAGTCAGCGCCTGAGATTATGGAGCTGTGAGCACCGACCTGGAAGGTTTTTAACACCACAGCAACGGCAAAAGGTCCCCCATATGCCAGAAACAACGAGCTCCAGACGCCATATTGCTTTGAAAGGTAGGCTTCTAAACGATGCCCAAGAACCTCAGATTCGTCCGTAGGAATCAAAGAAGGAAGATCGTCTTCTGTAATGTAATGCGAGGAGCCTTGCGCAAGAAGAGGCGTCAACCAGCCAAAAAACTGCAGCTATCAGGTCAACAATTCCATTTGATCAGAGAACTCACCCATCGGTTGTAAATATTGGCTGTTAAAAGCGGACTTTCATGCAAAGATTTCTCATCTCGTAGCAAGCCAACCTCAGGCCCAACACATTCAAGCAGAAACGACGCGAAACCAGACAAGGCAGTGATGCCTTTCAAAATCAACAGGAAACGGTAGTCACCCGCTTTCTCCTGCAGGACAGAGCGGACCCAAATTCCCAAAGCGCAAGCATATAGCGGCCAAAACAGCAGAAGCGTCGTCGAGCTCATTCTACGCGTCGTTAAATGAGTCTTCCTATAATGTGGGCGAAGGATCCGCGCACCTGACACGCGTATGATGGTAAAATGTGAAGACCAAAGCACTGAAAAAGGCCAGGGGCTCGAGGATGTACCATTGTAGGATGGCGACATGTTGATGACTTCTCAACACGAAAATAAGGTTGGAAAGACTTGAACCGAACGCGATAAGTAGAAGGGTCTGTAAATATTGACACAGTCAATGAACCCGAAATAATGCAAGTAGTGGAAAGGAAACGCAACCAGTTTGGCGCCAAGGAGTACTCTACTCTTGACGGAGCGCTTGGCTGGGTCGAGAAGGCATAAGGAGAGGGAGGCAAGCACACTCGCGATAAGCAGGACTGCTAAAAGACCAGAAAGCAGAATCCCCTCTTGGAAGCACAAGGTCAAATCAAAAACGCGTCGACGGGAGACGACGGAGAGCCCCTCGACATCTTGGCAATATTGCGCCATCCCGTGTGTGGGCGTGAAAAGGGAGCTTGATCAAACCACTTCATTACTCAGCACTTCGGAGAAGTCGGGCGAGCTGTGACATGAGAAATGTAACAGCCGGGTTCCGCCGTCGACACCAAACCTTTCCTCGTTGACCACCATGCGTCTCACCAATGTCGCCCGTTCCGACATGCCTGGACGTATGTTTTATCATATTTGCGCGTTGTTTTGGCTCTTACAGTCGTTGCCAGCGAAAGTCTATGTGAGACAGCTATCGTAGTATCACCTTGACCTCTAAGCAACGCGTACTTTCCAGCTGTCGTGGTGGGGAGCTAGCGATATAGCCAAGCAGAAGGGTATCTACCAATATAGTGAGTTTCAGAAGCCGACTTTCCTCCCGATGTCTGACGTGCTCGAAGCCATTTCTCCCTACCAAGCAAAAGCCGCCCCGCACATGTTTCGCAGTTACCTCTTCAACGGTGTCAGGCGTCTTTCCGTCTACGCATTGCCCATCATCATCCCAACTTCAATCTGTACGCCGTTTGTTTGCTTGACCGAGCCGCGCTGACTCTAAACTAAAAAAGACTACTATGTGTGGCAAGCTGCGGTGAAGGACTATCACTGGAGAAACAGCAAGGAGGGCCTGCTGGCATCAGGCGGTGGCGAAGAGTAGTTAATAACACAGTTTATGGTACAAAAAAATGGCACATCGTCTATTAATCACGTCTTTTTCTTCTTCGCTGGCCGTTTGGTAGTAGTCGAAGTTGAACCAGAAGGTGTTGCAGGTCGAGAGTCTTTTTTGACTTCGTCTATAGTCCGTTTCTGAAGAAGCTAAGTTGCTGTTGTCTGATCTGAAATAATAAACCAACCTTGCCCTTGCCTCTGGCTTTAGCCGCCTCAGCTTGTTTGACCTCAGCCTCCTTTTCAATCATACCAAGCAGCGTGGTACATCGCCTTTGGAGCTCTTGTGGTGTGCGGCTTTTGAAGAACCAGTCAAAACGGAAAACCGGAAACTCCGTGATGTCTCGTTTGATCCGCTCGTAAACGTCGTCTGTTTGCATCCCGTAGTGGTATAATCGGCAGAGTAGGTATCGATCCTCCTCCTCGCTGTAGACTTTGCCTTTGGTTGTCGGGTAGTTCAATTCCAGCTCTTGCATTGGGTATCGCACTGAGCTGATCTTCTCTCCAAGTAACCATTCCAGGTTGTCCCGCTTCTGGCGCTTGACTTCCCCTTCCTTGATACGTTGAGCGATTCTTTCATACTCTGCATGGGCGTCAGCGGGTTAATGAGGGAGAGAATAAAGAGCCTCCGAACCTGACAATTGCTTCCACCGCAGCTCAAATACTCGATAATATCTTTCGACCTCAGCTGGAGACTTGTCTTGGATTTCAGCTGCATAAACTTCGTAGTTTTGATTCCTGGAGCATGTCATGTAGGCCATCAATAAGGGGGAGATGAACTCACCATCCATGAGACTCCAAAGCACGGACGAACTGTTGGAAGTCTCGACGAGTCCAATCAGGAAAGCCCTGTTCAATGAGCTCCTCTTTGCGCTTCATTTCCTCTTCCGTTAAAGGATCGGCTATAGATACGGTTAATGTTACTTGTCGATCCAGCGGTAGAACTTCATGCCAGTATCAATGAACTCCTGTGCGTGCTCCCGTTTTATTTCGAGCATTTCCGGAGTGTCGTCGGGGCCCTGAGGCTCGGGAAGAGGGACAACAACGCCATTAGCACGCTGACATCAATTCAGAGAAAATGAATGGAACAGGGGGAAATTGCCAACCTTGTGAACCGCTAATTCCCGCTCCTGGAACAGATGAAGTTCGGCGTCAAAGAATTGGAAATCTTGACTTGAGAGATATTTTAGCCACGGTCAACGTAAGAGAGAGAGAAAGGGCAGACAGAGTAATTTGTTTTGGCGCGCGAGGTAGTTTGGGGCCTTTCTCTGGTTTGGCTCCCGTAGTGCGCATGGCATCCTTGAAGTAACTGTCGACGGAGTAGTTGGACTTGCGCTCTCGCTTAGCTAAAGAGAGTAGGTTGAAGTTCAAAGCTTTGCGCTGGAACGAAGAAATAAGTGTTCGGCGGAGATGAATGGGTGAAAACCAACGCCGGCTCGGAAATCTTCGCCTTCCCACTGTTGAACCGATGCTTCTGACTTGAAATTGCTCAGGTCTTCTATTCCAAGCCCCTCGTATTTGCTGTTAAGTTCAGTGGTTCGTTCTTCTCCTCGTTGGATAATTGCATCGATATCGTCATCGACAACAAGACTATAACAGGGTAAGTAACAAGGAGAGGTGCAAAAAACCCATTTGACTTGTCTGTCGTACTGAGAATCTTCTCGGCACCATGCGTGATCATGTCCAAAAGCTCATCCTTGTTCGCCGCTGACCAGGGGTTAACAAATCCTAGAGTAAGCCGAGTGCGCAAACCTTTCGCTTGCTGGGTGCGGCCTTGCTGAATAACTAGTTGGTCCAGTCGCAACTTCTGGGCCGCCCTTTCTAGCATGCGCTCTTCGACGCTGCCTTCCGTAATGAACCGGAACACGTAAACCTGTTTTGTTTGCCCGATACGATGAGCACGGTCCATGGCTTGCAAGTCTGCCTGTGGATTCCTGGATGATATGAGTATGAATCTCGCAAGAGGTTAGTTGTTTGTACCAGTCACTATCATAGAGAACGACGATGTCGGCCGTCGTAAGATTAATGCCCAAACCACCAGCTCTGGTTGTCAGCAGAAATATGAACTTTTCGCTTCCTGGTTTGTTATATTCGTCGATGGCGAGAATTCGATCCTCGTGAGCTGTGCCTCCGTCTATACGACAGTATTCTGTCATCATTCATTAGTAAGACGGAACCTGACAGTACAACCGACTGACTATATCCACGAAACAAGCAGTAGTCCTCCAGAATATCAAGAACACGGCTCATCTGGCTGAAGATGAGTACTCGAGAGCCCTTTTCGTTCATAGATTTGAGCAGCTTGTCTAGAATGATCATTTTGCCACAGTTGTCGATGAGATGCTCGTCAGTGGTGTAGGGTGGACCGGGTTCCTTGGAAAGGATGAGAAGGGCTTGCAACGCGAATGGAACATACGGCGCCGTCAAAGAGGTATGGATGGCAGGTAACTTTTCGTAGTTGCATCACCATATTCATCAACCGCGTTTTGCCTTCCTTCTTCCCGGTCAGTCCTGTAGTTATTCAGCTCAACACAGTATGGATACGAAAGGGAGCCACCACAGACCATTGACAGCGTCAATGTCTTTCTCTAACACTGAACGATACCATTTTCGCTGCATCTCCGTCAGTCCAACATAGATGTTGATCTCTTTCTCTGAATGGGAGAAAAGGTCAGATCTCGGGCACACGATAACCAGTTTGCTTACTGGGCAAAAGGGTTCGCTCGACATCCGCCTTGACTCTTCTAAGAAGGAAAGGCCGAAGGATTTTATGCAAGGCTTCCACAACCTTTTTACTCTTCTCCTCTTCGTCTTCACTATCGTCCTTGTGCAAAAAACTATCGAGGTCTGCATAGTCCACGAAAATTTCTGGGCAGATGAAGTTGAGAAGGGCAAACAACTCCTTCAAGTTGTTTTGCAATGGTGTTCCGGTGATAAGCAAACGACCACGAGACATGAACGACCGGACGATTTGAGAGAGTATCGAGTCAACGTTTTTGATGCGGTGGGCTTCGTCGATTACGATGTATTCGAAAGAAAACTTCTTTAGGGCCGACTTTTCGATCAAACATATCTCATAAGAGGTTATGCAGACTTCGAAATCTTGTGGCAACAGACGATTCACGACAATTTCCGCCCGTTCTTCTTTGCTGCCAGTGAGAAGGACAACATTGAATTGAGGCGACCATCGCTCGAACTCCCGGGCCCAGTTTTGCAAAGTTGACTTGGGTACAACTACCAGATGTGGGCCGTGTACGTCCTTGTGGAATTTGAGGTAGGAAAGAAAAGAGATGGTCTGAAGAGTCTTCCCGAGACCCTGGACACGCCTAGTTAAACAACTTGGGAGCCAGCATTGAGCGCTTACCATTTCGTCAGCCAGAATACCGTTGAGTCCATTGTGATGGAGTGAAACCATCCAGTTCAGTCCCTGTAGTTGGTATGACCTCATTTCACCATTGATGACTGAGAGGATCGGTCAGTCTCCGCTGGACTTGAACGCCAATCGCCACCTACAACTAGGTGATGATTCAAACACGTAGGGTTGATCATCTCCATCAACAGCCGCCTCGCCATCTTTCAGCATCTCTTCGTCCTCTTCCTTCTCAGACTTGCGGTGGCGCGCACTCGCATCTCTGAAAGGGGTCATGAGACCGTGTAATGCGAGGAATTGAAAAACTTGGGATTACACGGCTTTTTTGCGCCCTCTGCCTTTAGCTTTTGGTTGTTGGGCATCCATTAAAGCTGCGTATTCCGGATCCTTAGCACGCTGTCAATATAGTAAGGAATGCCATGATTACGGCCAACGCGTGGTGAACACCTTTATGTCGACGAAATGCTTGAACAGCTCGGTTTGGCCGAGAAGGTAAGAGTATCTCTTCGCCGCGTCTGCAATCTAGAAAGGGGAAACGCGTCGGCCTATGCATAAAATTACAAGTAATGGTTTGGTGACCTTCGCTTTGTCCATCTCTTGTCGCTTCACATGGAGTTTCCCTTCTGCGACCTTGCGCTTTTGTGTCTTTTCGCTGCGCTTTCTTGTTGTTCTTGACGTGCTGGCTTTGGGAACATCTTCATCCTCCTGCCGAAACATTAGACCGGGCGATAGGTATAACACATAAGTGCAGAGGCACCTGGAGTTCGTCTTGCTGCTCTTCCTCCTCTGCAGCGCTTGGCATTTCTTCGTCGTATTCACTCTCCCCGTCCGCCCCTTGGCTGGGCTAGTGTTATGGTCAGAAGTTGACCCCCGTCGGATTTAGGCGAACCTGACGAGAGACAATGTTGGAGGGAACAACATCGCTTAATATATCCTCGTCCATAGACGTCATGTCGGGAAAGGTAGTTCGCCGTGTGTCGAGGGGCGATGTGGCACCAGCACTGGTGGTGGGCGGGAGGAAGATGTGTGACGGAGCTGTCACGCGCCTTGACTGGATGTGTGGTTCATGTTTTCCAAAGCCTGCAGTTGTGACTTAGGTAAGATTCTGTAGTGGGAAGTTGAATGACGCGTAGGCATTCATATTGTCTACTGACCCAAGGTAATGGTAGTCTATTTCTACTGCAATCTAGAGTTATTGGAATGAGCTCAATTCTGCACGGAAGGGTCGTGCTTGAGGCATTAAGCGACTATCGCTCGAGAGGAAGGAGCCACCATTGCCCAAATCTGGACCTTGGGGAGAAGAAACCGGTGGTAGGCCGTTGGGGAAAACAACTGGCTGGACTGGAAGAGAGTAACGGACATCCAGCTCCTCCAAAACCGTTTTGAGATGCCTCATGAAGGCTGTGCGTCGTGTCCAGCGTCCTCCCCAGTCCTGCCAGTGGGAGCGATCTAATCGCAATGAGCCAAGGTGAAAGAGTTTGGACAGGTAAATTCACGGACGTTCCATCGCAACAATTAGGTGTATCGCATTCTGGTAGTCCATTTTGTCGATGTTGAGAGCGGAGTTGCTCCATTCACGGTTGTTAGCTGCGACATAAGCGGTTATACGGGCGCGAAGCTCTTCTAACACTTCAAGCGGAGTCGTATATGCAACCATGAGGTTCGTCGTCTCCCACCTAGCAAAAAAATCAAAGGAGGGTCACACAAACTCATCCAAACTCACATCGAATGACTGCGGCGTAGATTGTGAACGATTTTTGACGACGCCAACAGGGAATTCGGAGCAATAACTTCTTGACCGTCGACGCGACGGAACGTTGTCGCAAATAGACCAAACTCGCGCACCATCAAGACCTAGATGGAGGTTTTATCAAAAGGCTAGAAAGTGAAGCAGCATGATCTTACCTGGTCATCAATGATAACTAAGTCTCCAACATCAAAGACGTGAGTAGAAAAGATGAAGATAAGCTGCAAAGTAGATGTGAATAGTGAGAGGGAGAGGTAACTTCTGGTAAGACGAACTGAGTTGAATAGAGTTGCGGCCGAATTTCCAAAGATGAACGAGAAACCTAGAATGATGGTGGCCAGAGGCACCAGGGAGGTAAGGGTGTCGTTCCGGTTGAAGATGAGGAGGCAGACAAAGATAACCATGATCAAACAGGCGGCTACCAAGACCGCATCTAACTTGGCAACTGCAGAGCCTACGTCCTAGGTAGCCTTAGATTGGGAAGGACGGACTGACATAACTGACTTTCAAACTGGACGTCAGCGCTTTGCGTTCTCGATATATTCGTTGAACGGCTTCGCGCATTTCCTTCTTTGAGATATCACCGTTGCCATCCTTATCAAAAAGGGCGAAAGCAGCGGTCTATAAAACGCTTAGAATGGACATGATTGAGGCTGGAGGTAAAGAATCTCACTGCTTCAGCAGTTGAATGGAAGTAGGGATAAAAGTCTGAATGGAAATGATTCATTAGTCAGCATCAGGAAAGCAGACACATACCTTCAACCAACAAATGAGATCGTGGTGGATAGACGTCGCTGAGGGCACCAAAAAGTTTGCGCGCCAGCTTCCGGGCGGAATCTAGTCCGCTTATATCGCCTGCTCGGTTGAACCGAGAGTTTTTTAAGGCAACCTGCCCAATGGCACCGCCAACTTGGTCGACGATAATGCTGGTCATCGCCTTTCTGCGTCTCTGTTTGCGGGTGGGGGTTTGTTTAGGAGTTTTGCTAGCAGTGGGGGTGTGTTGAGTCACTTCTGGATCTTTCAGGCGTAAAGCTGAGAAATCGACAGAGCCTGTTGGTGTTTTACGCCCGCGTTTACCATAAGCTGTTTTCCGGACTGTGGGTTGGGCATTTGAAAGCCGATCTAGTGCTTTAAGCCCCAGTCGATTCTCCGCCAAACGATCTGCAAGCGCCTTTTGATGGAAGTTGATGGCGACAAAGCGCAGGAAAAGCTGCATATACTTCTCAGCCAGGACGCACAAGTTGTGCAACACTATACCTTTTCAAAAAAGAGGATGATGGCAGCGGAAAAAAGCGCCTGCGAAAAGCGTGATCACTGTTGTACATAAGGAGACGATCCACCGACCTGCATGACACGATTGACGATGACCCAGTATGAACCGGGGGGCTTTTCAAAGGCGCGAATAACGGAAAGACTAATCTGTTTCCCTGGTCAAAAGCGTATGCTAGGTTGAATTCAAGACTGACCCATGCCCAGGCGACGTCCAGAACCAGTTTAAGCCAGAATTTAACAGCAAGGGTGAGTTCAAGTTGGATTTTGAGTCGCTCGACTAGAATGAGTTGGCGACATCGGGGACACGGAAAGAAGTTAAGAGGCTGACCTTGACCGCCAAAGAGAATTATTATCGCGATGATGAAGCGGGGTAGGTTTTCGATAAGCATACTGGTCAAGCAGCCAGCCGCCCAAATGATTGCAAACCAAAGAGACCAAGCTTTAACATGAGGCTACGAGGTTTTGAGGTTATTGAGATGAGAACGTGGTAAAGCACATACGCGTGCAGGATTCGACTCGAAGCGAAGCTCAAACACCAGGAGTGGGGCAATGAGAATTGCGCAACCAATAATGCCTGCTAACAATATACGAATTGGACGAGCAAGTTTCATGAATAGTAACCACAGAGCTCGACCGCGTTTCGCTTTGACTGCATGTGTCTCCACTACTTGAGCCTCATCATCGTCTTTATCCCAATCGAATTCGTCCGATGAGTCGGTCGCTGTAGAATCCGAGTCTGAATGATCTTGGGCAGGTAGCTGTTCTGGATGGTCATCCAGCTGGGGCTCGAGTTGCTGGGGAGCAAAGTCGCGCTCTTTTACGGTGGCCATGAGAGCCAGAAGCAAACCAAGTCGATGTGGAGCAACGTGAAGCCATAATTATGTCACACAAGAGCGGCGTCGGCATTTATGGTTGTTTGAAAGCCGGCCCAGCAAAATTAGGTCACATAACAAACAACAACCCAGTACTGAGTAACTAATCTGCTGCAAGTTCCATTTTAATCTTGGCAATGGCCAGCGCTGGGTTGAGGCCTTTGGGGCAAGTACGAGAGCCTGGAGCGACTTGAATTGGAGAACGATAAGTGCAAGTGGACGTACAGTTGAAAATGGTATGGCAGCGATATAGACTCATTTCATTCTGCAAAACTTCCTTGCGCTCCGCCGTTTGCGAGTCCTGGAAAAGACCCGATGTTCAAAGGTAAGCAAGTAAGCAGAAATTGTTGACGCACGCGAGAGTCAGCAATCCATCGGTAAGCTTGCATCAGTGTAGCTGGACCAAGGTATTCGTCCTGATTCCACCAGTAACTCGGGCAACTCGTCGAACAACAGGCACAGAGGATGCACTCGTACATTCCATCGAGCTTCTTGCGGTCTTCCGGACTCTGCAAGAACTCCTTGCCATCCTCTGGTGGATTGGGGTTTTGCAGGTAGGGCTTTATGGATTTGTATTGTTTGTAGAATAGGGTGAGATCTGGAACGAGGTCCTTGACCACGTACACTGAAGGGAATAAGTTGCTGGGGAAAGGACAAGTCGGAGACAAACTATGGGGCAATGGGTAAATCTTGGTATCCTTCCCAGATCTATCGATACGACAAAGACAGGCGAGGGTGTTCTGGCCGTCAATGTTCATGGCACAGGAGCCGCAAATACCCTCGCGACACGAGCGGCGGAAAGTGAGAGTGGGGTCGACTTCGTTCTTAATCTTGATGAGAGCATCGAGAATCTGGAGAGCAGCTTCAGCTATTCATGTGAGAAGAAGACGACTATGCTTGCCATTGGTCCTGTTTGGTTGAGGTCAATGGTGTAGGACTGGAGGGTGGGTTTGGTGGCGGGTTCATCTGGGTTCCAGCGATAAATTTTAAACTCTTTGTTCAGGACCGGCTTCTGAGCTACAGGAGTGGCGAGGTTACGGGCAGCAGAGGAAGAAAACGAGCGGGCGAGTCTCGGGAGGCGAGCCGACATTGTGGCGGAAGCCGGTCGATATGTCACAGCCAATCACACTGCGTTTGTTGGCTATCCGAGAAATATCATGTGCTAACTCAGAAAACCAGTCAAGTTTACTACAGGCAGTTTGTCCCAGGGCGGCAGCGTCTTTCCAGGCAACTCCTCCACAAGTCTCCAAGACTCTTCCAACTCAAGCAATGGCACCCTGAATGCGTCCTGTTTTTCCTTTGGCCGATTCTTCACGTGCGAACCAACCTCGACATGATTCGTCGAAAACGACCCAAAGTCCGCATAGTTAGGATAGAGCATCACATAGCTGCGGAGATAAACCAGCTCAATGAAGTACTTCTTCCATGACCGACTCCAGTTATTTGAACGGACATTGGGAACCACCACCTTGTCAATTCCCAGCTGGTGCTCCGAGAGTCGATTTGCCAGATAGTCATGAAACTCTCGCCAATGCTCGGGGAAGTACACTGCTCCCCAACTACAGGGCACCTGCGACAGATATGGGGTGGAGGGATTCTGTATATGGTTTGCCTCAAATAAACTGCGCGGGTTGAATGGTTTGCGCCCATCTGGATGCAACTCGGTGTTCTTCTGGTGGTACAGGCTGATTCCAAACATGTCTTTGCTTCTGTCGTGACCCTCTCCGTACCTGAAATGTTCATGAGTTCAACTCTAGAGACATCCAAGTCCTGACCGATAACGCAAAATTGCCATCTTGATCCAAATGTAAAAAAGGGGAGACAGTTCAACATCGTCCTCAAGAAGCACACCGTATTCGTGGTTGGAATGCGGATACCAAGATTCTACAACTGCCGGTATCAAACCGCCATGGACGACACGACGATGAGTGAAGACAGTCCCATGTCGCCAAGTAAAGTCGCGAACAATCTGGATGGTCTCAGTGTCGGAGCTTTGCTCCATATTGAGTCGAATGTTAACGGAGTCGCCCAGAAAACGTGCACGTGTCAAGGAAGAGAGCAACCGCCGAAGGGATCGCGGTCTGTCTTGCGTGATGACACTGAGCTCGATACGAGGGGTATTCCAATCTGCGTTGAGGTCAAGCAAATGTTCTATACCAACGGAGACATATACGTAGCCATTCCCGCAAAGACATTGCACCCATCCATTGAGCATATTGCAGATCTTCTTGAGGGAGGCGGACCAGAGTTGTACCGTCTTGCAAAGAATCAAGTTTAGGTAGGTCTTCCAGCATGAACAGCACATCAGCCCTTCGATCTTGTCTATGGATCCAGTTTTGTACCATTTGAAGCATCAACGGTGCGTCGTTTTGTTTGCCAAGAAATTCAACTCGAACAGTACAGCTAGCTGGCCCCCATATTCGGTCGTTAGAGTGCACCAACACCCTCACTGTATGCCCGGCTCTATGCAAGGGGCAGATGATGGTGGGGAGAATAAGCTGTAGAGCCTCGTAATTCGGCAATAAGAAAAAAAAAAGACCAGGATCCACTGTTGTTTCATGCACATATGAGGGCGGATTGCCACGATCAAGGTAAGTGAACTGTCGACCACAATAATTGGCGTCTTGATCTCCAAAGCTGCGTACAACCCCGCCCATGTTTCGATTAAGACTTCGCGACACAGCCACGCCCATCGCTGCCCAACTTGCCATTGGCTCTTTCACCAGAGAAGTCGAAATCGTAAAAGGCGGAAGAAGATAAGTGGCTGGTTGAAGCTGAGATGAGGGAACAACACAGGTATGATTGATCGAAATGACACCTCGAGGGCCGATAGGAATATGGGTTGCTGCTGGACAGAGTAGCAAGTCTTTGGTACGCTCGCTAAGACCATCAAAACCAGTTTCATCGAGAACAAGGACTTTCTCAGTTGCTACTAGCGTTGATATTGCTTTGACGATCTCGGAAACGGTCTCGCCATTGGGAGCTGAAGGGTGAAGGGTAATGTCAGGTTGAAGGCCTGTGTTGACTGCGCGAACGGCATGTTGGATGGCACGTCGAGTTTGGGAGAGCAATGGCTCTGGACAAGTTACAAGCACTTTGGTGATACATGCTGAGGGGCGTATAAGAGTTGCCAGTGTGTCTTCGAAGGCAGAGAGCGAGAAACGAGTGATTGGGACGACCGCAGTGAGAGAACCACTGAGAGATTTTGTTTCCACCACAAGATTCGTCCAATCTGAAGACAACGACTCTGGAGGGACTTGACTTGGCTCGGAAAACAGAACATACAAGACCACAAGCGATGGAACGACGCGAGCGAGGCAGCGAGAAACTCGGCGTTGAAATGGCATGATAGCAGGAACGAACAACAGTAGGCTACAAAGCAAAAATATTATGCGTAGATTATGTAAGGACGCAGCGTCGGCAATACAATTCCTCCCTCCACTTCATTGTCTATGAGTCAGTTCTAATCGCAGCTTCTACAAACAAGCGTTAAGAAGAAGAAGGTTGAACGACAAGCATAATGACGCACTGAAAAACTCGTAAGACATCCAACAGAGAGCAGAGCTAGGCATGATGGTCAGCACTCGGGGCGTTAGCCCTCTGGCGTAACCCTTGAACCCATCTCGAGCCCAGATAACACGCAAAGCATCAAGCATGCCACCAACATTACGCAAATCCGCTTCATGAGCAGTACCTCTTGTTTGAAGAAGTGTTTTCGCAACATCCAACGGGGTCGTAACAGCGGCTGCAACTGCCCCCGCAACTCCACCTGCAACAATGTGACTTGACGGAGAATAAGTACGTCTCGGATTCATCAGGTCTTTGACTTGTTCATAGACCGTAAACTGGATGGCGTTGAAAGGTATCGAGATGGCGAGTGTTGTGGGGTAAGAAACGTAAAAGGCCGCCAATCCTTCGTTGCGAAAAACGACGCGTGCACACGTTAGAACAGAACGAAATTCGGATTTGTGAACCTGCATTCGCTGCTTAATGACTACAAAACTCGATGAGAAGAGAATGAGGAGAATATGGGCGCGAACCATCAAATGGATTCATCAGGGCATCAGCAGCAGTAGTGGGCTGCTGCGCCAGCCAAAGCTGAGAAATTAAGTCTGTGAATCGAGCAAATATAGAGTAGGTGGTGGTGGACATACACGTTGCTAGCCAGGGTGAGCTACCCATATTCGAGGCCAGTTCTCTGACTGCTTCAAGGGTTCCAAAATGGACTGCATGGGCAGGCCCTGCTCCAAGAACAGTCGACGAAACTCCCCGCCATAAAGCGCGTATTCCTTCAGTGGAAGATATACGCGTGAATGCATTGCCAACTCCACTGTAGATGGCTACTGGCGAAGCGGAAAAGACTTGCATTCGTGTCTAGAATAATATATGAATAAACTAAAGTCTGGACCGAGTAAACGGACCTTGATGCTGTCGATGGGGTACATGACTGCATGTTCGGAGATACCAGCCTAGACCCTCCAGATTAGAGAGAGAGAGAAGTACGCGAAGAGCACGCGACAAACCAGGGCTCCGGCAAACATGTTGACCTAAACTTCAAAGTTATTGCGGCCCATTGGACTGGAAAAGAAAAGCCTGACCATATAGCCTGCATTGGCTGGCAAGGCCTCGTAGTCATCCTCTTCAGCCATAGCTTTTCGGGACTGTCGTTGTGCGGGAAAAGACACGCCCGTGTTGGCTTTTTAAGGGTAGGATCAGTCACGCTTTCCTTGGTCAATACTGCTGCTGCATTAGACTGCGAAGGTTCTCGCGGTGGCTTGCCTCCGGAAATATAAACAGCGATGTAGATATCGATTATCCACGACTAGCTAGACCCAATTGGAGGCTACCACGTCCCATTCCCATTCCCAAGCCCATGCCCCCACTCCCACCGCCATTACTCAGAGCTCCCACCAACAAATCTCGGCAGCATCTTACCCGCTCACGTCGTTGAACAAACCAACTGCCAGCATCGCAGGGAACTGCAAGAGGCACACCGATTAGGCCTCTACTTCTTCCGTCACGGACCACATGAATCAGTTCATCCAGTTCAGCCTCTGAATCAAGGTCGTCCAGATTCTCGTTTGCCTCATCTCCACCAACTACCCTGATGCCAGTAGCAGCAGATGCCTTCTTACTGCTCTTTTTGGATGTCGCATTCTGTTTCTTGACAGTCGATGGATCGATCCCAAGAGCTGCGGCTTGTTCATCGGCCAACTTCTTCTTTTCCAGCTTTTCTTTTTCTTTCTTTTCCTTCTTCTCCGCCTTGGTCTCTCTCTTCACCGGCTCAACAAAGTTGGGATTGTGTTTCCGTTGCCATTCAATCAGTAAATCGTCATACTTCCTTGACCGTCCCTCGACCGCCCGCTTTGCACCCATGGAATGAGACTTGCATGTCAGCGACCGTGAACATGGGAGGTTCTTATCGTTGATTACACCGCATTGTTGATCCAAATCGACGGGACCCTTCAGACGTCCCTTGGTCACCTTGGGAATTGGTTTTGTCTTCTTCTTGGGAGGCTGAGACGGGTCCGCCGGCTCCGGCGATGCTTTTCGTTTCTTAGATGCCTTTTTAGAGTCTACAAATACATTATCAGTCAGTTGAGCTATGCAATTACGGTATACTGACCATCTCCATCTGCCGAAACGAACGCTTTGCTTTTCGTAGCAGATTTCTTGGGACTTGAACGAACAGTGGCACAGGTTACTAAAGGTCTCGTTGTGAGTCATAGCCACCATCAGCACTATTTGTCCACCTGCATGTTCAGCCATAAAACTGCGAAGAATAGGCTTGTCGCAATCGGTGCACTTGACGAGACCAATGTCAGATGTCGAAGTGAGCGGATGGGCTCCATAGAGCTTCATGTCACGAGCAGGGAGCCATGCGGTCGGGGGAGATGGCAATGATGCTACAGAGTCTGGCGGCGGGGACGCTCCTGGTAGCTTCTCCCAGGAGAACGGTGACAGTGGGGCTTCAGCTGGTTTGAGTTTAAGAGGCATGTTCACATCAGGACAACACGTGACAAACAATGGATCGGCAATGACTTCTAGTTAACAGAACTCGACTTGTATGCTACAATGTTACAGATAGAATTCAGGTTTTCGCGCGTTGATGCCATATTCTGAAAGCGCTGCACTGAGGTCTTCCATGGTCAGCGTTGTCCGAGTCTTGTCCTGCAATGGTTAGTGATTGGAAGGGGCAGTTGACGCAAACGCACTTTGGCTGGACCAAAGTTTCCAAAAGTCTGGGGACGCGCCCTGCCACCAGCAGCATTGGTGCGAATGCGAGCATGTTGATACGCGTCAGCAGCAATGTCCGAGACAAATTTCTGAGCGGCAAGAGACAACAAGCGTTTCCTGCACAACGCGATGAACCAGCCAGCCAAAGGAAGAGTCCAAGCAACGTACAGTCTAACATCGTCACATTCGAAACCAACACGTTGAAGATAGTAGTCGGTGACCTCATTAGGGATCTATTGTGGGTTGAGGCTAGCATAGAATGCGTGGACGGCGGGACCAACAAGAGGCTCATAATCGTCAAGCATCAACATGAACTCTGCTAGAGTTCGATCTTTGCGTGCCTCTTCGGCCGCTTGGCGAGATTGCGGGGTTACATTCTCTGTCGATTGACTGGCTGAAGTAGACATTTAAAGCGTGACACGTGACACGTAACGCGTGATTCTTTCTTGTCTTTCCTCCAGCTCTTCCACGTTTTTTTTTCCTTGTGAGTTTCTTCCCTAGTTTGACCTCAGGATGTTTGAGGCATTTGGCTTTACGCGGAGCTCTCCGCACTGCAGAAACCTAACTCAGCTACCTTCGGGCTTTGCCCGCTTTTCTGAATTTTTTTTTCTTGTTTCCGCTCTCGCTCTCCGCTAACTCAAATTTGGTTTAGGTGTACGTTCTCATCTCCAATGTCTCGGCTCCTCTATGATGTTTGAGGCATTTGGCTTTACGCAGGCCTTGTCCTGCAGTGCAGAAACTCAACTCAGCTACCTTCGGGCTCTGCCCGCCTTTCTGATTTTTTTTTCCCTTGCTCTTCCCTCTCACATAGTGCTCATCCCACATCTTTAGGATTTTTGATCAAGCGTATACGTATAGTAAACAAACTCATGTTATGTCCATAGCCTCAACTGGTGGTCGTCGTTCTGAAATCTCCATCGCAGTGAGCAATGTCTCGATGTCAGGTGATGCAACGAAGCGTTTGTTTACTTCTCCAAGTATAGTCAGTTTCTTCTGGGGAATGTCTAACGACACTGCATGTTGGAGGAAAGAGGGTTGCGTTGCAGCAGTGACCTGAAAGTTTGAGTGGCAACGCTGGACAAGCAAGTCGGGGCTTACGTCCATAAGTATGCCGTTTTGGAGTCGCATCTTGACCGCACCACTACGGTAGACCTCGAGACTGCCAATAATTCCGTCGACCACAGAGGATTTCTCTGAAGGGGTCTCCGACGGGGCAGGATCAGCACCAGGCTTGGTATCATCTGCGAAAGACACTCTCTTGCCTTTGCTCTCTGGCTGCGGGTCTGGTGGGTTCGGCTCGGGTGCACTGACAGCAGTCGAAAAAAAGGTTGGGAAGGAGCTGGGGAACTGGAAAAAATATAGTCTTTCTTCTCGGAGGGTAGTTTCCTAGATATTTGTTCTCAAATCTCAACGAGGTCAAAATGCATCGGACTCACGGAATCAACCATCGTTTCTTGTTGCGCAAAATGTTCGACCAGGTCCTCAAACTCCTCTTCCTCCTCACTCTCACTGAGATCAAGCGCATTGGCAGCGTCGATCTCAGCGACAGCTGGTTTGCAAGTTGGTTCAGCGAGGTTGATGGAAAACGCTTTACGCACCTGGGTCAATGCTGACATCTGTAGGCTCCTCCTTCTTAACCTTCTTTTTAGCATGACGGCGTTCTCTCCGAAGGCTCTCGGGGGCCATCCAGTCCATCTGCCTGACATCCTCCATGTCAACAATCTCTACACCCTCATCTGGTTCTGAGTACACTTCTTCTTCATCTGCGTCGGGCGGCTTAACTTGGTCTTTTGCGTCAGGATCTTTCTTGACAGATGGGGGTCCAATACGCCTAAGACCGGCACCAAGCTGGGACCTATCGGTAGTTGGAGCAGGGGTTGCGAAATTAGAACGGGGAATTGATCGTCGAGCATTGTTGCCCGCCAATGCAGGCCCCATAGCAAATGGACCGCTCGCCGTCATTTCCACCGCTGGTCTTGGCCCTCCCCGGCCTCTACGTCTCCCATCGCCGCCTCTACCCCTGCCTCGCCCACGTTCTGAAGTCTGAGGTATAGCAGCAGGTGTCGGTTCCTAGACGAATCAGAACTCTTGTGTTAGACCACACAAAAATATCGCACAGTTTTTACTTCTCTAGAGACATATCAGAGAGTAATCATTAGGAGATGCGAATATATTCCGACTCTTTTTTGGCTCGACGAGTAGGCAGTACAGGCGTGAACTTGAGTTTTTGTGTACCTTGCCGTGTGACATCCGTTGGCTTTTTTGCGAGGCTGGCAATGGCCTTGGATGGCCCTGGAGTAGATCCAGACGCGTTGTCTAGAGAGAGAAGTCAGCGATGCATTTGGTTGAACGCGTCGGGCGGCTGACCAGACATGACGATGGGTCGTGGAAAACTTTTATGGCGGTCACGGCTTTTTGATCGTCTGATTGGCTCAGACTTTTTATCGCTTGCAATCATGGACGTTGAGCACTTGCGCGTCACCTATAACGACAGTGAGTTTATATTTTACTTCTGCACTGATCTAAACGCGTTGTGCAGTCCACAACCTCATCCGAAAAACCACACCCATAATCGCGAAGGACTTCAACCCAGACCTTCTCATCGCAATCGGTGGAGGGTAGGTCATTCTTACAAGGAAAACCACCTGCTTCAATATTTATCAAAGTGGATTCTTCCCTGCTCGTGTCATGCGAACTTTTTTGCGGGAAGAAACTGAGCACAAAGCACTTCAAATCCAAGCCATCGGTCTCTCGCTTTATGAGCCCGTTGAAGGTCAAAAGCTCCCCATTTCAACATCAACTTCGTAAACGCTGCAGCAGGGAGCACTGTGGATGTTATTGGAGTTGATGTCATCCGCACACAGTGGCTGTAAGCAAAGTGCACCAGACAGCCGTGATCCCAACATGCATTCTAGCGGTCCAGACTCAGGCAAACTCCTCTTAGGTTTGCTGCATATCTCTTATTCAACACAAGCGACCTGAGAAACTTGACAGGAAAGAGGAACTTGATCGTCGTAAGGGACACTTCATACCTCGATAACAAGCTCCCAGACGCTCTGTAGGATGAAGTTGACGACACCCGCAAGACTCTCCAGTGTGTCAATTCACCATACCTTATGCCCAACTGATTGCAATAGCTATGCCCTCTCTGAGTTGCAAAAAGACGTCGAGACGGAATTATTGACTCGCCCTGAATCAGAACGAGTTGCCCTTCGTGAGGCCACCAAGTTTGGGATCTTTGTCGTCCACAACAAAAGCAAGACCAAATTGGCTGACTTACCAGCCGAAACACCGTGCGTGTATTCTTCTCTTTTTCCAAGTCGCTTCCGCTCAATGCTAGCAGTTACTTCGCAGGAGAGACTGTTCAAGACCTTTGGTAAACCCATCACTTACTTTTCCTCGATTGCTAAAGGTCACGTAGGCTCGATTATCCTTGGGAGGCGATGGATATCGAAGAGCACGACAGACGAGCATCGGCAGACAAAACCAAACCTTAGAAAGCATGTGACCCGGGCAGGATTCCTTATTTATGAATGAGATGTGGTGCATTAGTAGTGGAATAGATGCAGGTCTATGGTTGTGTTTTGCGTTCCTCTGCGTCATCTGCCGCTGGTTTTTTCTTTGGAGGTTCTCCAGTGATCTGGTTGACGGCGTCCCAAAGTGTCGCTGGTACCTCCTTCGCGATGATCTCTTGCTCCTTCTTCAATAGACCCTCCAAGTAATCCTTGTGTTCTCGAATATACTTGACTTCCTCCGCATACTGTTCTTGTGCCTCGCGTCGCTTTTGTTCAAGATAGGTTGGCGGAATTTGAGGTTTGGGTTTCTAGGCGTCGCTTGAAAAAGAGCAAATCACAATAACGAGAGTCTTACCCCGATGCCAACGAGGGAGGAGAAACCCGATACCCCAGCACCTTGTGGATGACTCTGGTTCCATTTCTCTACGTGGGCTGCCTTCGCTTCTGCCTCCTTTTTAGCGTACTCGATGGGAATGTCTTTCCCATGGTATGCAGCCAGAATAGGCCGCACATCTTGTGGCTTGTAGATGCCAATAGCTGTTGCCGGTATCTTAGCGAGTTATTGGACAAAACGACCCTCTCGACTCACATTCTAAAAAAGGGATCATGGCTATGAGACCCTTGTCGTTTGGATCACCATTCCATTTGGGGATTATAATTGCGTTTTCGGGATGGGTGGCTATGTGCTCCGCATTAGTGTCGAGTAGTATGACAGTATTGAGAGGGCGATTCAAGTACGACAAGTCCTACGTGGGTTAGATTTCTCGAATGGAGAAGGAATAGGTCAAACCTTGACGATCTTGCCGTTTATTGATCTTGTGGCCTCTCGGTACAGCCTGTGAGTAATGTAGAAGTTGTAGCGGTCGAGTTTGTCGAGAATCGGCGCAGCGGTCTAGAGAGGGTTATTTGCTAGACCTGAACTAAAACGTGGGGCGCACATAGAAATTTTGCGTGGTAAAAACGACCACTTCGTAGAATTGTGAGATATATGCGAGGAAGTAGTCTACACCGGGCCGCTTGGCTGTTCGCCACCCATGTTGACGCTGAAATAGTCGGGTCAAGGCCAGACGCAAGCTGCTTTTTTGGATTACTCACATCCCACGTCGACGTGACGAGCAGGTCGTCTATAGATATTAACAGAGTATAAGGCTTGGAGTGTGGAGGAGGAGGTGGTGGTGGTAGTAACTCGGGCCATGCAGGTTTGTTGAAGTACTATGGTCGTTCAGTGCTTATAGCGTTGTAACAGTGAAAACACACGTCAAATATGTCTACAAACCGCTCCTTTGTCCGACCCCATCGCGTATCAACCGCAGTCTCCAGCGTCTGCAATGAATGAACGCGTAATCACCCTTGGAACGTTGGAAACAAACCAGCTTCCGCGCCTTCAGTTCCTCTTCTTCCCATTCACGGCCAAGGTAGATGGTATTTATCCCAAAACCAAGGGCAAGGACTACAGCCGAGAGACGGCCAAGTCTGCGGCGTCGCAATTCAACAGAGGAAAGGGAGTCTTTAGATGATTTTGCGCCAGTCTGTTGCTCTGATTGGGGTGAGAAATCGAGGCTGGGAAGATTTGAAGGGCCCGAGGGGGGTGGAGGAGTTGGCGGTTGTGGCGGCTGGGAGTAGGCACGCGTGTGGGCAAGACGGAGAACCCTACTTGGTACAGTGCGAGTTATGGCAGAAAACATGAGAGCCTCCCCCAAGAATGCGTGACATCACATTCTGCATTTTTTTTGCAAACCCTCACTGATGCAGCTTGAGAGTTGCACTATTGGCTGCTTATTCTAGTGGCCTATAGTAACGGAGCAGTGGGAGAGCAATCTCTTGAGGGCATTATTCACGCTGGATACTATTTTAGTGTCAAGCAAGTAGGCTTTTGGAATACAACTGTTCGCCAAACAAACTTAGCATGCCCTTCTGCTCCAACCTCCATGTCGCAGCTCTTCAAGCGCTTGTCGTCGACCATAAACATTAAGCCCCTCCCCTCCAAGACCCACCTCCACCGTGTTCTCCCAGATAGCTCGTTCCCTGCTGGGTATGCATTGACTGGCCTTCATGCCGGCGTCAAGAAGAAGAGTGGTGTCCTCGACCTAGCCATTATTATATCGACTTCCAAGCACCCAACATCAGCTGCTGCTTGTTTCACGCGAAATGCTTTCAAAGCTGCCCCAGTTGTAGTCTCCGACGAAATTCTTTCACGGAACGGGGGCAGAGCGCGCGGCCTCGTTGTAAACAGCGGTTGTGCCAATGCTGTTACGGGTAGGATTTCATTATCCCTTGATCCTACTTGAATGCTTAGCTTTCTTGTTCATCAGGACGCCAGGGTCTTGAAGATGCCTGGGCCATGGTCAACGAGACGGACAAACTCTTACCGCATTCAACTTCTTCCCAGAGCCATAACACACTGGTTATGAGCACGGGAGTCATCGGACAACGCCTACCAATCCAGTCAATCATAAAAGGCATTCAATCTCAGGCATCTGCTGACTCGACTCTTGCTTCTGATTTCGCTGCTTGGGAGCGAGCAGCAAAAGCATTCATGACTACAGACACCTTCCCAAAGCTTAGGTCTCGCTCTTTTGAGATCAGAGGCACAAAATATCGTATTGCTGGCATGGACAAAGGCGCTGGGATGATCCATCCTAACATGGGGCCTGCAAGCACTTTACATGCGACACTATTGGGCTGCATTCTCACTGACGCGGCCATTTCACCTCCAAGTCTTCAAAATGCCCTGACCTACGCGATGGACCGCAGCTTCAACTGCATCAGTGTTGACGGTGAAATGTCGACCAACGACACAGTATTGGTTCTGGCTAATGGCGCTGCGGCACCAGACCAAGTCGAAATCGACGAAGTCACAGATAAAGAGGGGTTTGAGATCTTCAAAAGGGAATTAACCGCCTTCGCAGCTGAACTAGCCCAGTTGGTCGTTCGTGATGGCGAAGGAGCGACCAAGTTTGTCACAGTCAACGTCAAGGTATGGAATGCCTTGTTGGTCACGTAATAACCTTCCCTCCATCATGATATAGGGAGCCCCGACCTATGAGGATGCGCATCGAATTGCGTCGCGAATATCCACATCGGCTCTGGTGAAGACTGCACTTTATGGAGAGGATGCCAAGTTCGTACATACGTTGCTCGTTGACTTCTGATTCACCATGAACCAAGTTGGGGGCGTGTCTTGTCTGCAACGGGCTCTGTTCCTCTCTCTGGCCTCGATCCTCAAAAAGTTAGTGTCAGCTTCCTGCCGTCTGACGGTTCTGCGGCATTACCAGTGCTTGTTAACGGAGAGCCTGAAAATGTTGACGAAGGACGGGCAAAAGAGATTCTCAGTTTGGAAGACTTCGGGATTTGTGTAGAGCTTGGTGCAGGTATGGAGGAAGCCACATACTGGACCTGTGATTTCAGCTATGTGAGTGGCAGTAACCTCGCTATCTCTGATGTTGACAACATTCAGGAGTATGTGCGAATCAACGGGGACTACCGCAGTTGAAGTTGAGAGAATTAACGGGGATCATAGTGGAAGTGAGAGAATGGTTTTCGTTATAATGGCACACGTCTAAACTAGAGGGCACTGGCACCTGAATTGCGCGCGTTAGAATTTTGGCGAAGAAAAAGGCCAATAGGCAGACGCACCAGTAATAATGTCAACCAATTCGTTTGTGATCGAGGCTTGTCTCCCACGATTGTACTTCATTTGGAGAGCAGTGATCATGTCCCCAGCATTTTTGGATGCGTTGTCCATAGCATTTCGCCTGCGAAAATGAATGGGAGAGAAAAACGGGAGGAAAAAGGCTATACCGAGCGCTAACTTCACAAGCATGTCCTTCAACGAGTGCGGCATAGATAGCATTGGCAAGAGAGAATTCAGCCAGATCTTTGGTGAAGTCGTCCTCCATTTCATACGCCTTGAAGCCGTCTACGAGAATTTAGAGGATCTATTGAGGGCGTCAAAAATAGGACTTACCACTCTCCTTCAAAGCACTCTCGCCTCGAACTTCCATGACTGCCGGCTCGTAGCTGACGGCCGAGACGAACTTGTTGTAAACAATGACCACGGAGTCGTATGTAACACCACTCTTGATGATGAGGTCTGCAACGCCAGCAGCATCAGCGAATGTTGGGATGTCACGGCCAATTTGGTTGAAGGTCATGCGAAGGTTGTTGGCGAGGACACGCGAAAGCTGTGATTTGGACTTGTCGCCGACGATGAAGATGGGAGAGTCACCATCGACTTCGACAGGCTTCTTGGTCTCCGCTTCAAGCAACGGAGATTCTTCAGAGCCGCTGAACGCGCGCCTAGTAGCCTTGGTTACGGAAGAGTGAATTCCACCGCAAAGACCCTTGTCGGAAGAAACCACAATGAAAAGGCGGCTGGTGTTGGCAGCAGACGTGGTGGAAGAATGAGCGAAGACCTCTGCAATGACTTTGAGACCAAACAAAAATAGAAAAATAGTCCTCTGGGGGAGTTTTCATACCCGAGTTAGCAACACCGTACTCCTTGCCAGCATTCATAGCCCGTTGAGCTTTCGTCAGCTGGGAAGACGCAATCATTTTCATGGTCTTGGTGATTTTCTCGATGTTTTTGACGGATTTCAGGCGAAGTTCAATTTCGCGGAGGGTGGCCATGTTACGCGCATTTCCGGCGCCAGCCCCAGAAAACGCTGCGGGCGCGCGACTCAGCGTCCGACGAACAAGCATGACGGTAAGGACCGGGAGAATTTGAAGTCACAAGGTCACATCAGATGATTACTTAAACTACAAGTGTTGGATCTACTCCCGCCATTAAAGCCTGAAGCTGTGACCCACTCCTCGTCCGCATTCCTTGCATTTCTCTTCGGAAAAATTCCTCTGGGTTAGTCACGTATGACACTGGATCAATCTCAGTAGCTTCGGATGCCGCTAGTCGTGAATAGGCCGCTTGATAACCTGCAGTTTGCTCTTCCTGGTCCACTTCAGTCATTCCGGTGGGCCCCGACTCGCTGCTATTCTTCGTATTGGTCGTCGCTCCAGCTAAGTACTGGCTTTTAAGTAGTTGGGCGAGGGAAGTATATGTCGCTGGCCTAAATGATGATCCCGGTTACATACCTACAAAAAATTCTGGTTAAGAACACACCAAAGTTCGGTATAGGGAGGCTGAGTCATCCGTGAACTCTGTGTAAGCAGACGCGTCAATGCAACCACAGTCAGCTTTCGGTCTTTTTGCGGCATCAAAGCCAATTGAGGAACGACAATGTTTTTGAGGATCTGCCCCCAGAGACTTTCGACAGATAATTCAGCAGTGATAAGATTGTCAAGTGGGACTTACCCCGCTTGGATCTCCTCCATTGTGGCTACAACATAATCTGGTCCCATCCCGTCTATGTTGACGGCCATGCAGTAGAGCATCAGTCGGGCGAACAAATAGGTGAATTTATCCGTTTTGCTGGAGTGTAGTCGATTAAGGAGACTGGTGACAACAGCTTTGAAGTATTGGCTAAGATTTTGACTGAAAGAAGGTTAGAGAGGTCAGTATATAGGAGTCCGATGGCACTGACGGGGGCACATTTTGAATCACGCCTTGGACAAGGTCAAAGCCCCAGACGTCATTGAGTTTACTGGGAATCAACCGTTGCTGGACGATGGCAAGCACGTTTCCGATTTGGCCAGAGGCTATCATCTGTGCGTTGTCGCGCTCCAAGAATACCTTGATCAGCCTGACGAGACCGGGAATGCTGCCCTTTTGTTGCCAAGGGGCGGGGGTGAAGACAACGGGAAGGAGACTCCGGTATTGATCAGGCACAGTGGAGTGAAGAGCGAGCATTTGGGCTAGGACTTGGAAGACATAGGGCACATATTCTATCGCTTTCTTGAGTAAAAAAATGAATATTACGCGTAGAAACTCACGTTCAATATCCTGCTGTAAAATATAAGTGAACGGCCCAAAGAGATGCTTTTCAAAATTGGGCAGCGTAGTCGGTGACGCTTCGACGACGAAACTGTGAATATTTTAATGATTTATAAAGTATTTTAACCGGAAACGAACCGCATCAGACCAGAAATACTCTCGAAAATGTACTGGTCGAATAATGGATTGCTCGGGTTCTTGGAGATGACGCCCAAAATTGTGACAAGGCGATTCAGTACTTCCTCGTGAATAGGTGCAAGCGTTTGCCTTGACGTAATGATCACCCGCATCGCGCCTATGATGGGGGGTTAACAAAGACAAAGCCTGAAGGGATAAAACGCTACATCGCATGAGATGGTCATTCTCGGCAACCTTTTCTGGCGTTCCGGCACTCTGAATCTTGGCCAGAAGACCAATTACCAGATTCGGGGCAAAATCCTGGACATCAGCGTACCCAAACCTGAATCGAGTTCGGTTAGCAATGGTTCACGTCTACGAAAGTAGAACGGGCACTGGTATATGGTTTCCCTGCGGATGCTGAGTATTCTGTCAATTGTAATGGCCGCATATGTGTAGGTCACATAGTTTTGGGAAGAAAGATGCCGCGTTAGCAGGGGCAAAACAGAAAGAAGTTGCTCCTTGGTCAACTGGGAGAAGAGTTAGAACCAAAAAAAATGGCCAAATAAGTAAAATAACCTGGTTTCTGAAGTTGAGCAAGTATCGGATGGCATCAACCTGTAGAATGGGATGTACAGAGCCCTCTTGGGCATCCAGATCGACAAAAACGTGGTTGGAGAAGAACTCGACGACATTTACAAGCGAGTTGGTAGATGTGACGCCTAGCTGTGGCTCACGATGAACAAAGATTCAGAAAAGGTGGCGCTACTTACTTGAGCTGTAGAGCCACGGGTTGCAATGGCCATCATCAAGAAAACTGCACTGTCCTTCGCCTTCCAGGCTTGACCTTGAACACGATCCGCAACGGAAGCGTTGTCGTATTGTGTTAACCCCATTTGAACCCAGCTCTGTATTTCGGCTGTAGTTTCTTGCTCAAATCCACTGCTCACGAGTGCTTTGAGTACATCAGCTGCTGCTTGTCGCCGGGTTCGGCCGTCTGATCCGCCAGTCGCAAGGCCGGCAGAGGAAGTTGTCGCGTCAGTGAGCGATGAACGAATGAACTCTAGTGGGTCATCCGCAAACATTTCCTCGTCAGATTCACGGAAAAAAACATTGGGGACAACGATAGACTTGATGATGGCAGAAAGCGTCTCGCCGGAGAATATAGCGGCGTAATGTGTTGTTCGAATCGTTGCAGAAAGGAAACGCAGTGATTGTGAGACTAGCTGGATCAAACAGTGAGAGGTAGTTCAGATGTTGTAGCGAGCAATATACCCCATCGTCTGCGAGGCTTTGCATCCTATTCTCGCCTATCATCGTCCAAACGCCTCTCATGAAGGCTTCAATAGTATCGGATTGTTGCAACTGTTCTGCATATAATTGCAGGTAGAGCTAAGCGGGATTTGAACGTTTGAGACAAGATTCCAACCTGACGACGCACCTCTGCTATTTGTAAAATACCGGTCTTGACTTGTGAGGGCAAGGATGGTGTAGTTTCCTCGGGCTAAGGGAACGGATCAGCAATCATAGGAAAATACCAACTTGTCGTCTCACATCTACTGCCAGCCCTGGCGGATTCCAGGCAAGAAGCTTGTGAAACCAGCCCTCAGGTGGTTTAAAAAACTCAGCATGAGCATCCTCAAGTGCCGGTGGCAAATCGTGACAGGTAAAATCATAGTAGATATCGAGGAGGAGGGCCATTGTCTGGGCTTGCGCAGCGTATTCGCCGGTAGAAACTGATACGTCGAGACCAGGTGGAGGTGTGAGCAGGATTCCAACAGTATGCCTAAAGAGGGCCAGGAATGGATCCATGAATTTCGAAAGCACGAGATTGATCTCAGTGAAAAGAGTATCTGAGCGGACATGGGCGCGCCATTGGGAGAATATAGAATGTGAAGTCTGCAGAATGGCAATATTGGTGGAGGAAGAGGAGGGTGAGAGCGACCCAGTAAGTTGCTGCAAAGAAAATGTATTAGCAAACAATATGTTGGTGATGATGGATCATCAACACCTACATCGACGAGATCTGGCCATTTGGCGGGGAAGTCGAGTTCAGCAATGAGTGCGATGCTCTCAGCAGTCTGTGCCCTTATAGTTTTGTCGCGTTGATCGGCTGAAAGTGCTATCATGGCAGGGACAAGCTCAACCCGCAAAGAAGCCTTGTCCTGTTCAGCGAGTGGGTTCACATCCTACCAAGATACGATTGAATAAAAGGCAGTTTGAGTTCCGTGACAATACCTCTTCCCATCTGAGTTTCGCGATGTTCTTGAGAAATACGCTCCCTGCCAATCTCACAGCGCGGTCTTGAGTAGGATCGAGTGAAAGACGGAGGATGTGGGAAAGAAAGCCTTGTTGGCGACTGAGTTGGGTGAGTTGACCTTCTGCCTCCTTTCTTGTTGTTGGCACTAGAGACGCCTGGAGAAGCGCAGCAAGGTCGGCCATGGAGTAAGAAAGAAGAAAGAGACGCGTTGAACGCGACGCCAAATTGCACCGCCACAGAGAGTCACATCACACTGCTCAATTCACCCCGACCACCATGATCCTGCTCGAATCGCACAATGTAATTATTCAGACCACTGTCGCAGAAAAGATTGTCAAGTCAGAATTTGCTTTATGACGCGACTTCACCCTCTCATTATCTAATCAGACCATCCTCTGTCGATGTACAATTCGTGGACTATGACGGTGTCCGTTTCCATCTCTCAACGCCTGAACGCAAAACAGTTCTCCTTCTGTCCATGCACATCAGATGCTGGGATGAGCTGGTTCAATGTGGGGCTCTCAATGTTCTAAAGCGGGAATACGGTGCACTGCTTCAGCCGCAGGCAGAGCCAGACTACAACGTCAGCCTTGCTATTGACTTGGAGCAACTGCCTGCTTCATCCGGTCAGTGCTAAAGATTAATCCCCAAGGAAACTGCGCTCACGACTTCGAGAAGAAGACCGCGATGCCTTCGTTCTTTCTCTTGCTCTTCTCAAACGCAACGCCCTTGCTGCACCATTTGAAGATGCCTTTTCCTCTCAAAAGGCCCTCGAGTCAGCAGCCACTGGAACAGGAGAACTCATGCAGATTCACTACCGGGACGAAGAAGCGATCTACATCCAAGCGTCGCATGACCGTGTCACTGTCATTTTCTCGACCATTTTCAGCGATGAGACCGACCGAATATATGGCAAGGTTTTCTTGCAGGTTAGCCCCAATCAATTGATACCTGAATGCCTGTTGATGCTTTCATAGGAGTTTGTGGATGCTCGTCGACAGCCGTCCATCCAGAATGCTCCGCAAGTGCTGTACTCCAGCCGCGATCCCCCTCTGGAAATCCGCCACCTACCACACCTACGCAACACGGACGACACTGGTTATGTCACGTTTGTTCTCTTTCCGAGGCATTTCAAGAATTCCGCCACGGCTGCTGCAACAATCTCGCATATCCAACTTTTCCGAGACTATCTTCACTACCACATCAAATGTTCTAAAGCTTACATGCACTCCCGTATGCGTCATCGCGTCGCGGAGTTCCAGAAGGTCCTCAATCGCGCCAAGACTGAGGTCGCTGCAACAGAGAAGAAGACCGTTTCGTGCGTATCCTTCCTGTTGTTGCGTGGCCTTTCCTTTCCTAATACTATGTTGTAGTGGCAGGACAATGGTGTCGCGTTAATTAGATCTGTAGCGTATTAGCAACCGTGGATAACTTTGTACTTTCTCTCACCGTGACGATATGCCCCCATGGCTTTCAGAGCTTCCTCCATATGCATGAACAGAGCAATTGTCTACAGTCAAACTGGCGACCCCACCCGCGTCCTCTCAGTGCGAGCATTCCGTCTCCCACCACCCCAAACCAACACTGTCAACATCAAATTCTTGCTTGCCCCCATAAACCCAGCCGACATTAACGTGATACAAGGCGTTTACCCTGCTCGGCCATCTTTGGAGCGCATTGGCGATGACCATTCTGAGGTGTTTGTGGCTGGCCATGAGGGTGTGGCAGAAGTAACCCAAGTTGGCCCTGATGTGAAGGACCTGAACGTCGGCGACTGGGTAATCATGACGAAGCCACAAAGCGGTACATGGGCAACTGCCAGACAAGTTAATTCACTAGAGTGCGTACCTCGCCATCTGTTTCTTCCCAAAAAGCTGACAATTCATCACAGTGTCCTGAAAATTCCGCGCATAGCAGGGGAAATACATGCTGCGACGATGACCGTCAACCCTCCAACTGCATATAACATGCTCACCAACTTCGTGAGGCTTGATAAGGGAGAGTGGGTAGTTCAAAACGGCGCCAACTCTGCTGTCGGGCAGGCGGTAATTCAGATCGCAGCAGCCCGTGGTCTCAAAACATTGAATCTTGTGCGAAGCAGGTGTGTTTGAGCCAGGAATTCCCCGCCTCAAACTGAAGCATGTAGCAAAGACCGGACATATCTGATCTAACCGGGAAACTCAAGGCTCTGGGGGCAACTGAAGTCTTGACATATGACGATCTTTCGGACCGAGCGCTGACTAAAACAATATTGAAGGATTGGACATTGGGCAAGGTTAGTTCACGCGTCAAAGCCGTACATGACGCGTATAATGTCATTCCAGGGCTTTCGACTTGGTTTAAACTGCGTAGGGGGGCAGGACACTACTAATATGGCGCGACTTTTGGGCACCAATGCATACCTCGTCTCCTATGGAGCCATGTCGAAGCAGCCGCTCTCTCTGCCGACTTCCCTCCACATTTTTCAGAATCTGACAAGCGTGGGCTATTGGCAAGCACGATGGTACAAAGAGCATAGCCGAGAAGACAAGGAAAGCTTGATGATGACGCTCGTGGATCTAGTCAAGCAAGGCAAGGTATGTGGTAGCCTGGACGAATTTTACAATATGCTGAATTAGATGACCAGTTGAAGGAACCAGAGCACGAGATAGTGTCCATAACCGACCAAGATTCGGATGAAGTGGCTGGAGAGAAAGTCCGCAATATCGTAGGGAGGCTACTGGAGGGTAAATACGGCAAAAAGGTGCTCCTTAAGTTCGAATCCTGAAACTGTACCATGTCAAAAATAAACTTTCTTCGATGTCACGTCCAAAGATTTGCTTGTGACTCGACCATCCACAATTGCTTTTAGACTCCCATCGCGTTGGGCAATCCGCCGTTACGCAAAAATGGCCTATTCAGCCGCGGACCCCTCTACTTGCGCTCTCGATGGCTTCCGGACTGCGATTGCTGAGCGTGTTGCCGCTGCTCTCAGTCCACTAACTTCCGACCAAGTGTATTCTGGTGTAGATTATGGTAAAAAGGGCGTGGATTTCACTATCGCTCTACCGCGATTCAAGATGGGCAAGCCGGATGATCTGGCGGCTAAAGTACTTGCCCAGGTGTGTGCCAAGGTCACCCGATGCTTTCCCAAGTCAATGTTTTTCTCCAGTTCAAACCCGATGACTACGTCGAGTCTGTGACCCATGACAAGGCTTTCCTCCACTTCCAATGCACGTCCTCTACCCTAATACGCAACATCCTCACCCAAGTACACTCGCTTACCCATCTTTCGCCGACACCATGCTACGGCAGCAACACATTAGGCAAAGGCAAAAAAGTCGTCATTGAGTATTCCTCTCCCAACATCGCGAAGTCTTTCCATGTTGGCCACCTGCGGAGCACAATCATAGGAGGATTTCTAGCCAATCTATACAAAGCCTGCGGGTGGGATGTCGTCTCGATGAATTATCTTGGCGACTGGGGCACACAGGCAAGAGAAGACCTACTGGCGGCGCACCCTTGCTGACTTTTCTAGTTTGGCCTTATTGCTACTGGTTTCGAAAAGTATGGATCGGCGGAGGAACTCAAAAAGGACGCGATAAAACACCTGTTCGAAGTTTATGTCAAAGTCAACAAGGATGCTGACGCGGATCCGGAGGTCAAGGCAGAGGCTTCTAGGTGGTTCAAGCGGATGGAAGACGGAGACGAATCTGCTCTGAAAAACTGGCGAATATGGCGGGAGTTGAGCGTCAAGAAATACATCGAGGAATATGACCGGCTGAACATCGCCTTTGACGAGTACACTGGAGAGAGTAAAGTTGGGAAAGAGTGGCAAGACAAGGCTCTTGCGCGCTTGGACGAGTTGGGCCTCATTGAGGATGTTGATGGTGCCAAGATTGTGAATCTTGAACAGTGGAAGATGGGAAGGGCGGTCCTGAGGAAACGAGGTGAGGTGAATGCTGACTTTTCTGACTTAGCTCCTCATGCATTTTAGACGGAACGTCGATTTACCTGACTCGGGATATTGGCGGTGCCATTGAACGCTACGAAAAATACCAATTCGACAAAATGATTTACGTCGTCTCATCACAGCAAGACCTCCACTTGTCTCAATTTTTCAAGATACTCGAGCTCATGCAGTTTCCTTGGGCTGCATCCTTACAACATGTCAACTACGGTTTGGTTCAGGGCATGAGCACTCGCAAAGGCACCGTCGTCTTTTTGGACCAAATTATCAAGGAAGCGGGCCAGGTAATGCATGAACAAATGCAAAAAAACGAAGAAAAGTACAAAGCTGTCGAGGACCCAGAGAACGTCAGCCTGGAAATTGGCATCACTGGTGTCAAAATTCAAGACATGGCAGCAAAAAGGTAGCCTTTTTTCGTTCGAGTAATTGGGCTGAGACGTTCTATATAGAATCAACAACTACACCTTCAACTGGGACCGAATGAAGTCTTTTGAAGGAGACACTGGCCCCTATCTTCAATATGCGCACGTCCGGTTATCATCTATAGCGCGAAAGAACCCGAACCTCTATCCTTTACCTCCACCATCACAAATCGACATTGCGTCTTTGGCAACGTCGTCTCACGCCAGGGAAATTGTCTTCTTACTGGGCACCTACCCCGATGTAGTCAAGGTCGCAATGAAGACACAGGAACCAAGCGGGGTTGTGACCTTTCTCTTCCGACTCAGTCACGCCATTTCCAGCGCCTGGGAAGTGCTGGTAGTTAAGGGAGAGGAGGACATCCAGAAAGCACGTGCGCGTTTGTGGATGTACGAGTGCGCCAGGGACGTTTTGGGCTCTGGAATGCGGTTGTTAAGCATCCGGCCATTAGATCGTATGTAGACTTGAGATGGTAACACAAGTGTATTGAAGAAAAGAATAATGACTCCCAAGTCTAGCGCATCTTTCTATCCTCGAAAAAGCGCTTCAGGTGTCTCAACTGCCAAGTGCAAGTGCCAACCAAAACTAAAATCTGCGCGATACTATACCATACCGCACGGGAGTTGGTGGCCTCGCTGAGGTTACGGTAATCGGCTTCTCGTTGGCGCTGGTAAGACTGTTCCCGGTAAATATCTTCAAGTTTCTGGTTTAGGTCGCGAATCTTCGACGCAAGTTCGGACACATGAGAGCGGTCGTGGTCGGCATCAGCTTTGGTTTGGCCCACAACAACGTCGAGGTAAAGACGGAGATGCGTGCTGGAGAACCACGAAGTGTAGTTTGTCGATAGACATATCGTATGGTCGCCAGCTTCATGGGAGGTGAATGTGAAACGGCCTTCACTCGGGCCCCTTGTCTTCACCACACTGTGTCCGCTGTCGAGTTCCTAACCAGCGGTGAGTCGTTTTTTTTTACAACTTGAACAAGTGACGCTACGCACGTCCACCTCCACTATTATTCCCAGGTTCTCGTCCATTTCATACGTCTGACTGTCCTCTGACCACTCTAGTGCTCGGTAGTGGCCTGTTGGTCCATTAAATACAGCAAGGGTTTTAGTAGGAAAAGAGTACTCGCCCTCAACAACCGTGTCCATCGGAAGCTCCTCAATGAAACAACGTTTCTCATTGGCATCGAGGTAAAAGTGAAGAGCATTCGACGCGGTAATGCACAGCAAGAGCGTCCAGAAAATTGCTCGTCGTGGTATCATGAGAAGGTGAACGTGGCGGTTGATGTGAAACACCACATTCTATGAACGACCAACAAGCTCGAGTAAGGCATGTTTTCAGGCATTTTAAAAGTACAGCGAATAGTTGGGTAACGAATGTGCGTCTGCCTTTATAGCCTATTGCTCTGCTGCTATTCGAACACGAAACTTGTTGCAACATCTCCTGAATCGCTCTCGGGGACCCCATAGCTTCGGAAAGGAATGCATTGCTGGCGTGGAAATCATTTCGACGCGCCCTTGGAAAGATATTTGGCGTTGACCGAGACGAAGTGGTAGCCCACAACAGTGATCATTGCAAGAACACCAAGTGAGTTAGCCAGCGAGTAGAGAGTCGCGTGTGTTATCATCCTGCCCTGTGAGTCAAAGAGTTGAGACGTGCAGAGCAGTCTCGAAATGGCCAGCACGTACTGGACGGAAGCAAGTTTGGAATGTGACGCTTCCCACTTGTTTCTTGCCGCCATGGCCAAGGCAAAGGCGAGGTATGGATACAAGCCACTCAACTCATCGAAGTCCTTAACTTGAGCCCGTAGGACAATCATCGTCCGCCTCATATCCACTGCTCAAACAGGTTTCTTCTACACTCGAACCCGTGTTCGCATGGGACCCAAGCTTTCCGCGGTAAAATACGATCCTCATGGTGCGTTATTGTTCTTGTCTATACCCTTGACTTACAAGGGTAGTCGGTCGACGCGTCTTATTTGTCGAAAGCAAAAAGTCAGGCAAGAAGAACCAATAGACGGTGGCTACCAGCCACATAAAAATTATATCGCTGTAGCTACTGGGCCTTTCGAATGCTCATATAATTTGTACCATCCCGAAGGATCCCTTGAACCTTGAACTTGGTCTACTCCTTGTGCCGGAATCTAAAAACGATTGCGCTCCGATTGCACTTGCGCGTGACAATATCGTGTCACGCCTCAGTCTTACGCGTTCATGTCGCGCACATCCTACGACAGGTTCAAACTCTGTCCTTGCTTGAAACACGCTCAAATCCTGCAGGTATCTGACAGTATTCTCTCCTGAAGGTCGACTGTATCAAGTCGGTTAGTCTTCACAGTAGATTTCAACGCACAGAAGCTCAATCTCTCCTTGGCAGAGTATGCCTTCAAAGCCATCTCAGGCTCTGGTCACACTGCTGTCGCTGTTCGTGGTAAAGACACCGCCGTGGTCATTACCCAACGAAAAGTGCCTGTACGTCCTTGGTCAGCTGAAGATTATTTGGTCATAGAATCGCAATCTAGGATAAACTGCTGGACGCGTCGACCGTTACACATCTCTTCAGCATTACGCCGACGATTGGTTGTGTTATGACAGGACTTATTGGTGTGTTACTTGATAAGTATTCTGCTATTGGTTGACCTAGCCCCAGCGGATGCAAGGGCCCAAGTAACTCGCGCTCGGTCAGAGGCAGCCGAGTTCCGCTACAAATATGGCTACGAAATCACACCCGACACTCTTGCCCGTCGTATGGCAAACATCAACCAAGTTTACACACAAAGGGCAGCTATGCGACCTTTGGGTATATGTCAGTCGCTCCCGGTTATTGCCCACCACCATCCTGAACGTTTGCTAGCAATGATCCTCGTTGGAATCGACCCTGAATTTGGACCCCAGTGCTTCAAGCTCGACCCTGCTGGTTTCTTTGTTGGGTTTCATGCAACATCGGCTGGTCAGAAGCAGCAAGAGGCAATGAACCATCTTGAAAAGAAGTGGAAGAAGCTTGATTCTGGACGAGGAGCAGACGATGCTATCAAAGCAGGGAAAACGCTCGATCGTGCTGCAGTCATCGAGGTGTGTAGTTTGTGTCTTGGGACTGGGTGATGTTTCTGACCGTGGAACACAGATGGCAATAGAGGCCATGTCGACTGTCCATGCAACTGACTACAAGCCTGGCGAAATCGAAATCGGGATCGTTTCTGAGGGCGAAGACGAGGACCCAAAGACTCGTGGAAAGTGGCGCGTCATGGATGAAACAGAGATAGAGCGGTATTTGCTGGCGTACGCAGAGAAAGATTAAATATCCTGTTCACTTTCAACATGAATTCCACTCAGTCGATGAGGAGTAGGTACTAGTGTAAAGAAGCCCCACCACTCTGCCCTTGCCTATGAGAAACGAGGACAACAGCTACTGCACAGAGACGCACCAGAATCGCCTCGATTTCAGCTTCCTCTAATTCACGATTACGTGGCCTCCAAAAGCGGTCGGGTGCTTCCCAGAAATCGGAGAACGCCCCTCCGGTCTTGTGAGGTGAAGATGTGTTTGCTTTTGATGTGGCAGAAAAGCCTTTCTGGAACTCCGGTGGTGCTGCTGGATGGCCCTTGGCCGCAACAGGACCTAAATTCCCGGCAGGTCAACAAAACTTCCATGATGAAGTCATTATCGCACTGGAGGGCCACGAGCGTTTGCCCAAAAATTTGATCAAAGGTTGGTGGAGGACGCGGCGTGTCGCGAACATTGTGGTGGAGGAGAGAATATGTGTGATGCGATCACATGACGAATACATTTTGTCTAATCTAAACAGCTTCCCGCTTCCTAGGTGTTGCCCGTAAAATATCGTCCACCCTAATGTGGCATTGGTAATGTTGTCGCGATCCCAGAAATGCACCCACCGTAGGATCATCTCAGCCGCCTCACTTGCACTCAGAACAACTTGTCGTTTGAGTTTGTAGCTTTCAGTGACACCGAGTTTACGCATCGAGGCAATGGTGGCCTCTTCCATGTCTGTTTTGTGGGTGAGTATTGAGTCCGAAAGAAGTCTTGATCGTACCAAGGCCAGAATCAGATTGGCCTTCATAGTGGGCTGCCCTCAGACGAGCAACAAGATCAGACGAATCATAACCAGCATTGTCGGCCAAGATAGTGGGTATTTGTCGGAGTGCCCGGCCAAAAGCTTCACAGGCGATTGCTTTTTTCCCCTTGACTTTCCGTGCTTCCTCCTCGACGGCACAGCTCATAAGCATCTCTGAACATCCGCCACCAAGGACTGTCCTTGTCTCCTTCACTGTTTGAGAAAGAACAGAAAGAGCGTCATGTAAAGATCGCTCTGCTTCGTCAACCATTTGGTTGGTGGAGCCTCGTAAAACGACTGTGCATGCCTCTCCGGCCGCGACACCAGAAAATTTGATGAGCTAGACGGATTAGCATGAACCCTTGAACGAAAATGCCACTCTACCTTATCCTCTCCGATCATTATTTCTTCAATGAGCTCGCAATGACCTAGGTTGACGAGGTCTGGACGATCAAATGTGCTGGCAATTTCGCCACCAGTCACCAGCGATAACCGCTCAACACCTTCAAAGTCAGCGTGTTCGATGACCATAATTCCCTTTTCAGCCAAGAGTGATTCGGGATAGTTGTAGATGAGTTGTCGGTTGACGAAGCAATTGATACCATGTGCAGCAATGGCGTCGACCTTGGCTTTCATTTTTTCCTGGGGGGTAAATACGGTCAGCTAAAGCAGGGGGACTGACACTGCTTACCCTTTCTGCTCGCTCAAGCTCCGCTAGTTTTCCAGTCCCATCGACCTTCACACGTGCTCCGAATATCTTGATTTTATCCGTGTCCATGGCTAAACAGAATCAGGGCCCGTCAGAATATAGAGTGGAACACACAAGTGTTAGCAATGAGAATTTTAACGTTTTCTAGTCGCTTTGGAGAGTTGACCGCGATTGTCTTGTCGAGAATGAAGCCTTGACAAGCTCGTGTCAATAATCGGTAGGCAAGATAACCGACCCACCCTCATCCAAATATGAATCCGTCAGTTTTCCTCCAACTTTCTTGATTATTTGGATATGCTCAAGGTCAGTAGACCCCTGAACGCGTTTCAAATGGAAGAAAACCAAAGTTAAATATTGCACACCTTCAGCCTGAGCACAGCGTCTACTGCGAGATTTGCGAAGTAGTCCTTGTCTTGTGATAAAACCTTGGACGACAGTGTTGTTCGCGCGATGTTGAACAGATCTTGCCTGAAGACGTTTGGATCGGAGCTGGTCAAAGACGTTTGAGCGGAAGAAAAGAGTACTAGATCGGGTTACTTACAAATTATCGACTGCTGACTTCTCTAGCGCTTTGAGTGCTGCTGCTTGAGCGATCCGGTAACCCTCTACAATCGTCTGAGGGTGTATTTTTTGTGCGATTAGCTTTTCGGCCTCTCGAAGCAGTTCGGACGCAAAAATCGTAACACTGGTTGTCCCGTCGCCCACTTCATCGTCTTGAACTTTACTAATGTTCACTAGGATCTTTGCCGCGGGATTGTCTAGTTGAATTGCCTTGAGAATTGTAGCGCCATCGTTTGTAACGTTTATTTCGCCGGAAGAGCCCGACTGCAGTATTTTGTTCATGCCCTTGGGCCCCAGCGTCGATTTGACCAAGTCACCCAGAGCCATCGCCCCGATGAAGGATGATAGGCGCGCATTCTCCGCCTTTTCTTCTGTAGCCTGGGGGTACTGAGTTACAAGCACCGAGACAAAATGGCCACGAACCTCTTGACCAAAAATTTGCATCGACATCGTACTCCCAAAGACGCGTCGAAGGGTGACGCCCACGGTCACACATGTATTTTAGAAGGAAATTGTCATCTCGTTCTTTTTATGGGCCAAGACGACAAATTCACGCTCAACTTGAGAGACTCCAAACACCCGCATCCGTCCTGCGCGACTCGGACGCGTCAAACCAATCATATGGTAGCTATTTTGCTACTCCAACCATTGGACCAATATTCACCAGCCACTACCAGTCAAACGCAATGACTTCGGAGTCCAACTGCTCTCCCGACCACTCCATGCTCAGATCTTCAAGAATGTGTCCTTTCCTCCATCCCCCAGATCCTCCATTAATATCGCCCTACAACACCTCGAAATGCATGGCTTGGACCCTTCCCAAGGTTCGACACTTCCCGACACATCTTTTACTCTTCCCGCGTTGCAAGGCAAAAACCTCACGCAACACTTTCATCGAATCGGGTCCTCTCTCTCGCAGCCATATCTGTCCTTGGCCCAGTCATTTGCCGCCCAAACTATCCCTCCTATACCGGATGCTGGTGAATGGAACCTTACACAGAGTGGTTGGACAAAGTACTACCATATGGCCGACGGATCGAGCTATAGCGAGGCCGTTGATTTTCCTTGCAAAGACGATGGAACGCCGGAAGACATGCTCACCTTCGACGTTGAAACTCTACCCAATTATCATCCTTATGCCATCATGGCATGCGCGGCGTCACCCACTGCGTGGTATGCATGGATTTCTCCCTGGCTTCTTGGTGAAACCGAGGAGCCTTTACACCTCATCCCCCTTGGAGACCCCACTGTGCCACGCGTCATAGTTGGCCATAACGTGTCTTACGACCGCGCAAGGGTGAAAGAAGAGTATCATCTTGCTGGAACCAAGAACAGATGGCTCGACACAATGGCCCTGCATGTCGCAGTGAGAGGCATCAGCAGTCATCAACGGCCAGCATGGAACAAATGGAGAAAGGCCCGCGAAATCGAGAGGCAGATGGAAGAAGAGGCACGGATGGCTATTGGAGGAATGCTGGATCAGCTTGAGGCCCGTTCTGTGGTAGAGCATGACCCGGTAAAGAGAGCAAGCCTTGACAAGTTGAAACATACACTAGAGGAGGCGCTAACACTTCAAGTCAGGGAATCTTATCGAGACGTAGAGCTTGAATCAGACGCAGAAGATGGGGAAAGCACCAATCGAACATGGGAATCCTTAACTTCGGCTAATTCTCTGGTCGATGTTGCTGCTCTCCACGGCGTCCCTCTTTCGTCTCCCAAGTCGACAAGGGACGATTTCATGAAGTTACCTCCGTCTGCTATCCTCGCGTCCCTCCCTGACTACCTCTCCTATTGCGCCTCCGACGTACAGGCTACTCATGCCATTTTTGCAAAAATACTTCCCGCATTCTTTGCACAGTGTCCGCATCCCGTCAGCTTTGCTGGAATACTTACGATGGGGAGTAGCTTACTATGCGTCGACAACAACTGGGATAGCTATCTTCATCAAGCCGAGACTGTCTACTCGAATCTCGAGAATGCAATCAAGACTCGTCTCGGTGAACTTGCAAACCAGGCTCTGTCTCAATTCCTCGATGATCCCTCCAAGGAAGAATGGAAAAACGATGTGTGGTTAAATCAACTAGATTGGACGCCCAAAATTGTGGGAAAGTCTCGAGGAGTCGTTCCTGCCACCGAACCGGTGAGCACATGTTCAGATATTTGTTTGTCGCAATCTTATTGGTATACTAGACATCGCCAACCTTTTCTCAAATACCAGCATGGTACGCTCAGACTTGTCAGGATCCCCTTTCAAGCTGGGTGGTAGGGCGCATTTTGCCACTTTTATTGAAGACGGCGTATGATGAGCAACCAGTCAAGTGGTCGACCACCGAGAAATGGCACTACCTATCGCCCCAAACCCAGTCTGTCGAGCGTTTCGCGACTGCAGGAAAACTGAAAACGAGCTCGCTTCTCTCTGTTAAGCACGCGATTAAATCACAAAACCGGATGACCTTCTGTGATCAGAGCCTCGCTTTTGATGTATCTCGAGGAGGAAAAGACCAAACTTTAAGCGACAGAGTACGAGTCCTTGCCGATCGAGTTTATACGGAATCGCAAACTGGTGCTGTCAATGTTGCGGAGGACTCTTGGCTTGCGCAACTCGACTGGAGCCTGGTAGACGAGGATGGGAGTTCAACAAAGCGCTTTAAAAAATCCCCGCCGCCCAAAGCTGAACCAGTCATGTGGCCGAAATGGTACTGGGATCTAACCAAGCCAAAGAAGGACATGGCTCCGGCAACTCTCGACATCACCATTCGAAACAGGATTGCGCCGCTTTTACTGAAGCTTTCATGGCTTGGCTGGCCATTATTCCATTCTCGCGAGCACGGTTGGATATTCCGAGTCCCTTCTTCCGCGACTTTTACCACCCGTGCAACCCCGCTCACCTTTTACGATCCAGCCGACGACACGCTAGCTGAGGCGACTCTCCGAGGAGGCTACCTTTTCTACAAGCTGCCTCACAAAGATGGAGAGAAGGCCAACGTCGGCAGTCCGTTTGGGAAGACATTTCTCAAGTATTCCAAAGATGGCACCCTGAAAAGCCCCGGTCCTGAAGCTATGGAGGCCTTGGAAATGAACGCTATGTGTAGCTACTGGATCAGTGCCCGTGATCGTATCTTGAATCAAAACGTTGTATGGCAAGATGATGCGGCGGGCCGGAACCTTGGCTTTTTGGATGAAGGGAAGAAATGGGGCATCATCCTGCCACAGGTTATTACAATGGGCACAGTAACCCGTCGTGCAATCGAGAAGACCTGGCTCACCGCCAGCAATGCGAAAGCAAATCGTGTTGGTTCGGAGCTCAAAGCGATGGTTAGGGCTCCACCAGGGTATGCCATTGTTGGGGCTGACGTTGACTCGGAAGAACTGTGGATTTCCAGCTGCATGGGAGACGCGCAATTTGGCCAGCATGGGGCCACAGCAATCGGTTGGATGACTCTTGAAGGAACGAAAGCTGCTGGTACTGATCTCCATTCGAAAACGGCAGCGATTCTGGGGATTTCTAGAGATCAGGCAAAGGTGTTCAATTACTCTCGAATCTACGGTGCGGGAATGAAGCACGCCGTTCTTTTGTTACTTCAAAACAGCGCTGCGATGCTTCCCGAAGAAGCCCAGAAACTCGCTGCCAACCTCTACGCGTCAACCAAGGGCAAAAATACCCATCGTACCGACATTTTTGACCGAAAATTCTGGTTTGGCGGCACAGAAAGCTATCTATTCAATAAATTAGAAGAAATTGCTGTCAGCGACAAACCACAAACCCCAGCGTTGGATTGTGGCGTGACTTACGCATTGTCCAAAGAATATCTTCCTGTTGACTTTGGCTCAGACTATATGCCCTCTCGAATTAACTGGGTCGTGCAGTCTTCTGGAGTGGATTACCTTCACCTCTTGATTTGTGCCATGGATTATCTAATCAGCAAGTACGACATCCAGGCTCGATACCTCATCTCAGTTCACGACGAACTCCGTTACCTTGTCGCAGAATCGGATCGTTACCGCGCGGCGTTGGCGTTACAAATCGCGAATGTCTGGACGCGGAGTTTGTTCGCATATAAACTCGGGATGGACGACCTTCCTCAAGGTGTTGCCTTTTTTTCTGCAGTCGACGTTGACTTTGTTCTTCGGAAAGAGGTTGATATGCCCTGTGTAACACCTTCACAGCCACACCCAATACCACCTGGGGAAAGTCTTAACATTGAAGCGATCTTAGCGAAGACAAACGGGGGAACCCTACTGAAAGATGGCACCCCCATGCCGTCAACAGCTGATGTTGGTCTATTTGAAGGGAGCCTGGATGGCTACCACGAGAGTGACTGCCTCATCCATCGAGCAACAGGTGCAAGCTTCTTGCAAGCACAAGCGGCGACAGACTTTGGTGAGGTAAAACACCTGGCGCAATTGGAGTCCGGTAGAAAGTTCGTTGGCGGCATCGGGGAGGGCAGGCCGCGAAAGAAGGCGCGAAAGAAGGCCCCTGTAGGTAACGGAGTTGGATTCGATTGGTCAAAGGCAATCGATGAGTTGCTGAACGACACAACGAGTGTAGAAGACATTCTTACAACAGTGCACCAAAACCAATAATGTAGAGTATTATTCGTATCTAGCTCAAGGAATTAATCGTCAAGGGGAGGGAGGGTGTCTGAAGCGATTTGTTCTCCGAGTGCGACTTTCTTGAACAGTTGGTATGCCCTCTCTAGATCATCATTGACAATGACAAGGTCGTGAACATTCGGCTCTTTGGCGTAATCAATCTCTTTCAGAGCAGTAGCAAGACGCTTCTGGACGGATGTCTCTGTTTCGGTGCCCCGACCTTGGAGTCGAGAGCGAAGAGCAGCGAGGGAAGGAGGAGAAATGAACAGATAGACCGGATCGAGAGTGGACGCTTTGATTTGACGGACACCCTGTGCCACCAAATATGGAAAAAAAGCGGAGGCAAACTTCAGCAGCACTTACCTGGGCCTCGATGTCGAGAATGCAACGTCGCCCTTGTTCGTGAACCTCGTTGACGGTCGCAAAGCTAGTACCATAGAAGTTGCCGGAGAACTCTGCATGCTCGATGAAGGCGTTGGCGGCGATCAGCTCTTTGAACTCCTGGGTAGGTACAAAAAAGTATTCTTTGCCATTGGTCTCGCCAGTACGAGGGGCTCTAGTCGTATCTAATAGGAAGCTCAGGGCAGGGTGATGAAATAAATGGTTGACCACACGGGAAACACTGAAGCCGAATCTATCGGGAAACTCGGAAAAGAGACGCTTCAGAAGAGTGCTTTTGCCGACTCCAGAAGGGCCAGACATGACCAGGGGACGTGCAAAATTGGTGGCCATGGAAAATGCTGTATGTCTGGAGTGATGCGAAAGCAGCCGCTGTCACATCACAAGCCTCCTCTACCATTCTCCTTTCGCTGGCTCAACCTCCCGCCTTGCTTTCTCCCACACCATGGGCGGCGTGTGCTGCAGACCTACGGTCAGACTCTTTTTCCGGTGCTTTCTTTATTCTTACTCTAACAGCCCGTTGACTTTGACGGCGATGTAACACTGTTCCACTTCGTTCTCTTGCGTTGTGTGGGGAAAGGTGCTTTTGGGAAGGTGTGTTTCAGCCAGTAACATTCATGGCGAGTGCTTAATTGACCCTGCCATAGGTCCGAGTCGTTCAACACAAGCAGACCAAGGATCTCTATGCCCTCAAGTATATCAATAAGGCGAAATGCGTCAAGATGAAGGCCGTTCCAAACGTCATTCAAGAGCGGCGACTACTCGAAGAGGTCCGTGTTACGCCTTACAAGTGACGTTCCTGACCAACGGATTCAGATCGACCACCCTTTTGTCGTCAACTTGCGTTATGCTTTCCAGGACGACGAGAATTGCTTCTTCGTCTTGGACCTCATGCTGGGCGGGGACCTTCGCTGTGAGCCTACCCCCTCCTCCATGAAATCTCAACTAAATCCACCCCAGTCCATTTGGAGCGACTCGGTTCATTGGAGGAGGAGGTCGTTCGATTCTATGTCGCACAACTCTCTTCCGCGATTCAATTCCTACACGACAATAACATTATGCATCGGTCCGTTGTCAAATACGGCTTGTCCCACGGTCTTCTCATGACTCTCGTAGGGATATCAAGCCAGACAATATTCTGCTCGACGAGCGAGGAAACGCACACTTGACGGATTTCAACATTGGACTCAAGTTCTCGGAGAAGCGACTTATGGGTGTTGCTGGCTCTATGGCCTACATGGCCCCAGAGTTTGTCTGTTATTGGCATATTGCCTCCGACGCTGACATGATGCCATTCAGGATCTTGACCAAGCGAGGATACAGCTATCAAATTGATTGGTGGTCACTCGGCGTATGCGCTTACGAGCTGATTTTTGGCCGTCGACCCTTCCGCGGACGCACCAATAACGACCTCTCCTACAGCATTACAAAGGACCCTCTTAAATGGCCCGAAGAAGCCGAGAAGAAATGCAGTCGTCCAGGAATGCAAGTTCTCAAAGGGGTAACGAGTTCTCGCCTTGTCTGCCTTGATGGACCTCATCAGACTTACAGCTACTTGAACGCGACCCTACGCGCCGGTTTGGTTGTAAACCTCAAGGGGAGGGCTTTCAAGAGCTAAGGCGGCATCCCTGGTTCAAGCCGATTGACTGGGACACGCTGGAATCCAAAGAGCAAATACCGCCCTTTGTCCCTGACGTATGTGTCAACTCGGCCGCTTGATTTTCCTGGCTCATCTTCATTACTCGTTGATAGGGCAAGAAGGCCAATTTTGATGCGTCGCACGAACTGGAAGAGCTTCTCTTGGAGGATAATCCATTGAAGGCTAAAACTAGAAAAGCCAACCAGGAGAATTTTTCACCTGAAATGCGCCAAATGGAGGAGCAGTACGTCGATGTCTTTCCAGTGCATGTCAAACTCCAACGACAGTTAGATTTACGACCTACGACTTCAAGAAAATGCAACGACGTTCATACTTCCCCCATAATCAGCAGCAGCTGATCTCAACTGCCACTGCAACATCCTCCGGAATGGCCTCCTCACGACCAGGCACCCCCGCACACGATCTTCGAGGAGAGAATGGAGTTTCAATCAATGGCCATTCCCTTGAACTCAACGGAGGTGACCATGACGCTATGAGAGCAGAGCGAATGATGAACGAGAAGGACTACGACTGACCTTTTCCGTTGTTTCCTTTTTTGGGTCTGCTGAATATTTCCTTTTTTGTAAACAGCCTATGTGTAACCTGTGGAGGCGTATCTTTACCTATCTCACCTTCGATAATATTCGCCATCTTCTTTTTAATCCTACCCATCCGCTTTCCGTCCTCTCCCTTTTGTAGTACACTCTCGTTGGGTTCTATCTTTACTTTTTCTCATATATATCTTCATGGGATGGATGACAAATTGTTTCTGTTGACGTGACACGGTGTCATGACTCGCACCTCTGACATGACCCACCATGACCTCTCCACCTTTCGCGTTGTGAGTAATTGGCCCAACCTTCCCCCACACTCCTTGGACCTTATCCAATGCAGTTTTGTCTCTCTTTTACGCGAGATTCGCGGCCATAACAACTCGGTTCTTCGTGTTTTCAACCGTTGGGTTACGCGGCTTCGGACTGACTTTCCGGACCTCGCAGAAGGCTCTACTGTCACTCTATTCCGATTTCTCTTCCCAGAAGAGGACTCTCGCCGCAAGTATGACATGAAAGAGGTCCGACTAGCCTCTGCTATTGCCGATTGTTTTGGCATATCAGCCAAAACACTTGAGGGATGGACGACATCTGAACATGGCTGTCTAGGCATGCAAGTAGAGAATGTTTTGCAGCTGACCTCCTCGGTAATACCATGCCACCCATCTCCACTCAATCTTACTCACCCAATTCAAGTTCGACTCAGCCTACATCAGTTCGCTCAGTATGAGCGAGGTCGATGACTTACTTGACGAACTTGCGGCGAACTCTGGATTTACCGACAGCGCCCTACGAACCAAGTACCCACCTTCCAATCGCAGAGACCGCAGTACCATCATTCGATTGCTCTATCGCTCGCTTCCGCCCTCAGAAGCTGGGTGGCTGACTCAGATGATTTTAAAGGACCTTCGTCCGATGCTGTATCCACTTCAAGAAACGCATTACTCTCGTGCTCTAAAGACGCACAACTCTGTTTCGGTGGTGGAACTGGCATGCAAAGACGCAATGAAAGTCTGGGATCCGAGCCTTCATATGCTCCATGGCTATCGCTTACGGTCAAGACTGGAGGATGCTGCACGAGCATTTGAAAGGGGAGAACCTATCTCTTGGAACCCACAGTGTGGCGAGCCTGTTCCAGTACGCTCAGTTTTGTTTTCCGGTACACTTGGTTTTTTGATCAATCACTTTCAGATCCCCAAAGCTAGAAAAGGTCGAGGGTGTGACGACGCTCTTGCGCCTCTTCGATCGTCTACGGAAATCTGGGCCGAGACAAAATATGACGGTGAACGAGCTCAAATCCATGTTCAACTCAGCAACGAGGACAAACCTCGTATCACAATCTTCAGCAAGAGCTTGAGGGATTCCACGTGGGACCGTTATGGTATTCATGAGCTCATACTCGAGTCTCTTTATCTTGCCCCCAACTACAAATCGTCGTCCATCACCTCAGATGTGATTGTGGAAGCTGAGATGGTCGCATGGCATGGCGACAAGATGGATGGTGCGCCGTCTTAGTCAAAGATTCGTTTCCCTTCTGACAGCAAATCTGACAGAATTCTGGAGGATTCATAGTCTTGTTGAACATACTGCTCGAAGCGTCCGCCACGCCCCGCTGGGCGAGAGCGAAGAAGGGTAAATAGCGATTGCACATTTTTTTTGCTAATATGTTGATGTCTGGCAGCTATACGCAGGCTTCTCTTAGGACAGACATCTCAGACCGGCATCTAGGACTCGTTTTCTTTGATATTCTTCTTCTCAACGGAACCTCGTTGTTGAACATGGCCTATTCTTCTCGTCGTTCGATTCTCGAATCCATCATCCAACCACTGCCAACACGGTCTATGTTGACTACTCGAGTCAAAATTGCGTTGGAAGGTCACCCACCTGAAGGATTCGCCACCATTGAAAATACCCTTGCTACCCACATTGCGAGTGGGGAAGAAGGGCTGGTGCTCAAGGCCGCCGAATCGAGATATAACGACTGGCGTTTGCCGTGGGTCAAATTCAAGAAGGACTACATTCCTGGCTATGGCGACACAATAGATTGTGTCCTGTTGGGCCTTGGTTGGGATAAAGACAGGGCTCGGGAATTACGAGGTCCATCTTTAATGTTTCCGGATGACTGATCTCATGCATCCTAGTTTCCACGGACTGTTATACCACGTTTTACTTTGGTGGTCTTCGCAACGAGGCCGATATCAAGAAAGACGTTTGCAAATTTCTCACTTCCAGAATTGATCTCTGAAGAGTAGTGCAGCCCACGATTCACCCGCATTTCTATCTGTTTTTCACGGCTTCCTATGGTCTGAGTCGAGACGATCTTGAGGAAAGCAACTTTTATTTGCGAGCTGTCGAGACCGTTCCCTGGTCGAGTGCTACGAAGCAAGTCCGTGATTCTCGTCATCCAAATTCACAACGTTGATCAACTTTCCAGCCTGCTGGTCTGCCATTCACATTCACAATGCTCAAGGATTTGACGCCGCCTTCACATATCCTCGTGACACCCCTCTTATGCGAGCTGTTCGGTGCTGGGTTTACCAAGGCACCCCACAGCAGGGTGCGTCTGTTCACTTCTGGATCACGCTTGAATGACGGTGCCCTGATTAGTCATATGCGTTGCGCCATCCGCGCATTGTGAAACTCTTTCGGCCACATGAGAGGACTTGGAGCGATGGGGTTACGCTCAGTGCTTTGCACAAGATTGCTCAAGAGAGCATGGGGCGAGATAGGTCCGATAAAGACGTGGACGACTGGGTTAACACAACCTGGAATAAGCCCGTCTCACCTACGGCTGCAGTAAAACGCAAAGCAACGATTGAGAAGTGGGAGCAGAAGCTGGTCTCTGATCGTAGCTTTAAAGTACCCCATACAAGGTCCATGGTGTCGCTGCAACCCGAACTAGCTATGCCTTCCGAGAGCAGAATTGTTGTCGGCTCGAGCCAACAAACAGCCACAAAGGAGACTACCGACATCCAACTCAAACCGGGTTCATCGAATGGTGACCTGCCCATACTTCTGCAAAATGCCGCCGTATTTCTTGCTACACAGAACAAGAAGCTACGACATCATTGGCAAGGAATTTTGCCTGCATCCAACACCGTTCATTGTCTTGAATCGCTTTTCGAGGCGTGCGGTTGGCTGACAGACGACCATTCCCAGTCAAATCCATCTATCAAACGAGGAATCGTGTTGCTTTCGGTCGATGAGACCAGGGAAGATCTTGTTCGGGAAATTCATGACCGCAAATTACTCTGCGCTGGTCCCGCGAGTCTCAAATCAATATGGGTCCTCGCTGGGTGATACATAATTTTACAAACTACAGGTATACACAAATAAAGGTATTCTTGTGGAGGGTATCTACTAAAAAAGGAAAGCTGATGGTCACATGCCGTTCACTTGGAGTAAGCCCAGCAACTTATACTGCCAAAGGTCAACGATCAGAATGACAATCCTTGTCTCGACGCACTTTCTCCTCCTCAGAATCGGTAAACAGGGACCAAGGCTCTCTGTCGCCCTTGAAGTCAATCGCGAACGCATGTGGGATAGCTTTGAGATCCTCGAAGCCTTCGTACCACTCCTTCAATGCACGAATCTGACCGCGCATGTCTACTTGCTCTAAGATTTGCGTTAGATCCTGACAACGTGTTAACAGGTGGGTGAACTCGTTGAAGGGAGCTCAGAGACCTTTGGACTGCGATAGAAAAACACGGTTGTCCCCATAAATTTGTAGTATCTTCGCCGCCAGACAAGCGAATCTCCGTATTGCATGGTCACAAAACCACTCAGCAATTCCGGATTACCTTTGGCGTTCTTTGCTTTAGTGGCAGCAAGTTGGATCTTCTTTTTGTGCTCCTCTGTTTCTTTGCGACGAGAAAGCTCCGCCAGCCGAGCTTCCTCTTCAATATGAGCAGCTTGGTCCTTGCGCCATTGCTCTAAACGTCGGTGTTCAGCCAGTCTCCTTTCTCGGTCAAGTCGCTTCTTTTCCTGGATTTCGCGTTTCTTTCGCTCATCTTCGAGTCGATCAAGTTGTTCGCGTTGTCGGCGTTTAGCGGCTACAAATTTGAGCTCTTTTTCAAGGGAGGCGCGACGTTCTTCCTCCTCAAGCTCAAGCTCTTTTAAAAGAGCTTCCTTTTGTTGTTTTGTTTGCCGTTGCCGTTCCGCTTCTTCTTCGATGGCCAGTCGCTCCTCGAGCTCCCGTTGCTGCTGTTGCTCTTTCCGTCTTCTTGCTCGTTCTTGCGGAGTCATAGATTCAGTGTTCCACTTGGTTGGTAATGTAACCGACCGCTTCTTGATTGCGGGGCTGCGAGGTGGGGCTGCAACCTGTGGCCGTACAACGACGACCTCGTCTGAACTAGATGACGATTGGCTGATGACCGTATAGTCTGAGTTACTGCGTGGGCGGGACTGAGTGGCAATCGGCTGGGGTACTGGCCGTGGTGGCGTGGGTCTGGGAGTGACGATAGGTTTGGGAGAAGAAGAAGTCGGTTGAGCCGAATTAGACCTCTTTATTCTGTCCTTGGGTGGCGGAGGGGGAGGAGTTTCATCGTTCAAATGGATATTGAATGGTTCAATGACGCCCATATCAGGTTCCAATTCTTTCTTTTTGCGACGAAGCAGCGATGAGAAGACAGTGCCTGGTCCTCTTGCAGATGGAGGTGGTGACGACCCGGAAGCAGGTGGACTCGAAAGTTGACCCATTTCGTCTACTGACTCGGGAGGCGGTCGTTCGAGCTGAATAACGTGCACTGAGTCCGGTGTGGCAAGAGCCTGGAGAAAAGGTCAGATAAAGACGCGCTTTTTGTTATGCGAACCTGGCGAATAGCGGTGGGTGTTAGATTAGAAAGGTGGTCGACGGTTAGTGAAGTACGATGGGCCTACCAGTTTAGCTTGATCAGACAATAGGAAACAAAGGTGGTATTGTATACCTCAAATATTGTCCCAATTCGACGCGAGTGTACCTGACACCGTGCCCTTCTCACGCCGGAAACGGTGGAAGGTACGTAGTTGAGAATAATGAAGCCATCGGACCGGGCCTCGTCTCGATAGAATCCAATCAAAACTTGGTCTGGGTCTTCTATCCGGCTCTTGAGCTCTGAAAGCCCATTGCTTCCAGACCCATAGAGTCGGAAGGTTTCGGGTTGGACATCATACGCAAGTAGTAGCCTGAGCAGCAACAATAATCAGCACTCGAGATTCTTCCCAATCTCGTGCGGTACTACCTACCAATTGGCTTTATTATTGACTACCGCGTTATATGCTGTTTGTCTTCAGACACGAAAAGGCGGAGTTTGTGCGATGTCGCACCTTCAAGCACGTCGTCTGAACTGAAAGCAATTGGTTGAGCCATCTAGACCGTAACTACGTGACGCGTGACTCTTCTCTTCCATCATCTCCCCTCCGACTTTCACACTCAACTCATAGACGCATCCAACAACGTCCCGCCTCAAGGCACACAATCCTAAAATAACCCATGTCTCAGACATACATGCCCATCCGGCCAGTGGCCAAGGCAGAGGATGTTCAGGACGCTTACAATCAACATAAAGACCGGTTCGTCGTCATGCTTCCCCGCAAACACCCGCTCACTCTTTCTAACAGCCTTGTGAACGCTATAGACTCGACAAAATCCATCCTAAGCGACATTCGCAGCTTCAACAAGGATGATTGGGTGGTTCGTTATCCCCAATTGAAGGAAGAACCTTCTACCACTGCTCCAAACACCCCGCTTCGCTCGCTTTCTTTCGCGGATGACCCTTCCAACGTGACTCCGGTTCGACTTGGTCCCACCCGCTCTCTGTCCTACTCGGATGCTAAGGAGGAGGAAGCCACTGACGAAATCCCACCACTCTCGTCAGATTTCCATGTTTTACGGCTTGACCTGAAGCTGGGGAGCGCTTCATCCGCCAACACGGCCTCTTCACTTGTCTCACAACTCGAAAAGTCTTCCATTGCGCACTTACTGGACGAGCGTCTCGCCAACTCCATTGCCCACATCGACAAACTTCGCCTTCGCGTTCAGGATACCTCGTCCAAGGTTCTTGTCACTGGTGACCTCAATGCGGGTAAATCGACCCTCGTCAACGCCCTTCTTCGCCGCCAAATCATGCCTGTCGACCAACAGCCATGCACAACTGCCTTTTGCGAGGTTCACGATGCGACGGAGAACGGAGATGTGGAGGCCGTCCATATCGTCAAAGCTGGGGCCGCATACGACCCAGCTGATGACTCTACATTCACTCTGGCTGCTATCGAGGACCTCGAAGACATCATTGCTGAGTATGAGACTAAAGATGCAGAGCACCTGCTCAAGGTCTATCTGGCTGGCAAGGATCAGAACTCGTTACTCTCCAACGGCACTGTCAACATCTCGCTCATTGATGCTCCTGGCCTCAACCGCGACTCGATCAAAACTACAGCTCTCTTCGCCCGCCAGGAGGAAATTGATGTCGTCGTGTTTGTTGTCTCTGCGGAAAACCATTTCACTCTCTCCGCCAAGGAGTTTTTGTGGACAGCCAGTAATGAGAAGGCATACCTTTTCATTGTTGTCAATAAGTACGACATGATTCGGAACAAGGATAAATGCAAGCGTATCGTTCTCGAGCAAATCAAAGGTCTCAGTCCGCGAACTTGGGAAGATTCCAACGACCTCGTTCATTTTGTTGACTCGGCATCGGCCGTCAATGATGACAAAGAATCGTTCGCGTTCGACGAGATGGAGGCTGCTCTTCGGTCCTTCGTCCTTACCAAGCGATCCAAATCCAAGCTGCAGCCTGTTGAGACATTCTTACTCAACCTTCTCGGCGACATCGAGCTGCTCGCGTCGGCCAATAAACTTGTCGCCGAGGCAGAGGTTGCTCAGGCGCGTGCGGAACTGGCAGAGGCTAAGCCCGTCCTCGAGAAGATGAAATCTGGTCGGGACAAATTAGAGGAGGGTCTGGAAAGCGTGGAAGAGGAGGGCGTCGGGAAAACCAGCACCAAAGCGAAGAAAGTCCTTTCGGATGCTCTGGAGCAGGTTGGCAGCGGTCGGCCGTTCGGCAGTCTCCAGTTGCCTTCATACCCTGGACTTTTATCCGTCTGGGATTACGCACGTGATGTGCGCCGTATCCTCCTGGAATCGCTCGACCTTGCTGTGAAGCTTGCGGAGGATGAGGCTCGCACTGTTACCTCTGATGGTGTAGTCCAAATCAAAAACCTGGGCGAAGAGCATCTCCCTGCTGGTGTCGAACGCAGTCGCCGTATTTTCATGCCTGAAGCCATGTTCTCCGCAGTCCGTCGCGGCAAGGGTTCAAATGGACTCAAGACACGCGGAAAGGCTGTCGTTGTAGCTGGTGGAGCTCATGGTCTTGGCATTGGTCTGGCTAGCCGCCCGGAAATGCAGGAGACCACATTCCTCGATTTGTTTGACGTGAACCATCAGTTCTTCTTACACTTTGGCGATGGATCCAAGTCGTCGTCTGAGGCAGACTCTACCGCTGGCGCACTCAGTGTTGTTGGTGTTGGTGTCGGCGCTCTCACTATGGTTGGGGGTCAAGCTGTTGGCGTCCGAGGTGTTATCGAAGGCATGGTCCGTTTGAGCGATTTCTTCAGCAACGAGAATGCACGCAAATGGGCTTTGCCTGTTGTTGGCGCAGTCACAATTGGAGCTGTGGTCTATGTCATTCTTGAACTGCCCAGCTCTATCCCGCGTACCATTGGCCGGCGCATCAAAGTCTCCGTCGAGGCCGAGGAGGACGACCACCAATGGGAGTCTGAAAACATTGCTCGAATCGGCCGTGAAACCCGTAAGGTGCTTCGTTTGGCATCGTGGGATCTTCGTGAGCGGTTCCGTGGCGCAATGGAGGAGCGGGGCAAAGAAGTCAAGAATGCAGAAGAAAACGAGAAGCGAGCGCTCAAGGCCCAAGAATGGTTTGCCAGCGTTGGCGAACGCGTTGGTAATGTCAGGGTGAATGCACGTTTCGGTGAGGTATCAGCTGTTTGAATATTCCCAACGCTAGAGGGAAAGTTCGACACCGATAACTGATTAATGTTTTCATACCCCTAATGTCCTCACGCTCCTTATTTTTTTTTATGCCTTACGACCTATTCTGTGTTTGGAACCTAACTCTGTAGTGTACAACGAACGAGCTACAAGATTAAACAGAAATAAAAAATTGTCTTGGTCAGCTATTATTACTTGCGATGAACCCGCCCGTGTCGTGTTAACTGGTCTGCCCGCGCAAATCTCCTGGAGCACCCCGGCTCCATGCACACATACGGCTTCACGCCAGTGTGTGTCCGAAGCTGATAACAAGGTTCAGTCTTCTTAGTGTTGGCTTTTGAGATTCTTACGTGTTTAGAAAGATTTGATGATTCAGAGAACGGTCTGAAACGATGTTAGAGAACGGACAACAACGCTATGGAACCGACTTTGAGCAATGAGGACACTTGAACGGTTTGTCGCCGTTGTGGGTCCGTTTGTGGATGGTGAGGGCTCCTGTGATGGCAAACGATTTGCCACATCCTGGATAGTCGCAAACATAGGGCTCTACAAAGCATGAGAGGGAAAGCGGGTGGTAAGCTCCACTTACTCTCTTGTGTATGCCGCCTCATGTGCTGCTGGAGGGTTGCGGCTTCGGAGAAATTTTGCATGCAGATTTTGCATTGGAAGGGGCGGTGACCAGTGTGGGACTGCCATCGCAACTGAGTCAAGGTTTCGAAAGAGGATGATACGAAACGAACCTGGAGATGTCGGCAGAGTTTTTGTTTGCTGCCGAAACCGTTGTCGCCGTTTCTCTGGCAGTCTGACCAGTAGCATTCGTACGATGCCCGCCCCGAACCGACATGGACGGTGTTCAAGTGATGAGTCAGGTCTTCCAACGATAGGAAGGAGCTACCGCACCCAACCCAGCGACAGGTGTGACCGTCAAGCGGGGGACTGGTTTCTGGAGAGAAGATGGATGATAGGTCGCCATCGAGCGAAGATTCTTGAGACGGGGTAGCGAGGCGGGATTCGCTTGGGGTACTATCCAGGCCCAAGTGGTCGTGGAAGAGGTGAGAGGAAAGGACGTCGAGAATGAGGTTCATGTCCCCTGATGACGGGCCGGCAATCGTATTTGGCGTAGGATAGACGCTGCAGTCCTTCCACTGACATGCTGATAGCATGTCCTGTGGGTTGGAAGCTGGTGATGGCGGAGCTCGTAAGTGGACTGTGTTGACATGCTCGGCGAGCTCTGAAAGACTGGGGAGAATCGCGCCACAGTTGCCCCACAAACACGAAACCATTGAATCATCTAGGGATTCTGGACCATTCTGAAACTGGTTCGGCGCAAAAAAAGAAGACGAGTCGATGGGAAGGGCAGCAGATTCGGTAGGCCCACAACAAAGAAATGCGTTCAAGGCTGGATTCCATGAACAAGCGGTCGCGAAATCAGGGTGATGTCGAGGCTCTTCATAGTAGGCATGGAGATCAGTACAACATTGAAGCTATCAGGGCGTTTTGAGTGTCAAAAGATAAGCTCTAAGGAGGAACTCACAATTTCGTCGAGGCTGTCGCAGTCCACACAATCATCGAGTTTGCAATGATCTCCTTCCTGACACGCAACGACAACACATTGGTCAGTGCATTCTTCTGGTGCAGCCGTAGAGGGACAGCAGGCATAAGACTCCGATATCATGGTGGGGTTGGTGAAAAAGCGAGCCAGCCGGGCAGGTACTCTTTTTTATCGTGGCCGAGAGGGTACTCGGAAAAGGTCAGAAGTGATGACGTGATCGCTAGCTTGCTCAGCATCAGGCAACAAACCACCACAAGGACCGCTCGCTACGCAGTTCTAAAAGTACTTACAGAGAATCCAGAGAATATTCAGGCGATGCTAAAGGCAACCACTGATGGGATTCGAACCTATGCAGGCTCCTGTAAGAAAAAAAAAAGAACCACTGACGGGACTCGAACCCACAAAATACGCAAAGAAAAGAACCATTGATGGGACTCGAACCCACCACATTGTTCCAAAAAAAAAAGAACCACTGACGGGACTCGAACCCACAAAATACGCAAAGAAAAGAACCATTGATGGGACTCGAACCCACCACATATGCAGGGACCGTATAAAAACCACTGATGGGACTCGAACCCACAACCTTCGCCTAGTCACGTGACAACGGGTTCGAGTCCCGTTAGTGGTTCGCGGATAGGAAAGCGACGCGATAACCATTTCGCTACAGTGGCAACGATGAACATGTTCTATAGTTTCCATAGGTAGGCTGTGATCAACTGGTGCTTGAATTTCTCCGCGAATCAATCATTAATCACTCCTCGCTGCACATTGACAGGCGGAAGCCCAGTCCCCATAATGCACCGAGCCTAAGTCTATATACCATGGACACCTTCCCTGAAGAAACCATGACCTATTAAGGGTGCTCAATCTTTGTGGGCTGAGTTGTCTGACTTACAATCATTTCTTCAGACGAACATGGTAGTTCATAGGAGAGAAGAAACAACCCCACCCATCACACACTAGCAAGTACTCGCTGCCCCGATCCCACTTTCCACCGCATGCTGAAGTGAGCCAAAAACACTTCTGATTGGCTAGAAGGCCATAAGCGAGGCTAAGCAAGCGATTTTTGGGGGCTGCCGATAATCTCTTTTATATCGACGCTGAGTATCACTCAAAACGCCGCAGGAGTTTTCCTGTCCCATTTTTGCTCGAGCTCTGACCAAATTTCTGGTCGGGCTTCTACGGGTGTCACATCAAATAATCGTGACCCATCTAAAAATTTCGGGATCAGACCGGGCCAGCTCAGCTTTCTCTTTCGTAGACCTCATCTAGACATGGCCGCACCCGTCGCAGGCAAATGGGATGCCAGGTACTAGGCTTTTCTACCTTCCTTATGTCTCTAATACTCTCTTTTTCAGATACTCCGGCCCAATTCCCCATGACTTGAGCTATTATTCCAAGGCGCTTCTTGGTGGTGCACTCGCCTGCGGAGTCACCCACGCCGGTATCACTCCTCTCGATGTCGCAAAATGTAATATGCAGGTTTGTGGACTGTTTTTTTTCATTTTCAGGACACGCTGACAAGTGTAGGTCGACCCGCTCAAGTACAAGGGTCTCTTCCCTTCTCTTGGTCTGCTTCTGAAGGAAGAGGGTCAAACCGGTCTCTGGAAAGGATTTGGCCCCACTCTCGTTGGCTATTCGCTGCAGGGAATGTTCAAATACGGGCTCTATGAAGTTTTCAAAGACACGTACATGAATCTCGCTGGCGAGGAACTCTCCAACAAATACAAGCCCGCCATTTGGTTGGCCGGCTCTGCCTCTGCTGAAGTATTTGCCGACATCGCCCTCTGCCCCCTCGAGATGACAAAGGTCAAAATCCAAACCAGCAAAACCGGCACCTTCCCCACCTCTTTCGGACCGGCTCTCACAAAAATGCGTGCCAGTCCAGAAACACGTTTCCCCTTCGGCTCCCTCGTTCCTCTCTGGTCCCGCCAGGTCGGGAATTTCTGTTTGTTATCATTTTTTTGTTGACAAGTGTTCAGATTCCCTACACCATGGCCAAATTCTTCTTCTTCGAGAAGATTGTCCAGCTCTTCTACACTCACGTCTATACCGAGCCCAAGGAGACCTACAGCAAAACTACCCAACTCGGCGTTACCTTCGCTTCTGGATACCTGGCCGGCATCATCTGCGCTATCGTCTCTCATCCTGCCGATTCGCTCGTTTCTCTGCAAGGCAAGGTTGAGAACAAGGGCAAAACACTGGGCCAAATTTACTCCGAGGTCGGTATCGGTAAGCTTGCGACGAAGGGTCTCGGCACACGTGTGGTCATGATCGGTGCGTTAATGTTCTGCCTCACATCACTTGCACTGACTAACACCTACTTAGGTACTCTCACTGGCTTCCAATGGTGGATCTACGACTCATTCAAGTCGGCCATGGGCATGGGCACGACTGGTGGCAAGTAGGCTAAAAACGTAGGCATTCTTCCTGTCAGCCAACGCACGTGTGATTGATGTTTTTCTGCTTAGCACGGCATTATTTACTTTGCGCGACTACTTAGTTAGATAGAGTGTTCAATGGAACTTTAAAGCCCTCTATATAATGAATGATCTGCCCTCGAGTGTGTCCGAGAAGAGTATTTTTGAGTACAGTCTCTACATGGTATTACTGGGCCTTGGTTCCTTTGGCCTTTTTGCCGTCTCGCGATTCACCTGCCAACCATGCAGCTGAGAAGAGGAAGAAGCCTACACTCGTGCTAATCGCGCCAATGTAGAATGGCCAGGCAGCACTCAGGAAACGCGGGTAGCCGTCGTGTCTTGGTGGGACAACAGCTACAGTGGTTGAGCTGTGCAAGTGTGTCCATCTATTAGGTGATCAGCGCTCTCGAAAAAGTCGAGTTTGTAGGTCGTACCCTTTGCGCTTGTAGTTCACGACAAACTTGAACACGCCGTGGCGGTCTGGAGCGCGGAAAGTTGTTGAGTATTTGCCAGGTGTGTTCGGCACGAAAGGAAGTGGGATTCGCAGGTGAGGGTCGAGCATGGTGAACTCGAGCTGCATGTCTTGGATGCCAGAGTAAGGCTTCCAGTCACCAGATTTGGGGTTGAAGTGGGAGATATATGCGGTAAAGACCTGTGTTTTCCTCCATCAGACTGTGAATAGAATGAGAAAATGGAGACAAACGATATTGTCGTTCGTGGTGTAACTCTCAAGCGACTCGGTCGAGTTGACCAAATGGTGCTCAGTCCGGTCAATACGCAGGACAAGATTCTCTTGGAAAGTCCATGCTGTTATGTCGCGGGTTAATTTCGCGTTTCCAGACTTGACGTTCCTGCGAAACAACGTTTAAGCCAGGGAACAAGCTTGGATGGAATACGGAGACGCACTTGGAAACTGGCTTTTGGAATAAAGAGTCCTTGAGCATGTCTACTCCGCCTATCCAGGTGACACGGGCACCCCCTGCAGCCTGGAAGCCCGCAACAACGCTAACTTGGCTGCCAGCCCAAAGACCTTCCCCATTCTTTTCTGCTGCGTCCACAAGCGCGTCTGCACCCGAGTTGACATCGCCAGCAAAGCTTTCCGGCGGGGCGGGGAGAATAGGGAAAAGGAGCGGGTTGCTTCCAAGCGCAAAAGGAATGCCAGAAAACCAAACGGGTGCCAGATCAGACGAGAGTATGTTGGATGTTGACGGTGGAGAAATCGGGATCAGAGAGGGTGGATCCGTACGTTCTGGGAAGAAGGAGAGAAGAGGTGTGCCTGCAGGAGGGAGGACCAGTGAGAATTCGGCCGCAAGTGACGAAAGCGGGGTTTGTTTAGCGGAAAGGGCGATGAGTAAGTTGGTACCGCCAGAAACGAGTTCGACAAGTGACTGCGGGGTAATGTCTTTGGCAAAGTCTAACAACAGGTCAGTGTTCCACGCGTAGAATGTGCCAATAAACTCACGTTTAGATTCTGGGGCGAGTATGACAACATGGGAGAACGAGGGAACGTCGTATTCAACCAATGCAGGTTTGTCCGCTTTCGGCGACCTGAACGAGAGCGAATACCCCTCAGCTACTCCAAGTCATGAGAAAGGAAATCTTAGTTGGCAACAGCAGACCTTTCAAATCGTCGAAAAAGACGCTGAACTCATCCTTCTGTGCTTCTTCGACGATGACGAGGACAGTGTTGCCATCGCTGGACTTGGCATATAGTAGACCCGAGAGACTCAGGAAAAATAGGACGAATAACGAAAGCATGGGTCCGGCCAGCCACGAAGACTGGGCAAAGTAAAGAGAGAGCAAGTTCCACGTATAGACGTGTCACAACCACCGCGTTCAAAAATTGGGTATAATTAGCGGCTTCAAAGCGTAATTTGAGAACTATCTAAACCAAGTGCGTGTAGGAATAGATTAACGTTGGCCAGTTTCGTTCGCCTCTCTTCTTCACCAGCCACCCAACCCTTGTTAGCACTGACCACATTCTCCAGCACTTTTTCCCGCAGCGAAGTAACCAAAACTTGGTGTTGCTCTGGCACTGCCTGAAGTGCAAGGGCAGCTAAAAATTGCCACACAGGCTGGTCGATGATGTCTATGGCCAACGCAACAGTTGCAGGGTGATGCGGCTGGAGCGCGATACGACTCGAGGGAAACAATCGCAACAGGTGGGGCGTGAGGAGAACGAAAAACTGGTCAAACACAGCTTGCCTAAAAGAATATCAGACGCCTATTTCATTCAAAGAAAACCCAATCAACCATTGTTCGAGGTATCCAGCAGCCGATATTGGGTCAACTGGCTCAGCGCCGGTCGCCCAAGCTTGTTTAATAACCTCGACACGGCTCAAGAACAGTGTAAGTAACGCCAAACCAGGCTTGAGATATGTTCAGTAGCTGTTTATGATCAAATATCAGAAAAGTCACCTTCGTCTGAGCTAAGAGCCCAATGTTTTCGCTCCGGTCTATCAGCAGACCCAGCAGCGCAGTAACAATGTGAAGTTCGAGCTTCGTCACCACGGGAAGAATGCTCTGAAGCACACTCGTCAGAAAAGCTTGCGTTTGACGGTCTGTCTCTGCTCGTTCGGATGACTCGTCTAGTGAATCTAGCAGCGGTGCCTCCTTCACCACATCCATTTGCGTAAAGCAAGCAACAAGGAGTGTCATCAACGTTAGCATGCGAGGGTGGTCAATATGTCTGGTTAAGCGTGGAAGCAGCTTTTTGCCCTTGCTAGGTTGCAACAAGGAGACAAATGGATGGGGGTTACTGTATGAAAAAGGTCAATCAAGACACGCTGACAAATAGCTCGGCCTGCCTCGTTTCTAATGGAACCATCACTTGAAGGCCCTCCCAGAGCTGCTCCACGACAGCGTCGCATTCCGTTTTCCTGGCCACAGTTGAGAGGTATTTCATGCAACGTAACCGAAAACTCACCATCTCTCGTAGATTTCGCCTTCCTCCTCTAGCGGTTGATCACGCCTCATTTGTTCGACTTTGAGAACTAGGTCGTACAATGTTTCGAGAATCGTCAGCACTTGACGGTGAGTGAGTGGATCCTTCCGAACAACGTTGCCGCCGTGATTTCCCAATGTTTCACGGCTCAGCCTTGCAACTTCTTGAGCGGCGTCACGATCCTTCGCATCCTCTTTGGATATATGAGGATGTGGGTGAGTTGGCGAGGAAGCGCCATTGTCATCCACTTGTAAGAGCTGACGAGGCGCAGCTTTATAGCTACGACCAGATGTTTTTCCCAATGCACCTTGGAGACTGTGCAACGCTATTGAAAAGATTGGCGTGGCCGAACAAACCAAGTTGAGTTTTGCTTACAGTGGAGACCCTTTTCTTCTTCTCTCCGACGGGCATTGTTCACGATTCGTTCGACTTGTTGCTCCATTCGCTGCATTGCGTTGGGCCTCCTGGTAGGGGCCTTTTGGGGCGCGCCAAGACTAATCCCACCGCCACTACCAAATTTGAGCACCCGATCATCCTGAGATTGTAGTCCCATGCGAGAGCGCAAAATCGCTCCATAGACCTGAGCGTAAAAGTCGTCTGCGTAAGGGTCAGGCGTCACCAGCTGAGAAACTTGAATGCGAGTGATAAAATCCTTGTCTGACTGGGTCATCAGGTCATTGTAGCGCGACTAAAAAAGTCGATTAGCGGGCAAATCGGCGCCAAGGAGAAACACTAACCATATGAGCTATTTTTGCAGCCTTCCTTCGGCGCTTATCCTCCATCTTCTCAGTTTCTACGATCTTTCGCATCGCTTCTGCTCGAAGAACCTCTTGTTCCGCTTGTGAAACACCCTGCAACTCACGAATATAATCTGCTTGCGCGAGCTCGGCGAGAAGGCGCTGTTGGAGGGCACTTTGGGGAACAACATTGAAATCTCGATAAGCAGCAGGAGACCGGGATCGGCCGCGCAATTCAGCAATAGTAGGCCCAGATTGTTGACGACGATGTGTGAAGTGGGTAGGCCCTTGATTCAGTTGAGAAATCTGGTGGGCGCGCAACTGGCGCTCGAGGTCCTCCATGCGAAGCTGCTCTTGAAGCTGAGCTTCATGTTGCTGAACACGCAATTGTAGTTGTTGCTCCTCTTGTTGCTGTAACAACAAAAGCTGTCGCTGGTCGATAAATCGCGGTGATTGGGAAACTGGAAGCATTCGTGGAGGAGGCGTTCGCTGTCCACGAAGTTGCATTGCTTGCTGTTGCTGGAGTCTCTGTAGGGCTTGGATGTGTAGTTGCTCTCTTTCCCTCTCCTCCCGCTCAATAGCGAAGCGCTCAAGTAATGCTTGTTCCTGCAAAAATTGCTCTTCCTGGAGCCTCAACGCATGTTGTTGTTGTTCCTGTTGACGTTGACTCGCGTTTCGGGTTTGCACAGCTGCCCTCATTTCTGCCTCGATTTCTTGTACGGTTCGTGCTCCGCTCAGAGATGGAGAACTCTGGTGAAGGATAGGTGATTCTAAGAACGGCGAATATTGGGAATGCTGGTGCGGTTGGCGGCTAGCACCATTTTCGCGGGGTAGAACAGAGAAGGGCGACCTGTCATCCCATATCGATTCGAGAGAGGGAGTTGAGTCCAGAGCTGGCCGCTTCGATTGTTGAGTAGCCCGACTCTGTTGTGTTTCCAATAGTCTCGTTTGCCCAGAAAAATCGAAATCTTTCCCTGAGAGCAAAACAGCTCTAATAATCACTGAAATTATGGGGCAAGTACTCACCGACTGCACCGGTCCCACCGAAAGTCTCGTCGTTGAAATCGTCACCACCTTCTTGCAGCGCGTCACCGAGGCCATCGTAGCTCTCTTCTCCCCACGTATAAACAGCTACATCTTCGTTTTCATGAAGGCCACCATTTCTTATCCTTTCCCTTTCTTCCTCTAAGTTGCGGTCAGGTAGTCCGAAGAAAGACATGAGCGCATGAGAGAGAGTGAGAGAGAGAGAAAAATGAGATCAGACCTCGCAACTGTCACACACAACCAAGTACATCTCAGGCTCGACTCTAGTCCCAGAACTATCTCCACATTTTGCCCTCCTTGGAAATTTGCGTGCATTGGGGACACTCAAAATATGATCAAGCCTCAAAGCCTCAAACGCTCATGTCCATATTTAGCTCTTCTAGGAGAGCTCGCCCACAATGAGAGTCAATCTCTGCGGTATGTGTTTGTCTTTGGTGTTGGAATCTAATCATATCAGTCGAAGTCTCATGCTAAGAATCCACTATTTGCTCGTTAGGGCTGCGAATTCGGTACAGAAGCATGTGCTCCGAGTTGTTGTAGCAGGGAAGGGCATTCCCAATATAAGATGGGGCGCTATAGTCTTGCAGTCAATTTGCTGTTACACGATGCGTTACCGAGTGAAAGCTGCTGGAAAATTATCTGAATGTTTGGGTTGTGGCCCATTCTCATCACGCTGCGTGACGTCTCCAATGTCCACCACCACCACCATGACACCCAACTCTCGACCTGTAACATCAAAACCTCGAGGCGTCTGTAAATATTATCTGACCCCACGAGGGTGCTGGGCAGACAAAAAATGCAAATACCTTCATGGCGAATCCGCGACCCACACTCCTTATGACCTTAGTAAACCTTGTCGCTTCTTTGCACTCGGGTTTTGTAAACGCGGCGACAAATGCTGGTTCTCACACGACAGCGAGTCTGCGGCAGAAGAAGACAACGATCTGTGCTCTGTTTGTCTCGAGAAAGCAACCACTTACGGTCTTCTCAGTTGAGGCTTTTATCGCTTGTTCTTCCCATTGTTGAATTTTGCCTTCCAGCTGGGTGCAATCACGTATTCTGCATTACTTGTATCAAGCAATGGCGCAGCACATCCAACCCAGATGTCGTTGAGTCAGGAAATACGAAACGCTGTCCGATGTGTCGAACCGCCTCGAAATTCATTATCCCATCATCCAAGTTTTATCCTCAGGGCCCCGAGAAGGACAAGGCGATCGAGCGCTACAAGACTAGCATGAAGCGCATTCCTTGTCGGTCAGTATCGCGTGCGCTCCTCCACCCATTCCACCCCTCAATCACTCACAGGCACTTTCAACAATCGCTCACTAATAGGACCACCGGTTTTTGTAAATATGGCAGAGATTGTTTCTACCTCCATCGTAATCCTGATGGCTCTGAACATGTCTCGAGTCACGGAATTGAGAGTTTTGTGAGTTTAATCTTCTTCGAATCCTACAGCTCAATATTCCATGAAGCGAATCGGGTCAGTCCTCAGCGACAGACTATCGGCTCGGAGCGAAATCATTCGAAGCTTGGAAACTGTTCTTGCCGAAACAGCTCGACTAGGTCTCACCGCACCGTTCCAGGAAGGGGATGCAGATGACGGCGCTGCAGTTATGCACCGTTTGGAATTGCTGGTAAGCAGGACTATTTGTAGCTCTCCACCCCTCTTCTCACCAAGCACCAAGGCTGACCACATGCTCTCTCTTGCCGTCCATGATCCCATCCCCACCGAAGAAGGTCTAGCTGACGATGACGCATATATACCAGCGCAGTCTGAAGAAGACATACCCATGCTTGCCTCTGTTTCAAACAGCACTGCTAGTATTGAAGGGTCAGATGCCGAGGATGATGGTCTACCGACGCTGGAACCACTCGGAGAAGCACGAGTTCCACCACCATTCTTAACAGACGGCCGAGGGCGTGTTGTTTGGAGCACTAATAATGAAACGGTAGTTGATGAAGGAAACAACAGCGGCATAGATGAAGATGAAGCTCCACAGGCAACGAGATCAGATGCCGAGGATGATGGTCTACCGACGCTGGAACCACTCGGAGAAGCACGAGTTCCACCACCATTCTTAACAGACGGCCGAGGGCGTGTTGTTTGGAGCACTAATAATGAAACGGTAGTTGATGAAGGAAACAACAGCGGCATAGATGAAGATGAAGCTCCACAGGCAACGAGATCTTTCTTGGGAAGGATGTTCAATGCATTATTCTGAGCTCCGTATGTACAACAACAAATTGTAGCATAGTTATTAGCCCTGGAATACAAGCATCAGTGTCATGGCAAATCGACAAGACGGAGAAGAGAAGGATCAGTTGGCTGTTCTTAGTTTTATTTGTTATCTCCCCATCGCCAGAGCTCCGGAGTTGGTGTGTATGGATTCACATCCTAAGGGAAAGGAAGGAAGGAATGATCCTCACCAGACCTGTTCGATGGAGGTGAGTAAACATGCTGAGACCAGAAGAGAAAAAATATTCAGTGGTGCAACGGTTTGGCTGTGTGCTCATGCCGTTCGTCAACGCAAAAGCTACGACTGGGGCGGCAAAGAACTCATCGTGTGGAGGAAGAGGTATAGGTGTACTCACGCAATACACGCGCAATAAACGTTGTGGTGGAGGGAGTCAAAGACAGAAAAAAATCGACAGCATGTGACAAGAGGTGATCGGTCAAGCCTCGGTGTCACAGTCACACTTAGTCACTTTCAGTTTCCACTCATCGTCGCGTTCTGCAATGTCTGCTCCGGGGTCTCCTAGACTTGTCGACTCGTTCACGGCGCCGAAGGAAATCTTACAAGAGTTTGCTGACCTTGCCGAAGAAGAAAATTACGACCCATTTGCAGAAACTGCCTCGAAGCGGCAAATTGCAGCTCGACAGTCGGACTACCACAACCGTCGCTTCAACCGCACTGCAGTAACCAGTGCCGATGCATTTGAGGCAGAAGATGGAAAAGAGTTAGAAGGCGGCTACAAGGATGCCATGCGGCTGACTCGTCTGGAACAAGAGGAGGCCAGGGTACATCGCGCTATCCAAGAGAAAGAACGACGAGAGAAGGAGGATGAAAAGATGAAGATGGACTTGGACAAAACGCCTCCTGCCACCGAACTTGACGACGTTGCTCTCGAGCTTGCTGCTGCCAAAGAACTTGCCATGGCAAATCAAGAAACTGGTAAACGTAAACGTCGATGGGATGCGGAACCTGGTGAAGAAGAGGCTGGCGAAAGTAAAGGAGAGTGGACAAGCGAGGCCTCGGCTCCCAAGAAGCGTCGCTCACGATGGGATGCTACTCCAGCTGATACCCCCAACGCTGAACCAATCAAACGTTCGAGATGGGACCAAACTCCTCTAGCAGCGAGTGGTGGTATCGAGCAACCTATGGAACGAATCATCATGAACGCACCTGGTATCATGCAGGACGACAAACACAACAGGTATCTCACCGACGAAGAGCTCAACATTATCCTCCCTGCCACTGGCTATGTTATTGTGACTCCTCCAGCTGGTTACGCGCCCACCATTGCTCCTCGTCGATTGATGGCAACTCCCATCGGTGACCCAGGAGGATTCCAAATCAAGGAAGGCTCAGACGCCGCCGCCATTGCTGCTGCTGCCGGTCTTGCCCCAGAACTTCCGACCGAAATCCCTGGTGTCGGTGCCCTCGCGTTCTTCAAAGCGGAGGACGCTCAATATTTCGCCAAAATTCTCAAGGAAGAAGACGAAACGGAGCTTTCGGTCGACGAAATGAAGGAGCGCAAGATCATGCGTCTTCTTCTCAAAATCAAGAACGGCACTCCCCCTGTCCGAAAGACTGCCCTTCGTCAAATCACTGACAAGGCTCGCGAGTTTGGTGCCGGTCCGTTGTTCGATAAAATTCTCCCTTTGCTAATGGAACGTACACTGGAGGACCAAGAACGACATTTGCTTGTGAAGGTTATCGATCGAGTCCTTTACAAGCTGGATGACCTTGTTCGACCATACGTGCACAAGATTCTTGTCGTCATTGAACCATTGCTCATTGACGAAGATTACTACGCCCGTGTTGAAGGACGTGAAATCATTTCCAACCTGTCCAAAGCTGCTGGTCTCGCCCATATGATATCTACCATGCGTCCAGATATCGATCATGCTGACGAGTACGTACGCAACACCACTGCTCGCGCTTTCTCAGTTGTAGCTTCGGCACTGGGTATTCCATCCCTTCTTCCTTTCCTCAAAGCCGTTTGCAACTCGAAAAAGTCATGGCAAGCTCGACACACTGGCATTCGTATTGTCCAGCAGATTGCCATCATGATGGGTTGTGCTGTTCTCCCTCATCTCCGCAATCTCGTCGATTGTATTGCCAAGGGGTTGTCCGATGAACAACAGAAAGTTCGGACCATGACTGCATTGGGACTTGCTGCCCTCGCTGAAGCTGCCGCCCCTTACGGAATCGAGTCTTTCGATAACGTGCTGAAGCCCCTCTGGACAGGTATTCGCTTGCATCGTGGAAAGGGTTTAGCCGCATTCCTCAAGGCCATTGGCTTTATCATCCCTCTCATGGACCCGGAATACGCGTCCTACTATACCAAAGAAGTCACGGTGATCCTCATTCGTGAGTTCCAAACCTCAGACGAAGAAATGAAGAAAATCGTCCTCAAGGTCGTTAAACAATGCACGGCTACCGAGGGTGTTACTCCTGGCTACATCAAGCACGACATCCTCCCTGATTTCTTCAAATCGTTCTGGGTTCGTCGAATGGCCCTTGATCGGAGGAACTATCGTCAAGTCGTTGAAACGACAGTCGAACTTGCCGAGAAAGCTGGTGTCGCAGAAATTGTGGGTAGGATTGTGAACGAGTTGAAGGATGAAGCGGAGCCTTACCGCAAGATGGTAATGGAAACAATCACCAATGTCGTGGAGAAGCTCGGCGCCTCTGACATCGACGAGCGTTTGGAGGTACGCCTCGTTGATGGTATCATCTATTCGTTCCAAGAGCAGACGACGGAAGACCAAGTCATGCTGGATGGCTTCGGTACCGTCGTCAATGCTCTCGGCATTCGCGTTAAACCATACCTCACCCAAATCGTTTCCACCATCCTCTGGCGCTTAAACAACAAGAGTGCCAAAGTTCGTCAACAGGCTGCTGATCTCACAACTCGTCTTGCCATCGTCATCAAGCAGTGTGGCGAGGACCAGCTGCTGAGCAAACTCGGGCTTGTGCTTTTCGAACAGTTGGGTGAGGAGTATCCTGACACTCTTGGTTCCATCATCGCAGCCGAGGGAGCGATTGCCAATGTTGTCGGTATGACCCAAATGAACCCACCTGTCAAAGATCTTCGTGAGTCTTATTCCGCTTTCTTTTTATAGATCACTAACTTGTTTGTCAGTTCCCCGAATGACACCAATTCTTCGCAACAGGCACGAAAAGGTGCAAGAAGCTTCGATCAACTTGATTGGTCGCATCGGTAAGCATTCACTCTTGACCATATCGTCCTTACTCATGATTTCAACAGCGGATCGCGGGGCTGAGTTTGTGCCAGCTCGTGAATGGATGCGCATTTGCTTCGAGTTGCTGGATCTCCTCAAGGCCCACAAAAAGGGCATTCGTCGAGCAGCCGTCAACACATTTGGCTATATCGCCAAAAGTTTGGGGCCTCAAGATGTCTTGTCCGTTTTGCTGACCAATCTTCGCGTCCAAGAGCGCCAGAGCCGTGTATGCAGCACAGTTGCAATTGCGATCGTCGCAGAAACGTGTGGTCGTGAGTCTTTTCGTTTCTCTTCGGGTTGATTCGATGACTGAATGCACGATAGCTTTCACCTGCATCCCTGCCATTTTGAACGAATATCGAACAGCCGAGCTCAATGTTCGGACTGGCTGTCTAAAAGCCCTTTCTTTCGTCTTCGAATATGTTGGACCACAGTCAGCCTATTACTGTGATTCAGTCGTCACAATGCTTGAGGACGCACTCACCGACCGTGATCTGGTTCACCGACAAACAGCAAGCACCATTGTCAAACACCTTGCTCTTGGTGTTGCTGGATTAGGTTGCGAAGACTCGATGATGCATTTGATGAACTTGGTTTGGCCGAATTGCTTCGAAACGTCGCCCCATGTTATCGGTGCAGTCATGGACGCTATTGAGGCAATGCGCGTCACACTTGGGCCAGGCGTTCTCCTCAGCTATGTTCTTCAGGGTCTCTTCCATCCTGCCAGAAAAGTCAGGGAGGTTTATTGGCGCATCTATAACGCGCTCTATCTCGGAGCAGCTGACGCCTTAGTTCCTTTCTATCCTGACCTTGGTGAACTGAGTGAAGGACCCAACGCTTACAATCGCAGTGCCCTTCAAGTCTTTATTTGAACGATATCGTAGCTCACCGTATTTCTGTACTAGCTAGAACTGTAATCGTAGATTTTTGCTGCCAATTCTTCTGTCACGTGTGACTTGGCCTTCAACGACATTCACTGGCGCCGACATCGGCCAGTCGCAACCAACCTAATTGCCTTTCCTTCAACTTAAGGAACTTACGGGGACTGACGGCACTCCTTTTATTGCGCTATGGTCTATAATAATCTGAAAGGTTGGTTGTGGATTTCTGTCTCCGTTCAAGTCGTCTGATAGTCCCGACTCCAGCCCTCATCAAAGGCATCCGCGCCTGCAAAGTAGTGAATGTGGCGAGAAATTGCTATGCTTCTAACTATCGCGACAGACCGTGGCCGATGAGCGCGCTCTCATCCAGCAGGAATCTGCAGCAATACGGACGTCATTCAAGGAAGAGGACTCGTTTGCGCGACACAACAATATCGCGAAACTCCTCTACATCCATATGCTTGGGTCACCCGCTCACTTTGGACAGATAGAGTGCTTGAAGCTGGTCGCCAGTCCACGCTTTGCCGACAAACGGTTAGGATATTTGGGGATTATGTTGCTTTTGGATGAGAGCCAGGAGACTCTGACATTGGTCACCAACTCGTTGAAAAAGTGCGTGCTTGAGCTCTCCTCTGTTTGCGCCGGGTAATCGTGAATTCTCAGCGACATGAATCACTCCAACATGTACGCTGTTGGGCTGGCCCTATGCACATTCGCAAACATAGCATCGGAGGAGATGTCAAGAGACCTGGCAAATGAAATCGAGAAACTTTTGGGTTCAAGCAACACTTATATTCGCAAGAAGGTGTGTTCATAAGCCTCGTTAGTTCTCCTTTTGCTGAATCAGCTTCAGGCGGCACTGTGCGCGCTTCGTGTGATCAAGAAAGTCCCGGAACTCGCCGACCACTTCATTTCCAAAGCAAAGAATTTATTGACCGACCGAAATCATGGCGTCCTGTTGTCTTCGATAACGCTCGTCACTGAAATGTGCCATATAGAGCCTGCGATACGGGATGAGTTCCGAAACGTGAGTTTTACCTCTTCCTAAACAGCACGGAATGAAGTTCCTTCAGGCCGTACCTCTTCTCGTCCGCAACCTCAAGTCTCTTGTAACGACAGGTTATAGTCCAGAGCACGACGTTTCAGGCATCACAGACCCCTTCCTACAAGTCAAAATTTTGCGACTTCTACGTCTTCTTGGTCGGGGTGATGAAACAGCGAGCGAAGCTATGAACGATATCCTCGCACAGGTTGCGACCAACACCGACTCTACGAAGAATGTTGGCAACTCGATTCTCTACGAGACCGTTCTTACTGTTCTGGATATCGAAGCCGACACTGGACTGCGCGTCATGGCTATCAACATTTTGGGAAAGTTTTTGAGCAATCGGGATAACAACATTCGGTAAGCATTTTTTTTTTCACTTCCATCTGTTGGTTAATGCTTGGACCAAGTTATGTTGCGCTGAACACGCTGAATAAGGTGGTTTCAATGGACACCAACGCCGTACAAAGGCATCGCAACATTATTCTGGACTGCTTGCGAGATGGCGACATATCGATCAGGCGACGAGCTCTGGAGCTATCTTATGCTCTCATCAATGAAGGCAATGTCCGCGTGCTTGTTCGAGAATTGCTCGCCTTCCTTGAAGTAGCCGACGACGAATTCAAGCTTGGAATGACCACACAAATATCTCTCGCTGCAGAACGATTCGCGCCGAACAAACGGTGGCACATCGACACTGTCCTTCGATTCCTGCGACTGGTGAGGGTCCTCTGATTGATAGTTCATACTCATCACCGTCGACTAGGCTGGAAACTTCGTGCGGGAAGAGATATTGTCCGCCTTCATTCGTCTAGTAGCGCATACTCCGGAACTACAAGCATATACTGCATCAAGGCTCTATGTTGCTTTGATGGCCGATATTTCTCAAGAGTCTCTAACCCTTGCTGCAACCTGGGTCATCGGTGAATATAGTGAACTGCTGTTAGAGGGAGGAATTGTGGACGAGGACTCACAGAAACCTGTGTGTTTTTTTTGAACAGTTTTGTTTCGAATACCCTCTTACCTTGAGCAGGTCTCGGACAAGCAATTAATTGACTTGCTAGTGTCGATTCTCGACTCACCATATGCCAACCTCCTTATACGACAGTTTGTGCTGACTGCCGTCACGAAGATTTCATCACGGCCAGCAGTCAGTGTAACTCAACAGGAGCGTATTTCGGAGCTTCTGGCACAATACGCAACGAGTCCTGAGTTAGAACTGCAACAGCGAGCGATCGAGTTCGTGAGCCTGTTCAATCTTGGTCAAGTCAAGGAGGGTGTCTTGGAGAAAATGCCACCTCCGGAACTGAAAGCTACTGTTATCGGTGTCGGTGCGTATTTTATTACTCTTGTGGACACTGTCTCACTCTGCGCAGTCAGTGAACAGAAACCAGTGGGCTCAACAAAAGCCACTGTTGTCGACGTATGTTCTGAAGCTCGTTTGCCTGATGTTACTCAACGACTTAGGATCTTCTGGGTTCGGACGACGTGGTTGCTACTAGTCCTGCAACAAACGTCACGCAAAGCAATAATGATCTTCTCCAAGGTCTCTTGGTTGGGGGGGATGTGAACCCGACCAGCAGTTCTTCGCCGCCAGCTGCCCGTTCCGTTGTCGATGACATTATGAGTTTGTTCGGGCCTACTCCCTCAACAACAGCACCTGCCCCCACTCCTACCCCAGCGTCCAATCCAATGTCTGTCTTCAACAGCATTGCTTCAACTCCCGCTCAACCAACACCACCACCCACCCAACCACGACTCACATCATATTCCGCCTATGACCAGAACGAGCTGAAAATAAGCCTCACACCTCAAACATCTCCATCACAACCTGGCACCGTCATGATCCTTGCAAGGTTCCAAGTAACAGGTGCTAATGCAGCGACGGGACTGAGTTTCCAAGCTGCCGTCCCAAAGGTCATTCTTGTTGCCTTATCTATGACTTGTTTAATCTACTTACAGTCTCAACAACTGCAAATGCTGCCCATGTCCAACTCGGATGTCAACCCCGGCTCTGTAGAAACCCAAAAGTTGCGTGTGATTGCGCCTGTTGGGGTAGGTAGCCTGGATAAACGTTGGCTCAGGTTGCTGATGGATAATGCAGAGTGCAGTGAGGCTACGTCTACGAATATCATTCAACTTGGCGGGGCGGGCAATCCAGGATCAAGTAGATTTTTCAGGCTTCCCAGCCAATCTGACGACAGGAGGTCCATAGTGTTTGTACCTTTGAATCATCTATTAACTTCTGGGGCGTCTGGTTTCCAGTCTGAGGGGATTCTAGTGGCTAATGCGCGCGAGACATGTTCTTGCAAGAGCATGCCTGTTGATTGGTGTGAGCCATTAAACAACAAATACCCCAAAAAAAGACGCACCAATAGCGAGTAATGCTGACCCATCCATTGTCTTGTACATGTCTCTTCGCCGCGTCGTATCTTCCCTTGACGGTGGTTCTTTCTCGCTGTCGTTCTCCTCGTCATCTAGACTCTTGCGAGCCTTCTTCGCTTTCCGCCTTGCAAGTTGTTGTTGACGGAATGTGCGAGAATCGTTGAAGAGCTGGCCACGGTCGGTGTAATAGCTGGAGGCCAAGTGATGGATGGATTTCAGAAGATCCTATCGGGTTTAGCAATGGTCGGCTCAGTTAGATTATATTCACGGAAGAAGGGACCAGGAACTGTGAGTCTGGGAATAATTCGGTGTCTAGGAAATGGAGATCGTTTGTTTTGCGGCGTCTTTTGCGAGTGACCGCAGGCTGATAGGCGCCGTCGTCGTCGATAGCGACTCTCCGGTGCTTAGGAATGCGGAAGGTGAAAGAAGACATGTTTTTTTGCTCACATGACTTCGGCGACTCTTGCACTCTCATGGTTTGGCGCTGACTATATAAACTCATTCTTTCTCGGCCTCCGACTGTTAAACCATGAAGCCTTCTGCATCCTTCGGCCTTATCATCGACCTCTACTCGGCCATATGCGTTGCTGCATTACCGACTCTCAAGACTATTCTCCACCGACCTAGCCTGCTCTTTCGTCCCCATGAGATATCACGCATATTCATGGCCACTGTAAGTCGCTTGGGTCATTTCTTTGAAGCGAAATAACCTTATTAGGTATGGGCTGCATTTTCTGGACCGACGGATGAAGGCGCCCGACCAGCGAAACTAGGCTTGATCAAACACGCCAGGGGAGTGCTTTTCGATATTGGAGCAGGTTATGGCCATTCCATCCCTTATCTGGACCGCCAGAATGTGACCGCCTATGTTGCTTTGGAGCCCAATACGCTTATGCATAGCGACCTTCGTCAACGGGCTGAATCGCACGGCTTCAATGAAAAGGATGGAACTCTGTTGATATTACGAGGCTGTGGTGCGGAAGACACAGCTGAAATAAAAGCACAACTTGCTGGCGCTGGGTTTCAAGTCGATACGATGCTCTCAATCATGACCATATGCAGCATTCCTAATCCCAAGGAAGCATTAGCGGGCCTTGTGAACGAGATTTTGGCGCCGGGAGGTCAAATTCTCTTCTACGAGCATGTTTTGAGCCCGCTTGAAGATGTTGCGTGGTGGCAGCGCTTTTGGACTCCGGTGTGGCGGCTCTGCTTCGATGGGTGCTGTTTGGATCGACCGACCCATTTGTGGGTTCAAGAGTTACAGGATCAGGCTGGAAATAGTGTGTGGGCTGAGCGAGAAATATGGGGCAAGGCAGGAGAGCCTGATGAGCATTTATTTTGGCATCGCGTAGGTCGATTTGTCAAAGTGTAATTACGAGGAGAACGTGACCGCGAAAATGCTATCACATCATCACACTGAGCAGTCGCATCACGCTTCCTCCACCCATTTTCTCTAACCTCGATCTAGGTTTGTCGCCATCTCACTCTTTCTTGCTCAATCTTTACTCCGCCATACAGCACAATGGCCCAGCGCGTCACGCTGCGAAAACGTCAGCCCTACAACACCACCTCCAACCGTAGGCGGGTTGTGAAGACTCCTGGTGGAAAACTCGTCTACCACCATCTCAAAAAAATCGCAACCTCGCCCAAGTGTGGAGATTGCGGAATTGGTCTTCCTGGTGTGCGTACTCGCTCTGGCTTGCATGCTTTCTTGTTTCCTGACTGGTTGTTTTCCCAGATCCCAGCGCTTCGCCCTCGCCAATACGCCACGATTTCCAAGCGCCAAAAGACGGTTCGGAGAGCATATGGTGGTTCGCGGTGTGGAGACTGTGTCAAGCAACGGTGCGCTATGCTGCATCACTCAAAATATAGCTGTTTGCTTAATAACGTTTAGCATTCTCCGTGCATTCTTGGTCGAGGAGGCAAAGATCGTAAAGAAGGTTATCAAATCACAGCAACAGTCGAAGAAGTAGAGGGCCCGCCGTCGTTGTCCTGCTCCATGTTATGCCTCTCCATGAAAATGCATTACTGCCAAACAATATTCTCTCTCTTTCTCTGGGACGACGCTGCGGTTGTGAGTCTACACTTGAGCATGAGAGATGAGTGTAACGATGAGTATTGAGTGAGCTGTATGTACACAGGCTAAGCAAATTTGACCAAATGCCCGATTGCGGCTCATGATATGTGTGACGTGTGTGACTATTTTTGTTTGGATGCGGACAGCACCTCCGATGAAATGCCCCCCTCCACAATGCCCCGCCCTTCAGCCCCTCCTCAAACACCCCGTAATGACGACCAACGACTTCCTCTCAACTCGCGCATTATCAGCTCTGTTCGTCGCACGCTTTCCACTGCGAAAAGAAGAGAGCCATTACCTACCCCGATGACTGAACGGACCAGCCGTTTTCGCTACGATTCGGTAGCCCCTCCCACCGTTGAACAGGTATGTGCCACCTAGTATTGCGACGGCAGTTGCTTACCTCATTTCCTAGATAGCCATGGGACTACACCTCTCGAGGACACCCCATTTGCGGTCGTCCAAAGATACACCGACAGTTGTTCGCTACCCGCCACCACCCGCCTCCCACCCCCAGCCAACCATAAAGCCTATATCGCCAGCTCAACCGCCGCTTCGCTCGTCGATGAAAAAGCCTGCTGGTTATGGTGCCCCATCGAGTTCTTCAACGACCGATGTCACGTCAACAGCCCCCTCAACACCCCATTCTTCCGAGCGCAGCAGTGCTTCATTGCGTGCGAAAATGGCTCGCCTTTTTCCATATCGTGGCCCCCAGCCTTCTTATTCAACGCCTTCCTCGTCTGCCGTGTCATCACCTCGCACAAGCACGTCTGAGCTACAGCATCCACGGAAAAAGGCAGTTCGCTTCTCCAATCCTGTTGAAGAAGAAGAGTAGAGTCCTCCACCACCACTACTTATCATTATTCGCATCCTGCATATCTAAAACCTAGACACTGTACGGTCAACCTTCACCACATTTATTTGTATTCGTATTCTCAATAAATTTCGGGGCTTTCAGATGGACATCGCTTCGTCGGCATTCAGGATGAGCGTCGTGAAGAACCGAATAACCTCCAGCAATGAGTCGGCACTCATCGCTAGCAGTTAGTTGTGTAAGCACTTTTTCGGAAAAACCACAACCGGACTTGCCTTCGTTGACTGTGTGAACCCCAGACAGTCTATTTTTCAGTCCGATAGTGCCTTTATGGTTGTACCTTCCACACCGTCAACGACCAAACGCGTAAATCGCCAGGAAACTCACCGGAATATTGACCGCGACAGCTTCCAGTAATAACGCGTGTCTAACACGTTCAGCTCGTCATAGATTCGATGAAACGATGCCTACCAGTGTTTCCCGTACTCATTCCAGGGGCTACTACAATTCCACTGCCATCTTTGAGTGATCGGTGAGCAGCAAAGGTAGCTTTGATGGTGCCAGAAAGCAACTGGTACGCCTCAGAGCCTGATCCACGAATGGGGCTGACTGGAGCAGGTTCCAATGATGTGCCATAGGCATCTTTCAAAGTTAATGTCCCAAAAGCAGGAGGCCCCTCTTCAGAGAATACTTTTCCGAACGCAGTATACGACAGGTTGAACTGTTCAGCAAGCCCTTGGAGGAGTGCAGTGTCGTGCGCCATTGTTTCCTCCACAGAGCTGGAAACCAATTGAGGCGAAACCGCCAGCAGTTAGAGAACGAACCTTTCTGTCGAAATGCGGTGATTGACAAGAGCATAAGCTTGCTCTGGGAGTGCATTACTCTTCACGCCGCCTGGTTCAACATGGTTGGATTTCTGTTGTGGTTGCGAACAATGATAAGCTTACCGTGAATGATATCAGCTGCTTGCGTAGTTCCGACCAGGGCGCGGAAGGTTTTCTCTTCAAACAAGACATTTTCCAGCTTGCGCAAGGCACTCTCAGAGTGAGCAGAATGTTTGATCAGCCTCTTGAGACGTTCGGGCATTGTCGCCCCATGCTCGCCATGGCACTGGACCAGCGCATAGGGAATTGATTTGCGAGACTAGCTGCCGTTGAATTTTGTGAATGTTTTCAGAAGAAGAAACCGCACCAGCTCAAGTTTATAGGGATTTTTTTCGTACTTGACAAGCAGCTTGGCAAGAATTCCTATTGTCGTATGCTCCGGAGGGACAGATGAATGTCCTCCCGGGGAAGTCACCTCGACATGGACGTCTAGGTATCCCTTCTCCGCCACAGCAGGAGTCGCGAAAACGGTCCCATAATTATCTGAGAAGCCCCCGCCTTCGTCGACAATGAAAGCGAATGGATGATTTTCGCCATAAGTTTGGCGCATTGCAGCGCCAAGTGCCCCAGCACCCTGCAATCCACTAGCCTCTTCGTCGAAACCAAATGCGACAACTATCTGATCAATTGATTGACTGGTTCAGCTGAAGTAATACCGGAGCAAAACTACAGCACCGTGCGAGCAGGCTTGAAACCCTGGCCAATTAAAGTTTCGAGCGTTGACCTGAGAAAGATTAGGCCATATTTTAGACTATGAAAGTCAGTACATTATACCAATTAAGCCGCTTTTATCATCACTAGCTTGTAGAATCAAGTCAAAAAAGATCGCCGAATTGTGCTTTAGTTGCCCACTCACAACCCCGTCCCCAAATCAATTCGCCTGCGAGGGCCCAGTAGTCAAACAGTGGCAGACAGAAGAAGAACTCCGAGTTTGCGCACCATCAAAGTAGCCAGAGAATGGCGGATGTGTCCAATCAGCATATGTTGTTGGCTCAACAGGAACAACATCTTGATGAGCGGCGAGTAAAATCGGTTTGAGGGAAGAATCCGCGCCGGTCCACTCAAATAAGAGGCCATATGTGTTGACCTTAGTGAGTGAGAGCGTCTTGTGGCTACATACGGCTCGATGAGAGCATATGGACGATGAAATAGACTCACACTAGCGGGAACGCTTTGCTGAGGTAGTCATGGAAGGGACCAAAGACCTCCCAGCGAGGATCTTGGCCCACCTCCGGCATGGCATCGTATACTTCAGTGCTGAAGAAATGTCAATGCGGCGATTAGATGTATGATAGAATATAACGTACGGGACCTGAACTGCTCCAGACAACCACCCAACCGCAGTATCCTTGAACTCTTTCGTCGCCAACAGATCACTGATAGTCGACGAAAGCTTCGCATCACGTTGAGGGGAAAGGGCGTCTACTTGGGCGCATCCGGATTCGCCAAGCAGTGTAGATTCGACCATGGATGCATGCCATCCACAGTGAGTTAAGGCAGCAAAGCCTACCAGACCCAGTGCAAAGAAGATAATGTGTTTACGCGGCGACTGTGGACGGGGAGCCGGTAGGGAGCCTGGCAAGATAGCCTTCTCGTTCATCGTGGAAGAAAGAGAGCAAGTTTTTCCCAGCTGACGGCGATAAGTAAAGACTTCTAATTCACGTGACTGTGCCGCGGCCAGTGTCACGAGAGCACAGCCGTCCAGCGCAGCGTTCTTTCTCTTTCCAAACCATGGCGGTTAATCCAAATGAAGATACAGAATTGTACGCTTCTATAGATCTCTGGCCATATTGATCTCGACCGAAAACAGCAATGACGCTCTGCGAAAGCATGGAATCATACCTCCAAAAGAGGTACCTCCCCCATCACCATCGCCCCCTCCATCCCCAACGTTGGATGATCTCTTAGAGGAGCTCACACCTTCTGAGATGGCAGAGCTTGCTGAAGATGCCAAGGATGAAGAAACTGAGCGCGCTATTGATGCTTTTCGTCGACAACGGCTAGTGGATGAGAGGACTGCTGCAAAGCGCGCTCGGTTTGGGCGAGTATATCCAATCGGCAGGGAAGACTACACTCGTGAAGTCACCGATGCTAGCTCAATCAATGAAGAGGACGACGAGAAAGGCCTCGGTACTGGTGTTGTCTGCTTCCTCTACAAAGACGGAATAGTCCGCAGCGACCGCGCATTTCAGCATGTCAGAACTTTGGCTGCACGACATCCAAGAACTAAATTTGTGTCCATCGTTGGCGACAAGTGCATCCCAAACCTTCCCGACTCTCGTATTCCTATGTTCATCGTTTATAAGAAGGGCGAAATCTTGAACCAGGTGGTAGCTTGGGGGGCAGATCGCGATCGGACATTGGAAGGTGAGTATTTTCGTCAGGACATAAACAATGGATTTTAAGTAACTGTAGAGTTGGAATTGTTGCTTATCGTGGGAGGAGCAATTATACTTCCCGAACGATTGCCAGCCAAGAAGAGAGAAAGCGACGATGAGTTTTCTGATGACGAGGAGGACGAGCCACCTCGAAGATCAGCAGCAACGTCGACCAACGGCAGACCACCCAAGAACATTCGAAAATCTGCATCAGACTCGGACTTTGAATTCGACCTGTGATTAGATAGCTATGTTATATTCTCTGTCTGACCCCACTCCGTCCACCACTGCCATACATGACTTCGCCCTCTTCTAATTGTGGCGCATTATAAGAGCCCTCTGGTCCGTCCCTGAAAACATCACCAAGACCGAGTGGGAATGTCGATGTTGGTAGTTGGATAAGCTCTGGTGGTGTCCGGGTTAGGTAAACGCTCAATAGAGCATCCTCAGCAGCCTAAACCAGACATTAATATTTCTAGGGGGTAACCCAGCATTCGGCGCACCCGGTATTCAGCCATTCTCAGCGATGCACCGAATCCTTCACCGAGTTTGTCTTCTCCAGAATAGATCCCAACAACAAATACGGGTGAATTCGAAAAACGACCCGTCTCCTTCAACAACCTTTTTGAGGTTTATTCAGGAGAAATATAAAGACTCAGAGGCAAAATACGCACCTGGACCTTGGTGGTTCGCGCTGGAACTTGGCCACCATTTCTTTGAGCGCTTTTTTTGGGTCCACAAATTTAATCATGGATCGGATGTCGACCTCTCTGCTGAGGAAGTACGAGTGTACAAACTGTCGTGCTGATGGCAGTGACCGGTGTTGGTATACAAGCGCAACAAGGGAACGTGGTATGGAAGCAAGCGCGTCTGAACGCTGCAACGGCGGTTGGTAGTTGCCCGTTTGTGGTTGCTGTGTAGCGTTGGTATCGGGAGTAAAATGTTTGGACAGTGGAAACACACCTCTCTATGCCATCTCAGCAGAGGAACTGCTCCCATTTCTTGGGCGACATTTGAACAGGTGAGAGGGCCAACATGGGCTGTAACCGCGGCTTTCATGACGCGAGTGGGAAGATGAGGATATGCTGCATGGACGTATTCTGTGGCAAACAGTCCCATAAGCGCGTTTCCGAGCGTGCTTAGTTGAGCATTGGTAGGTAATGGTGGGCTATTTGGATCCAGTCGCCTTGCAAGGTGTTGAGCAGAGGGATGAGTGCATGCCTGTAGAATGGTATCTGTGTTCGTAATAACAGAGCCCAGGCCAATACGATGGATGAATGCTGAGAGGGCGGTGGGAGGAGGAGGTTGTAAAGCGCCCCAGGTTTCTGCGTCAAAATTTGACACTTTGAGAGATTGCGTGGATGCAGGAGGTGGGAATTTTGGTAAGTGGGCGACGGAGACGGCGGTTACATTCTTGAGTGCATTTGCAACTACTCGTCGTTGGCCATAAACCATCGACGGAAAGTTTCGAGGGAGAGTAAACCGCGTTTGAGTGTCACACTCGAAGTCACACTGTCACCGTCTGAAGCCTCTTAACACGCTACAGCGGCATCCCTGCGTGCCCTCCTCTCTTTCCATGTCAGAATTGCCTTGAATTGCCATCTACCACTCACAGTTAGACAGTCTACCCAATGGCGGTCCTTTCTCTGCCATTGAGTTTCACCAACTCGTTCTGGTCTCAAGACTATCGTCGAGGACTTGAGGTTTGCGATACCCCTCCATATAACTTGCAGTTGCTAACCTTCGATGAAGGTCCTCTACGCTAAACTCGAACACGGCGTTACAGAGAACGATGAAATACTTGCATTTATTCGAGTGTGTCTGACGGGCTGTGCATTCCACTAAACTGACTGACATGCCGCAGGCACGGGCTGTTGCTGAGCGTCAGTTGGCGGACTCACTGGGAAACCCAATGCTGACAGGCGCAGCTGGTTTGTCTGCCGTTTCGGCTTGTAGCTGCCCTTCACTCACATGTTGAAGGTACTGGCTTTGGAACTGACGATGGCGCCTCCTTGCTTATGGCGTTTCGTGGACTCCAGGCATGAAATTAATCCTCATACTTGAAATTTCTCTTCTTACCATATCTCAGGCTGAGTCTGTTGCTCAAGGCAACGCGCACAAAACTATCGCCACTGAACTGGACACCTTAGTCGCAGACCCCTTTGATCAATGGGCAGTGACACACAAGGACCGTCTGCGGCAATCTAAGAGCTCCATCATCGACCACTGGCTCCGGGCTTACGAGCAAGCACACGGCGAAGTTTCGAAGCTGAAACACCAATATTTGGCGAAGACGCGGCGAGCCGATGAGGCCGAAGACGAGTGAGCTGTGCAATATGACCGTGTCTCCCGCTCAACCATCACTTTCAGTGCCAAATTCGCGCCCAATAGTGGTGGCACTGACCCCTACACAACTTCTCCTCGTGTTCGTCCAGCCGATGGCCGTCGCTCGCCTCCCGTTCGTACCGCCAGTGTTTCCGAGCGAATTGCTGCGCGTCTGAGAGAGATTCAGAAAAAGGCTGTAGGAGAACAACCCGAGGAGACTCCTTCCCCTCCCAAGGCTGACAAAGGCAAAGGCAAAGAGATTGTGGAAGAAGAGCCAACCATTAGTGCTTCCCCGCCTCCCATGTCTCCGCCTTTGCCGCCCAAGATTGACATTCCTGAGTCGCCTATGCCGCCCATCGCAGCCCCACCAATGCTTCTTGCCGGCCTCGCCCTTCCGCCTTCCGCTGTCTCTCAACTTTTGACACGCGCTGCGGGTAACTAAGCCGTATTCCCTCGACTTGAAGCTAATCACATTCTATAGCCGAACTTCCACTCCGTCCTGTTCGCTTCCCTCTAATCGGGGAATATCCAGACTGCTTCACTGGAGAGGAATTTGTTGCCTGGCTCAATGAGCATGTCCAAGGGTTTGGCGGCAGCCTTGACCGTGCAGAAGATGCTGCTCGAGAACTCACAGAACGAGACAACCTTTTACGAAGGATCGGTGAATTTGGAAATGAATTCGAGCATTCAGACGAGGCTTTTTACCAATTCCGCCCCAAGGTGAATTATTTCCCCCCATCCACGTTTTCTCTTACTTGACTGGCAGGCCTTTGATTTGGAGGGCAAGAACTCACAAGCTGCTGCTGCCGTGGCTTCGCCGATCAAGACTTTGCAGCCTGATAACCTTATTAAAAGGACGAATACATTCGTCAACATCGTTTCAAAGGCATTGAACCAACGTGCTGAACCTACACACATCAAAGCCAGGAATGAGGCGGAACAAGCAGACCACACGTATCGAGTAGCCATGCGTAAATTGGATAGGCAGCGCTTGGGACTCGAGGAACGTATTGAAGACACACTCAAGACGTTGCAGCGCTGGGAAATGGAAAGACTGAGAGCGGTAAAAACGGGTCAGTAACCTTTCAATTCGTCTGTGAATCACGTGCTCATCTGCTCTAGTTCTTCTCCAATATCACGGGACCGTGTCGAACCTTCCCAAGAGTCTTGACTCGTCAAATGAACGCTCTGGCACTCTGATCGCTGCGTACCTTCCTGAGTCCGATTTGAATGCCCTGATCGAACGGTATCGCACTGGGCCTTTCCGACCTGAGGCGCAAGTTTATGAATCTGTGTCGCATGTTGAGACGGACGTGACTTTTTGGTATTGACCTACGGCGGTGGGCTGAAGGCGGGTGGGATACTGTGTCTTCTGGAGAAGCTCGCAAGGACCAAGTTCCACCAGTTTTACCAGCCATGCTCACCGCTGTTACCGAGTTATACACCCGCCTGCCAAGTGATGTCGGTTCGTAAGTTCCTCTGATATTTGATCCCCTCTGAGGATGGTTTAGAAAAGCGCAAAGCCTGGATTTACGAGGTGCCTCTTCCTGCTGTTCATCACCTTCGTGAGGCCCTCAATGCCGTGCCTTTGGACGACCCCGTTCCGCAAGAGATCTTTGCCAAGTATGATGCTGCTGTCATTGCTGCCACGATTAAGCTATGGTTGCTTGAGCTCGACCCACCAGTAGCATTATGGGAAGGATGGGATGAAATTAGAAAGCTATATCCAGCGGTTGGAGCTGCGGCGAAGTCCGAGAATACCGAAACAGAGACTCAACGCGTTTCTGACCTTGGTCTGGCCCTCCTACGACTACCCAAGGTCCATCTTTTTGTGCTGGATGCTATCATCAGTCATTTGCGCAATCTCATCGACACCACTACGGCTGAGGAGACAGAAGAGGTTTACATCACTAAATTGGCCCTTTCTATTGGACGCAGTGAGTCTATCTAGCTATCAAGTTTCACCGAGGTCTAACTTCTTCCAGCTCTTATCAGGCCCAAATTTGAATCTGAGCTCTCCATTCAAGACCGCCATCCGACTTGTACGTGCGCTTTCGCCTACTCGCTACTCATCGCTGATCTAAATTTCACAGTAATGTTTATTGACTTGCTTAAGAACCCGACGATGATCCGCGATACTATCTCCAAGAAGAAAAGGGAGTCGGAGCGCAAGGTTCCCTTGCGAAAGCGGACGGCTCCCATTGATATGCGGCTTAGTCGAAGCAGAATTTCCGTTGGGGCCGATACAAAGCAACTCTTGGCTGCTCAACAAGTTGCTCAAAACCCATCGCTGCACCGCTCTTCGAAATCGGTTGAATTTGTTCCTCCAGTCCCGCCTGTACCGCCACCTCTTGTGGCCAAACCCCCCGCCTCCGCCACCTCCTCCTATCCTCGCACCTACTCCATTTGTTGCCCCCCCTCCCCCGCCTGTGATCGCGCCAACTCCGTTTGTGCCGCCACCGCCACCACCTGCTTTACCCACCGTGACAGATCGCCCCGTTTTCAAGGAACCACCGCCTGAAACTGATGACGATGACCTTCCACCAAGGCCATCGTTCAAAGAGCCTCGTCCATCTTCGCCAGATGCGACTCCACCCAGACCCAAGTTTGTAGACCCTCCCGCCGAACCAATGTCGCCCACGAGAGGTGTTGCTTCTCCCCGCAGCGGATCACCCGCTATCGAGGACCAAAACAAAACCTCACTCTCTCGCTCATCATCTGGCCAGGCTGTCAGGGGGCCCCGTGGTGCGCGCGGGCCTCGCCCCCCGAGCAGTGGAAGCGTTTCAAGCATTGTTTCCAATCTAAACCGCAAGAATTCGATTGGCTCTTCACCGACCAGTCCCAACTATAAACGCAACTCTGGTAGCCCCGGAAGGCCTTCCAGTGTTCTTGGCCGGTCTGCCGCATTCTCAACACGTACGATGGAGTCGGACGCTGAAGACAACCTCGTGGATAAGAAGTAGTAGCTAAACTATTGACTAAAAACATTGCGGTATCCTACTCGTTTCGTATGTTGATATGTTCTTTATGATAGGCTCTCTACGTCGTTTTCACAAGACAAACCTGGATGACTTGCATGTCCACAAGCAGCGCAAATCTTCATTCGACAGTCGGGACATGTCAGAACTATTCCAAACCTTCCTAGACGGAAAGCCATGTCGCAGCCCGCTGGGCAAAACCGCATGTCCGGTAGAGAACGCACATGAGCAAGAAATGAAGAGCGATATATCATTTCTTGGTTGCTTTCCGGGAGACGCGAGAGCACGAACGATGGCGGTATTAGAGCTGAGCAATCTACACAGCAAGTTTCAGAAACTCCGACTGCCGCAGAGCTGAAGACCTGCTTGAAACAACTGGAACAATACCCATGAGAGCACGAAAGCTCAATCAGATCAGTCCGGTTAGTAGAGCTGCAAACACAGCATCTGGGATTGACAGAGTTCTGGGTTTGTCTGCTGACAGCTGACTCTAGGACAAGAAGACGCTCTTGCACTTGGGTCTTCAAAACGTCGTCCCCGAATATGGTCAGTGCCTTGCATGAAATGTTGAGCATGACCTTCAAAGGACTGCCTTCCTCCTGGCCGGTCAGTCGAGCGAGCCCTGTCGTCATCGCGGCGGACAACTGACTATCACTCAGAGGTAGTGTATGGGTCTGTGTGTCGACCTTTTGCAACAAACGTTCAATCTGTGCTGCCGCCTTTTCCCTGTCTCCCCAAAGACGCAGCACCCGGAACCGTTCATCTTTTCGAATGTGGAACATGTTGGATGCTTTGTTGTTGATGTGCTGAATCGTGGAGTCGCTAGTCGGGAGGTCAAAATAGCCGTGCCAACGAGCCAACTCGGAGCCGAAAATGAGGGCCTGGGCAGCTTTAGCAGCAAGTTTGAGGTTGTCGGCTCGACGACCATATATGTGGAGAGCCCGCGAGTATTGTGATTCCGCCCACTGAATGGTGCACGATTTTGTGGATGACGTAATCAACTCGTCCAACTCGGAACGAAACACTTCCGCGGGGAGGGAAGTGCAGGGATACTTAAAATGCACAATATCTTGAATAGAAATCTCGCCGTTTCCCAAGAAATCGTGCTTCTTCCCTATCAGCGCTAAAGTCGCTGCAGATGCAGCAGCATTGTCAGAGAACTCGACAAATGCAGTGACTTGATGGTCGGTTGGTTCATATGGTAGAACATCGAAGGACTCAACGTTCCCAAACTGTCGGAGTAGTTCGAGAACGAGATCATGTCGCGCTTCCTTGTAATTGGCATAAAGATGTGCGATCAAGCTGACTTTTTGTCCACCACAAAAATCTCGCAGTTCGTCTTCATTGGTGTCAAGTGGTAGCCGCTTGATGAAAATCGGGAATCGATCCTTGGTGCTGGAGCGTTGGTACTCGGCAGAGATCGTATGACCACGAAATGTAGCGCCATTGAGACGCGCGCTCTCCGATTTTGAGTGGGCGACAGTGGAGTAAAATACCCAGGCGGAAACGTTGGGAGTATCCCAAATGAGTTTTAATTGGGCTGGAGTGAGATTCGCGCTGCCGCAAAGAGAATCTTTGCAGTCTAGCTTTACGTTGAGGTTTTGTCCTGAGACAGGAAAGCCATGGAGGTTGTATCTTGCTTTGTCTGCAGACGTAGTGTCTCGAAATTCGATGCGAGCACGAACCTGTCCACCGTGAAGTTGGAATGTCGGTTTGGATGGAGAACCATACGGCTCAACAAGATGGTCCAAATCAGCATGCTCGCCAGCGGGGTACCCAGAGATGAAAATCGCATTTGATTCAAAAGAGGTCGTGATACTGATAGGCTCAGCCTCATCCGAAATATCGACTTGACAGTTGAAAATCCTTCGCGGTCGAGGAGGGATGATGGCAGGAGGCAATAAGTCGTCTTCCGTTGGGGAGGGAGAGGTGGGAGAAGGAGGAGGGGGGGTGGCCTCTCGTTGAATCTGCTTTGGATTAGAGCCAGAGTAAGTCTGATAAATGTTCCACTTTCCTGTAGAGATTCGACAGGAGGCTGGTAAGGCCGGCCATCTTGATCAACATGTTTATATGGACATTGGTCATCCTTTGCACAGTAGCCCTGTCCGAAGTAGCGACATGTCCCTCTGGGCTTCGGGGGCGGCAAGTCCTCAGATGTTGGCCACGGCACACCCCACGACGAATCATCCATTGGCTGTTCATCTGTTCCTTGCCCGTCTCCGGTCCATTTTTCAACCGAGGCATCATTCACACTAGCACTTTCGCGCTGGTCTGTATCAGAAGTAGATGTCCCCCACGCATCGGTTGGCTGAGCTGAACCTGATGTAGGGTCCTTGGAAGGTGGGTCCCAGTCGACATTGGCGTCTACTATCCAATCGTTAACGCTTGCATCACTGTTGCCCCATCCAGCTGCATCAACTGCCCAACTTGCTTCCCCGATACCCCATCCAGGAGTTTCCGATTCCTGCGTTTCTTCGGCAACATCGTTGGTCACGTGTTGATCGGAGTCGTGGCTGAAGCGACAGCTCGATCCGTTCCGACAATTGCCTTGAGCATAGTAAAAACATGGTTTCACAGATGAGCGTGGATGGTTCATGTTAACAGCTCCAGAGCTTGCTAGCCACCCTGCGTTATCTGACAATGGGGGGGAGTTATGAGATGGAATGGGGGAGTAGATAGGCGATATTGCATTGTGGGAGTCTCCGCCTAAACAAGCATCAGTCGTAGGGAATACACACAATTTCAAGGCCAAACCTGTGGGTGTAATGGTTCCGTCCGGTGTTGGCTTTGTAGGAGAAGCGTCATGAATGAAAGGGCACACATCTCCGTTGCGACACGTCCCTTGAGCAAAATATTTGCACTTGATGAGAGATGTTTGCGCACCGCCATCTATTACCTATGAAGCAAATGCACCAAAACAGAAGAGGCTTACCATGTGCGTATGGGCAGTTGTCTCCATTGGCGCAGTTGCCTTTTTGGAAGAAAGCACAAGATGGTTGGACGGGGGCAAAGGCTTTCAACGAGAAATAGTGCGGAACATGAGACATCGCGCAAGATCTGCTATGTTGACAGCCACTATCGTTGCAGGCAGCGATCAGAGTTGGTCCATGACCAGCAGAAGAGATATAGGCAGGAAAGAACGCCATATTGCTCATGGTCAATGAATGGAGAACGATTTGCTAAGCCAAGTGACACGGTGCAAAGCAATGAGTTGTGAAAGAACGCGGTCAAAACGCGCTGCGAAGCGGCAACATTGAAGGAGAAGAATGTCTGTCAACACGCGCCGGGTCACGCCGCTGACCAAGATCACGGTCACGTCACGGCCTCGTTGAACGCGTTCGGTGGTTCGCTTTGGAACGACGTTCCTCTTGCGATAGAGGACTCTCGTCGTCATGGCCAGTCCAACCCGTCCTCCGATTGCTCCGCCTATAGGCACCCTTGTTCCAACAGTGACACCATTGCCCGCTGCGTTACAACCTTCTGGGGAGCAGGTGAGTTGTGCCAATGCTGCGCTGCTGACTTTATTTATGACCACAAGATCGTTGTTTTATATGTCGTGTGTACCAGCCACTGTCCAGCTGGTCGATGAACCCACAAATGACAGATCATCGCATTCGCCGTTGTCATTTTCGGCTTTTGGAACGTTCCTGGCGTTAGGAACTGCATAAATCCTCTGAAACTCTTCACCATCGGATGGCATGAACTTTGCCATATCGCCGCAGTTAGTACCTTCCCACCTGGGTTAGAGGTCACACCGATTAAACTCAGGCAATATTATCTGGGGGGCGAATATTGAAAATAACAATAGACCCTCATGTCGGCGGCGCGACCATCGTGGAAGGTGGTCGACCAGGGTTGATCCTTTCCTCAGGATACATTGGCTCCACCCTTCTCGGAGCCCTCTTCACACTAGCAGGCTGGGACACGCTGGTCGCCAAAGTCATGAGCTTTGTTCTGGCAATCGGCCTAGTCATGCCCCTTGTGCTCGTACGTGATAAACTGTAGGTCCAACTAAACATTCAGTTAAATCATCTGACCGCTTCCTTGCCAGTACGATACTACTAACAGCCGTGTATGAGGCGCTGCTCATCGCGTTCTGGTTTGTAGACCATGGGTGCGCCCTATTCTACCCTATCTAACCCCCATTCTGATCAACTCTAGCGGTGCCTTGCGGTGGTATTGCCTATTCATTGGAGTGATGAAGTGCGGTTCCATTCGTCCGCAAACATTCCAATGACTAATTGTTTAAAGCATCCTCTTCGTGATATGTAGGGTCAACTCGACTTGTTATCTTGACGACTGATTTTCTTTGGCAGGGGACGTAGCTGACGACAGATTCTTTCACAAGACAAACGATTCGGACGCCACACAGTTCGCGTTACTATTTCCAACAACGAGAGCACACCGTATATTAGTCCCAATTGATTGTGTCGCAAGACAACTAACCTGTCTCTAGACTGGGCCGCATTCTGGATCATATTCCAGCTTGGAGTCCTTGCCGCGTTTGCAGTGCTGGGAATAATGGTCTTCAAACTGTCTGACGAGGAGATGAAAGCACAAGCTGGTGAGATTTCGAGCACTACTTCATTATGCTTATATGAAATGGGCATTCCAGCTAGCTTTCTACCAACATAGGACTCTATCATTCGAGACTGTGCTGTATTTCTATATCGTACTTTTAATGCATGTGAAAAATGCGTTAGCCGAGTAGCTGTGACGTGTGTGTGACGCTCGTAGCTTTCTCCATGTCTAGCAGCAGCGCTAAGCTCCCCATCCTACCACTCCCTCATCCCACAGTCCTTCTTCCGGGTTCGCGCATCACGCTTACAGTTCCAGTAGAACTTGGCGAAGCGTTACTTACACTAATCGAGGCGGCTGATGCGCTTCCGGTTGTTGCTGCCGTCCCAGTTGCTTCAGACACCGATACAAACTCTTTGGCCGAACACGGCGTTGCAGCTAGAATTCTTCGACTTGTTCGTCCCCCGGGTCGCAACAGTCGCCAAAGCTACCTGCTCACACTCCATGGATTGACTCGAATCCGTCTTTCCGCCTCCTTCACACCTGATCCGGACAACTCCCTCGTACCATGTGAAGTACAATACCCACCCAATTCCAAAGACTCCCCTCCACGGAAAGTTGTCGACACATTCAAGCAGAGTGCCCACCGACTTCTCGATCGACTAGCCCAAGACTCGGGCCAACAGATCCGTAGGGACGGATATTCGAAAATCTCGGCGATGCTTGAAGATGTGACCGACGCACGAGCAGCCTGGATGGCCGATATTCTTGTTGGCACGGTCAACGCAAGTTTCGCTGACAAACTATGTAACAATCCACACACTCTCTTGATCCCTATTCAGAACTGACTAACATCTAGCTATTCTCTCGACCACCGACCCCGAAGCCCGCCTCGTAGTCGCGGCTGAAATATTTTCCAAGCTTGCATCCATCTCCGAGGTTACCTCCAAGATCGCAACACAAGTCGAGGAGTCTGTCTACAAACAACAGAAAGAGCACTTCCTCAGACAACAACTAGCCGCCATCCACAAGGAGCTCCAGTCACTGTCTGGACCCGGCAATCTTGTCAATGGCCAGAGCTCGGAACTCGACGACGACGAACAACATGAAGCGGACGACCTTGCTGATCTTAAACGCCGCATCGAAGCTATGGAGCCTGGTTCTGAAGAGCGGAAAATGGGAGTTCGGGAGTGGCGTAGGCTCAAACGCATTCCTCAGGGTTCCGTAGAGAATGGTGTTATCAGGTCTTACGTGCGTCCATGCATAGACTTCATTTCCCTTCTGACAACCTCCAGCTTGAGTGGTTAACCGCCATTCCATGGTCTAATTCTACCTCCGAAACTCCCCGTGCTATCACTGATCGGTCCTTCCTAACTGCTGCACGTGAGCAACTGGACGCTGATCATTTTGGGCTCGAAAAGATCAAGAAACGGCTTATCGAGTATCTCGCGGTGGTTCGCTTGAAAGAAATGAATGCTGAACGGGAAAGGCAAGCCGCCGCCGCCATTCTACCAAAGGTAGAGGAGAAGTCAAACGTGGATGATACCAAAGACAAGACCACGTCCCCACCAATCATCAGACCAACGCGCAAAAGCGTGAAAGGACCGATTCTCTTGTTTGTCTGCTCTCTTCCCGCAATAGCTATGACTAACAGCTGTTAGGTTCGTCGGACCCCCAGGAACTGGCAAGACATCTCTTGGCCAGTCGATCGCCAAAGCTCTCAACCGACCATTCCAACGAATTTCTTTGGGTGGTGTTCGTGATGAGGGAGAAATACGTGGTCACAGACGCACTTATGTGGCTAGTGGGCCTGGATTGATTGTTCAGGCTTTGCGCAAGGCTGGACGAAGCGATCCTGTATTCTTGCTGCACGTGACCCCTCACCTGTTATTCTACCATTCATGGGTTTTTCAGTGACGAAATCGACAAGATTGGAGGCAGCAACTTCCATGGGGACCCCTCAGCTGCTTTGCTCGAAGTTTTGGACCCTGAACAAAACCATACTTTCAACGTATTGTCCTCAATTTCTCGCGAGTATCTCTGGTATTGATTTGACCTCAGGATCATTATATCAATGTTCCTGTTGACCTGAGCCAGGTCCTGTTCATTTGTACGGCTAACTCACTCGAAACAATCAGCGGGCCTCTGCTAGATCGTTGTGAAGTCGTGCAGCTTTCTGGTTATACTTACGACGAGAAGATGCACATCGCACGACGTTTCTTACTACCCAAGCAACTCAAACAAAATGGCATGGACGCGGATCACGTCCAAATTGCTGAGCCAGCTCTGATGACTATTGCGACTCGTTACACCAGAGAGGCAGGTGTGCGGAGTTTAGAACGAGCCATCGGCGCCGTTACTCGCTACAAAGCCGTAGAGTGGGCCGAGCATATAGATGCGCAAGCTACCGGCTCACCCAAGCCTTATTCGCCTGTCGTCCAAGAAAGCGAATTGGAGGCCATTCTAGGGATTGCGCGGTGGGATGCTGAAGAGAGGGAGCGAGAAGAGAGACGTGGCGTAGTCTACGGCCTTGTTGTGATGGGACAAGGAGAAGGCGGAATCCTTCCGGTCGAGACCATCGCTGTTCCTGGCGCGGGCAGGCTGAAGCTGACTGGAAGCCTAGGAGAGGTCTATATTTTATTTTTATTTTGGGTAATCCGTTACTAACACCCTGTAGGTTATCAAAGAGAGTGGCGAAATTGCATTGAGCTGGGTTAAGACGCATGCCTACGACCTCTGCATCACCGAATCTCGCGCACAAGACCCATTAAAGGTGCCTGAGCTCATCGACATCCACCTTCATCTACCTGCCGGGGCCCAAAAGAAAGATGGACCAAGTGCAGGAATAGCAATGGTATCACTCTTCTATAGACTCAACTAGAGCTCGCTAACCGTAACTCATAGGCTTGCGCATTTGTCTCATTGCTCACTGGAGCGAGAGTTCCCGCCAACATTGCTATGACTGGAGAGGTACTTCCCATTCATCTCAACGTTGTCCTGTGTTGATTTCAGTGTAGATCACTCTGAGAGGGCGTGTAACGCCAGTTGGTGGAATCAAGGAAAAGGTTGGATAAATAAGCTGCTTTCTGCTTGATTGCTAATTTCTCTTAGGTATTGGGTGCGCATCGAGCGCAAATATCCAAAGTTATTCTGCCATGGGCAAATCGCAAAGACGTGGAGCATGATGTTGCTCCTGAAATTCAACGAGTCATGGAGTTTGTTTTTGTTCGAACTGTCAATGAGGCTCTCGAGGCCGCATTTGGTAAAGACACGCTTGGTTGGCGGAATGGGATAAGTGGACCGCTCATGTTGGAGAGCAGGTTATGATACTGATCCACGAAATGGCCGTTGTTCTCTCTAACTTAGTGTTGTAGTGGTAATTCCTCGATGTACTCATGTTATCTAATTGTATTCTGGTGCTCTGTTCGGCATGATAGTGCTACAATGGTGGTGTTACTAGCTGGGTCTGGGAGTTGGGGAGTTGGATCATTTGCGTCATAACCGGAAAGCAGAAAAGGAAAACAAACAAGGACGGCGTTAGTGAATAGATATAGACAGCTCATTTACGGGTTGCTCGCCGTATGAGACCAGCCACAAGAAGTGTGCCAATTGCTGCAGCACCTCCGACCAAAGCCATGCCAATATAGCCTTCTGCGGTGAACAACCAGTCAGTATATCAAGTCAGGCAGAGCCACATAGAGCGAACCTCGAGCGACGCCCTTGTCGATTAATTGTCCCAAGCTGATTGCTTGCATATTCGTTGGTTCCTTGTCGAGGAGGAGAGCTGCGGGAGTCACTGAAAACCTGTCTCGGAGCCAACTGCGGAGTTAAACACACCATTGAACTTCTTCGCCTCTTCGAAATTGCCCATCTTGTAGTGTCCGAGTGCGAGATAGTATAGACATTCCCTTCGACGCGTTGGTTCAGCTCGATACAACTCTAGACAGATATCAATGGGGGGAAGTTGGTGGGCAAAGCAAACGAGACCTTGCAATAGCCGGACACCCTCTACTTGGTTCTGACGTATCGGTGCCTTTACGAGACCCCAGGCATAGTTGAACTTGGATTGGACCGTAACATAGCCTTGGGAGAGTTCTTTCTGATATTGGAGCCTCAGGACCTGACTCAAATAAGTCCAAGTATTGTCGTCGACTCCAACTCAAACCTCAAGCTCGTCGTAGGATAGCGACACCTCTGCGTCGGCAGCATACGGAAGGTCGGATGTCATTTGGAGGACTGCAAAAAGAAAGAGTTGTACGATAACGCGTGACTTACGTTTGACTTGTCTCTTGCCAGCATGGACGGTGAGTTTCCGTTTCTGTCATAATCCATTGCAGAGTCTCTCTTCTTGCATAAACGAGCACTCATGGTGCCTTTCTCGCACCATAACAGCTAGCTAGCTTTTTTTTTTCGCGACCTGGTCTCCGGAGGCTACGACTCATCGAGCGCTACAATTTATGTTGCTTTTTTTTTACAGACCGCTCCTACCGCTCCAGACACGATGACAGAGACAGCCACCGGGACAGGGACCGTGACCGTGACCGATATGGAGGGGGGAGGAGGACGTTATGGAGACGACAGAAGAGACCGACCTCGTCGTGACCATGATGACAGTCATTCCCGTCGACCTTTCCACAACAACGATGATGACAGACGGGGTCATCGTGGTGGAAGAGATGATGACCGTGGACGGGGCAGAGAAGAAAGTGGTGGCTTTAGAGGTGGTGACAGGCGGGGTGGTGGCAGTGGTGGTGGTGGTGGTGGTGGCAGACGGGGTGCAAAAGATGGTTTTGGGACACCAGAAAGGCGCTCTCCAACTCCTGAAGGCTGTCTTCCCTTATCCCAGCGACGAAGAAAAGCCTCTGGCTGGGATGTTTGTGCTCCTGGCTACGAGCAATACAGCGCCATGCAAGCAAAGCAAACCGGTCTCTTCAATCTTCCCGGCGCAAATAGAACTCAAATTCCTCCAATTCTTGGTATCGCTGGTTTACCCGCGCCCATGCCAGTTCAGAGCTTCGGTATGGGAATAGGCGGCAACCCCAACTTGTCGCGTCAATCACGCCGTCTCTATATTGGCAGCATAACTCCTGAAGTCACTGAGCAAAATTTAACCGATTTCTTCAATGCAAAGATGGAGGAAATGAACCTCAGCACCAGTGGAACTGGGAGTCCCGTGTTGGCAGTACAATGCAACTACGAAAAGAATTATGCGTTTGTCGAGGCAAATATTCACACTATCTCCATTTTTCCTACCTCATTTAATGCCCCCTCTCTAGTTCCGCAGCGCAGAAGACGCAACAGCTGCAATGGCTTTCGATGGAATCATTTTCATCAACGGTCCTCTCAAAATTCGTCGTCCCAAAGACTACGGCGGCGAATTTGGCTCCGTTCATGTTCCCGGTGTTGTGTCTACAAATGTGCCAGACACGATCAACAAAATCTTCGTTGGCGGTTTACCGTCATACCTTGACGAAGAGCAGGTGATGGAATTGCTCAAAAGTTTTGGAGAAATCAAAGCCTTCAATCTTGTGCGAGAGCCTGGAAATGGCACTTCCAAGGCCAGTTCGACCGTGTTCTGTGGCTTCACTGATGACTAACAGTACCCACAGGGCTACGCGTTCTTTGAATATGTTGACCCGGCAGCCACCGACATTGCTATTCAGGCCCTCAACGGCATGCAACTGGGCGATCGATTCCTTGTTATTCAGCGAGCTTCTGTTGGCGCGAAGCCTGGTATGCCTGGTATCCCTCCTGAAGCGTTCCCCGAAATTCCCCGTCCTATCATGCCTGCTGGCGAAACCTCGACTGGCGATGCGCGAATTCTCTTGTTGCTCAATATGGTCACACCTGAAGATCTTGTTGATGACGAGGAGTATGGCGACATTTACGAAGACGTCAAGCAGGAATGCCAAAACTTTGGCCCAGTCGAGGATGTCAGGATTCCCCGACCGGCTAAGAAAGAGAAAAAATGGGCGCCAGGCGAAGCACAAGTCAGCGCTCAAGACGCTCTTCGAGTGGATGAGGCAGCAGGAGTTGGACGGGTCTACGTTAAATACGACAAAGCAGACGATGCAACTCGGGCAATGAAGGGACTCGCTGGTCGCTCATTTGCTGGCCGTTCCATTATTGCCACTGTGCTTAGTGATGACAGCCAGACAACGCCTCCACTCCATGTTATCTTTGCGCCACAACCGGATGCTCCTCCACCGTTACCTATGTCCTAAGTACAGTTATGTAACTACAAAATGTACTCAATCCCCGCGTCCGTTCCTACGGTCGTCTTTGCGGCGTTCAATCTAGTCTGAATAGGTCCTAAATGCGAGCGACGAAAATTAGTGCTTACCCAAGCTGCTTTGCAGTCACTTTCGACAGTCAATATATACCATTTCCGTTGAATCGTTCATCACGCACCGGTAAGCCTCGAAATAGTCCATGCACTCATTGCGATCGTAGTTATTGAGGTCCATGCTTTTTTTGGTGGGTGAACATCAGCTGTTGGGGGGAAGATTTCCCAACTAACCATTTGAGACTTGCTTTCGCTGCTTCCGCACATGGACTAGTAAAAAAAATTAAGGCACAACCGGGCAACCCTTCGACTTGTAGACCCACTCTACAAACTTGGAGGGTTCCTGTCCTTTGAACTGCTCCTTGTAGTCTTTCGGCTCGACCTGTGACACGTCAACAATGCGTAGAATCTTGGTGCTGGAGCAATTACATTCTCTTGTGGAGGAGGAAGCTTGGAGGAAGAAGACATCATGTCAACCAACGGCAACCGCGCCGACTCCGGTTAGATCAAATGATCAGCGAAAAAAAAAAGTAGCCTTGGTCTCCTCTAGTCAAGGTGTAAGTTTATCTCTCCAGCCGTATGCCACGTTTTACGGCATTTGGCGGTATATAAAGTGGTGCTCATTCTGACATTGTCTTTCCCAGGTCGTTATGGACTCGACAGACCACAAAAAGCAATCCATCGAGGCAGAAGTCCCTGAGCTGCCATCTGAATCAGTCGAGGATTCGCCTTCTCCCCGACCTCCGATTGAATATACCTCCGTGGCTGCGTTCCTCACCAGCTCCGCCAGGCGATTCAGAAGTCTATGGACAAGACGGTTCACTCTCAGCCTTTTGGCTGGCCAAGTCGTGTCTATCTGCATTACCTGCACGAATGTGCTTTAGTTTTTTGCCCTTTGCCAGATCGTAACTAACAAGCGTCGCAGGTAACGACTACAGAACTAGTTCTCAGAAACTGGGCTCTGCCTACGACACAAAATTTGTTCTTGTCGGTTTTCTCAGTCATACCAGTATCGCCGCCTGAATGAGAGACAGATACTTCTCCCTGTTCATTGTCTACACCCCCTACACAATGTACCGCTGTAAGTCAAGCTGCTTTGTCTTGTCTCAATCCCCTCTGACTGATTATGAGACGGATTGGGTGGTTGGGCCCGGCTGGTTATGCGAGACGGTTGGAAATGTGACTTAAGTTTTATTATCTTATCGCATCTGACTCTCTCTCTCTCTCTAGATCTCATTCTCGCTGCCTGTGATGTGGAGGGCAACTTTATGGTGGTGAAGGTATGTTTTCTTTTTACGCCCACTGTGCCTTTTTAACGCTACTTGACTTTTTTGTAGGCTTATGAATATACTGACCTATTGTCCTGCATGCTTCTCGACGCGTATGAACCACTCTCCTTCATCGATTCACATCTGATCATTTTTTAGATGGGCAATTCCTGTGTGCATGTTTTTCTCATACCTTTATATGCGTCGGGGTTACCACTGGACGCAAATTTTGGTGCGGCGGCGGCCAGATCCTGTCCATTTTTGTCTTTGACCTGTTTTAGGGTGTTTTGATCTGCGTGGCTGGTTTAGGATTGCTCGTTGCCTCAGACGAGCTTACTAACAAGGGCTGGTCTCCTTCCGCTCGGGGCAAAGGAGACGCGTTCATGGTTGCTGGTGCTACCCTCTATGGCTTCAGTTTGTTTTCTGCTGCCATCATTTCCCCTAGTATTGACATGCAGAATAGCGAATGCGACGGAAGAGTTTTTCGTCCGCAAACGTCCTCTTTATGAGGTCGTTGGCCAACTGGGTTTCTTTGGCTTCTTAATATGTGGTGCCCAAGCAGCAGGACTTGAGCATGACGGTATGAAGACGGCAAATTGGAACGGTGCGACTGCTGGGCTGATTGTTGCCTATACTGCGGCCATGTTCATCCTTTACACTGTTGCTCCTCTGCTATACCGCATGGCTTCATCTGCATATTACAATCTCAGCCTGTTGTCGGCGGATTGGTATGGCCTCATTTTCGGTGTGTTCGGACTATACTCAGAGGCATCATCACTGACCAATGTCAATGTAGGATTGGGCCTCTACGTATGTCCGCTATTCGATCAGGACTCCCAGTCTGACGCTTCGAACAGCATTACGCCCCATACTGGCTTTATTTTGTGGCTTTTGCGCTTGTCCTCGTTGGCCTTGTCACTTACTTCTGGCACTCGACTCGTGCGTCAACCCCTGTTCTTTTTCATCCATCTCATCCTTTTGCAGCGGAGGAACAAGGGGAGTTGGACCCACAAGCCCCGACCTACATCAAGCAGAGGGGTGCAACAGGGGAAAGTGTTTAATGATACAAGCTAAGTTTATGCACTACAATTATAAGGGAAAGAGTGTGGAATTAGACGAAACGATGTGGATCCTTATGCTGTTCTTCAATCTGTTTCTCCAGTTGGCGTTGAACCCGCAGACGCTCTTCACGGTGCTCAGCAAGTTTCTATGAATACTAAGAAAGGAAACTCAAAGGTCTTGCTAGGACTTACACGTTTGAGAGCCTCCATCGTTGTCATGACTGAGTCAAGCGCGTCTTCCGACAACTTGGTCATCTAACCCCAATGATAATAAGATAATAAGATCAGCAAGCGCGAGAAGGGATGTAGACCCACCACATCTTCTGCCTGACGCCCAATCGCCTGCAACTTGGCTTTCTCTTCGTCAAATTGCCGCGCTCGATGTGCCTCTGGGTAACCCCACGGTGGTGACCGATTTGCTGGGTTCTGCATTGGTGGAAGAGTGTCGCGATTGGGTTGTGGTTCCACGGCTAGAGGAGGAACGGGTGGCCGAATACAACGACCAAAGTGGTGTTGATTGCTTGGATTGGCATGTTCTTTGCGATGAATCCACCAAGTAGCGGAGGCAGCGCCGATAACGAACCAAAGGAGGCGACTAGGGCCAGTGTGGAAGCGGGGGTGTGGATAAAAGAAACGGGGGTGCATTTGATTTGGTTTGGAACAACATCAGCCTTATAGTTTTATACTGAGGGTTTTCGGCTAGGACGCGTTCGCTCAGCCATCGGCGCCGGAAGAAAGGCCTTCCCTCGTCAGCGCTCGTAAGATGAAATGACGGAGGTCACATGTGTCACAATTTGCCGCTCGACCACGACACCATGCTTTTTGAAGTGAACGTATGTCCCCGTTGCCGATTTGACGCGTCCTCAATGTTTTCAGCGGAAACTGTTCAGTCGGTCAGAGAGGGTAAAGGGTGTTGACTTTCATCCCACCGAGCCTTGGCTTCTCGCTGGTCTTTACAACGGCACTGTCAATATCTACAACCACGAGACCGGTGCAATCGTCAAGACATTCGAGGTTTCGGAGGTCCCCGTTCGTTGCTGCAAGTTTATTGCGCGCAAAAACTGGTTCGTCGCTGGCTCCGACGACTTCCAACTTCGCGTTTTCAATTACAACACCCATGAAAAAGTTGCCTCATTCGAAGCACACCCCGACTACATCAGATGTCTCGCAGTACATCCTACCGCCCCCATCGTCATCACGGGTAGCGACGATATGACGTTGAAGGCTTGGGATTGGGATAAGGGCTGGAAAAACATTCAGGTACGTGTCCAATCGTGGCTGCAGATGGGCATGGTGCTTAATTTATGCTGCAGGTCTATGAAGGACACTCGCACTTCATCATGAACATATGCTTCAACCCCAAAGACTCCAACACCTTCGCCACCGCTTGTTTGGACCGCACGGTCAAAATGTGGAGTATCAGCTCATCCACTGCCAACTTCACCATGGATGCACACGAGAAGGGTGTCAACTCGGTCGACTTTTATACCGGGAGCGACAAACCTTACCTTGTCACAACCGGCGATGACAAAACTGTTAAGGTTTGGGACTATCTCAGCAAGAGTTGCGTCCAAACGATGGAGGGACACACCAACAACGTGTCTTTTGCTGTCTTTCACCCCAATCTCCCCTTGATCATCAGTGGTAGCGAGGATGGGACTGTGAAGATTTGGAACAGTGGGGCATATCGCATAGAAAACACACTAAGCTATGCACTGGAGCGCGCTTGGTGCATTGCCTTGCGGAAAGGTTCCAACGATGTGGCTTTTGGTTTCGATGAGGGTGTTGTTGTCATCAAGGTACGTTTGAAAGAATTTTTCTCAAGTTTTTTTTTCTCCGTGTTCTGACAAACCTTAGCTTGGCCGCGACGAACCTGCCTACAGCATGGATGCTTCTGGCAAGCTGATCTACACCCGCAACCAAGAAGTCCTTTCGGGCAATATCCAAACGATCGAAACTTCCGCGGCTGAGGCTGCTGACGGTTCTCGACTCCGTTTATCATGCAAAGAAATCGGTCACACAGAAATTTACGCCTCGTCAATTATCCACTCTCCGAACGGTCGATTCGTCACTGTTGTGGGGGACGGTGAATATATCACTTACACGGCGCTCGCCTGGAGAAATAAGTCATTTGGCAATGGCATGTCATTCGCCTGGGGACCGGATTCGAATACCTACGCCGTTCTAGAAAGCAAACTCAAGATCAAGGTCTACAAGAATTTCAAGGAGCGTGCGTACGGAGTGAAAGGAGGGGCTGGTTGGGCAGTTGACAGCTTGTATGGAGGACCAATTCTTGGCGCTTGTGGTGCTGGATTCATCGTGTTTTGGGACTGGGACACGGGCGAACTCGTCCGCCGGATTGAAGTAGACGCCAAGAGTGTACCACTTTCCACAACTTGCTCTGCTTCCGTTCTGATTTCCCCCTAGCTCTACTGGTCAGGCACAGGACAGCTGCTTGCGATTTGCGCCGAAGACTGCTTCTATATCCTGCGATTCCACCGCGAAGAATATGACAATGCCCTCACATCCGGTGAAACTATTTCTGAAGAAGGTGTTGAGATGTCCTTTGAGGTCGTCATAGATGTTTCCGATATGTAAGCAAGCACTCTCCGCTGGCTTAGAATGTCACTGACCGCTTTCCAGCGTCAAGACTGCTAAATGGATAGGCGACTGCTTCATCTACACGACCACTACCAACCGAGTGGCCTACTTTGTTGGTACTTCGTCTTATAGCATCAGTCCTTTTGATACGTGCGTTGTTTTCTGGCTCTTGAGGTGGAGAATATTCATTTCCATGCAGGCCACTATATTTGCTGGGTTATATGCCTGCCCACAGTCGTGTCTATCTGGCAGACAAAGATATGAACATTTACAGTTACGGTTTATCGTTAGCCATGGTCGAATACCAGACAGCGGTTATGCGACACGACATGGAAGCTGCCGCTGAGATTTTGCCAACACTTCCAAAAGATCAGCTCAACAAAGTTGCGCGTTTCTTAGAAGGCAGAGGTATGTGTTTAGCCTTGCTCAACGATGGTGATTAAATGCCTTGCAGGTCTGAAGGAGCTTGCTCTGACTATTTCAACGGATCCAGACCACAAGTTCGATCTGGCGCTCCAACTAGACGACCTCGATGTCGCCGTAGAAATAGCAAGGTCAGTTCCAGCGCTCGAGGCGGAACTCAAATGGAAGTCTCTCGGAGATCGTGCCTTGACGGCTTGGAGGTTTGACTTAGCGAGGGAATGCTTCGAGAAGGGGAACGATCTCAGCGCACTGATGCTCCTTTTGCTGTCGACCGGAGACAGAGAAGGACTAGCCGCGTTATCTTCGAAAGCAGGTTGGGCACTTTCCCCGCATTCAAATCGGTAACATTGACAACATAATCACAGTTGAGAAGGGGCAGAACAATCTTGCATTCACTAGTCTATTGCAATTGGGAGACGCCAACGCTTGTGTTGATCTGCTCATCAAGACACAACGGGCGCCGGAAGCCGCGCTGTTTGCTCGGACTTACGCTCCAGGGTTTGTGTCTACAATTATACCACATGGGTAGTTTGAAGCTGAAGCGTGTTTTCAGAGAGATCGGCAAGGCGGTTGATGCATGGCATTTTGAACTGGAGGCGAAGAAGCGGCCAAAGATTGCTGCGACGGTGGCACACCCCCAAAAGAACGGAGAGCTTTTTGAAGAGAGTGCCCTTGTCGATGTACAGTAGAAAGCTCTCAGAGTCTTAATTATACCACAGAAAAAAGTCACGGGCATCAAGCGAGTATAAAAGTGTGTGACAGCTGTGATGATGGCTCAACTCATTTCTTCGTCTTCAATTATTGTCCTTCTGCGTGTTTTCTCCTCGCAGAAGTCTACAGCAGGACGTAGAGCGACCAGGGTCTCAGCTGGAGCCGTCTTTACTAGTTTATAGAGCCGCTTCCTTACCAGAGGTTCCACATTAATATCATGACTTCGTGCCGATGCAAACTCTGTTTGAAAATTTAGGTGCAACGCGTGGTAAGCTTGCCATGTGGGTTTGCGTCACGATAGAAGCTGTTTTCGCCGCCGGAGAATACGGTGAAGAGGACCCACGGGCGTGAGCCGAAGGGAAGGAAGTCAGATGTTGGCGTTGAAAATTGATAGTACAACAAGACTGCACGGACTCTCTTAATCCGTCCCCCCACCTGCCGGCCGGGTTTCGGTCGCGAATGGATGGCTCTACTGCGTCCTTTTCCTTCAAGGCTGGTTACGAGCATACCTCCCAGCCAGAAGACGATCCAGCGGGTAGTAGTTCAAAAGGTCCAAAACGGAAGCGGCTGGCTAAGGTATGTGTGCTATCTTCCTGGTCCTTTTCATTTCTCTCAGTCGTTTAGGCTTGCTCTGCATGCCACAAATCGAAACGAAGATGCGACGGAAAGCTGCCATGCTCAAACTGCTTCTATGCATCCAAAGAATGTCTATACGTCGATGGAAACAGTCGTGCAAGTCTCTATTCTGACATTGGCAAGCAACAAGACGCGTCAAAGCCCACTCGCAATATTGTGTCACGTCCCAAGACCGACCAAAGCCCAAATCGAAAGCGAGTGAAACAAGAGGACAATCGAGTTATTCTCGACCATAGTCTCACTCGTGAACTAACAAGTCTGTTCTTCGCCCACTGCCACCCAGTCCGTGCTGTCTTCCATAAACCTACCTTTGCGATTTCCCTCGCCCATAATCGTGTCCCTTCGTTTCTGGTTTTTGCCATATGTGCTTTGGCTGCCCCGCTTTCCCGTCAGCCAAAGTTCCGATCTACTGGCCCCCCGCGTTTCTCGGGGAGACCATTTGCCCAAGAAGCCATATCCCAAATGTTTGACGGTTCTGGCCAGCTCATTTGTGATCTTAGCCTCTCAACTGCACAGGCCTTGTGTCTACTTATGGCTCATCACATTACTTCGAAAAGCGCTGCTGCTCCCCCAGACCCTCGTTATCGTGACCTGACGCTACATGTAATCCAAGCCATGGGAGTCTACAACATAGAGCCTGCCGTGGCCTCTGTTGATTCCTCCATTGAGCGAGAATGTGCGCGGCGCGTGTTTTGGGTTATGTATGCCATGGAACTCACTTGCTCCATCTGCCCTGGCACCCAGCGACCCGTGTCGCTCAGTGATTCTCAGCTTCGCCTCCGCCTGCCAGTCGACGAAACTAGTTTCGAGCTTGCTGTCCACTACCCTTCTCCAGGTAGGTCAGAGTGACATTCCCTGGTTCACGTGCTGATAAGAAAATGCAGAGTATCTTCATGTTCGCGTCCAATGTCTTTCTGAACTCGGCAACTTCGTTCGCATCTTGTCCCTCTACTCCCAAGCAGAGCTGATCCTCTCTCGTACTATTTCGCCTAAGTTTAGATGCTTCTGGCTCACCTGGAATCTAGGTTCTGACATGGACTCAAGTATCACAATGGCTGACCTGGAGAGACAGGCAGAGGTGGGTGCCCGTGTGATCGTGAAACTCTCATCCAATCTTCTCATAGGAATGGATGACCAATCTTCCTGAAGTGCTGCAATTCTCCGAATCGAATCTAGAGATCCAGCGGTCGATGTTTGAGACGGGTTCAAGCACTGGAGCCTGGTGTTTCTGCTTCATGCATGCTTGTTATATCGGACTCTCTTTGGCATTGCGTGCTGTTAGTTTTTTTTTCTAGTTGGTTGCTCACAGAATAACCAACGAATTTCTTAGGGGAAGAACAACATCCCATCACAGTCTGTGCAACCTCACTGGGCCACCTCACGATTGAATCTTATCATGCAACTTCTAGGCGAGAAAGCAAGGAACAGCATGCTGAGTGAGTTGAATCTGTCTTTATGAAGAATGCTCAAGTTTCGGATCCAAGTGGGTACGATCATCGGCGTGAGGCAGCATCCCCTGCACTTGTCAGCCAATTGATTCTCGTTCAGATACAGATTAAATATTGTAACCGGGACGACGCTCAGATACGAAGCTGGTGCAGTGACTATGAAGAAGCCTGTGGCCTGCGAATACTTGACATCGTTTCTCCACTTGCTGGAGGCGGCGGGGCTCCTGGGGCAAGACGATCTCTCGAGGGATTACAGCTACGCAACAGTTGGCCAAGCTCCTCACCAGGCCCGTCATCGGGTCCAGAGAGACATGAACGACCAGGAGAAACCCTTCCCTCACTTAAATCCAGCGGACTCCTTGATTCATGGAATCCGGGAAATGTCGCACTGCGCCCAGAAAAAGCCTCGCCTTTGAACATGCCAGTTGGTTTACAATGGCTGGCCGACGAAACGCGCACTGGATAACACACCCTCGACCTAATTATATTCAATTTAGTGGCGACTATCGCCTTGTCCATAGTGTAGCATTGCTAGTCTCTGTAAATTACAACACCTTTAATTAACTGTAATTGGTCCATGCTTATGATTGAGCCCGGAGGTTGCGGTGCAGTTCAGGCTCAACCAAGACTACTCGGTCAAGTAACTTCTTCACAACATTGTCCTTGTTCTTGGTATAAGAGTCCGTGATAGCCTTTAGAGATGACTCTGTCTCTTTATCAACCGCATTCTGTGCATTTGACGTCGTGCCGGCATGCTATGGTCTCTCGATGAGCATTGGCAACCACGACGAGGAAAATTGATCCGCACAGATGCCTCGAAAGCCTTGAATTCATCTTCCTTCGCCTTCTTATATTCGTCTATTTCTTTGGAGGCCTCAGAGCGAGCATCCTTCAGTTTCTGAACACGATCTAGTATGGAAATGAGTGAGTAACCAGGCCATATTGAGGGGTCGTACATTGGCGAGCTTGCTGGACAATCTTTGCGGCTTCTTTCTCAGCTTCGAGGAGAGTTTGGATGCCTTGGGATTGTTGGGCGGACTGAAATAACTGAGAATAGCCTTGCTTGAAGAGTCGCAGCGGATTACCATTTGTGGATGTGGAGGAACAGGCGAGCCCTTGCGTGACACGCTCGGTGTCACAATAATTTTCATGCACAACTCTGAAGGGTCCAGTGCTATTCATTCCCCACTGACTCTCAATCCCAACCAAACGCGCTTTGTCCTCTCGCAACTTGGACCCGACTCCCCTCATGTCCCGGTTATCACCTCTACGCAATCTACCAACCAACTTTGCCTCGTCCTCTCTCAACTGCTTTCCTCACCTGATCTAACTTGGTTGATTGCGTCGACCTATCGGTCGATTTTGTTCCATCTTTGCGCGTTATGGCTGGACGAAACACAAAATACCGAGGCGCAGTTAGGGGCAATCTGCGATCTCGTTCAAGTGCACGAAGAATTATTTCCGTTTGTCTTTTCTTTTTTTTTCGACGTTGAGGTTCAATTGTGACGCGGAATTTCAGCCTGCTGTATGATATGCTCCGACGACCAGACCTCTTGAATGGTCCCCTCACATTTGTCCTCGACTTTGAAGACCCCAGTGTCATTGATCACACCCGTTTGCAACGGCTCCTGCTTGCCTATTATCGCATTCTCCAAATCAATCGACAACTGCCTGGAGATCTTCAATGGTCTCTTCTTCCTCTCTCTCGACTAATGTGGACTGCTGAACTCAACGTCGCCGCCCGTGTGTTGGCCATTCGTTGTTATGCCTTGCAGACCGGGATGGGAGAGGGAGAGCGGGAAAATTTGGAGCACCAATTGCTCAGAGACGCGTACTCATTAGAGTCCCCCTTGGATTATGGTGTTGACTTGGAGGGTCGCCGTCAGGAAGTGGATGTTTGGATCATGCCTTTTGTCGAACTCCAACGGGTTCAAGAAAGGAGAAAGGACTTGTTGCAGAAACAAGAATGGACAACGGCCAATGTAGATGGTATACCGCTCCCGCCGGTAGAACTCAGGTCTGTTGTTTCCTTGCTGATTTAGGTAATAACTGATAGCTTTTGCAGTCCTCGCCTGGTGAACGTTGAAGGGATTTTACTTTTTCGATCGATGAATTCTGGAACGCCAGGTTCTGAGGCGACCCAGTCGTCTTTGATACCAACGCCGACAACAACAAAAGCTCTGCGCTCCTTAGCGACTCAACTCTCTCTCCGCCTTCCATCACTGCTAACGTCCCCTCCATCATCAGGGAAATCGTTAGTGATTCACCACCTGGCACACCTACTTCATCCCGGAGAGCAAAACCAACTTGTCAATATCCATCTGGCAGACACCTCTCTTGACCCGCGATCACTGCTGGGTTCTTATGTCTCGTCCACTACCCAACCTGGCACCTTTGAATGGAAGGAGGGTGTTCTCATTCGTGCTATGCGTCAAGGAAAATGGGTAGTACTGGAAGATATCGATCGCGGAAGCAATGAAGTTCTTGGTATCCTCAAACCTCTCGTGGAATCATTGGGACTTGGTAAATGGATTGGACAACGCGCCTCCCTGGAAGTTCCAGGTCGAGGTCGCGTCACAGCTGCTGATGGATTTGCCATCTTTGCGACCCGGTCTGTGCATCTGTCGCGGACGGGCTCTCTCCCTCCCCCTTTATTCTTTGGAGCACATAAATTCCACGAAATTCATTTGACATCGCCCACGTCAGAAGAGCTTCAGATTATTCTTGATTCACGTTTTCCACCTCTCAAAGGCCCGCCCATTCGCAGTCTGATTCATCTGTGGGACTCTCTCAAGGCTTTAGGGTCCACGGCATCGACAAGGGATATTGGCTTGCGTGAGCTGGACAAGTTCTGCAGTCGCGTCTCGAGGCTATTACCGAGCTCATATGCCGCAATGGAAGTTTTGGAAGAACAACCGATGTTATCGTCTGTGTTCACGAATCCTGCTCTCAGAGAAGATATTTACCTCGAAGCACGTGACGTGTTTTTTGGTACTGGCGCAACAACCTCCGCAGCATTGGCTCACCTTCAATCTGTTGGACGACTCATAGCGCAACATCTTTCCCTTGACGAGGAGCGCAGTGACTGGGTCCTGAAGCGGCGGACGCCTGAATGGTTCACAGAAAAAGATGCGAACGGTCAAATCATGGCGGTCCGCGTAGGGCGCACTGCTCTACCGGCCCGACCAGCAACATCAGCAGTGTCCTCTGCCAAGACAAGGCCGTTCGCTATGCATCGACCAGCTGTTGCTTTGCTTTCCCGCATATCTACCGCTATTGCTCTTGGAGAACCAGTCTTGCTCACTGGGGAGACTGGAACCGGCAAAACCAGTGTGGTCACACATCTCGCTTCCGTCCTTCGTCGACCATTAATCTCACTCAATTTGTCGCATCAGACAGAGTCCGCCGATCTGGTCGGTGGATTCAAGCCGATAGATGCGCGCATCCCAGGTTCCCTCTTGTACGAGCGATTCCTGGAACTATTCGGAGGCACATTTAGTCGTAGAAAGAACGAGAAATTTGAAACTGAAGTGCGGAAAGCTGTTGCAGAGGGCAAGTGGAAGTGGGCCGTGGGTTTGTGGAAGCAGAGTGCGAGGTTGGCGAAAGAACGAATAGAGGGGAAGACTAAGCCATTTGAGGATTCTCAGTGCGCGGAACGATATTGCACTTGTTGGTATACTGATACATTCCCTAGAGCCGATTCGAGCGAAAATGCGGACACGCCCCGCAAGAAGAGGAAGCTTGAACATGGACTGAAGGTGTCGGCAGCTAGCTGGGTTGCATTCGAAGGCGAGGTCCAACAATTCGAGATTCAACACGTCCAAGCCAGCGGCAAGTTTGCATTTGGTTTTGTGGAGGGCCCGCTTGTGAAAGCGCTGCGTTCGGGAGACTGGTGTGTTGTCCTCTTCATCAACCAACAAATTTGAACCAAATTCCAGGGTACTACTGGATGAAATCAATCTTGCAAGCCCCGAAACTCTTGAATGCATATCGTCGCTTCTTCATAGTCCAACATCGTCGATTACGCTGACCGAGCAAGGCTCACTGGAAGCCGTCCCCCGTCATCCAGACTTTCGGATATTCGCCTGCATGAATCCTGCTACGGATGTCGGCAAGAAAGACCTCCCTCCAAATATTCGATCTCGGTTCACTGAGATCGATGTTCCCCCGCCAGACGCGGATCAGGATACATTACTCAGCATCATTACCCAGTATATTGGCGACAAGACGGTGGGAGACAAAGGCGCGATTTTGGATGTCGCACAATTCTACTCGGCGGTCAAGGAATTGGCGGATGGACGGCGCATTGCTGATGGATCAAATCATCGACCACATTACAGTATGCGTACCCTCGCACGTGCCCTTACTTTTGCTGCAGATATTGCCCCCCTATATGGACCTCGAAGATCTATTTGGGAAGGATGCATGATGGCTTTCACGATGGTTTTGGACGAGGATAGCGCTCGAACTGTCATTGCCCTTGGACACAAACATCTTCTTGCTGGTGTTAGGAACCCACGGACCTTTTTTACCCAAGAGCCTACGGCACAGGGTGTCAACTTTGTTAAATTTGGTCCGTTTTATCTCGAAAAAGGACCAATCGAGCCCGACCCTGTTGAGGATTACATCATGACTCCTTCGGTCGAAGCAAAGCTCATTGATTTAGCTCGCATCATCGTTACGCGTCGGTTTCCTGTCCTGATTGAAGGACCAACTTCCAGCGGCAAAACAAGCTCTGTTGAATATCTGGCCAAACGGACTGGTCATCGCTTCGTACGCATCAACAACCATGAACATACCGACATTCAAGAATACATCGGCTCCTACGTTTCTGATGCTGCCACGGGCAAACTTGTTTTCAAAGATGGTCTGTTAGTTCGTGCCCTTAGAAACGGCGATTGGATAGTGCTTGACGAACTTAATCTTGCCCCAACGGATGTGCTGGAAGCCCTAAATCGGTTATTGGATGACAATCGAGAGCTGGTCATTCCCGAGACACAGGAAGTTGTTCGGCCCCACCCACATTTTATGCTATTTGCCACCCAGAATCCTCCAGGCCTCTATGCGGGCCGCAAAATTCTGTCCCGTGCCTTCCGGAATCGCTTCTTGGAGGTGCACTTTGCCGACGTTCCTCAAACCGAATTGGAGACCATTTTGTGTCAACGGTGTCGCATTGCCCCGTCTTATGGCAAGAAAATTGTTCATGTTTTCCGCGAACTACAACAACGTCGTCAAGCCGGGCGGGTTTTCGAGACAAACCAAAGCTTTGCGACGCTTCGCGACCTTTTCCGATGGGCGGGCCGAGATGCCGTCGGGTATCAAGAGTTGGCCGAAAACGGATATATGCTTCTTGCAGAGCGAGCCCGCCGGGATGACGATAAAATCATAGTCAAAGAGGTCATCGAGTCCGTTATGGGTGTCAAAATCGACGAAAGTGCCATGTATGAGCTTCGTAACCCCACCCTCAACTTGGCCGAGTATTTGGGCTGTCCCATCCCACCGAATTCGTCTGGTTTGATCTGGACTCGTGGCATGCAACGCCTCTTTGTCCTGCTTAGCCGCGCTCTCCGCTTCAACGAACCCGTTCTTCTCGTTGGCGAAACAGGCTGCGGCAAGACTTCCGTTTGTCAGCTCTTTGCTCAGACTACTTCCAAAAATCTCCATAGTCTCAATTGCCATCAGAATACCGAAACAGCAGACCTTATTGGTGGCCTTCGTCCCGTTCGAAATAGAGCCGCTCGAGAGGCGGATGTGTGTCGAGCTGCCCTCGAGGAACTTCAATCACTTGGTGTGACGCTGGCCACGCCTGACCTGGCTTCAGTTGAACGGGCTCTACAAAGTGTGCTGGACTCTTCCATTCAAGCTGAATCTCGTACCCGGCTAGAGGCCCTACTCCGTGATTGTCACCGTATCAAAGCCATCTTCGAGTGGCACGATGGTCCTCTTGTAGAGGCTATGCATTCAGGCGACGTCTTTCTTCTCGACGAGATTTCTCTTGCAGATGACTCTGTGTTGGAACGACTGAACAGTGTCCTTGAGCCAGCGCGGTCCCTCGTTCTCGCTGAACGGGGGGGAGATGACCTTGAAAATCCCACCATTGTTGCTACGCCAGCGTTCAAGCTGGTTGCAACTATGAATCCAGGTGGTGATTACGGGAAAAAGGAACTCTCGCCTGCACTTCGCAATCGATTCACCGAAATTTGGGTTCCTGCTGTTGACGATCGTTGCGACCTGGAGCTCATTGTCGAGCGAATGTGGAAGCACGATGCATTTCGACCACACACCACCAAAGTTCTTGATTTTGCGGACTGGCTTTCAACCAGGGTCTCTGATCGGTCCCTCGTTAGCTTGCGAGACATTTTGGTACCCGATCCTTTGTCCGTCTTCCTTTTGACCTCTAATGAAGTGCTTCAGGCTTGGGTGGAGTTTTCAAATGCTGTCTTTTCCCCCGACGGTATGTCTATTGAAGAAATATTTGTAAATCATGGCTCTTTTTTTCGAACCTCGTTTCTCACTTTGCCCATAGCATCATGCTGCAAACATGACTTTCCTTGATGGGCTAGCGTCTTTGCCCCAACTAACCGCATACTCTTCGGGAGCAATCATACGACTGAAGGCAGAAGCTCAGGAGCAGGTAAAACGCCTAGCTCCGTTGTCAACGTCCGATGTCTTTGTACCGAACTTTGACGCTCAATGGGTGCAATTGGGAACATTTGCGATTTCCAAAGGTCCAGAAGAAATATCAATCCCCTCGTTCAACCTACGCGCTCCTACATCACAAGATAATGCTATGCGTGTCGTTCGCGCTCTACAAGTGCGGAAGCCGATACTGCTCGAAGGAAGCCCAGGGGTGGGCAAAACAAGTTTGGTGACCGCATTGGCCCAGATCACGGGACATCGGCTATGCCGAATCAATCTTTCGGAACAGACTGATCTCGCAGATTTGTTCGGAGCTGATCTCCCAGCAACAGACGGAGATGTTTTTGCATGGAAAGATGCCGAATTCCTTACAGCTCTTCAACAAGGAGACTGGGTTCTGCTCGACGAGATGAATCTGGCGCCACAAGCTGTGCTCGAAGGGTTGAATGCTGTTCTTGACCATCGCGGTACAGTGTACATTCCCGAACTGTCGCGCTCTTTCGCCCGGCATCCTGAATTCCGGATATTCGCTGCACAAAACCCCCTCAGTCAAGGAGGTGGACGCAAAGGATTGCCCAAGTCTTTTGTTAATCGCTTCACAAAAGTTTATGTGGAAGAACTTTCGCCCAGTGACCTACTCCTCGTCTGTCAACATTTATTCCCCGTCATTGATACTCCTACGCTTCAAGCAATGATCGCCTTCAATAGCGCCCTTAACTCCGAAGTCTCAGTCAAGCGGGCATTTGGTCACTCCGGCAGTCCTTGGGAATTTAATCTGCGCGACGTGTTGCGATGGGCCTCTCTGCTCGAGTATATCAAACCCGCTGTTTCTCTCCAAGATTTGGTTCGACCGATCTATCTTGACCGCTTCCGCGAGCCTGAAGACAGACGTCGAACCCAACAATTGTTTGACCACATCTTCCAAACCAAGTCTTCTGTGCAGGCTCCAAGCTGGGCTGTTTCGGCGGGCTACTTCCAAATAGGTAGCTTCCACTGTGCACGCCGAAATCTTTCTTCTCTTTCACGTCCGGGTCGCGTGCTCAAAGCACACTTGGCTGCTCTCGAATCTCTCGCTCACTGTGTTTCACAATCATGGCTGGCGATAGTCACCGGCGGTCGGGACAGTGGAAAAACCGAGCTCATACGATTGCTGGCTGACATCTCGGGTGTTTCTCTGCGTCACGTGTCGCTCAATCATGCAACGGACACGATGGACATATTGGGCAGTTTCGAACAGGTAGAAAAGGGAGTTCAGCTATTGACCTCCGTCAATGAGCTAATTTCGATTGCGATCTCTCTCCGTAACTCAGTCGGCGGATCCACGCCTTTATTCCATTTGGCTCTGCAGCAACTTGCCGAAGCTCGTCAAGAGGCCCCTTCGCGTATCCTCGAAGCCGCGACTGCTGTGGTAGATGTCATTTTGCCCCTCACAAGGGACCCGGACAAGGTTCAGCTCGTGCTTTCCGATATTCGGGAAATCTCCGAATCACGTGCTCACACCAGTCATTTCAAGTGGGTTGATGGACCGCTTGTCCGTGCGATCAAGGAGGGCGAGTGGATTGTACTCGACGGGGCCAACTTATGCAGTCCTTCAGTGTTGGATCGCCTTAACTCTCTTTGTGAACCCAATGGTTTTATCACTTTGAGTGAACGTGGGTTTGTTGATGGCGGTATACAGGTCCTTAGACCCCACCCAGATTTCCGCATCTTCATGACCGTCGATCCGCAGTACGGAGAACTCTCCCGCGCTATGCGCAACAGAGGCATCGAGATCTTCCTTGAACCGACATTAACAACTGATGACCTGGCGATCATACAAAGTCATCGTCGCCTTCCTGACAGAGCTATGGACGCACTGATTTTCGACGGTATCCGCCGTGGCTCTAGTGTCTACCACACAATACTCCCAGATACGGTTTCAGCTGCTCGGGTCCTCGATCACGACTCAACATTATCTGCATTCTTGGACTACCCCTTGTCATTTGAACCATCGCCGGCCTACCTTCATTTCCTTGCTCGAAGCATTCCGCCTCGCCAGAAACATCTCATCAGCCGTATCATGTCATATGTCGCGGGAGGGAACAACGCGGTCGTCAAATTTGTTGAACAGGTGCCCACAAAATACCTCAAATCAGCTATTGTCTCTTCTCTGAATGCATATGCGGATCTGGGTTATGTCCCTTCAGACTTTGTTGCCTCCCAGGTAAATCGTTCAACCTTTATGCTGACATCGGTGATTGATCATCCCAAAGCCCTTCATTTTGTCGCTGAAGGAATCGACACATCCTTTGCTACCGGCCCTAGACCTCGATGTTGCAGTCTACCTGCACTCTTCTGCCATACCGTTTGAATCAAAAATGCCAGACCAGTCGAGTGGAATCGCGCGCGCCGCCAACGAGATTGCTGCGGTGGTTGCGGCTACCGAGAATTGGAGCATTGCGATTCTTCAGAACTTGCCATCGTATGGACCCGTGAGCAATGCTCTTCTGCATGCTTATAATTGCACTCAAAACCACAAACTAGGTCGCGATGAGACTGGCCTCAACAGTCATTGCGTATGCAAACGAATTGCGACAAGTTCTGATTGGCTCCCATTTCGACTATTCTGTAGTTCATGTCGTCGCTGAATGGCTTGTGACAGCCCTTGAACATGGCCCACCGGATTCTGTCACTCTAGGGAATCATGCAAAAGCCTTACAACAAATCACTAGTCTTTCTTCCGGTCTCGGAATCAAGGAGATATGGAACAAATTTTCTACCACAGGCCCTATTGGTAGTGTCAATACCAAACGTCTGGATCAGCTTGCTTCTCACTTGAAGGACGGCCCTACTGATACTGGTGAGCTTTCATTGACCAAGTGTGCCTCCTCTTCATGAGAATCGAGCAGCTCTACGTCATCAATGCTTCAATGTCATGTCCTTATCCTCTTTATCTCCGTCACATTCTGGTGGTGATGATGCCCGACTTGCCCTTACAAAGCTTGCACAGGATATCGAAATTGTTCGTTAATTTCCTTTGATGAGTAATTTGCTCTAAGCCGTATATTTAGCGTTTGGAAGCCGGCATATCGGACCAAATACTAGCTCGTAATAGTGGTTCGGACCTGGGCTCCTTGGCTATCCAACTGGGAATCCTCAGTCGGCCGTATCACGTGAGTTATAGATCACATAAGCTGTCAATACTGATGAGGGTAGGATGATGTCGTCAAGATCGTCGAACGACTTGTACAGATCGAGTGTTCGATGCATGATAGTACTCTGCTCCCTCTGATCGGATACCAACATCTTGCTTGGACACTCGATGCGTTGAGAGGTGGGACAAAAACTAAGATAGCATGAAAACTGATGAATTGACAGATATGTTCACGCCGTTACTTCATCTTCAAATGCAGTGGATGGATGAAATCTGGACCAGCGGCTCAGAAGTAAGAGAACGCCCTTAACCGCAAATTGTGTGCTAACCTGGAATCAGGAGGGGCCCGCTATGCTTTTCCGACCTTTCCAGCTACGCTCTGTATTGACAGCCTGGTACGACGTTCACTCGGTGTACCAACAATGACACTCAATGTTTTCAGTGATACTAGTGGAAGCTCTCTTGCTGAGTTCCCATACTTTGAGTCACGGCTTAAGCGTGAAGCACAACTTTCCCTGCTCCAATCTTCTCAAATCGACTCCCGCTTAACCCAAATGACTTCAATGATGCAGCAATCAATCGCATTGGTATGCTCCCGGTGGTCGTCTGTCATGTCCTGAAACATATCCTCTAGGTTTGCCGCTGTTTCGTTGACAAAGAAGATGTCGGAAGAGGTACTCTCAGCGAGCTACAACATTTCATGGACACCATGGACAATCAACCTTTCCGTGATTCTGTTACGAATCTTCTCCGACCGAACCTCGAAAAACTCACGGTACACCCCAGTATCGCAACGCTCGGATCTTCGTGGGTGGCGTTGAGCCACGTTATATTTGATCTCTTTGTCCCGGATGCTCCCATCGACCCTGCTGCCATGCAGAATTTCGCGACCAAATTCTGGAAGGGACAAGAGACGCTACTGACGGAGCAGATTTCGCTGCATTCAACACTTGAACAGGCTATAACTGGCCGTTCGGACAACATTATCGTTCAATATCTTGAAGAACACCTGAATGAAACCCGTAAACGACTCCCTGCAAAATCCGATGCTCCTGAGCGGCACGACGTTTCACGACTGCACTTATTTTGGGCAGAAGTTGTTCAGTTCCGCACACACGTTGTCACGAAAGCTAGCGCCCTCATAGAAACCCTAAATGAACAAGCACTACTTCGGGAAAACGTGCTCCAAGAGTCTATGGCTGGTTTCTGTCAGAGATTGGTCTTGGTTTATCCAGACTTCGCAGACTTAGGAGCCCCGCTGAAGTTCGCTGTACTGTGTTTACGTCTGGGTTTGCGCTTGATCACGAGCAGGACTCAATCCCCCACACAATCAGCATCGTTTCCAGTTGCGTTGGTGACATTCCCCTCAGTCCATGCAGCGACCTCTATCCTTGCTCTTCCTCCTACCTCTGTTCCATCGGGAGTGACACCGTTCAAGCATATCTTGATCAAGCTTGCTGCTGCTTCGAAATCATTTTCTCTTGATGATTACCTGCCCATCATCGAGAGTTTATACGCGCAAGCCCAACAATTGTGGTCGCTTGATTGCAAGCGAAGACAAGAGGAAGAAGAGGCCTCGAATTCTTTGTATCGTCGGAAAGATCACCAAGACCATGGGGATGCCGAAATGGAGGCACAAGAATTCCTGTCGTTGTTTCCCTCTTTTGAGGATGTTCTCGATACAGACCATCGAATTCAGCGTGTCACGCTGAGTCACAACGCTAGTCACGTGCAACCTGCTGACATTGAACAATTGACGCAGCTGCATCTTGTTCTCTTTGGCAACTCGAACTCCGATGGTGGCAAAATATTCGACCTCGTTCGGGAAGAGTCCGTGGAGACTCTTCTGGAAACCAAATTTTCTTCTCTTCCAGATGCGCTGGATGGTCACAGTAGTGCTTTACAACTAGCCCTCCTTTCCCGTCGTCTATCATCTCTGCAGACTCGTACAGGCGATACATATGACTTCTACTCCGACTCCAACATTGTGGAAGCTAAAAAGGCGACTGCCATTGTAAAAGCACTCAAGACTCGTCTCCAGGCCTTGATAAACCAATGGCCTGACCAGATGGTCTTACATCATCTTCTTGGTCGATGCGACACAGTCCTCAGCCTCCATGTTGGTAGTCCTGTCGCGAAGGTCCTGTCTGCCCTCGAGCAACTCCTTTTGCAGACATCAGACTGGGAAATCTACTCGAACCGACACAACACTCTCAAAGATCACCAAACTGCTCTTACGAACCTCATTGTCGACTGGCGTCGGATGGAGTTGTCATGTTGGAATTCTCTCCTAGAATCTCAGGCCAGAGCATTCGAATCCAATATTGCTGAGTGGTGGTTTCATCTGTATAATGCCACTGTTCGGGGGTCACTTGAAGCTGTCGAGCAAGAGCTTAGCGAGCGTTCGATTGCCACATATCTGGCTTCCTTCATTCCACTTCTCGACGAGTTTCTGCGCTCTAGTCCTCTTGGCCAGTTTAAGAGTCGTATGCAGCTGATGCGCTCGTTTGAGGGGTATTGCAAGAATCTGGCTATTCTGAAATCAGGTGAGCATCCAACTACTTCTATCACGTGTAACCTGAACTATGACTGGCAGGTGCGCAGCGGGACATGCTGAGTCGTATTGCACGCGTCTTGAATGCTACTTGCGCACACTTTGATCTCTTTTCCGCGACTATCGCTGCAGCACTTTCAGACCAACGCAGCGCTCTTGAGAAGGAGGTCCGTGGGTTCATCAAGTTGGCGAGTTGGAAAGATGTCAATGTGCAAGCACTCAAAGCAAGCGCTCAACGCACTCATCATCAATTATACAAGCTCATTCGTAAATTCCGCGATGTCTTGCGGCAACCTGTTACCCAACTGATGCACTTTGGATCCCCAACTGAATCAGAGGCTAAAGAGTCCATCAACGATCAGATTGATACCATCACTTTTGCCGTTCCGACATTCCCCGATGCTGCGACGCAAACAGCCTCTCATCTCACCAATTTGCCACGCACCTTCAACAAATTCAGTGATATCATCTCTAATGTAGTTCAACACTTGATTTCAACCCGACCGGTGCTCGTTGTCGACGACTTCGTGGGCACCATAATCGTCACCAATAAAGCGCTATCAGCAGAAGTCATACCTAATGTACCTCCCGAGAGGAAGGTAAAACTCCAAAAAGCTCTTACCGTACGTAAACGCAAGGCCTGGAGCGATCTCATGAAAGAGCTGAAGCGAGTTGGCTTTTCATCAACCCTCAAGCCCCATGTTTTAGCGCGACAATCCGAGGTTCTTTGGTTGAGAGAACAACCCCAACCGCAATCATGCGCGGAAAGCTTTCTCAAGATTGAGGACTATTTCAATCGACTGAGCGGACTTCTACCTAGCTTGCGTTCTGCTTTGTCCAATCACCATCCCGACTTGATTACTCGTGATCTTCAAAAAGGCATCATGTTTGTTGAGTCCGTTTTTTCATTTGCCATGGACTCCAGGACACGGTGAGATCATCTTACACTTGTCCTTTGTTCTATACTGAAAACTAGTCTAGTTTGTCTGCCGTCTTGGTGGCCCATGACCAGCTTGAACGAATGTGTCGCAGATTGCGACTATTGACTTCATGCCCCCACGTGAAATACCATGGTCAAAACTTGCTTATACAGATTCGAGGTCTCCATCGAGTATATCGTGACATGAAGCTCGTGCTCGATGAAACAAAGGAAGGAATTAATAACGTCCACGCCTTACAATCCGAACCACAATTCTTGCCTCTCATCGCTGAAATGGACACACTTGGGATTGAAAACTCCGAACTCTGTGACAAGATCAAAGACGTCCTTGAGAATGTTACTCTTTCTTTGTCACCCATTCTACTCCATGGTCTGTTGATGTCAGATGAAGCAGTCCTCTCTCTCACTATTCACAGATGAGCAACTCGCTGTTGAACTCGCCGTTACTCACCTCAAACGTATGGGAAGGACAGTGGACGCTTGGATCTCGAAGTATCATTCTTTGAATTACCTTCTTTCTCCCGTCAAGTCGTGGATTGAATCGCGATGCAAGATCACTCTCTCAGAATGCGAAACAACAGTTGAGATCGAGGACACGGACACCGTAATCGACATGTTACTTGTCCATGTTCAGTCTCTCGTCGCCAAGACCGATTCACTTGACGCGGACGTCCAGCCTGCAGAGCGCGACGGGTACATTGAAATAGCTCATCAAGATGTTCGCAACTTCACACGATTGCTCAAACTCGAGCAAACAGTCGAAACGTTGGACCGGGTCATAATTCAACTAGCAGTATATGGAGGTATCAACATCAAAGCTCGTCTTGACCGTTTCCTTCCTTTTGTCGAACTTTATCTCGGCCTCGCACAACGCCAAATCACAGTACACTGCCAATGGACCAAGGCGCTCTTCAAGTTGGACTATGTTCTTTGTTCGATCACAAGCACCATTTCCAAAGATGGGTTCTGTCAACCTCCCGATGGAGAAGCCGAAGGAGCTGGCGGGGAAGTCACCGACTCGTCTGGAGGTGTTGGACTCGGCTCCGGCGATGGAACACAGAACGTGAGCAAAGAAATCGAAGAGGAGAGTCAAGTCGAGGGAATGAAAGGCGATCAAGATGACCAGTCCCCGCAAGATCGCAACGCTGACGACGACGCTATAGAGATGAGCGAAGATATTGGAGGTGACCTAGAGGACATTCCTGATGACGAGAAAGAACAAGAGGAGCCAAGCGACAAAGGTAGCGATGTGGACCCAGAGGAGCAATTGGGCGACTTGGATGCTTCTGATCCTTCCGCCGTTGACGAGAAACTGTGGGGTGACGAACAAGGCCCTCAGGACTCGACACAAAAGGACGACAAGACTAACAAGGATCACTCGCAGCAGCAATCAGACCAGTCTGAGATCGTCGCTAAAGAGGGGGAAAAACCCTCTTCAGAGAAAGAGAAACAAGAGGAAGGAGAGCAAACCACGGACCCGCCAGCGACCGAACCAGAGGACGAAACAGAAGAGCATGACGATGGCCGGCCCGATGCGAGTGGGGCGCCTATGGAGGACTACATGCAGGATGCTGATACCCTTGATCTACCCGATGACATTGACCTAGGAAACGATCAAGAGGACCCAACACCAGACGGGGACATGGACATGGACGATGTGGCCGATGATGAAATGATGGATAATCAGCTGGATCAAAACCATCAAAACGAGCTGGACCCACCAAACAATGACGACGACGTGCCAGATAGCCAGGAAGATGTTCCTATGCCTTCCGCAGACCAAGATCAAACGCCTGTAGAGGATCAACCCGAAGACCCAGACGAAGACATGGAGCCTGCTGTTGCTCAACCAGACACTACTGCAGGAGAAGGCGACGCTGATCCAGACAGTCAGAAGGGTGATGAAATCGGTCAAAGTTCGTCAACCGGGCAAGCTGGTGGTACAATGGGAGCCGCTGGACAACAGGCCTTATCCTCTGAGGAAAAAACTCGTGACGAAGAGGGGTATGTCGTCGACCTTGTTCCCTTGATGGCCAACTATAAAACTGATGATATAATAGAACCTCAGAAGCCGAAAAACCCAGCCAACAAGATACTACTCCGTCTGCTGAAGCCGATGCTTCCGGGACAGCTCCAGATGGGTCCCAGGAAGGACAAGCACAATCGCAATTCAACACCAAACTCGCCAACAATCCGCTGCGAAGTCTTGGTGATGCTTTAAAAGAGGTACTCCAACGGTTCAACGAGATTTCGGAGGCTACCGATGCTTCTGGGGAACCCCCGAAGCCTATGGAAGACGATTCGTCGGGCCAACTTGAATATCTACGGCCCGATGATGATGATCCAGATCAAAACCAGCAAGCACTAGGGCCAGCAGGCGAAGAACAAGTTGCGAACCTCAATGACTTGACTCTTGTTGAAGAAACACCGGGCGAACCAACTGTTCCTATGGATCTCGACAGTATTTCCCCCAAGGAGGAAGATCAGCGTGTCGACCTGACAGCCCATCATTGGGACAACGCGGTTGAAAATAGCGGCCAGGATGTAGAAGTCGCCGATGACGAATTCCGACGACAACGTCTCCAAGTTGACTCTGCCAAACCCGAGCCCGAACACGATCATAACGTGGAGGTCGAGCTGCGTAAGTGGCAAGAAAGTGGCGGGCCGAGTGAAGGAGCGAGCCACATGTGGAGACTCTATGAGTCACTCACCCATGACCTGGCATATGCTCTCTGCGAACAACTTCGACTCATTCTTGAGCCAACACTGGCGACTCGGCTGAAAGGGGACTATCGCACGGGAAAGAGGCTGAATATGAAAAAGATCATTCCCTACATCGCCAGCGATTACACCAAGGACAAGATATGGCTGAGACGCACACGCCCAAGCCAACGCGAGTACCAGATTTTAATCTCTCTTGATGACTCCAAGTCCATGGCCGAGTCGCATTCGGTTCATCTCGCCTTTCAGACGCTTGCACTAGTTGCCAAATCATTGACTCGGCTGGAAGCCGGGGACATTGCCATTGCCAAATTCGGGCAAAGTGTTGACATCTTACATGGCTTCGATGAAGGCCCTTTCACTGACCAAGCGGGTACAAAACTGATGAATGCATTCCGGTTTGATCAAACAGCGACCAACATGCTCGCCTTGGTCGATACGAGCCTACGGGCATTTGAGGCTGGACGGGAGCGACGAGCAATGGGCTCTGCGACAGCAGCAGACCTGTGGCAACTACAAATCATCATCTCGGATGGCGTCTGGCAAGGCCATCAAAGTCACGACAAGCTGAAAACTTTACTTCGTCAGGCGGAGGAACGACGAGTCATGATTGTCTTCATCATTGTTGACTCGTTGCGTTCTGCTGAACCTTCTGGTCTTGGTCAGCGTTCCATTCTGAAGATGGAGAAGGCTGAGTACAAAAATGTTGGTGGTCGGATGGAGTTGCACGTGGAGCGCTATCTGGACTCATTTCCTTTTGAACAATATCTGGTTTTGCGTAACGTGGATTCGCTTCCTGATGTCCTTTCAACCACCCTTCGCCAATTCTTCGAGCGGTTGTCTGGAGAGTAGTCAGTACTTGAGTAGATAGCCAATCAAATCACATCCATTTTTTTTGTGACCCGCCGAACCCGGCTTCATCCGGAAATGCTTTCAACAACTCGCGCGTCGGTGCGCATTGCCCGTCGCTCGTTTGCAACCGTTGTCGACAATGCGGGTCTCAAAGTCGCTTCGATAGAGTCTAACCAACCAACCGTTTCTGTAACCGTTCTCGCCAAAGCAGGGCCAAGATACCAGTCAAAACCAGGTGTCGCTCATGCCCTCAAAAACTTTGCATTCAAGGTCAGTGCCTTTTTTGCTTGGAACTACACTCGTATTAACTGTTTGTCTAGGGGACTGGAGAGAGGTCTGCGCTGGGTACAATACGGGAAAGTGAACTCTACGGCGGTGTTTTGTCGACAACGCTCACTCGTGAACACCTTGCTTTGACAGCAGAGTTTTTACGCGGAGACGAGTGCGTTCAATGTCTTACTTCTTGCCTCTCAACTGAACGCAGCAACCCAGACAATTCTTTATTGACGTCCTTTCCTCTGTCATTTCGTCGACGAACTACACTCGTCACGAATATGAGGAGCTCGTGCTTCCAGCGATGGAGAGTGACATTTCTGCTCTTTTGGCCGACCCCGCATCGCACGCAGTCGAACTTGCTCATGCCCTTGCTTTCCGTTCCGGTCTTGGCGCGTCACTGTTTGCTGGCCCTCATTCACCAGTGACTGCCCATGACGTTCAACAGTTCGCGTCGAGTGCGTTTGCAAAGGACAATATTGCCATCTTGGGCACTGGCTTGTCAGAATCTTCGCTCAAATCCCTCGCAACTTCTGCATCCTCTGCATCAGGACTGACCACCTCCGTCTCCTCGTACTTTGGTGGAGAGACTCGTGTCGAATCTCATGGTGGACTCCAAACCATTTTCATCGGCTTTGGCTCTGCTGGCGCCCCTTCATCCGAGCTTGCCGCTCTTGCTGCCTACCTTGACCCCAATCCGTCTGTAAAATGGGCTCGTAGTGAATCACCCCTATTGCAATCCGGGAAAACGTCTGCCAGGGTTGTATACCTGCCTTACTCCGATGCGGCTCTCGTTGGTTTGCTTATTCAGGGTTCTTCCACCGAGCAAGTTACTACTGCCGGAAAAGCTGCGATCACAGCTCTGAAAGGCTCGACCGCACTGAAAGCAGATGATCTCAAGTCTGCTATCGCAAAGGCAAAGTTCCGTCTTGCAAACACGGCAGATACTCGTGAGGGACTGATCAACATTGTGGGCTCCAATGTCAGCTATTCTCGAACACAAAGCAGTTGATCTCTACTAACGAGACCTTGTTAGGTTCTGTCTGGGTCTAGTGGGGTGTCCCTGGAATCGTCTCTATCCTCCCTCGACAAAATCACGGCTACTGCTTTCAACAAGGTACGATGAACTACTGTAACGCTGCTGGGAGAAAACTTTTACTCAACCGGTGATAGGCCGCAACCACTCTCATCAAGGGCAAGCCTACCTTCGTGGCTATTGGTGATACTACCAAACTTCCGTTCGCAGACGAACTTGGGCTTTGAATAGAATTGAACTTCTTTAAAAAATAATTTGTGTTCCTGACAAAGCCGTCCAATCTTATCAAGTTATCATGTCGGCTCCCGATGGTCTTGGCAGCAGAGCCGTTGCTACGGTGAAGCTTACATACGTTGATACGAATGGTAGTTGGCAAGAGCACCGCTCAAGGCATTGTGAATGCGATAAACTTGGGCCAAGGCGATCCGGAGTCCTTGAAAGTTCAACTTGTGGGGAACGCGTGAATGCCATAAGCGACCAATCATCAACTGTTACTGTGTGACACAAATCCACGCGCACGCGGCGAGTGAGATCAATTTGTTGCGACAAAAGTAGGGGAAAAAAAAAGAAAACTGGAGGGAGGGGAGGGAGGTGGCGGGTTTTCTCGGCGTAGAGGAACGACGACGATATTATGACGAAGTGTTAAAGGGTAAAATCGGTGTTGAAAGTGTTTCCGATCGCGTTGACAAAACTTTTGAAAGCTACCGTGAGTAGTGTGAAATAAATGGACTCAATCTTTCTTTCCCTCCTCCCCCATGAAGAAACGGCGCTTGTCCTTCCAAACCATATTTGCCAAGGAACATGTGCACGAACAACTACCACCTACTACTCCCCCAGACCTTCCCAGCCCAGGCTCTCGCAATTACAAGACACTTCCGCGGTCATTCGGTGCTCAAATGGCTTATTACGATGCACCCTCACTAGACGGTCTTGTGCTTGCAGACACAAACGACTCTTTTCTTCTCGACGATGACCCTTTTGCTGATTTGAGTGGTGGTCCTCGTCAGCTTGTAGACGCGCCAAAAGACCCAACTCCGCCTCCACCAGTGCCGCCAATTCCTCCCCTTCCCCCATCCCCCATTTCCAAACATCCTCCCAGTCCAGTTCGGACAGTCTCGGCCCAAGCAACGCCTGCTTACCAACGACCAGCGTTCAAAGCGCGTCCTTCACTTCCTTCGTTGAGCAGCCTTGCCAAGATGAATGTGCCAACTCCGAAGGTGAACTTTTCAATATACGCCATCATTATTTTTTGCTGACTATTGTTAAGGTACGCCGGGGTCGTGTAGGCGCCGGACTCCCTGCTGAACCTTGGGACCTTGACCCTGACGCGCTACCGGTTGTCAGTCCGACACATGCAACAACACCAATTTCTCCTCAAGTGATACCCGCCAATCCATGTGAATTCGAGGCACCACAGTCACCTGTATTACCACCAACAACCCCCACTTCTCCGACAACCTTCCTCGATTTCTCAAGTGATTCTGACGAGGGTGATCACCCACAAGAAGTGGAGGTAAGCAACGTGTTTTCATTTCGGGGGACAGATTTAATCTTCTCTAGACCCGCCAACTGTCCTCCGAGCTCGCTGTCAAGCCATCACCCGCCATCACCCGTACTCCGCCTGTCGCAGAGGTGAACAAAATCTTTATCTTCATTTTCGGCGGTCACTAACATCTACAAGACTACTTTGGCAACCCCACCCGTGATTGCAACCTCTTCTCCAACCCTTGCTTCTCCGCAGCCACAACCAATCGTATTGCCCAGATCTTCGTCGTTGGAGGCACATCCCCCCGCAGTAGTAAGCATTCCATTAACTTTTTTTTTTTTCATCTACCATTCAACGGCGATTGTGTTAGGTTCCAGAATCACTGTCTCCCCGATCTGCGACCTATCCACCGCTTTCTCCGCACTCTTCTTCGCTCGCTGTCAAGCCGCTGCCTGTGCTACGTGAGATTCCCTCGCCGGAACCTCCACCTGTGCCCCCCAAAGACCACGACGTGAACCCGCTGTCAGATTCTCACCCATCGGAGTTAGCGGTTCAAGCTCTTGCTTCTCGGCTTGACGACTTTCCTCTGGATGATGGCCCCCTTGAACTGGGGGAAGACTTTGGTCATCAGCTTGGGTTGGACCTTGGGTTGGGTTTGGATTTTGGACATAGTCCACGTGGTGGGGAAGAGGTGGAGCCTGCCCTTGGTCGAAATCATTCCAAACGATTGTCGGCACAAGATGGTAGAAGTCGAGCCAGTAGCACCTCGCGCAGTCGTGCAGGCAGTCTTGCAGTGTCAAGACGCGCATCAAGGACTGCCTTGGTTGAAACGGAAATATTGTTGTTGGATACGGTCGCTAATCATTCACCCTCCAACTCAGCTTCACGGTCACGTGCACGGTCACGTGCAACTTCTTCAGCATCGTCATCCAACTCTACTTCCTCGCGTGGAATCGACGAAAAAGCTGCAAAGCGGCGTACTTTCCGCAAAAGCTCTTTGGTCGGCGATGTTCTCAAATTTGCTCCGGCTTCACCCGAACGACCGTCAGTGCTGGACAAGGAGCCAGTGGCAATCTCGCCAGAAGACAACTTTAGATCAAGTGTCCTTTCAACCGCAAACGATGCGGGCCATGAAGAGTTAGACGACGAGCTGGGCACTGCTCAGAAGGGGTGTTCTTCGCCTGAACGGATAGAAGGCTTCTCATCACCACTTTCTGCCCGGTCTCCAGAGCGTCAATACTCTTCGCCATATTCGACTCCATCAATAACGACTGATGCTCGTTCACCTGATAGCTCTTGGTCGGGCCACGAGCACGCAGAGTTTGACTTTGATTGGCTTTCAGATCATCGTCGCACGGAGCGGTTTCCCACTTCTTCCTCCAATTCTTCTGATTACGGTGAAGAGTTGGAAGAAGAGCGTGGGCGTTGGCGTCAGGCTCCCGTGTTGCCTCCACCATCGGTCTATTCTGACGAAGAGCTTGCTATGGCGGACACAGATAATTCCGGACGACTTGCCCCTGGTTTTGTGTTCCCAGCCCGAGCCCATCTAGCTGAAAATAGCAATATCCAACCTGGTACATCGGCCGATACTATTCGCGCCCGCTCAGGCATCACAATACCTCGTGGAGACTCTTTATGGAACTCTGACGATGCACCCACACTCTCGAACCCGTCTTCAACATCGGACAGTGAAGATGACTTCGGCACCTCCTCAGCCGAGCCTTTTGATGATGGCGCATCAGATGACGATATTCCCTTGGCGCGGCGTATTCCCACGGCTTTATCGGCTCAGCAGTCCATTCGTCGGCAAGTCAAGGAAGAGAGGATGTTTGCACGAGAGCTGCAGGGAGTTGATGGGAGCGAACCTCGCAGCCGGCAAACCACTCTCCGTCCGTTTGCAGCCCCAATGCCACCACCATTCACCTCGATTGTTGAGCCACACGAACGACTAAGGACTTTGACGCTTCCTGGAAGTGGAATCAGGTCACTCGCTGTGGACAGTCTTACCGAAAAGTTGCAAAATATGCGAGCAAGTCACAACAACAAGAATGGCGTGATGGACCCCAGTTGGTTGACCTTTCCAACAGCATCTCGTCGGCTTTCGACTTCAGCGTCGCCTCCTCCTAACCGAAACCAGCCTCTTCCAGAGACTCGTGGCTTGCGGGCTATGCGCTCTTTCCAACGACCTAAGACAGCTGACGTCAGCCGGACTGCTCCCCTTGATTACCCAGTTCGTGTCCGACGCAGCAATACTACGCTGCCAGAACGAGATCCCTCTAACTTGGTCGTCCCTGCATTTGAGCGAAACATGCTACCGCCTATTCCTTCTCCCTCTAGCACCTCACCCAGCCGGCCTCTGCCACCATCACCTTCAGAAAATAATTTGATGCGTATATTCGTGGGAGATGCCCAGCACTTCACTCTGGTGGATATCGGCCCATCGACGACTGCGAGCGATGCATTGTCTATGGTAGAAGAACAAGGCTCGCTCAAGGGCTGGGTCGGTACAGGTGACTGGATTATGTTCGAGGTAGCGCAGTCTTTCGGAATGGGTCAGTTTCCTAATTTCTACTCCGAGTTGGTCTGGCTAATCAACAAAATGCCTTATAGAGCGACCCATTCGTGGCTTTGAGTTACTCGCCGACGTGCAGGCTTCGTGGAATAAGGACAAGATGATCAACATGTTGGTAGTAAAACTAACGCCTTTGGCTCATATCCTTAACCATCCTGTACGTGTGTTGCAACGGCTATGGAGGGGTTTTTGGCTCACTCTCGACATAGCACATGCCACTCAATAGCCCGACATTCTCTGGATACGTTGAATGGGAGTATAAGCGTGGAAAGTGGAAGCATCGGTTCTTGAGGATAAGACACCATGCTCTCTGGCTGTCAAAACGGGAAAACGTGGGTCCCACTGTGCGTTAGTTAGATTTACTGATGATGTCTGTGAAGGACAAAGAAGAGGTGTACTTTTGTTCGCTTTCAACATTCGACGCCTACACCCTTACGCGGCCACACAAGGCCCCGCCGAAGCCCTTCACTTTCGCAGTCAAATCTACGCAAAACAGCTCTACGTTTGAGAATCCTGCCGACTACCTGCACATCTTCTCGTGCAACTCTGATGAAGGCGAACAATGGTTGGAGAAAATCAGGCTTGCCCGTGTATGTTGAATTTGTTCTCGTGTCAGTGCGCTAACGATGGGTTACATAGTCCTTCGTCCTCTGCCACAATGTGCCTACGACTAACCCAAGTATTATGCGGAAAAGCTCGGCTCCATTATTGAGCGAGAACTACAGCGACATCGTGGCCCCCTCCTTGATGCTCCGCGCCTAACTTTATAACGACCTATTAACTCACGACACTCATTCTCTGACGACGTCACAACTCGCTAGCTGGACGTAACTTATCTCAAGGAAACGCTGTTGTATTGTTTTCGTGCCACTCCTTTTTCTGTATCCTTACTCTAATCTGCGACTAAGTATTTGCAACACACTAGAGTGTAACTGTTTCAATACAACTGTTTAAACACTTCTCAAAGAAGGAAATAAAGAAGAAAAAAATAATTGCATTGACAGCATCAGAACAAAAACGGGAAAGAAAGCTACGCACACAGAAAACTGCCCAAAAAGTCAGATTTTTCTATGAGGGTGACAATATAGCATACCACAAGTTAATACTCAACCGCGTCGTCGCCATCTGCTGGGAGTTCTTCCTTTTTTTCCGTCTCCTCCTCCGCATCCTTAGAGCCCAAAGTTGCGCTATCATGGTCATCGACTTCCATTTCAGCTTGTGGTAGAGATTTGCTGTTCGCGGACTCCTGGTTGACACCATCCACTGACTTGGCTTCCCGTTTCCGAGCCTCCTCATCTGCGACTGCCTTGCGAAGTTCCAGTATCTCGGCAATACCTGTCGTTCGCTCCCCGAGAAAGGCCGTATACTCGTTATCAACAGCCTCTAGGATCTGAATTGGTGACTTGAGAGAAAGTTGGTTAACTGAAAACAGAATAAACTAACCTGAGCCTTTCGACGCGAGATGTAGGACTCTTGTGCGGGAGTTAAGACGGCAGGAAGGTAGTAAAGAGGCGGGGGGTGGCCACGAGGTACTGTGGCAAATGGAAGCGGGAGAGGTGCTGGGTCGTCATCTGAGGATGTGGGGGGAATGATATCCGAAGTGAGCAGGAAGTTGGCAAGAAGCGGTAGGCGCGACCGCCTAAGCTTATACTTAAAACTCCGTCAACACAACAACAACGACAACAAAAATGGAGACGACATACGATGGAGTCTTTGAGCTGCAGATCCTCTTCCTTGCGGTTGGCCGTCAGCTTGTCTTTACGCGCTTCTTCGGCCCTCCTGACAGAATCAGTTTCTTTTTTTAGTTTGCTCTGTAGTCTTTGGTCAATAAGTTGCCGTTTTTTAGCCTAGTTGACCAAAAGTCAGATTGTTAATATCGAGGGAATGGGAATTGACTTACCGCCTCGCTCGCGTTGCGCTCTTTATCCTCTTGTTTCGCTTGCTTGAGGGTTCCCAAGAGGACGCCAAACATACCGCGTTTGCGCTTCTGTGTGTCGGACACATCCAATCGTGGCCGTTTCTTGTTTTCCAAAGCCATGGCTGCTGGCTCGGTTGGCATTTGAGCAGACGAAGACTCCTCCATAGTTATCCTTGATTTCACATTGGAAACAGTCCAAAAAACACAACAGCGTACTTACTCTTCGGTGGACATGGTGGAAGCCAAGAAACGTGTGACATGTCACAATGACATTACGTAATCTAACGGAAGCGAAAATAATACAGGAATACAGATGAATAAAATATTGTGTGCTACTCGACGACAACCTGCATTGGCTGTGGTGGGGGTGTTGGTGCTGGACTCTCCTCAGATTCGCCGAAAATGTCCAAGAAACCCGGTACTCGTGTTTTGTTCGGAGCTTTCTTCATCACAAAGTCCCTCAGCCCAGCTTTCAATCCGGGTTGCTTGTCGACAAGCTCTCGAAGTTGATCCTTTGGCAGCTGCAACAGCGCCCCAAAACTAGCTGGTGCGATGACCTTGGCACACATAATAAATCCTTCCCACAATCGAGGATTGGTCCATATTTTCTTGGTAATCAGTCGCGACAGCAGGGTCGTCGAGACGAAAGCGACCAGTGATTTGTACGTCGTGACAGCTTGAATAACCTTATCGTGATGTGATAAGAAGAAGATCGTACCAGATTAACACGAAAGAATACGCACTGTCCGCAAAAACAAAACAGGCAATACTGGTTCGTCCATGATTTGTTGCATCACTGCAGCCAAAACGTCTGAGCGGAACACATCCGTCATTGAGAAGCAGACGCTGATAGCTGAGAAAACTTTCAATCACAGTAATACTTGAGGGATTTGGAACCAACCTTCTTTTGCACTCTGAAGACCGATCTCCTTTTCAGCATCATGCAACAACGCCAGCAGTTCTTGCGGGGTAAGGAGTTCGCTCTGTCGTACTCGAGGCAAATTTGAGGTGATGCTGAAGGTTTGCGGAGGCGTGGTGACGATGGAACTGAAAACAGAACGAACAAGATTCTTGCTCTCCGCATCGCCACCAAGGATAGAGACAATACGAGGTAAGTGGCGAATAATATCAGCCTTATATTGATCAGTCAGGTATTGGATCAGTAAGATAGTACAAGTACCTTGTCCATCTCACCAATGATGGGAATGAGAAACCGTGCATCCAGCTCTCGTTCGCTGATAAGGCCCTTGATCAGCGCAACAAGTTGGGCACCGGGCCGTCCGTTTTCTGTGAAGATGTTGAGGACTCGCAGGGCCAAGGATTCTGCGCCAGGAGGGAAATTCCGCATGATCGTTAGCAGTTTGCCATGGGTGGCTCCAAGAGAACGAATCAGTGCTGTTATCAGTCGCTGGATTGCCTCTTGCACTGTCACGTCCATGTGACCGTAGGCAGAGAATATTCTGCAAAGCGGATTAATTTGCTGACCAACCACCCTCCAATGCAAAACATACTCGTCAAGAAACTCAGGCACCTTCACGCACAAGGCGAACAGCAGCTCCACATGCTGCAAGACTTGTGATTCCTCGGCAGGCAGTTCTATGCGCTCAGGCAGATATGGTGTCTGAACTAAATCTTCCGGGGGTAGCTGTCCATCCTCCATATTTTCATCCTCCCCATCTCCGTTTGCCTCGGTACCATTGTGTTTGATGGTTTTGACGTCCGTCTGCAGCTGAAGCTTGCGAAGCATTTGCAGAGCAAAGTTCCTGACCATATCACCCATAGGTTGAATGTTGGGCACCCAAATTTTGACAGTGTTGATGGCCGCACCGCGAGTCTTTCTGTCTAAGCACTATGAATCATAGACGAAGCGCCAAGGGAAAATATAGCGAACCTGGATGTGTTGTGAGTTCAAGAAGAACAGTAAGCGCTTCTGCGCGCATTGATGGTCGCTGTATTACTAGCCCTCGAAGGGTTACAAAGCCAACTTGCAATTTTTCTGGACTAGAGTCGTGATGAGGATCATTATTGCAAAGTTGTGATCAGCTGACCTATTTGCGTCTACACACAATTCGCGTAATAAAACCAGCACATCCTCGGGAACAGAAGGAAGGTCCAGCAAGAATCGAGAGAACGTCCGATCTTTACTGTCCAGCAACGTCTGATAGGCTGCAATGATTTGGTTCAGCCAGGTATCGTAGTTGGGTCGCTGAGTGACGAGAATAAGGTTACGGTACATTTGGCGCGCCAAATAAGCTTACCCATTCCATATCGTCTCGATGCATCCGATCATTATACCATTCTTCGTTCATCCACGCCGTTGCCAGTCGTAGCCTGAAATTACTCATCAGATCGAAAAAGGGCAATTGTTAGGGCAGTTCACCTTGCTGGGAAGTCCGCCATTATATAATCGCAAAGCTTTTGCCGGAGCTTGTCCTGTTCGTCGTACAGCTCACTCACTGCTCCCTCGTCAGTAGCGTTTACGCTGGGTGTTTCAGGGTCGACGACACGAGTTATCATCCTAACAATTAACAGCATCCACATCTCTGTTGGACTATGACCTGCTGCTTGTGTTGAATCTGGGGGAAGACTCTCTCCTGCTAGCTCCGACTCTTCCCGGATGCGCATAACAGAGCTGACTAGAAGGGCTGAACGTTCCTCTTCCGTTAAAGGTTTTGGTGGTGGAAGGTTGAAGCCCACAAGCTGCATATTTTCAGCCAGTACCGCACCAGCATCAGCGTTCCCATCTCCGACATCAGGGTCGTCAGAAAACTTGAAGAAGGATGAACAAAATATGTGAGTTGGAACCAGGCAAGACGCACCGCTCGGTTAAGTCGGTCAGGCTCGAATTCCAGCTCATCCTGATCCATATCCATCTTGAGAGGGTCTACAGGCTCCTCTTTTATGATTGGGGGAGAAGCCTCGGGAGGGGACTTGGTATCCACTGGTGTACCATTGCGAGAGGCAGCAGCAGCAAGTGGTGGTGGTGGTGGTAGTGGCGCTGACGAGATGCCCCTACTTTCTTTATATGAATCAACGAGAGATTTGAATGCACTTTCCGAGAAAGCTTCCAGGTTGGCGACAATTAATTCTGTGATAAGAGGAGCTGGGAGTTGAGTGAAGTCGAAGCTCGCCAAAGTAGAAGACGCATCAGTGTCCAGCTTAGGACGCTTTGCTTCGGGTTCTCCAGTTGTAGGAGCAGCAGCAGTCCTTTTACGGGGTTCAGACCCACTAATTCCTAGTTGCTTCCGTCGTTTTTCTTCTGCAGCAGCAGCCTCCATACGAGTGGCCTGTTGCATAAGGATGTCCTGAATCTGGGGGACATACGGGGCATTTATTTGCAGTCTAAAACGCTGTTGAGATGAACGCAATGCTTCGCTGCAACACGCTTACCGCATTATATGAACCAAAAGGATCCTCATTGCCTTTTCAACGCTCTTGATATTCGAAGCAGATAGCCCACTAATAGATGACGACTCCGGGGTCCATTGTCGTAGAGCTTGGAGTACAGCTGGAACAACGGCGGGTCGGAGTTTAGTCAGGTTGACCAAACTATTAAAAGTCGCCGTCAGCACATCGGGATTTCTGTGTGTGTGAAGTGCTTTGAGTATAGGACTTGGGAGACATAGATAGAGTATACGGACGAGTTCTTGTAGAGCAATAGGAAGACTGCTTCAAGCAGTTGTTGCCCTTCTGCCTCTAAACTTGTTGGTGATATGAAAGGATGGTCGGCGGGGCAGAAAGATATGTTGGGATCGTTCTTATTTTGCAGCTACGCGCGATTAGTCAACAAACTCGTTTGGGGGAGTATCACTCACTCTTGGGTCTGAAATTCCACGCGTTTGGAGAAGAATGACGCGTTGGACAAACTTGATTGCGGTCAAACGAACACCAGCGTTGGTATTCGGGGCCCAGGCAAGCGCTATTATGCGGGTTTTACATGTTGTGAGGGTGCCCCAAGCAGCAGGATTGCTGTGGTTGGCGCATCTGTTCTAAAATAAGCTTGAGACGCGACTGAACGCATGGCTCACAATAGTCGGAAAAGTAGAGGGTAGACGGTCGTGAGGGAGGAAATTGCTGTCTTGACTATGGTCGTGTTGGGGTCCTCGAGTAGTTGGGCAAGAGTATCAAGCGTTTGGGAGGCTACTGTTTGGAGATGAATCAACTCTTGCTGTTTACGACGACGACGAACATTGTGTACGCTGCTCAAAAGAGAGCGGGGCTCGACATATGGCAAAATGGAGGAGGTCGATAACCCAGTTTTTGAGGATTGATTCTGTCGCACCAACGACGAAGCCAATGAGAGTTGTAACGAGAACGGTAATGGGGGCAGGCTGTTGTTCTAGTGCCTCACGAAGAGAAGCCAAGATGTCTGCCTGCTCTTTTGAATTCGCTGGAACACTCAATGCTGACTGCAGTGTCTGCAATGGGTCCATTCGAGTCGCCATCCTCCCAGTTCTCCGCCAAGCACTCCCGTGCGCGTGACGCCATGTCACAAGTGACAATCTCCCTCTAAAAATGCTCAGAACGATAAAACCGAAAAATGCACGCTCCAAACGTGCCCTTGAGGCGCGACAACCGAAAGAAGTGGAGGACTCAAGGACTACCATATTTGTGAAGGGAACCCACACTGGACAATTGCTCAATAATGTTATGCGCGATCTTATGACGCTCAAACGACCTGACGCTATCTCATTCTCCAAGAAAAACGCCATCCACCCATTCGAAGACGCTACAAAGTCTACTGCCTCTCTCGAGTTTTGGGCTCAGAAGAATGATGCTTCCATGTTTGTTATTGGCCACTCTAGCAAAAAACGACCGCACGGCTTAACATTTGTACGAATGTTCGACTATCGCGTTTTGGACATGCTGGAGGTTGGAATAGAAAACTGTGTTTCTATGCCGGAGATCAAGGTATGTTCTTATTAATCTGTCTGCATCTTACTTACTCTCGCTCACTGCAGACACCTAAATCCACCCCAGGCAACAAACCCTTGATGCATTTCGCCTCTGACCTGTTTGATACCAACCCGCGGTTTACGCAATTGAAGTCTATGCTCATTTCTTTGTTCAATGGCGAAGTCATCGACTCGATTTGTCTTGCGGGGCTAGAGCACGTTATCAGCGTCTCTCTTGGCCCTTCCCTCCCCGCCAACGACGAATCTTCCCCACTTCCTACCGTCCACCTTAGGACATATACCACACGACTACTAGCATCCGGAACCCGCACCCCACGGGTCGAACTCATTTCCATGGGCCCGTCTCTCGATATGAAGCTTCGACGACATACCCCAGCAGACGCAGAACTTTTTAAAACAAGCCATGCAGAAACCCAAACTGAAGAAGAAAGAGGTAGAACAGGGCTTGGGTAAGAAGCGGAAGAATATGGAAGTTGACGAGATGGGTGATCTGAGGGGGCGAATTCATGTGGGAAAACAAGATCTTTCCAAGCTGCAAACGCGCAAAATGAAGGGGTTAAAAAGGGTTGAAGATGATGATGATGATGACGAGGGACCTAGTAAGAAGCGCAGGAGAGAGTCTTAGTTTGGATGATTCGTTCTTTGTTTAAGTAGGGTATCGTGAGTACTGAAGTCCGTGATACTGAACTACAAAGTCGGCAAGAGGAAACGGCGAGACCCCGAACAAAGAAATTTACTTAATACAGTTGCCGATGGAGTTTACATTTCGCACTTGTTCGCTGGATTAGTTGGGTCGTGGCTCGGCCGCAGCTTGAATATAGGAGGTAGGTCGTGAAGATGGCGTTGCTGAACCGTTCATATGAGGTCGGGGAGTGGCTACCCATTCCTCCTGGCGCGGAGAGTGTTGCATCATGCTTTGTTGTTGCAGGCTAGGTGGTATAGGCGACCCAGGCGAAAACGAAGTCGACGGTTGCGCCAAACCAGGAGCACCTGGCCGTGGGATCGGAGCAGAACTACCAAAGGGAGGAGGAGCTCGTTCAACACTGGGGGAATTGGGTGGATTGAAACGAGGATTACTCCCATTGTTGGTTGGATTAAATGGCAGATTGAGCGGTCGGCCATTCGGAGGTCCTGATCCAGCTTTAACCTTCATATAAGTGTCGACCTTCTTCAGTAGTTCCTTGCCAGGGAGCTCTAGTGAGTTGGCAAAATAGTCTTGGTCTTGAAGTATGCCAATGAACTCTTCAGGAACGGTGAAGAACTCGTCTTGGTTCTCCAGTAACGCCGTGATCACTCGTATCGAGCCAAAGCTCTCATCTCGCGCAGCGTTAGCGCTGCGGGAGTAGAGAATACTTGGACAAATAACGGTGGCCAAGTTACCAAGATCCATCTTACTGCCTGTCGACTCATCCATATGGGCGAACGATGCAACCCATTTCAGGAAGACAAATAAGACCTCCATGGTATCTCGATGACTCTTGGGCATGATAAGCGACACCATATGCAAGAGTCGACGCCGGTCTGCTTCCTGGGGAAAAGCTAGAGTACATCAGGTTGCGAACTAACGAATGGACGAGAAAAACAGACATTGGGTCGCAATTAACAAACGGTGGAGTTTGAAGGTCATCAGAGGGTCGGGTAAATCGCGCAAGAATTTCTTGAGAAGCGCAGCCAGTTGAACTGGATTGTCAGTCGTGAGGTCCACAGATGACGGGTCACGATCAATTGTCTCCGTTAGCTCTTTGAGCCTCCGAATGTTTCCGTTCTTTCTGAAGATGCCTTCAATTGACATGTCTGGAATGCTGGTCAGTAAAGGGTCCACTCTAAAAGCAACAACAGACCCATTTGCCGCATGGCCGAAATGACGTCGTCTATAAAACTTGGCACTCTCAATGTCTCCCTTGTGGCACCGAGTAGCGAATCGGACCCTTCCCTCTCAACGAGAAACTCAAGAGGAACACCAAAGACACCTGACGCCATCATTTTAGCTCATCCAAGTGAGAACTCGAAACCTACCTTTCTTCTTGACATTCTTCTTATCACCAGCCTTGAAGAGCTTGTTCCAGAATCCGCTCTTTTTTGTCTCGACCATTTCAATCAACTCGTCCAAATCAAACTGATCCCGTAAAGGCGATTTCGTGAGAACGAGGAGAGCAGCGTGTTTGACGATTGCCAACTCAAGAGAACTCAGCTCGGCAATGTACGGAATAGAGTTTTCTCGAGGTAAAGAACGCTGTTCTTCACGTGCTTGGGCAACCTCCATAAGCTGGGGAATGTCCGCGAGGGTGATTCCGTTGTCTAATGGTGGTTGTCGTGGAGGTGGCTCGTCTCCACCGGCAGGCGAATTTGGAACGCTGTCGTCCACGATCATGACTTCAGTGTTGTTGCGAGCAAATGAGGGTCGCAACACTTGGCCTTGCATATCAGGCGGTAAAGGCCCTAAGTGGGGTCGTGGGGCCAGCGACGATGGCTGAGATGGGGATCGTTGCTGAGGTAATTGACCTTGCTGGGGATATTGGGGTTGAGGGGCGTGGGGAGCAAGTTGTTGTTGAGGCTGGGATGCAGTGGTTGACTCTTGCGTCTTTTGGGACGCAAGAACTTCCGAGGGAGCGGTTCGGCCAGCAGGGCTTTCAACAATTGTCGATCTTTTGGGAAGCCGAGCAGTCGCAGAAAGTTTACGATCCAGGTGCACTGATTTCATTCGCATGATGTCTGCGGAGTTGCGATATAAATCGCTCTCTGGTATTGATGGGTGTGTCGGAGTATCTGAATCGAGGACATGGGTACATGACCAAGACTTTTGTGCGAACTGAACTTACCAGGTGACAAGGGCACAACACCTTGCTTCCGCAGAACAAAGTATAGTCGCCTTAATGCAACATTCAACAGGAAGGCGTATTGCTCGAGTCGTTGAACAGGTTGGAAACCGCCGCGGCATCCTGCGTGGGCATGCTCTGTGCAAAGAATGACAGTCGGAATCTCGCCAAAAAACTGGGTGTCTTTGCGTGTATCGACCTCATAGACGAATTGGGACACGTTGGCTGGTGGTCTACGACCAGTGGATGGCTTGGGAGCCTGAGCGCCTTCTTCCCCGTTTTGGATAGTCTCCTTCTCCTTGGGCATTGGAATGACGGCTTTCTTGCCACAGACGGCACACTGTACGCAGTGAGAATGCCATCGTTGGTACGTCCCCAGTCGCACGCAGTCCTCCTCGACCGTTTGATTACATTTGACACATAGATCTGAAGGCATTTTGGACGAGGACGAAGAGACTCCAGGGGCAAACGGCGATTCGCCAGCATTTTCTGGTGCCAGGCTGCGGAAACCATAGGTGACTCCCTGTGTGCCAACATTTCCTCCCGACTGAGCCATAGATTCACCATTATAGCCCTTGATCATCCTCCTAGCAGATGGATTGCCGCCTTGGACCGCAAGCAGATGAAGTTTGTCGAGGAAATTTGACATTGCTTCCTGGACATCCCTTTCCCGCTCCAATTTGAGAGCCCCTGTCAATGCTATGCGGATCAGGATTTTGAGGTAGTGAGCCAATCCGGTGACGAGTGCCAGTAGCTCCTGCGTCATGCCCATTCGTCGAGAACCCGTTTCTTGCGTGTGTGACAAGAGCGTAAAGAGTTCCACAGTCTTGCGGCACAGCATCCTCGCTTCTCGGACGTGTGACATACCTAGATACGTGAGGCGAATAGCTCGATAATGGACGTGTAAATCAGGTACCTTTCATATTGAGTCGGTAAAAGTGTTGCTCGAGGTCGTCGATTGTTGCGAAAAGCACTTCGACATGCAATATAAACTTTTCGGCCATTCGAATGGCCTCAAGGTATTGACCATTGCTGACTTGTCTGAGCATATCGGAAATGCAAGCTGCACTTGACTCCTCGAAGGCGGAAAGGACCCTTTAGGAAGTGAGAAGATGTGAGAGACAGTGTGGACGACATACGTCCATATCCGGTAAACCTGCTGTTCCATCCGAATTTGCCTGTCCTTCAACGACAATGGAGTCTCGCGACGCTCTTCGTCAACATATTCCGGTTCTTGGTGCTCTCCTTCAATCTCAGCGGTACTCGTTGGCCGTCGTGACACCACTTTGACATTCCAGAACTGACGCAAGCTCAGTTCATCGTACACAACCAGTGCTAGGCTGACGCACCTTGTTGATCATATAGCACTCTGGGTGCCAGCACTCGTCCCTCATGTTCCGATTGATCTCAACGAACTGTTTGAGTATAGCGCTGCTACATCCGGCGCATTTGGTTGCGAAGCGAGTCGAGTAGTGGAAATGGCAATAAACATCACCATCGTGCTCATAGTACGAGTCCGACGGCCCAAACAAAGTAGAGCAGAGAGAGCAAGTGAAATGTTCGACATGAAACTTCTTGTCTGTTGGGGGCTGTATGAGGGTTGAACAGGTCAATCGTCGAGGAACTCACTGCATGCTGTTATATAACTGCCCCTCAGAGCCATTCCACACTTGGCGCAGATCAAGTTTAGACGGCGGAAGTAGTCGCGTTCGCAAAGCGGGTACTGCTTCCCATCTCCACCCTCGATCGGGAAAAATTTGGAAGCCACGACGTCACCACAGTCCTGGAAAGATGCTAGTGAGATTGGAGCAAGTGAACAGGTTGAATAGCAAACATTGCATTTGAAGCAATTCAGATGGAAGACGGTGCCTAGTGCCCGAACAAATGGGCCTTGCATCGGTTTTCCGCAAGACGCGCAAGAGCTATGGACAGACGATCAGCATTGATCTCATATTTGTAAGGAATTTCGTACGCTGAGGAGAGGCTTGTTGAAGCGACAGAGGAAGGTGGTTGGGGATTGGAGTTTGAGGAAGAGTGGGCGGAGTTGATTGAGCCAGCGCTTGTACGACGGGTAAGTTCTTTGCTGGGGGTTGAAGGCCTGCTAGCTCCTTTGCCATGACTGAAGTCTTCACTACGAGCATGAGGAGGTAGCTCGTAGGCGGGAATCGGTTCAGGGCCGACTGTTGCCGCACGCGTTGGTGGTGTTGACCGGGGAAGTGAGCCTGGAAATCTGGGTGACTTTGGCCTTGAAGAATCCGAGTCCCCGGACCACTTTCGGCTCGGTTCGCTCATGGAGCCGCCAACAACTTTGAGCAGTAGAAAGGGAGGGGCAGATGTGCCGTGACATCACAGGCGTGACTCGATACAATAATTTACTCCAAAACCCTTCCCCCAGCGGCGAATGCAATGGCAACCATTATTGTGGTCTAGAAAGTGCTACTCCATGAACAGTTGCTCTAACCTCGACGTCTCCTCTATCTTCCTCAAACATGACCCCACGCCGAACATTTACAACCTCCTCCGTCTGCCAACCACGATCTCGAGCTTTCACAAAAAAGTCCAGGTCTCGGTGTGCCAAATGTGGGCGGTGATGGGTGTAGAAAACAAGCACACGAGCCTCGGGGTTCTTGGCGAGACAAACCTCGCAAGTGTCCAATAGGGCGTCATGCTGGTATGCGATCGTTCCAATTAAAAACATGCTTTCCCAGTCATTTGGGCTCACCTGTGAGTGGTTGAACACCAAGTCCGATAAAATGACTACTTGGAAACCACCCGGCGCTCTTGCCATCAACAGATCAGCCTTGCGACCCCAAATGAACCCAACAGCGCAACCTCGGTCAGCCTCATTTTCTCGAATGTTGTGCTCCAAGTTCTGAATCAACGACTCGTCTGGATAGTCAGAGAGCACGACCTGGGACTCGTAAGTATAACATCACAGCTTTGAGGACGATTTTGCTTCACATGTTTTGCGCCACTTTTTGCGGCAACAAGCCCAGGGAGGCCGCCTCCAGCACCCAACTCCAAGACGTTTTCATCGAGATAAAGATTGCGGTGGTGATCAAGGTACGATGCTACCACTCGTCCAGCATTCCAGCTACAAAACTTGACGTCAGATAAAACTCTGCGAGACAATATTGAAAGTACAGGTGGTGGCCCCAGAGTGGATGAGACCCTACGAGCCTTGGCACGTATATAAGTTGATCTTATGCATCGACAAAAGCGAATGAATGCATACCGAATTTTGAGTTGTCGCCAATCGACGTCGAGAATGTCATCGTCACGGTTGTAGATTGCGATTGTAGCTTCTGGCGAAGGTGGCCGATCCTCCTCCTTGAATAGACTGAGCTTTGGCGGGCGTTATTGAGCAGAACCGACAGGGAAAATGGAGTCAAGTTGGAGGTTGTCCATCAACAAAAAAAATGGACTCTGTTTTGTCAGCAACGCATCATGGATGTTCCCACCAACGCGCCAGAGCATTGTCCAGTGCATATACCACCTACAGACCACGACTTCAATCTGATTATCGTAGGGGACAGAATCTGAGGCAGCAGGAAAGGCCGATGCATGTGCTGGTTGCGACAACCAGCAAATCTGTGCTTCTGGGCAAACCAAACTCCCCGACCCGTCTCTCCCATTCATCAAGCAACGGATGTCTAATGTGAAACGCAAAATCTTGGTTCTCTCTGGAAAAGGTGGAGTGGGCAAATCAACCTTCACCGCACAGCTGGGATGGGCTTTCGCTGCTGATGACCAACTCCAGGTGTGGTACGTTACTATGTGTTTTTACTCCTAATAATCCAAAAGCACCCAGACTGGTATCATGGATGTTGATATCTGCGGACCTTCCATTCCTACCATTCTCGGCATAGCCTCCGAACAAGTGCACTCATCATCTTCCGGGTGGTCTCCCGTTTATGTTCAAGACAATCTTGCAGTCATGTCTGTGGGCTTCATGCTTCCCTCGACCCACGATGCAATCATATGGCGTGGGCCAAAGAAAAACGGCTTGATTTCACAATTCCTCAAAGATGTCGACTGGGGAGATTTGGACTATTTGGTGGTCGATACTCCACCAGGTACATCTGACGAACACCTCAGCATTGTTCAATACCTAAAAGAGAGCGGGATTGATGGCGCTGTTCTCATTACAACTCCACAAGAAGTTGCACTCCAAGACGTCAGGCGAGAGATTGACTTTTGTCGCAAGGTCGGCATCCGCATACTGGGTCTCGTTGAAAACATGTCCGGTTTCGTCTGTCCAAACTGCAAAAACGAGTCACAAATATTCAAACCCAGTACGGGTGGCGGGAAACATCTTGCTCAGGAAACAGGCGTTGAATTCTTAGGCGCTATACCCCTTGATCCCAGAATCGGCAAAAGCGCTGATCATGGCGAGAGCTTTCTCGACGAATACCCAGAAAGTCCTGCGAGCATCGCCTATCTAGACATCATAGATCGTACGTAATATGCTGACTACTCTATTCTGCTCACGTGCTTTTTTCAGGTATCAAGGGCATCCTCGGAGACGCTTGACAATGCATAACTCACACCAATGTATCGATATTACGCCGATTGTAATCCATATTCTAAATTAGTGCCTTCCTATCAGATAAAAAATCCCGACTCCTTCTTGACTGACTTCCTTTCTTCATCGTCTTTTTTACCCAGCTCATCTTCGAGTATTCTTGGCATTTCTGAAGCAGGCGCATCCGCTTCAGATGGCTGGCTTTCGACAATGAAGCGGCCGATTGGCGCAATGTCTGCAAGACCACCTGGCCGCCCCTCTCCACTCTCGTGTATCGAGACAGTGCTGAGAGTACGTAATAGCCTCCTCTGACCCTCCCCGCGACCCACAGTAGAGCCAGTTCGTGACCGCGTGTGAGGAAACACGTAGTTTTGTGACGAAGGAAAAGCGATTGTCCCTGGACCGAGTACCGGCTCCGCTGGCCTTGGGCTCTCGCTGAAATAACTGCCAAGGTGTTGGGATGTGGGGCGCGGAGAACCGTATAGCGATCCCTGTCGAGAAGGCTGCATAATGCTTGACCGTCGTGCATAGGTGACAACCGGATCGGTGGGGAAAGTCGGTATTGTTTTCTCGGGCGATACCGGCCGAGGAGGACCTTGACTTTCAGCAGTTGGCTCGACAGGTTCTGTTTTCACCTCCTCCGACCCCTCAAGCGCAGCTGCTTCTTCAGCAACAGGCTCTTCAGCGATGACTCCCACTACCGTTGGCACTACTTCCGCCTGGACAACGTTCGGCAAGTCTTGGCCATCCGCGCTTGCCGCAGCAACAACGGCTTCGAACTCGTCCTCATCATCAACGCCCCCGCGAATTTCTCTGCGATAGTCTTGAATCTAGGTAAACGCAGAATGAGAACCGGACGCTACTCTGCGACAAGGCATTACCTCGTCCCAAAGGGCTTTTCTGAATTGTTCGATAGTAGTAAGCTCTTCGATATCTTTCCATTTGTCGTAGGGAAGGTCGCAATCAGGCTCTTCTTCTGGTTCGTGGTAGCCCGATAACCAAGGGTGCTCTAAAGCCTCTGCGACTGTGAATCGCGCATCAGGATCGAATGTTAAACAATTCGATAACAGGTCAATGGCTTGTAGGTCTGCTGTAGGTAGAATTTTTGCAAAAGGCTTTTTCTTGCTGATGGGCAATGAACGGACATAGGCCCGAGCCTAAGTCGTTGCAGTGGTGCTGCGCCATTATGAACGGCACTCACCTTCTCACTTGCGATTTTCTGTAGAATGTTCTCTTCAGGAGAGCCTAAATGTGTTTAAGTTAGTGAGATTGAAGCACGTCCCTCGCATACCAAGGACGTCAAGTATCTTCCTCAACTGATCCACTGTACGCTTCCGTTGAGCCTTTATCTTTCCTCTATCCAATGGTCCATACCATAGCTGGAAAGAAATGAACTTCAAGTAGCTCGCACGACACATGACGCACTCTTTGCCTTTGAAAAGGGGCTGGCTCGAAAGTAGCTCAGCCAAAATGCAACCAATCGACCATACATCAACTAGATGGAATGAACGCAGGCTTCATTAAAACAGATAGACCTCATACTTGCTGAACCATAGCCTCTGAGCGCAAACGTCAGCACTCCAAATCGAGAGCAGAAATTCGCACCTGAATCCAAGCATGACCTCGGGGGCTCGGTACCTGTGGAGCATCAAAACAGAACGTTGGGCGCGACATTTTGGCGAACCATCTTGTTGCGACATATTCAGTAAGATGAGAGGCATTTTCAAACCCCCTGCTCAGTCCGAAATCACACAACTTTAATTCACAGTTGGAGTTGACTGTGGAGGGAGGTCTGCATGAATTGCTTGGACAGTGGATGGGAATCAAGTACCGAGCAAGTTTCCAGGTTTGAGATCCCGGTGGATGACCCCGCTTTCCGTGATTTAGAGCACAAGTTTGGAGGTGTTAATCTCAATCGTTACCTTGAATGAATATATTTCAGTCCTAGGTATATATCAGAGTACCGATACTTGATGAACGGCCACTAACGAACCACGCAAGATTTGGTATAGAAAATATTGAACGTGTTCGTTGGTCAGATTTTGACCAGATCTTGGTTGCATTGAAGGGGAATGAGCGGGAATATAAATAGGTACGCACTTGATGATCTGGTGTAAGTCCGCTGAGGAAACAAGAGTCAAGATGTTCGCTGACAAAGACGAGCAACACACCCTCCATTGGCTGTATAGGTTTGACACATGAATAGCTATCCACTCTGGTGATCGCCTCACCTCCATAAAAATATAGCTGGTGGTAGAGAAGTCAGTTGACAGACGGCTGGTTCATATTCCTCACATTTCATTGGCATCTGGGGAGATCATTTTAGCGTCGATGAGGCCGGTGATATTGGCATGGCCAGTAAAGTGTCGGAGGAGTGTGATTTCGCGAAGAGCGCGTTTTGCGAGTTGGACTTTGTCGAAGACACGAGACACAAGCTTTATTGCGACAGTTTCTTTCGTGATTTCGTCGCCAGCGGAGCTTCTCACACGTTGATATAGCAATTCGAGTCTGCGTGCCACTCACATTACATGTCCATACGCCCCACTACCCATCTCACGAATCAGTTTCCACCGTTTCTGTTCACTTTTCAGGTCCATAGGTCAGATAAAGGCGGAATGGCGGAACCTTGACATAAAAAGCCTTTCCGAACGATGACTTGAGTGCGTGATAGCCTCTGGTGTGGATGAGCGGAAAGCGCTGTATAGAGTGCGATGGTGAGCATACTTTTTATCGAGGTCGTCTTCAGACAATGAGTCCGAATCTGTTCGACGAATTCTCGATCTTCCCCGATCCACTCCGGCTGAAGCTGGTGCTTGAGACGAAGATTCAGTTCTGAATTCACGTCCTCTGCTGGGTCTTGCATCGCTTTCTTGGGGTTGCTTGGAAAGGCCTTCAGCCTCCACCATTGTTTCGTGAGGAAGTGCTCGTCGTGTAATGTCTATGCCGATGATAGTGGAGAACAAGCAAGAGAAAGTGAACGAGAGAATTGCTTCCGTTGGCATCAGATTACATAGATCGCCGCGACTCAAGAGTAGCATCTCCTTCAGTTTGCCTTTTTCTCTACTGCTATAGGGTAATACTAGCGATGATACAGGTCGTGCCGGCGGATGGTCTATCACTACAGAACCAATTGCACTTACTGTCTTGGTACTCAGGTTGAAAATGACCAATACTTCAGGTCGATCCAGTTACGGAAAGCTAATAATTCCATTCTCTAGCCACTGTGGCGACCAATACCTTGAGTTCTAATTGTAGGAAATGACCTCCAACTAGAAATTCTTAATCTTATAACAAACGCATCACTCAAGAACGAGCTTTCGCACCCTGTGGTCCACTCAACATCGTGGAGATGGGCCGATAGTCAAGCAGGAGCAAGCAGGATTAAGGTCTCGTAATCTTGTCTCGCCAGAATCAGCGCATTTTTGCTCCAGTTGTTTTTCCATCAAAGATTAATTCACGCAAGGGAGAAGTTTGCCATCCAAGATTTTTAGCAGACGTTCAAGTTCTGCCCCAAGGCAAGCGACGATGGTAGCCACAAACGATTCCATCGTCATTTTTGGTAATTCAGGACACAAGGAGGGAGGTTGAAGTGCATGGCAAGATTGCGTAGTTTTGGAAGCGTGTGGACACATGATAATATGCAGTGTGTTTTCTGGTGTGTCTTGCTCAAGTTCAAGTTGCTGTTTGGGACATTGAACGTACTTCGTAAGCAGAAGTGACAATCAGTGGCGGGAAGCGCTGTCACTTTTTTCCCACCACAAACAATTGCAAGAGCAGTGCACAATGTTTCGCTCTTTTTGTGTTTGTCAAGCTTCTCGCCGCGAAACACAACTATCATGCTATGGTACAGCATCACAGGCGTAGCCTTGTTGTTCTTCTCCTCCATTAATTGTTCTCGGTGACATCCCAATTCTCGATTTAAAGCCCAGGTTGGTTTCAAAGACCTACACAACCAATGCCCTATCCCACTCCCATTACCCACGAACTCAACCTTCTCTTTGAACGGCCGAAGCCAGCGCAATCAAGTCCGGCCTTCACTATCTGCGCGTCTCCCGCCAGCTCCACTAGCACACTTGCCCTTGATGAGGACGATGCTCAACAAAAGCTCGAACCAGATTTCAACCCTCGTGCCGAGCCATTTGTCCCAAAATTCTTTTCAAGTGTTCCTCCTCGACAGGTCGCCGTCACCAAACCCCCTCCTCGTCGATCACCCGTCTGGTTAGATGCATTTACCAAAGGGACTCAGGCGGCATCCACTGCTTTGCAGAAGGAATACGCGACCTTGCTTATCACCACTCAGTCAAACTGGCCTATCGAGACCATGGCTGAGCTCGCACAAAATTTCTGTTGGCGCGGAGGAGAGGGCAGCACTGAGGAGGTTGCAAACTTTGCGTTTATGGTGTACCGCCAATTCTTCCATACTTTCGGCGAACAAATATCGCAGTCTTTTGTTTGGCATTTGCGCGAATGTGTCGTCGGTGCTTTCTTAGTGACCTGGGATCCAGTATGCCAACTCTTGACGTTCGTTGTCCGTGTCTAACGCAACGACAGGACTCACCCACATCCATCACCTATCGCAATGCACCCTCCTTCAACTATGTCGCTTCAGCTATCTCTCAAGCCGCCTTCATGGGCCAACTTTTCAAGCTGGATTTAGTCCCAGGTCCACACACAGCAACCTGTGTCATCACTGTGATCAAAGGTATGCAAATAATCAACTCGCCAATGTCTTCTCAACGATTGGCGCATTTGAAGGGCTCAATTCGTATGAACATATTGAGGCTCTACAAGCGATCCTCAAGAATGCTGGCCCAGCTTTTTGGCATGGAACAACTCCAGGCCAGGGCAATAACGCCCTGCACAAGTTTGTGGCCACCTTTTTGGAAGCGGTTGCCCCGCTGCGTGCCAATATGAGTGTGTTGGGTCGCTCTCTCAAGGCAACGGAGATGCGAGACATCATCGTTCAAGTCGAGCAGTTGTGTTCTGACTGGGTTGTGTAAAATTCCCCCCATTTGTTGTTATATACCTGGACTGTAAATTGAAATACCCCGTGACCTCCATTTACTCAATGACCGAATAAATCACTTCTTGCCGAAAAAGTTAGCAATGCCTTTCTGCGCTCCCTTGGAAGATCCGCCACTGGGTTTTGGCTTTGGTTTGGTGGGTGCAGGGGTTGTGGATTTGGCTTTCGGAGTAGGAGCGTCCACCTTTTCTTTGCCTTTCGCCTTTGCCTTGGGAGGCGGTGAATTATCCTCCTCCTCCTCTTCTACAGACTCATACTCAGAGTAGTCCTCCATAACTACAACACTTCAGTGACCAGTTTCGTGCGGCTCTCGAGTCATTCATACCTGTGTACCCCTTCGCATCAAAACTCATCTTGGACTTGACGACGCGTTTCTTTTTCAGTCCATTCCTTCCAACAGGAATGACTTTTTTCGGCTTGCGCTCTCGCTTGGGGGGAGCAGCGGGCTTCTCTTCCACGTCCGACATTTCAACATCTTCATCTGCACTAGCAGTCTTGCTCTCTGATTCAGGCTCCTTGCGTGAAACTCGCGTGATTGCCTCTACAAAGAGATGAGTTTAGAATTAGTCAGTGATAAATACGGACCGTCGTCGATATCCATTAATGCGTGTAAGTCCTTTTCCTCCTGCGTTATGATGGCCTTGTTTTTTCCTTTGCGATCCACCGGCGGAGAAGGGTCGTCATCATCATCGTCCGAGAGAACAACACCTTTTCGTATGCGCACAGACGCTTCCGCCTTCAGACTTGGCTGGGGTTTCTCTGTGACCTTTTTGGGTTCAGAGATGATGACTTCCTCTTCCTCCGAGTCAGACGCCAGTGCGGACTTGCGTTTGGTCCCTCTTTTCTACCTTTTCTATCAGGGGCTTTTCAGAGTCAAACTCGTCAACGAACTTTGCTGTCCTCCATTTTGGCTCGAACCTTCTCACTGATTGTAGCTTTCGGCGTAAATTCAACTTTGACGGGCTTCTCCTCGTCCTTAATCTTAGCCTTGCTGAAGTCGAGTTTACCCGTGGGTTTCGGCTTGGCTTCTTTCTTCTCCGTCTTGACGGGCGCCGTGGTTGTTTTGGACGGTCCAGCGACAGGTGGGGCAGATTTACGGCCTCCCCAGGCTGGCAAAGGTTTATCTGACTTCTGGAACAGTGGTATATAGGCCAGATACTAGTGCTGAGCGGTGTCAAACGCACCACTACATGGCTTGAGATAACTTGGCCGACAAGTTTGCTAAAATCAGCTTCTTTCTTCGCATCTATTGCTCTAATCCCTGGCGTCGGACTGCAAAGAAGTCCAGAGTCCTGCATAAAGTTCAAGAATCCGCAAAAAGAGAGGCGGCCAATATACCCTTGGAAGGGAATGAGACAGACTGTAGACGAGAGTAGATTCGACTGTGCGGAAGGAGGCTTGGGTTGCTGACGACAGAAGAGTGTGATGAAGGAGTCAGAGTTTTTTTGTTCGACATACCTTGAAGGTTCGCCTCTACGGTTAGCACAGAGGCGAATTGCAGTGCTTGTTCCCCTTCAGCGTCATCTTCATACTTTTCGTTTTCGTCCATTCCGGATCCTTCATTGAAGCGGAAACCTAGGGGTTGTCGCTCCCCAGAGACGAGAAAAGTGGCAACCGCATTATGACTCGTGCTCTCAAGAAAGGCCGCCAGTTCACTTCAAGCCTATTAGAAACTTCAATGTCGACGGACTGAAATTTGACCACAGACTTATGAGCAACATGAACATTGAAAGAGAACTGGCGGCTTAGGGAGCGGAACGTCACGATATTCTTCTCGATGGAGAGCTGCTTGTTGATATAGTCGTGAATCGTTTGTGTGGTCATGGTCAAGACGCGAAATGTCACGAACGCGTGACTTCGACGTCAACTGACGCGTTCAACAACACGCTACACATGAATAATACCAACTAAAACAGGAGTCTGCGCATCAACGCCCAACCAGATCTTCCGACTCCCTCGTGCCACCATCCACGATCTGTCGGTTTGGTTCCAAAAACTGAGTTGTCTAGGCAAGACTGTGAAGTGAACGGCCTGAGACATGCCCGCTGACAACTCGACCGTGTCGAAATTCACCAGAGCAGTAGCAGCGAATTTTATGCCAGGATAAGCAGAAGTAGAGTTGGTAGGTGGTCCGATATAGAGTTGAGGGACATCGCCGCCTGCCCGATTTCCAGTATTCTTGACGAAGAAAGAGACAGCAAACTGGGCGTCCGAAGTTTGTTTGATACTAAGTCTATTGTATTGGAAAGAGGTGTAGGATAGACCGTACCCAAATGGAAAAAGGACCGAAGTATTGGTGTAGAGGTAGTAACGATAGCCGACATTGAGGCCTTCGTCAAAGATTGCAGTCCCACTCGTGGTTGAAACACGGTCGGGAAAGAGTGGATTGCGAGTGAGAGACGTAGACGAAGACTTTGGATACGTGACCGGAAGACGGCCTTGAGGATTTTTCCTCCCCAGAAGAAGATCGGCAGTCGCAAAGCCTCCCTGATTAATTGGCTTGAGAGAAAGCGACAGAAATATAAAGCAAACAAACCTCTTGGCCAGGATGGCCCATCCACAACAGCCCAGCCACCGAATCAAGCCAGGGCATCACAACTGGATCTCCATTGTTAAGTACCACTACTGTGTTTGGATTGGCTGCCGCAACGCGTGAAATAAGATCGTTGAAACCAGACATCAGTTGCATTCCCACTTCCGCCGGCGTCATCGAATACGCAAAGACAACTGGAACGTCTACCTCTTTGGCCAACTTGATCGCGGCTTGTACGTTTACTTCTCGCTGACCGGGAGTGACCCAATGGAGGCGCACCTCTGTCGGGAGGTGGAATAGTGCTGGCACATTTAAAGTAATGTTATGCCAGCCCTGCTGAAGGTAAACATTGGCTCCATTCTCGTCCCAACCGTCGAGTGTAGACACGGCGCTGCTCAGAGGACGAGCTCCACCATCGAGAGGAATGCGATAGCCGGTGAATTCAGTACCATTGATGACCAGAGTATCGACGCTACCCAAACTAGGATTCAGAAAGTCGCTGTCGTTGACCCGGCCGCTTGTCAACGGGTAATTTCGTTGGATAGAAACTCGGTAATGACCAGCTTCGTTTGCCAAGAGTTGACCGGTCCAGGCGTAACTGGTGTTGGCCGGGAGAGCGCTGGTACTAGAAAAAGATATTGTCGCGTCTATCGAGGGTTTAGCTTGAGGCAATTCAAGCATGATGCGCGAGAGGCCGGGTTGTCCGTCGAGTGTTCTCAGAGCCGACGAAGGGATAAGTCTACCATGTAAATCAAGTCCCACGCTCGATGAAATTGTTAGTTGTGGTGCACGCTGTTTGAGCGCGGCGAGGGGTGGAACTTTTCTAATGTCTCGGCCATAAGCCCGCTCAGTAAGTCTCTCCGCTCCATTGGTTAACTGGAAGCCGGTCGGACCGATAACCCCGATGTGTTTCCTGCTGAGAGGAAGAACACCATGGTTTTTGAGAAGCACTCCAGACTGAACTGCAATGGTGTAGGCGATTTCTTCGTGCTCTTGAAGGATTTCGTCTGGGATAGGATTGCTTAATAAAAGCAGGTCTGTCGAATTCCTTTGCGGCCCGCGTCCCTCGAGAATGCCAAAACGGTCGTAGGTGGAGAGAACTCGGTGAACTGCTCTGTTGAGGTAGGACTCGGAGAGGTTTTTGAAGCCATAGATGTCGTTGTACAGGGAGTCGGTGTAGTATGTCATTGAACCCATCTCCAAATCCAGACCAGCAATTATACTAGCTTGTGTTGAGTGTGTCGCTCCCCAATCTGACATCACGATTCCCTCAAACCCAAAGTCGCCACGAAGAGTGGAGTTGAGCCCTTCGTTGCACGAGCAGGATGGAATTCCGTTTACTTGGGAGTACGAACACATGACAGATGCTACACCTGCTTTCACAAGAGCTTCATGAGGTGACCAGTACAATTCATGTAGGACCTGAAGATCAACTTGAGAGTTTGCGTCACCATTGCTAGCTCCGGTGCTACTAGGCCCGAATTGTTTGGCATTGGCCATCGTCCCAGTGTCTTGGATACCCTTAACCGCTTCAACGCCGAGCTGAGCATTGAGATAAGGGTCTTCTGAGTAGCCCTGAGCAAAACTGCCGTCAAAAGGATCACGGAGGATGTTGACTCTAGGCGCAAGCAGAATGGCTAAATAAATTCAAGTCAGTTACAACCTTTCGCGAAGGACTCGGATTCAGCCGCACAAACGTTGAGTAGCCGGGCCTCTTTTCCAGCAACGGAACCGTGCGCGTAAGCCAGTCTTCGCGAGAAAGTGGCGGCAAGATTGAGCTGGGTCGGTATCGCAGTGGCACCATTCACCGCACCTACGCCGCTGTCTCAACCGTGAGCATTTCAAAATTGATGCATCGACTGCTACGAACGCTTCACCATCGGCCATCTGAAGTGTTGGAATACCGAGACGCTTGGAGGACAAAATATAACCAGCGAATACTTGGGTGCCCGTGTAGTATGTGTGATGCACGAGGGCGATCTTCTCCTCAGGCAAAAGTTCCTCGACGAGATTATTGACCCTTGAGTTATTGGTTCGCCAGGGAACTTCGATAGACGCCTGCGAGACATTTTGCGAGATGACGCAAGTATGAAATGCTCCCAATATCACGACTATAAGAATGAGGTACATCGTAGCTGGGAGTAGGATTCAAGTTGGTTTGTCCATAGTCGAGTTCTTATATACTTGGTATCGTCGGTAATCATACCGAGTATGTTGCTGTTAATGACAATGTGAGCCTTTTCGGATGAACAGCCGGTAGATTCCCCGACTTGAGCAAAACAAGATTTGAACAGAGACGCGTGATGTCACGCGCCGGCTTTCCTTGTTCGCTGGTCGCCTTGACTTCATGGAAATTATAAGTACAAATACTTAGACCTTCGGGAGTTGAAGTGCGCGGTTACATTGAGCTGGAAACATGCCATCAGTTTGCGCGCTCCGATTGGTGGCAGTTTGCTGGGAATCTGAGCGGCGTTTAGCAGTAGCTATTTTGGGTGCAAGGGGCGACATTATTTGCAGTTTTTGCAGTTGTCTGGCGTGTGGGTGATGGAAAACACGGAGGGAAGCACAATCACACCAAGTAAGTGAGCATTTGAGAGTGGTGGTGGTCATGGTGGAGTGAGAGGATGCAAGGTCACATCGTGCCAGTGCGTGTCATAGGTGAGCACCATCGCTAAGTCCCTTGGGCGCCTTGGCGGCAATTGAATTCTCTCTTACCTCTTCTCCATGTCTACGCAGCCCAGCAGTGAGGGTCAAACACCAACTCCGGACACTAATACGACTGTTCATGACCCTGTCACTCGCTCCAACGTTGCCCTTCGTCGATGGTCATCTGCGAGCCAGTCTTCGTCGTCCAATGAGAGCCTTGTTGTAAATGGCCACCCCGACATCGTACAAAACGCTCAACTCGCCGACCAACTGGATATTACTACCCGCAAAACCAAGATTCAAATGGCAGCTGTCGCGGGTGCTGGGTCTTTCGTTGGAGCAGTTGCCATCCTCATGCTATCCAGAATTTTGGGTAGCTTGATGAATGGGTGGACTGGTTGGGCTATATCCGGAGTGCTTTGCTGCATTCTGGCTGTCGTCTCTGCTAGCTCGGTGTTGTATTATTGGAACCCACCACCACTGGCGCCGCCAATTCAGCTGGATGGCCCAGAAAACCAATTACATCAGGTCTGTGTAGTTCATTTTGTCCTTTGAGCCTTCTCAGCCTTGGTACAGCGAACAACTTCTCCAGAGACTGCACTGTGGTTCAACGCATTTCTCGGCTCACTATGGCCCATCATTAACCCCGCTCTCTTCATTTCGGTTAGCGACATGCTGGAGGATGCTCTCCAGGTGTGTTGAGTTGACATTTGTGTCGGTTCAGGCCTCTCATTGTTCCCTCCCCTCAAGGCCTCTCTTCCGAAATTCATCACTGGCGTCCGTGTCGCAGACATGGGCCAAGGCTCGCAGTCAATCGAAATACTGGAAATTCGAAGTCTCGATACCGACGCTAATGCCAAAGATAGCGACAAACGTGGCGATTTTGTCAATCTGGAGGTCCTCCTTTCATACCATGCGCGTTCACATGGCAAAAGTTTAATGGAGCGCTCGGGAAATCCCCATATCCTAATGGAATTTCTCCTGACTGGGGGGGTCGCTGTCCCTGTGTGGATTGAACTGACGGGCCTCAAAGTTGCAACTCGGATGCGCATCCAGTTGATGCCAAACCCGCCATTCCTGTCTTCCCTCATCTTGACACTTTTGGGTCAACCGAAAGTGACTCTAAAATGCACCCCGATGAACCAGAAATTCGTCAATGTCATGGACATACCCGTTTTGTCTGGCTGGTTACAAAGTGCAATTGATGGTGCTGTTGGCGCCTACGTTGCGCCACGCAGCTTAACCTTGGATTTGAAAACAATGCTTAGTGGCCGTGAAGCTATGGATACCGAAGCATTCGGTGTTCTCGTTGTGATCGCCAAGAGTGCGGTTGGTTTCAGGAATGGGGATGGCGGTAAGTTCTGGGAGTCGGAAGCTGAGCGGCATGGCGACCCATATGTTAGTATTGGCTGGGGTAAATATTCATCTATTTCCTGTTGCAACAAGCATGCTTACCTCTATCTAGGTAAGTGGGGGAAGCCTGTGTGGTCCAGCCGGATCATTGAGAACGAAGGAAACCCGCACTGGGAAGAAATTGCCTTCCTTCTCGTTGGCCCTTCGGAGATCAATGCGAAAGAGAAGTTGCGCGTTCAACTCTGGGACTCAGGTGTGTTGATTTTTAGTCTCTTTTCCGTCACTTATCAAATTGTGTCAGACCGCGGGGCTGCAGATGATCTTCTTGGAACAGTCGAAGTGAACTTGAATGAACTAATGGAGGACTCCAAGACTCTCAATCGAATGTCGTCACGAACCGACTCTTTCACGGACATCGAAGGTAGAAAACAACTTCCTGGTGAACTCCGTTGGGAATGTGGATATTTCGCTAAGACCAGCCTTGAGCAGCATCTAGCACAGAAAGGTGAAAGTTTGGATGAGCTCAAGGCTGATGTTGAGCGACAAACGGAACGGGAGTTGCGAGAGGCGGATTCTATTCAGAAAAATGCCAAAGAAGACATTGAGAACCAGAAGAGAGTCAAGCTCAAAGACCGCGGCGACGAAATAATTGCTGCATGTCCACCGACTGACGAGTGGCCATCGGGAATACTGTCGGTGATGGTGGAGCAAATTGATGGTTTGATCGTGCCCCATCCTCGAAAGAGCAAGATTGGTGAAGGGGAATCGGAGGACCAGAGCGATCATCTTCCCAACGCATACTGCACTATAATTCTGAACCACCAACGTGTCTTTCGTACACGCACCAAGCTCAAAACCAACAAGCCATATGTGAAGTGTCCATTTTTTGTTGTTTTCTATTCGACTCTGAACATTTCCGGCAGTTTTCCGCGAGTACAGAGCGATTTGTCAAAGATTGGCGCACTGCGTCGGTTATGGTCGCTGTTCGTGACCAGCGCTTACACGAAGTTGACCCTCTCATTGGGGTCGTTGTTCTACCACTGAGGACGTTATTTGAGAAACGATCTCAAGTCTCCGGTTCCTACCCATTGACGGGAGGAATCGGCTTTGGCCGCGTCAAGTTGTCACTCGTATTCCGCAGTGTTCAGGCCCAATTGCCCCGATCGCTCATTGGTTGGGATGTGGGCACTTTGGACATCCAGCCATCCGCCCGAGCAACCGACAATCTGCCCAGTGACGTCTCAGCATGCAAACTTGTGCTTCGTACCCTCAACGGAAAGGGCAAACTCCACACTCACGAAGATGGCTGGCAACACGAACGCGGCAAACCAGTTCGTCTGGCTGTGAAGCGTCGATATGCCGAATGCTTACTAATCGAATTCCGCAAACATTCAGTTGGCCCTGACTCAACCTCTGCCTTTTCTGTGCTGTGGATGAAAGACATCGGTGACGATGAAGACAGCACAGTCAATCTGCCTGTGTGGCGGAGTCAAAAGCGGGTTCTCCAGCGCGCGCAGTTCAATACGCAAGAGCCGAAAGATGCGGAACGACTCGGCACCCTCAAGCTGAAGCTCCGTTTGTGGCCGGGTCTTTCCGGCTATCATAAATCACTTGCCGATCATGATCCAAACATTGCCGACGTGATGAAAGTGTTGGATGCGGCAGAGGAGATGCTGCGAGGTGACGGAGATTCGCCTCGTGACTCGTTGTATGATTCGGTCGTCTCGAGCGACTCGGAGGAGGCCCCAGCCCCTGAACCCAAGACGAATGGGGGAATATTATCTGAAATCAAGGACCACAAGAAACGAAGCGATCAACTCCATCGTGAACACCGGGGTCTTATGCAATGGGGGGCGGCAAGGAAGCTCGCTTGGGTGGGTCACAATGTCGAGCAGGTAGCGGGTGGCCTAGAGCAAAAGGTTAAGGGCAAGTTCAAGCATCGTCAAGCAGAGCAGGGAATGGACACTGAAGCCTAGTTTTTTTGTGTTATCGCAACAAATTCATTATTTTCTCTAGGAATTTTACATGCAAAACGGCGGTATGTAATGACAGGATATATACGGGTTAACTAAAGTTCAGTAGTAATGCGAATCGTCAAGCAGTGACGAGAAAAAGGAAGAAAATGCAGTGTTGGGTTGAAAACGAAGTATGTGGCTGTGTGTTCCTATGAAAAATTCCGGTTTCCTCACAAAACGGGGGGGAAAAATTTACAAAAGAATGGATGCTGCTTTAGAGCAAAATTACAAAGCAAGGCCAGCAAGTTTCGTGGGGGCACGGACAGGAATACCCGGACCCCGACCACCACTGCCTCCGGCTAATCCACCATAAGTTGATGACCGATAAGCCATACCCGTTCCCGTTCTTGGACGGGGTCGTGCAATCCCACTGTGTTCAGACATCGGCGTTGTCGGAGTGCTTGGGCCAAAACTCGGCGTGGTGGGTGTTGGTGTGACAGAAGCAAACCCAGAGCTTGTGGGTGTGAGTGCGGGTGATGGTGGACCATACGGTGACGGAGCTCGTGCATATGATGGGGAGGCAGAGAGAAGCGACATTGACGTCGCTGATGTTGATGTAGAGAGGCCAGAGGAAGAAGTGGACAGATTCGAGCTTTCTGTTGACGCAGAAGACGAAGACACTGAACTCGACAATCCGCCAACGCTGATCACTGCTGGAACAGGCACAGGAGCCCGATCACCACCAAGAACAGGCATACGTGGCTGCAAACGAAGTGGGCGCAATGATCGTGACCCGCCAGGTGTTAATGGGGTGGGGGGGAGGCCACCTGGTTGTGGAGTACTCTTCATCGAAACTGCTGATGGTGGTACTATTGACAATGGGTGGGTCACCCCAGTCACCGCTCTCGGACGGATAAGGCTGGCGTTACTTGGACCACGCCTGAGATGAGGTGTTGACGGGAGAGGCTTTTCTTTGTCTGCAGCCATGACACGAAGAACTCTACTGCGACTCCGCATCAATGGTAGGCTCATTGCACTGGTCGTTGTGCTTGTCGACTCTTCTGATTGGATTGACGGCATTCGACGAAGAGAACTCTGGCTCTGAACACGAGAAAGACGGGATGTTGGATCACTACGCCTTTGCCAGCTTGTAGGTGGGGCACTATCTTTGGCAAGTCGGACGCCAAACTCGTCGGTATCCGTATCATCGTATTCACTTTGAGCACGACGGGCATGCGAAATGGATCGCGAAAAGGTTGAGGTCCGAGCAGAGGTCGCTAAACTGGACGAACGACTGAGTCCAAGCTGTGAACGGGAGCGATTAAGGTCGAGAGACGAAATGCGACGGGTGAGAGCACTTGGTGCATCTTCATCCTCTGAATCGCTCCAACCCAGCCCCGTAGTCAGACCTATACCACCACGAAGCAGTTTACCATCACGATGACGAACTCGGCGTTTGGGTGTGTCTCTCGTATCCCTAGGCGGTACAGTCTTTGTACGAGATGTTGAGGCAGAGGAAGGGGTAAGAGTGGGAGTATCTTCCGTCAGGAGTTTGCTCTGCGGGGACAAAAAGCCATGTTGCAGCATGAGTTGACTATGTGGAGCTAGTAAGATTAGGAATGACAGACAATAGGCAACACGTACGGCAATGATGTATGCAGGTCCAAATCAGAGTCCGACTCGTGAGGGTCATCCCAAGCAACGGAATGCAGTGATTCCTCCGACCGGGTGGAGTCTGGGAAGCCAAACGTGAAGGCGTTGCTTCTCTTGGACGAGACTGAAAAAATGGTGTCGCGTTGCTTGCCATAGTCATCAATGAAGTCCTCTTCCCAGGGTTCATATACAGATGCGACACCTCTCGACAGACTATTAAGACGAGGCCTGGGAGTTGTTGCCAGGATGGAAGTGATGTCAGGGGAGACGGCTCTGGTTGGCTCAGCAGGGGAGTCGAGAGCGTCAAAGTCGGGTTCGGTGTCGCTGTCTGTGGTTGGGATAGCGACAGAGTTGAGAGCAATACTCTCTCGACGGGGTTGGTGAGTCCTTGGAGGTGTTGTGCGTGGTAGGCGGGGAGTAGGCATGACTGAGGGAACAGCGACTGATAAGTCCTCCAGTTCGTCTAAAGGGGCCTTCTGAATCAGAGGGGCGTTGGCTAGCAAGTCGTCGCTCGGCTCATCATGCTCGTCAACGGAGAATACGAGACTGGGTTGGTGTAGACTGTGGGCAGGGGAGGACGGTGTTTGTGGTGTTGAAATGCTGAGTAAAGAGTCACTCCGGGTGCTAGCAATCGAATCGCGGTTCCCGTTAAAAGAAAGTTTGGATGAACGGCGCGAGCGCGAAACACCAGTACTTTGTAGGAAAAGAAGGGTGTCTGCGTCTGAAATTCGGCTTGGGCCAGGGACTGGGGGTAAAGGTCCAAGGGGAGGTCGAGAAGGAGGAGGATTAGAGAATTGTGGGGTTGAAGGCGATGGGATGAAGGTAGGCGGTTGAGGAAATGCGTCCAAATCCAGCAGCAACGGAGCGGGCGGCGCCATTGGTGAGGGAAAGAAGGAAGCGCAAATCAAATTGTGTGACATGGAGACGTTGAAAAAAACCGAATCTTGTGCTTGCCATATTGAACGTCGCCGTCATTGTCGAAAGGCTAATTCCCAACAACAAGTGGCATATCAGACACTTTCTGGCTGCTCACTGTCCGCCATGGTGCGAAAGATCGGTCCAGATTCGAGCGGAAAATGGCTCCTAACAATAGCGGTCGACATCAACCACCTGAGCTAACCTTCGTTAAAATATACTGTTTACCTCCACTCAGGCACCGACATACACACTTCCACAGCTTCGTCGAAGCCACTACAGTCCTACACTTGGAGCACTTGTTCTTTCGACGGAGGCCCGTGTCATGATATACTCTTCGTCACCCGACCATTCTCCAGCCCAACTTAAAGGGGAGGAGGGGAATTTCTCCGCAGGCAGCTACTCATGATTCAGGCTACTTGTTTCGTCTTGTTTTTTGTTGCGACGGCCTTGGGGCGCGGTATGTTGCTTCACCTTTTTGCCAATATTGGTCCTAATCTGTCACCCCAGCTTGCCCCGCCATCCCATCGCTCACTTCTTTCAATTCAAGCACTCTTCCCGATCCATTCACCTTTGCAAATGGTCGCAAAGTTTTGACGACCCAGGATTGGGCATGCCGACGCGCCGAGATTAGCACTCTTCTGCAGCGAGACGAGTTGGGTCTCATGCCTGCTGACCCTCAAGACCTCACCGCAGCTTTCTCTGGCAAGACTTTGACCATCACCGTCACCGATAATAACAAAACATTGACCTTTGCACCCACAATCACCTTTCCCACCACTGGCCAAGGTCCCTTCCCTGCTCTCATTGCCATGGGGGGGATCTCGATCCCTTCTCCTCCGGGAGTTGCTATCATCAACTTCAACAATGAAGCAATGGCCAATCAAGACACGGCTGCTTCACGCGGTCTGGGTCTTTTCTACGATTTCTTCGGGACGGATGCATCTGCAGGTATTTTCTGCGTGAAACCATATTAAGCCACTTGTTCAATGTCTTATAGGTGCGATGATGGCTTGGGCTTGGGCCGTTCGCCGCATTGTTGATGCTCTTGAAAAGACGCCTACGGCCAACATTGATCTTGCGAAAATCGGTGTTACAGGTTGCTCGCGAAATGGTAAAGGCGCACTTGTTGCCGGCGCCTTTGAACCACGCATTACCTTGACGATCCCCCAAGAATCTGGCTCTGGCGGCACAGACACATGGCGCATTTCCGATGCGATACTCGCTAATGGAACTCTGACCCAAACTGCGTCGGAAATTATCCAGGAAAATGTTTGGTTTTCGCCGAATTTCGACCAATTTGCCAACACTTCTGTCAACCAACTTCCATTCGATCACCATATGCTCATAGGAATGGTCGCCCCACGAGCGTTGTTCGCTATCGATAACTTGGGTTATGACTGGCTCGGACCATTCTCTTCTTATGGCGCCCTTGTTGCTGGGCGAACCATATGGCAAGCCATGGGGGTCGCTGACAAGATGGGTTTCTCCCAGGCAGCCAACCACACACATTGCGTCTTCCCATCTGAGCAGCAAGGCCAACTTAACGCTTTCGTTGACCGCTTCCTCCTTGGACAGGATGTGAGCACCGCTAATATCACAACCACTGCAGGAACGTATAGCTTTGTTGTTCCTAATGCTGAATGGGCACCATGGCGTGTCCCTGTGTTGAAAAAGCGGTTGTAGCAAGCGTATATACTGAAATGAAATTACATCATCTGCTACTACTCTTAATCGAACAGACCAAAGCCCATGTCGTCGTCAGACTCCTCCTACGCAAACGTTGTTAGCGCAAGCCAGCTTTGCTGTAGTATTATATTCACCTTTTCTTCCTCCTTTTCTTCTTTCTTCTCTTCAGCAGCTGCAGCAGCGGGCGCACCACCAGAAGCACCGCCGGACGAGGCAACACCACCTCCTCCACCAGAGGGAACAGATGCAAGTTTACCAGAGCCCTCAGCGATCAGCTGATAAGAAAATGAGAAGAAAATAAACTAGGCATCAAGAAATTCCGTACCTCGTCAATGGACTTGTCCTTGAGCTCGGAAACGAGCTTGTTGAGACGATCCTCGTCAGCGTCGATGTTGACAGTAGCAAGAAGAGACTTGATGTCAGCAGCGGAGGGCGACGCGTTGCCGCCGATTTGGAGGAGAAGGTAGGCAGCAATGTAACGCATTTTTATACGAGTTTTTAGTGTTTGGAAGAGTTTCGGCTAGCCACAAATCGCTATCGACATTGAGGGTGACCGAGCTGGGAGTTTTGTGGTCAACACACCTTTAATCCACGAAGGGAAGACTTGAGGACGGGACCAAGATTGATTTTTCGTTGGCACGTCACGACGCTTGACTTACCAGTTGTCACAGTAAGCGTGACGTGACACATTCCTCTCCAAGACACAAATCGCCATGGTCAGCTCGAAGTCGCTGCTCGTTGAGTACATTGCTCACTTATTCCCAGGCCGACGCTAGCGTCACTGATCCCGCCCTTGCCGCTGAGCTCAAGAAAAAGAGGACATTCCGTACCTTCTCGTATCGTGGAATCGAGCTCGAAAAACTGCTCGACCTGAGCAATGAGGATGTGTGTTGCCGTTTTATTTCTCGTCGAATCCTAAACTTCCATGCTAGTTTGTTGAACTTGTTCATGCCCGTGCTCGTCGTCGGTTCCAACGCGGTTTGAAGCGTCGCCCTATGGGTCTGATCAAAAAGCTCCGGAAAGCAAAGAAGGAGGCTCCCCCGAATGAAAAGCCTACTGCTGTTAAGACCCACCTCCGCGACATGATTATCGTCCCGGAGATGATTGGTAGCGTTGTTGGTATCTACAACGGCAAGGTGCGTAGCCAAATTCTGTCCCAAGATTCTTTACGCTGAACATGCAATAGACTTTCAACAACGTTGAAATCAAGCCCGAGATGACGGGCCACTATCTGGCCGAGTTCTCGTGCTCCTACAAACCCGTTAAGCACGGTCGTCCTGGTGTAAGTGACACCTGTGGTTGCCGCCTGAAAAATCTGACTTTCCTAATAGATCGGTGCTACTCACTGTAAGCCTCGTTGTCCCTCCAAGTTTAACCCCAGTCTTATCGCGATGTCCTCTCCTTTCAGCTTCACGATTGTACGTCCAGTCTTTGATTTTGGTCTACTTGAGTTTGACTGTTCTACCAGCATTCCCCTCAAGTAGGAGCGTCACATTTATGTTCATGTCTCTTTTTACAAAATTCATATGACTATGAAATGCTCACTGTGTGAACTGAGTAAGGACCCACATTAGATGTGTCGTCACGCGGTCACATGCTTTTGTTTCTTGTACTTCATGTTGGACCTACCACCGACCCTGCTGCAGTATATCTTCTCTCTACCTCTTGACCATATCGTCGCTGGCATCCCAGATCGCGAAGCCAAGAATCTGCCTCCTCCAAGCAAGTCCATTCAGCTTGAAATTGCAACAGCATTTCCACCACTACTAGCCCTGCTTGGTCTGGGCAGCGTGTCAGTCCTGTTAGCTGCATTGCTTCTGCCCGGCAACGGCAAACCTACTCTAAATGGCACGCTTTCTGAGGCCACAGTGCTTCGAATACATGCGTTGGCGGCACATCAGCCTCACCGCCTGCCCGACAGCGATGGCGACCCCGACGACACAATCCCGGCTCTCCCATTCTCAAAATCTCCACGAAAACAAAGTCTCTTGATATTCTGGCTCCTTGCTCTCTTTCTTGTGGGGATGCTAGCATATATTTTTCGAGTCACGTGGGCGGCCACTCTCTCGTCATTCATCGCAGAGAAACGACACTCGCTATCGTGGACGCTGACCATAACGATATCAATACTCCTCGCCAAAATTGCGGGCCCGCTCACACGATTCGTGCTTGTGTTCGTCCCCATCGCTAATGCTATTGCTCAATGGGGCAAGTACGCTTTCGTGTTACTCTCCGTTCGCCCAGTCGCGCTTCTGCAGCCTTTATATATGGCAAGCACTCGGGTCGTTCACCATAACTTCCCCAACTTGACTGTCGACCATCCGATCCAAACCCAAATTGATAAACTGTTTGCCTTGGCGTCGAGCGTCTTGAGCGTCTTGGGTGGCTATCGGCTTGCTGCTGCACGCGTCGCAAGAAACCACACAACCGCTATTAAATGGACGACGCACTCGTTCGACAGTTTTTTCCAACTGAAGACTTGGCCGTATCTGCCACTTGAGCAAATGCGCAGTCTAACAGCGACGATAATCAGGCATGTTCTCGCGTTCTCGTTGGGGGGTACAACATGGGCGTCAAGTTCGCGACACAAGCTCTATGTAGGTCGCATTACCAATAGTCAATCCACCAGCTCTAAATACGTTCATAGGCGATGTTGGGTCCTGCGCTCCTTGTAACACTCAATGAGGTTTACTACTACTGCACGGTATGTTGGGCTTGCGGGTCCCAAACTACCAAGAATTGACGAGTCTTAGTATACCCCTCCACGCACAGAGTTCGAAATTGCTCTCGATCCTGTTCGCATGGCCCTCCAGAGTCAAAAGTCGACTCTGGATCGGCAGCAAATTCTGTTCCAACGTTTGGCCGTAGAACAGGCTGATTTCAAGCAGTCTTTAATGCAAAGCTTAGACCGGCATTTCGCCAACCTCAGGGAAGCGGAGTAAGTCGTACATAGGCAAGTACAGTTGATGTAGAGAACGAAGAGTCTGTATGTAAGGAACAACAACAACAACAACAAACAAACAACAACAATCGAGCAGCGACAATCGAGAGAGGAATCAATAAGTAATGCATGACTGAACGAGAGACTACCACCATCTAGCCCATTTCCCTGGACTACCTTCCACAGGATTGGGGCTACTGTACAGATCGCCTTTGGCATAAAGTCCGGCAGGACTTTCCCCGCCAACAGCAGCCTTAAAACTGCTTAATTCTTCATCTAACATCGTTGAGGGATCATGAGGGTCGAAAATGCCAACGCCTCTTCGACCGCTACTGGGCGTGCGGAATGGCGATAAGCTAAGCATATTACCACCAGGAGTGCGGAATGGTGAGCTACTATCACTCGGAAGGAGTAATCTCCGCTGCGGTGTGACGGGGAATAGCCCCGAATTAGACGAGGCAGCCAGTTTCCCCTTGCGAGAAGGTGTTCTTAATGGATCGTGTGGTTCGTCATCTATATCGTCACGTGCTGCAGAGATGCGGGCAGGCGAGCCAGAAATAAAAGAATAGCCTGCACTTGGACTAGAAAGAAGTCCCTTTCTGAAGGACGGGGTGGGCGACGCATTTCTCGGTGGGGTTGATGGAACCACAGGTACGGATTTGTGCTTTTTGTGTTTCGCAGATTTGGATGATCTGGCTGCAGTAGCTGTCTTGCGACGGTGAAGAGTGGGAGAGGAAGACGGCCGATGCTACAAGAATTAAGTATTTTATCATCTAGGTCAAGTCGGAGAATGCGCTACCTTGCTTGCAGTGCGTTTCCGCGTAGTTCCTTGAGAAAGAAGGAGCAATGGCACATCGTCGTCGTCTGAATCTGAGTCTGACTTGTCTTCCGCGATAACCAAATCAATGCCGGGCTGAAGTGTCTCAGCATCGCTGGTTGATTTAGTTGTGTCGTCGACTACAGCAAGCTCAGTCTCCGCTTGTTCCAAGTCGTCTTCGACAATGACCGCCGAGTTCTCCTCAACTTCTTGCTCCGGATCACTTAAAGGCATTGGACTTGACGAGCTAGCATGCGGGGTAAGGGCGGGAACCGACGACGGCGGAGAGGAGGAAGGCTGCAGGCCAGTAGACGAAGGAGGTAGCTCTTCATCACTTTCTGGCTCTACCACATTCTTGGCTGGAGACGAAGATATCAGACGGTAAGATGATGATTTGGGGATACGAGGAAATATAATGTCGGCTGTGGAGTACGTTGGGGCGGTGGAAACGCAGGTCTCATAGTATGTTTGTTGCTGCGTCGTTGGACGCTTACTCTTCCCAGGTTTGTCATGAACGAGATCTGGTAAAAGACCAGGAGGTTGTGATGCAAACTGTGGACTGGGAAGTAAGTCTGTGGAAGCAGTCTTTGGCCGCTTGGCAACTTGAGGGCTGCTCTCAACCTCGTCATCGTCATCATCCACTTCATCCATTCCCCGTTTTTTCGCTTTTGGTGGAGGACGTGTGACGGTGATTCCGCCGCCGCCTCTTTTCAGCGAACCAGGCTTCCGGTAACCTCCGCTCGCGAAACAGTGCAAGTCTTCATCGAGAATTGCCCAATATGACCGGCCAGCAGACCGTTCTCTAGTGATCTTGCGGAAGTGAACGGTAGTGCTCAACACATGTCGTATACTGTTCATCCACGTTCGTTCGCCACGCTTAAAGTGAGGATAGACCGTACAAATCCAATCATAAATCTCCTGGAGAGTAAGGCGATGGTCCTTGGAAGAAAGAATTGCCTGTCCGATAATTCCAGCATATGAGTGATGCGGGCGTTGAGTAGAGTATGGTCCCGGTGGGAGCGTATATGGAAGCCCTTTCGTGCTGCCAGAGACTTCTTGGACAGGAGATGACACGGTGTCAACTCTTCGGGCTACCGGTGATGACGCAGGTGATGAATCGTCGGGAGGCGAAGATGGGGGGAGTGGTGATTTCTGAGGCGAAACTGCGAGTGATTGGGTATTCTGCGATCCCTTGACTGGCGTTTGAGGTAGCGTCGTGCCTTGACTACGGAATGGAAGCGACAAGAATTGGCTTTCAGTACCATAGTTTGGATAGTAGTAGTATGGATATGGGCGGTTGGTGGCACTACGTGGAATTGAGGGGGACTGCGTCGTCGTGGTAGCCTGTCATCAATCTAAGTCCACAAGAGAAAAAAATGCTTGTGGCAACGTCACACACCAGTCCTGAGGCATCTCGGTAGTGACTGGTGCGTGTGGGAGTTAAATTGGAGGACTAATAGCAGATTAGTTGCATAAAATCGCGTTGGCTAGCTGGACACACCGAGGCGACTGGTAGGTCATGTGCAACATCTTTTGTGGGCTCTGAGCGTGATGGGCCAGGAGTAGGAGAAGAGTCTCTAGCAGAGCTATCTGGTGGGTCTGTCTCGCGCTTCTTGGACCTCCTCTGCTTTCGGTGAAGCCGCTGTCGTTCGAGGACCAACTCCATGTTATCAAGGGGTCGGGTCAGAAGATTTTCGCTGTCTTTTTCAACGGGCGCTGGGCTCGAGGACGCGTCACGCGTGGAGTTAGAGGTCGACCCCATTATTTGACGCGTCAATGGGGCCGCTTCACTACTCGACCGCGACACTGGACGCGACTGCGACGAGGTTGGTGGGAGCTGGGATACGGTACGCGACGAGTTGGTGCTATCTTGGGTGAGAAACTGTCTCATCTGGTCACTGCGACGATTCAGATCCTCCTTGGTGATTCCCAGCGTGTTTAAAAGTTGGGAGAGGGGTGAGGTAGGTGTGTCTCCCATTTGGGGTATGAGGTCACAGAGCGCGAAAAGTGGAAATATGACGTGTCGTGGAGCGTTGGAAAGATGGTGGGCAGCGACGGTGAGTGGGGGGAGAGAGCAGCGAGCAGCGAAAAGCCGCTTGAGTATAGAGAATACAAGAAGAGGGTTACAGCGTTACATATGTCACACCCATCACACATCGATTGTCTACGGGTTGAAGTCTGTCGTAAAAAAACCAAACTCAGTTCATCGTTCCTTATGCTAACTACCACGTACCTTCCTCGTCCACTAACGTATTTTCATCAAGGCATGCCTCAATATACTCAGAAGTTACAAGACGCCTTCGTTTCGGCCTACCCTCGTCAGTCCTAATCGTGGGAAAAAAACAATAATCACACACTTGGACGTTCGTTTGATGAGCTCCACCCGCCGACTTGTGTCGCGTTTATCAAGCACCACGTGTGTTAGCTTGACGTCGTTGAGGTCAACAACTTTGCCGCCATGCTTCCCGATAACTGCTTCCAGTTCCGCAAAGCTAGGCTGGTTTCAATAGGAGCGACTAGGAAACAACAATCACCTCTTTTCGACGGCAGCTTCCTGCTTGTCCTTCACCTTCATCCCATTTTGGCGTGCATTAGTTGGCGTGTCGAGATAGAAACATCTGGATGGGGTCAGTCTGGTTGTACGATGCCACGGAAACATTTACAGATGCTTGAAAATCATTTCTTGGTCATATTCCATCGCAGTGTCGTCCTCACCCATCCTCGCCTCTTCCTGTATACGGTCAGATAAGTCATGTGCACGAAGCACTGAGAAACCTCTTCTAAGCTGATGTCTGCATCTAGAGTGGGTTTCACATCTAACCAGTCATCCTCAGGCTGGTCAACTAGATTCACATCGTCGTTATCAGAGTCATTCTCCGTCTCTGAATCGGATAATGCTGCTTTGGCGTCGTTTGCGAGGTTGGGTTCATCAGCCTCAACTTTGAACCACTCCTTTAATGTTCCTTCCTCCTCAAGTTTGGGATCAATGACTTTTTCCTCGTCCTCCAACTTGGTGTCAGTAGTCGTTGCCATTGCATCTCCCGTAGACAGATCATCTCCGTCTTCTTCATGGTCGTATTCATCGTGCGCTCGACGGGCCTCCGTGGCGTGGATAAAGTACCTAAACCAAACCATTCACTGGATTCAAGGTCAGAGTATCAAATGTTACTTTTTGCGAAACGGTGCTCTTCCGCCCAAGGACACTGAATCCTTGATCCATTTGGGTTTGATAACGTCATAGAGACCTTTTCTGATGTGGCTTTGGACTGTGATGGCTGGACATATGTCAGCGATACGGGCTAACAAAAGTGGACTGAACGCAAACCCTGTTCTGGACCTTCGTAAACTAGGAATACAGAAGACTCAGGGGGAGTTTTTGGCGGTATCTGGAGCATTTTCCCGCCATGAGATTTGATCCTGCATGATAGTCAGAAGATGAACTGGGTACTATGCGAGAGTAGCAACAGCTTGGAAAGCTCTTTCTTATCTTCTTCCCGGGTTGGAGACTTCATATTAGGTAATATCACTGCGAATAGGATGGTCAATAAACACCAACGGAAGGTGAACGCTTTACCGAATGTGGTCTTAGAGAATATGTCGGATTCAACTTGAATGTTGCCTAGTTTCTCGCCCTTGAAGACCGATAGCAATTCCACCTGGATTACGAGTCGGAAAACCAAGAGCTATGTGGGGAATGGAGGATGCCTTTTTGGTCTCGGTAACCTTTCTTCGTTTCTTGGAACTGTTTTGGTAAGATGGTGGTGTCTTATGTGTAGAGAGCGATTACCCCGTATCACTTTCTAATACCCGTTTCTTGACTGTGAGCAGACTAGCAAGAACCGCTAAGAGTGCAATCAGTGAACGAATGTCCCATGATTGTAGATCCAATCAACCTGATGCGGTCATACAGTCTTCGACCATCAGGTCATCTCGAATAGAGAGAGCTCGAGGAAATCGCATCGTGTAGCCGAGGTGGTATTGTTCTAGTGATATGATGAGTGTTTTACCACGCAGATGGGTAGAGACATACCTGATATCACTATTTCTGCCGCTTTCACTTTTAAAATGAACGAGCTTCACTGATGAGTATGAAGTTCACGAGCAAATAAGGACCTACTCTTCCGGTAATATGTACACATCACCTTTGTCCTCGTGGGATTTTTTGGCGGTTTGCAGGAAACTAGGGGGATTCTTTGGGTCCCATATCTTCCATGGGAGCGAGCGGACCCAGACATAATCAGCAAAAGAGAGTCCCGATCCAATGCGCACGAATGAGCTGTACCTAGATTTTATGATAAGAAGGAGTTAATGAAGAGGGGGAATCTTGAACTTGGGCTCCTCGTCGGGATCCGTAGGTTGTCGTCGGTCGTCCAGCACCGCGCAAATAAGAGTCGAAACACCACCACCACGATTACCACTGCCGTAGTTCGCCGCAACCACGAGAACGTCGACGGTTTCGCCCATCCCATCCTACCAAAAAGCTGCGGTCGGATTCAGAATGACAAGGTATCGTCGCACCATATATTCAGGTTTGACCTGGACAGTGTCAGCCAAGCGAATATTTGATATCTAGAAACGTTGCCAACTTTAATCCAATCCAAGTTTCGTCCATTTAATATGTACTGAGAGGCTGGGTGTTTAATCACAAGGCCTTCGCCTCTGGCTTCCATGATCTCGTCCATCCTTTGGCGCACGTCTTTGGCCGTTCTACCGCGATATTCGGCAGCGTATTCAATTCGGCCTTTGATTTCTTTGAAGCACTTCCTCATGTTGTTCTTACGGAATGAGACAGGCTTTTCGATGAGCGATTGCCCATTGAGATACAACAGGTCAAAGACCTTGACTGCAAAATAGTCAGACCAGGTTGGGACGGAGAAAACTCAAATGACAGCATGGGCGAGGGTTATGCTCTTTCTTGGACTTGTCTGTGATCGTTTGTCAAATAGAATTCTGAAAACCGGTCAAATGCACACCGAGAGCAGCCGTTTTGAGAGTTCCGAACGGAAGATTGCGCTCGGAAACAGGGTCCCAGACGAGCATCTCCCCATCCAGAATGATGCTTTTTATCTTTAGTGCGTCGTGTCGGTTGGTAGACAACATGGCTCACTCTTCAACGCGAGGGTCAAATGCTTTAGCAATATACGGTGTCAAACTACCCGTGCCAACATGTTTTCCGTAGAGATAAGTGTAGTCTTTTCCCTTTCTGCAAGGAAGTGAGATGCTTCGACTTGATAAAGAGAAGCAAGACCTCGAACAATAGAAATATTCGTTTCCACGCTTATGTAATTGCATACGTTCACCATCGAGCTTTTCCTCGATATAAAATTCCGTTCCGCCCATTTCTTTCACGGTGGCTTCTATGGTGCGAGTAGGGCGCTTACAAAGCATGGGGGCGAAAGCAGCGCAAAGTTTGACTGCTTTATCCTACAAAAGATTAGCGTGAAGAAAATGTTCCGAAAGCAGGTTGGGAACCTCTTTATTTAGTCGAGTGGAAGGATCCCAGAGTTGCCACGCAACTTTCTTCAGGTCAGAACAGGTATTGTAGAGATCCTGCGCGTCTGGATGGAAAACTGAAAAGACGGTCGTTTCCTTGACTGAGATGACCATGTCTATACCATTGCGTGTGAGAGACTTGTGCGGAGAAATGTGAGGCAGGGAAGGATACCTTTTAGAATGATTCGAGTAATCCATCGCTGCTCCTCTGGGGTACAGCGGTCATAGACTCGTTGAAGAATGCTTGACTGTTCTTGCCTAGGTAGTGATGAGCAGAGTCGTCGTGTTTCTGAAAACAGTACTGTTTGCCCATGTTCTTGCACAAGTCGTCCAGAACATCATTCAAGTCATCCACTGAAAGGGACCCTTCAATCACTGAAGAACGCTTGTTGACCACCTCGTATAGGACGGTAGGGAAGTCGCCAGACGCTTTCTAAAATCAAACCTCAGAGTCATGCAGAGACGTATAGACAGCAAACACATTTTGCTCCGTGGGTTTTTTCCAGTTCAGGAGTCGAATCGCATCGGGGTCTCTTAGTCCAAGCGGGATGAGTTTGATGTACGCTTTAGCAAGTGTCTTCTCCTTTAAGCCATAGACAGCGCGCTCCCGGTCTTTCTATACGGAGAGCGTTAAATTTATAAGCTCAAGGAGTTGAGCCAGCTTGCCTGGGGCAATATTAAACGCAATACTGGGTATAGGTCGTATCCCTTCTCATCTCTCCAATGCTAACGAAGACTTGGAGACTGTGTGAAGACGACAAGGCCTAGACATACGTTGAACCACGTGGCAATGAGTTTCTTCCTTCGATCCTGCTTTCGCTCATTCGACAAGCGGTCGAAGAGAGCAGCAAGAATACTAAAGGGTGCGCTGCCCGTATTCTCGGGCGGTGTCGGGTAGTCGCTAGGGTCTGACTTGGATTTGAAGACGGTGTCTGTCGCCATAACCAGTCGCGTGTGGGCGTTCGAAACAAGGTTGTCACACACTAACGGTAACGTGACCCTGACTTGCGTTGACTCTGACCAGCGAGTTCAAGTCATGGCGGGGTTGGACACCATCCCTCGTCTCCCTGGCGTGCCACTGGATCCCAAGCGCATCGGTCTGTGGAAAATTGGAAGGACCATAGGGACAGGTGCCTCTGGTGAGTTGTTTGTGGTGGCTGATGTTAGCACTCAGTATCTCTTCTTCTAAGGTCGTGTTCGCATTGCTCGCCACGCCAAGACTGGACAGTATGCTGCTATAAAAATTGTTTCCAAACTAAGCTTCGACCCAACTACACCTCTCAACTGCATCAGCAGCACCACAGACTATAATCTTGTTGCGCTTGAACGTGAAATCGTCGTCATGAAGCTGATCGACCACCCCAACATCATGCGTCTCTACGACGTTTGGGAGACATCGACTCATATGTACCTCATACTCGAATATGTTCAAGGAGGCGAGTTGTTTGAGCATCTTTGCAAACGCGGTCGACTTCCCACCGAAGAGGCTCGAGGTTATTTCCAGCAAATCATCTCTGCCATCGACTATTGTCATCGCTTCAATATTGCGCATCGCGACCTCAAGCCGGAGAACATTCTTTTGGACGAGCAATCGAACATCAAAATTGCCGATTTTGGCATGGCGGCATGGTTGACCAACGGCATGCTGCAAACTTCGTGCGGGAGTCCCCACTACGCAGCTCCAGAGGTATTCGACTCTCGACGATACGAGGGTTCTGGGGCAGATATTTGGTCATGTGGTGTCATTCTGTTTTCCTTATTGGCTGGGCGATTGCCTTTCGAGTCTGACGACGACGATATGGACGCCCTGGTACCGAAAATCCTAGGCGCCGCATACGATATGCCTCAAGACATCGATCCCAGTGCTCAAGACCTCATACGCAAAATGCTCGTTGTCAACCCTCATCAGCGTATCACGATGCCTGAACTTCTACAACATCCATTCTACAACTTGAACAAGCCTATCACCAGCTATCACGTTCCTTCCCTCGAGAATATTTCCCGCCCAATCACCAACGGAACTCCTATCGATCCCGATATACTTGCCAACCTCCGTGCTCTGTGGCATCCAACTCCCGATGAGGAGATTCTCGGAAGTCTGAAAAATGAGGAACAAAATTGGCAGAAAGGTATATACCACCTTCTTGTCGACTATCGCAATCGCCATTCCGAAGATTATCACGAAGAGGAAAAGCTCGCTGAAGCTCGACGGCAAAAGAGGAAGCAGAAACGCCAGCAACAAACCCTTTTCGCAGTCTCTTCAAACTCAACTATTGTCAGAGTACTACGACAAGCTGAACTTCCTCCTCGGGATGGACCGCCTACTCCTCGAAGAGCTGTACGCCGTTCATCATTTGCCAATGACTCACCCATGGTCCCCAAAATCCAGTTTCTTCCTGCTACTCCTACACCTGAGAAAACTGGTCATCTTGCTCCTCAATCTGCCGATACAGATATCAAGATGCAGGCTGCTTGGAATCAAATTGCCGAGGATCTCAATACTGGGACAAAAGACTATCCTGAACCTTTTGCTTGGAGTCATCTTCCCTCTCTAGGTACAACTCTTGATCGCTCTGATACTGCAAGCACGCGCCCCCTCAGCATCCAGAGGAAAGTCCAGCCGTCACGTGCCAGAGTTGAAGCAGATATGGAGGACAAGGAGAATGTGGCCGATCCGTCCGTGGGAACTGTCCCCAAGTCGTCATTGAAGACAGGCAAACATGGGAAAAAAGCGATGCCTTCAGACAAACGAGTCAAAATCATGGCGCCAGCACCTTTCTCAAAACTCGGAATACGCAGAGTATCACCCTCGTCTCCGGTTCCAGGCTTGCCTTCGAGATCTACTTCTATCTCCGTCTCTCCCAAACGTCGGTGGTTGGGAGGTGTCTTTAACTCGAAACCCGTCGCAGTGACCTTTGAATCATTCTATGACATATACACTACCAGAAACGAGTGTCGACGCTTGTTGATGGAAATGGACTTGCGGGTGGTGTTGGGCGATGCAGAAGGACTCGGGGTGCTTCACTGTCGTCTTGAAGACACCAAGCATCCAAGCGTTCTCATGGCAACGATGAAAGCAGTGCAATTCAGAGCAGAAGTGCAGCGATTTGTCCATGCACGAAATGAAGAGTCAGTTTCGGTCCGAGTTGTCTACGAGAAAGGGTCTGTAGACACGTTTAAAGAGGTTTGCAAGCGGCTGTCGAGAAATTGGGACCTCGATCAATTTGTCGACTGAAGTTGGATACCCTTGATCTCGTTGGAATTACATTGCAATGTACTACCTAGCAATCCTTTCGGCAACCCCTGTGAGTAGCCCTCCCAGCCATTGACCCGTCTTACGAAGCTCGCGAACTGGATCACCATTATGACGATTGCCGTAGACGGAGACAGCGATTGCAACACCCAAAACGAGGGTAGCACCGACGATGAGGCCTGTGTTGTTGGACATTCGCTTGTGAGGACGTCTAGGGGTGTTCTTCTGTTCTGGTACGGGAAGAGGTTCAGGGTAGACAATCAGGTCCAGGCGTTGGACCATTCTTTCGGCTTCGTCGGACGAAGGCATGTCCTTTGCACGAGCTGACCAAGTGAATACGACGCTTTGTGGGCCCATTATGGAAGACAGGCGAATGGAAGGATGTGTCGGTGGGTATCTATTGTAAAGTTGATCTGATGCCGCAAGTAGGGCGGTCAAAACCTGGGGTTTCGGTTTTGGACGAGTAGGTAGAGGCGGGTCGCATTCGTCCTCAATGGGTTCAGAAGACGATTCTCCGACAACAATCGGAGCCGGGGATTCGTCGATTGATGGCGCTGCAAGCTGCCCAAGAGGTTCGTTCATGTTCTCAGATTGGTCCATAGAAGGAATTTCGTCCTCGTTGATTTCCGGTAGCTTCTCTGAGTTGTCATTCAGACTCAAGAATTCTTCCACGATGTCTGTATCATGATCCACCAAAGTAGGCAGAGCTGACATCAGTGAATGCAGCATGCCCTCCTCGCCTTCTTCCTCTAACCGTTGAACGTCGGCTTTACGCGACAAAATCACCTGAACCAAGGTAAGTAACGTCTACAGGAACCGGTGACTATTCGTCTGACCGCAGTTGCGAGGTATACCACCATGATTGGTGGACGACAGAGGAGATAATCGAAGGTGTGTTGTATCAGAGGTAATGTCGGCATGTCGTGCGCAAACATAGTCAAGAGATTGGAAAGCGCGTAGTAAGGCAGCGGGGCAGTTCTTGTCAACAAGTAAGCTTTAACAAAATGAAGAACGCATCAACAAACTGTTCTAAAAGAGCCGCATACTCTGGATCCACAAGACGAATTAGATTCCTCGTAACACGTAAAAGTCCCAAGACAGGCTCCAATGTCGAGCCCATCGAGTCCCTCACTCGTTGGAGGCTTAATTGCTCAGCGCAGGATAGTTGCAATTCTGAGGGTAGTGTAAGCAATAGCACCGTGATGATGTCGTGGTATCCCTTGAGCAGTAATTAGTGAAGAGTGGAAAAGTTTGGAAGGCATCACCTGGAAGTAACTTAGACCAGGCCTCTTGCGGAACAGTTGAACTAGTAGCTCATGAAGCTCATTTTGTAACTCGTCCTTGTCGGCTTTGGTATCTGGTTGGACTTAATGACATAGAGCGAACGTCGGAGGACATTTTCACCTACGGGATATAGCACAAAACTGCGTTCGGTATCGAGACGAATTTGTCGTTCATCGGGGTGTGAAGGCAAGTCACTAGCGGTAGGGTCCATAGGCTGACCCTCAGAAACATGGAGTAATCTTGACCTTGGAGAAATTGTCAAGCGTGATACCCCAAACAATAACTGGTGCGCACCAAATTTCAACACGTCGCTGTCTAAACCCATCCTCCTCCAGACTCAGGAGTCTATAGTCGTCCCATTGGTCAAGTGGGGTGTTTTCAGAATTCATGGTCGTTGCATTTGGTCAAGCGAAGATGTCACCTCATCAAAGCTTTACCTCATCCCGTACTCGTAAACGCCGTTTTGCTTCAATACGACGTGCATGCACGCAATCCTGCTACTAGACCACCATGTCTGAGTTCACCCCAAGAGCTGTGGCTATCGGACTACTCATTGGTTGTCTGCTTTGTTTTGCCAATCTTTCTTTTGGTCTTCAGACAGGGTATGTTTGTAAGCTACAGTCTTTGTCGCCTAAACACTCGAGTCGTTCAGATGGATTTCTATGATGAGCCTCCAAAGCGCCCTCATTGGCTATCTCGTGTCTCGAATACTACCCACAGGGCCACTGAGTGCCCAAGAAATCATTGTCGTACAAACTACAGCAGTCGCTACTGGGACAATGCCTTTAGCTGCCGGCTTTGTTGGAATAATTCCTTCACTCAAATTACTTGATCCTGAACGAGATGGCTCCGAACCTATCACTCTATCTTGGATTTCCGCCGTCGGGTGGTCTTGCGCCGTTGCCTTCTTCGGGTCGGTACCATTACCCAACCTCGCAGTTTTGCTGATTCATCCGAGCGTATTTTTATCTCCCCCGATTCGAAAACAGGTGGTGAGCACGTTGGGAACAGAAAAAATCGTCTAGAAGCTTAGCATCGACTAGATTGTGAAGGAAAAACTTGCGTTCCCCTCTGGTGAGTCCAGTTGTCGGGTCATATAGCAGCTGCTTAATCCTAGTGCTTCAAGGGACCGCAACTGCGCAACTAATTGCAGTGTTGCACGAAATTCCACCGCCAGAAACCAGCATTCGACGACGTCAAGGATACTCAGCAGTCGAGAATGAAGACCAAACAGTGCAAGACGAGGTTGAGTCCGATGAACAGACACCTTTATATACTCCGGCGTCTGATAGTGCACAATCTGAGAGTTGGAAGGCGTTCGGCTCAAGTTTCATCGCTGCTGGGACACTTACACTGTTTGCCTATTTCTTTCCTGCTATCTTCTCAATTCCGTTGTTTGGCTCCTATTTGGCCCGAAACTGGCTGTGGACATTCACTCCCAGTTTAGCGTATGTTGGCCAAGGGATTATTATGGGTATGTTTTGTTCAATATATCCTCTTATGGATTCTTTGACCTTGCTTTAAGGCTTCCCCACCACTGCAAGCATGACTTTCGGTATGCTAGTTGGCTGGGGCGTTCTCTCCCCGCTAGCCAAGTTGTCGGGCTGGGCTCCAGGCCCAATTGGAGACATGACAGACGGCGCACGTGGCTGGATTTTATGGACCTCTTTGGCCGTCATGTGCGCGGATAGCCTGGTTTCTTTGTTTCCTGTCCTTGTCGAATACGTAACCGGTTTCTTTGCGCAGCGGAAAGAGGAAGAAGAGGACTCGGAGACAGTTGATCGCCTCGTACCCACAAGCTGGGTGATCAGTGGTGTGCTCGCCAGCCTCATCATTGGCACATTTCTCGTCTGGCTTGTATTCGGCGATGAGGGTATTAGGCCTTGGGCGACTTTGGTTGGGTTTATTTTCGGTGGTCTGCTTAGCATTCTCGGGTATGCCGCAAACTCATGCGATGAAGGGTCACTGATTTATTGGCCGTGTAGAGTCCGCGCGCTGGGGGAGACGGACATTAATCCTGTGTCGGGTCTTGGCAAAATATCACAGCTGTTGTTTGCTTGGATCCAACCTGGCAACATCGTCGCAAATATCATTGCTGGTGGGGTTGCTGAGGCAGGGGCTCAACAGTGAGGCATCAAGCTTTCAACGTGCCTTCGTTATATTCCTCCATAGAGCTGGCGATCTTATGCAAGATTTGAAGACTGGCCATTTGTGCGGTGCCTCGCCTCGAGCTCAGTTTTATGGTCAACTTGTGGGATCGGCCGTCTCTATCCTCATCACCGCGACCGGCTACTCGCTCTATACTCGCGCATATGAAATTCCTGGTCCCTCTTTCCCTGCTCCAACTGCTTATGTCTGGCTCAGTTTGGCGCGTCTTCTCCGTAGGTTTAGAGATATGCAGCCAGCTTTTCTTGCACTGATGAACTGTTGCAGGGGACGGACAACTCCCTGAGAACACAGCGGCATTCATGACTGGCTTTGGCGCCATATTTGCCCTTATCTCTGCCATCAAGTCATATGCCGCCCAACGGGAAATATCTTGGCATTTTATGCTGCCTTCTGGTGTTGCCTTCGCTGTTGGGTTCCTCAATACGCCATCATTCACTATTGCTCGCCTTATTGGCGGTATCGTCGAGCACATCTACGCAAAACGATATGCACGAAGCAAAAACGACATCAAATTAATCATCATTGCCAGTGGATTTGTCTTGGGTGAAGGTGTAGTGAGTGTGGTGTCGTTGTTACTCAAGACTTTCGGAGTCGGCGTGATAAGCTGCTTTGGGTGTGTTCCGGGACTGTGTGGAGGGTGTCCTGCTTAATTTTTTTTGTACTCTGGGACCATAAAGACATCCCCTAATTTCCGCCATAAACGGCCGCGGGAGTAAATAAAAAATTTACTATGACGACTTACGGTAAGGTTTAGATCTGGCCATTGAGAACTTGGTCCCTGCCGCCACCACCAACGAAAATCTGTTCTTGAAGCACCCACACTCATTTCCCTCTTTCCCTGTTATCTTTTCCCGTCCGACTGTCGCTGCAGGGTCTCTTGACTAGAACCCCACGCTTTTGGATTGTCGGCTAACATTGATCTGACGTGAGTTGCTATTTTTTGATGTCAACTTTGGGTGTCACGGTTTTCTTGCCCTCTTGTTCTTTCCCGCCCACGAAAGGCAAGCCACGAGGCAAAGCCCGTCATCACACACGAGGCTCGCGCGCCAATCCGACCGCCAACCGCCTCGCCTCGTCCTACCGTCGCGTCTGGCTGGTCAATAACCCAGAAAATCCATAAAAAATCTCTATCGCGCCGCATTGACGGACCCTACTAACTATTTACGCGTTTCTCCTCAACGAACATGTCACGACAACCTACAGAATCACCCACCAACGGCTCATCAGTTGCAGGTGTTGAATCACTTCTGGAGCAACTACAACAACAATCTGAAGAGCCGTCCTCTGGCTCACAAGGCCGGCGCATGTCGAAGGACTCTGAGGGGTATCCTTCCTGGCTTCCCAAGCGACCTCTCCACCCTGCCCCCGCCTCAACCGTCCATGGATCAGTCAGCGACGGTCAGTTTATTGGCGGTCGCAAACCCACTCCACGTTCAGTGCGGATTGTCAGCATGCAAGACGCGTCAGTAGATCGGAGGGAGCCTACAGACCAAACAAAAGTTAACATTCCACCACCTCGAGTCTGGTCTCGTGGGATGGGGACCCCTCTGGTTGTCGCAGCTCCAGAACCTCAGCCTCCCCAACCACGCTTTCACGCTACTGGTCTCCATCTCGAACTCCTTCGTAACCCCGGACTCAAATCACGACTTCACTTCTATCTTTTCCCCTTCTTGGTCCTCGCCCATATTCCTCTCCAAACTTTTTTTGACTTCAACGCCGTGTTCATGTTGATCCAGTGAGTGTCGTACACTTGATCAATGGTTTCATTTTGCGCTCATTAATCGCTTATCAAAGGATTTCCAAGTCTCCGAACCCACAAGCGCCAGGTGTGCCTGGCTCTGGTCGGAACTGGACGTTTGCTGCCGCGGCTTACGTCGCTTGCTGGCTTGTTTGGATTTTTCCGGTCGTCCTTGTCTATGAGCTTGTTTATTCCTTCGTGCGGAGATGGCGCGTCCGTGAGTTGTTTGCTTCTGTTTCACCCTTATTTGGCTCACCTCATTGCCATCTAGGACGCCCAGTGGTACTCCCTCTTTATCTCTCCTCATCAGGATATAATTTTGTTTGCATGACCTCCTTTACAAACTTTTGTTTTATGCAGCATCTTCGTCGCGCCGCTTTTTTTGGCGAACGAGGAAGTTGGCGAGATGGTATGGCGGAAACCTTCTGGTTCTATTCGCAGAATCTGCCGACCGTTGCTCTGCTTTTGCCGCGTGCGGGACTGTGCCTCGCACTTCTTCTAGCCTTTTCGACTCCTGACGCTGGAATCGTGGCTTTGGCTGATGCTGGACTGAACCACCGAGACAAAACTTTCTTCCGAGTCCATGATGGCACGCTCACTAGCTATGCTCGTGGCGTATTGATCGCAAACGCAGCTTGGACTGCATGGAGGGCCCTTGTGGTTCTCTGTAGTTGGTATGTTTGTCAACACCAAAACTGACTGATCATTTGCTTACGTGAGCCCAGGATTGGTCTTTGGATAATGAGTGGAACCGGCTGTGCTGGTCTTTGTGGCCCCCGGAGTCGCTGGGAAGAAGAGGATGCAGAGAAGACGATATCGGTTTACAGCGACAACGTGTCAGATTTGGAATCTCTCCCATGGCAATGGCGAGAGGCGACGGCCTTACGGGTACAAGAAGCTTTCGAGTTTTGCCTCACCGTCAAACAACGATGGAGCAGACGTGACAAAGAGAAGAAGGATATCACGGAGACAGGCGATGTTATTGGCGAGGCCCCAATTGCGTATGAAGGAATGGAGCGAGTCATGGCCGTTGCTGGATTTCCTTCAGTTCCTCCGCCTGCTCGACGCGGAGTTCTTTCTGGTGATTTGTTCGACAGTCCAGTTGCCAAATCACCTGAATTTGGCGACATTATACCGAAAGTTGCCAGACGATCTTCGAAGGAGCGCGAAAGCGAGGGTCCACTGATGACTCTTCCATATCCATTCACTGGTCCTAAAGCCCAGATGTCGTCGCAAGATCGGGTGCCGTTCCCGCCATCACCTCGGCCATCAGCCGACAAGAACGGCAGCAGCGGCAGTTTGGATGACGGTAACGAGGAAGTGGATGATGATGATGATGACGAGGAGGAGGAGGAAGATGACGAAGATGAGCTGGTTCTAGGCAGCGAAGAGCCGTCGTCTGGCCGTGCTTCCGGTTCAATGTCAAGTCTCGGTCACCCCGTCACATCACGTTATCCGTTCCAATTCAGGCGACCCGGCCGGGGAACCAGCGGTTCATCGCATGCATCGCCGACCAACACTTCTCGCCATACGCATACACATTCGCAAAGTACCGGAACTGGACCTAATGCTCGCTCACTGCTTTCCCAATCCACTGGCAACCGTGAATCCAGTGACTCTCATGCTCCTAGATCACAACATTCTGCCAGTGCGAGTAGTTCGTCAATGCCAGCAAAGTCGCAACATAGCGCAAGTGCAAGTAGCGCTTCGCTGGGAATACCTATGCCACCTCGTCATCCCCAGCAAGGACGGGCCAGGGGTCGCGGTAGAACTCGCGCAGGTACTGTTCCGGCACCGTCAACATCATCGTCGTCTATTTCTATGCCTCCGCCTACCCCAGTCGACTTCCCTCGTCGGCCAAGAGCAAGAACCGGTGAAACTTTGCAACCGCAACCAGCTGTGGGACCAAATGAGTCATTCGAGGTAGCTTCGGACGAAGACAATGAAGATGAAGATGAACGCGAAGACCAACTTGGATTGCTGACTGGCTCGGCGTCTCCCAGTCCGAGAACTTCACTCAGACAACGAGCCAGTAACATCTCACTCTCGTTGTCGGCTCCGCAGAGGCGAACCTCGAGGTATAGCAGCTCACAGTCGGGATCTGGCAGTGGCAACTCCCGCTCAAGGACCCAATCGCACAGTGGATCGTCATCAGCAAGGTCAAGGGCGGACTCGCTGAATGCAGTGCGCTCCAGGGCGCAATCACTTTTACAAAACATGGGTCACAATGTAGGGCTTGGTGCTGGCTCATTCGAGGGTGTGGGAATGCGGATACGAGCCAACTCGTCGATGGCCCGACTTGAAGAGGACATGAACTCAGAGCCCGGGAGATCTCGCTCTGGAAGTAATGCGAATACGCATTCACGCTCTGGAAGCGGCTCTGATGGACTAATGAGCAGCGGAGAAAACAACACTTTCGGCCATCCGCTGCGAACTCAATGGCATGATGTTGCTGGAGTTCCACCTTCACCCGTGCCTGAAGGCTCCTCTGAGCATAGCGACAACGCGTCCGACATGTCGGATCATCAAGAAGTTGAACATTCTCAACTGCAACCCGCCCAATCTCGTTCAACAGTCTTCTCTGCGCCGTCGTTTGTTACTGAACAACCGTCAGAAGGCACCATTTCGCGATCTCCCAGTGCTGGGAGAGTTGCACCAGAGCCCGCGGGTATTCCTATACCTATTATTCGCACTGGACTCGCTCCTCCTGAAGGGGGAGAATCGTCAAGCAGTTACCCCGACCTCAGTAGTGCTCCACAGTCATTTGTGACGGCACCCGCTACCATTGAAGGCGCCACTACGGAATCAAGCGGTCGGACTGTCTCTAGCTGGGATGCCTCCCATATGCATATGGGAACTGGCGGTGGACGTGGTCCTCCAGAAGGCACTTGGCGCCATCCTGGCCCCGCTTAAGCACCATTTGATCACTTAACTTTATCTCATCCGCATCTTCAACCAGTACTTTATTGACCACCACCATTTGTATCATATTGCCATCTTCCACACTTAACCCTCTCTGTACGCGCCACCCACCTCCTGGTTTACCCTCAATGCTCGTTTACGGACCACTCGGACGGATGGAAAAGGCTACCTACTCACACCAGATTAAACCTTAGCGTCGCCTAGTTTCTCCCTAGTCTACCACACCAATTCGAATTCCACGCATTTCTCCTGTTTTGTTCAGTTCACTTGTCGTATCTTATCTTATCGGCCACGACTCAAAAACACGTCAGTGAATGTTACTAGTGGCTGGGTTGAGCGTCTACTACTATGTCTCGGATTGAGCTGGCCAAAATACCGGCTCTGACCTTTTACAAGGATTCACTAACGGAAGCTAGACGAACAAGGTATGCTACAGTGTTTTTGTGCCCCTCTTGTCTTACGTCGACAGCCCGATTCCACAACTCACCTGCATCGGCAAGCCATGCAAACTCTTCACTCCCGAGGCATGTGGCGAGCGCGAGAAGCGGAATACCTCCGAATATAACCCAATCCAATAGGTTGTTAGATGCGAATCGCTGGGAGGGTCGGGTACAGAGGTGGACTGGAAATGTCAGGCAGACTTGCCCGACTCATTGCGGTTTGGGCGTGTTGAGGTTTCCTGTGAAGGTGAGTTCTCTCTTAGTCCAGGAAGAAGTAAAATGCTCAGAAATTGGAGGCTGGGCGAGGCCTGGCGATGCATATGTTCTCAAAGGTAAGTGTCAACCTTTCAGTTTTCGTTGTTGACCATCACTTCTAGGGTCCTGCGCTCTGGAATATCGACTTGTCCAAGTACCAGGCACCCTTCGAAACAGCGATTCAGACAATGCATATGGAGTCAAGGAAGACGGCTGGCTGACAACGACTGTGTTTATGGTTATTTGGTTTGCGGTCCTCGCAATTATTGTCTACTCCTTTGTCAAATCCTGCATGAATGGCGGGACAGGAAACAGGGTTGGCGGTGGGCCTCGTCCGGGCCCACGGCCCGGTTATGGTGGCTTCTTCCCTGGGGGCTTCAACGACAATGACGCTGCTCCTCCACCGCCCTACTCCAAAACCAACCCTGACGCAACCCCAAACCAAAATCAAGGCTGGCGACCTGGCTTTTGGACTGGCGCAGCCATAGGAGGTCTTGGGGCTCACCTCTTCAACAACCGCCAGAATAACCGCGCTTATGACTGGGAACGAGAGCGCATGCATCCGAATGCAAATCGTTTCCAATTCCAATCACGACGGAGCGGGCCTCGGTACTCGTCAGATGACCGTGGCGAAGGCTCGTCAAATTTGGGTGCTATGAGGCAGAGTACTGGGTTTGGTGGCTCCAATGTACGATGAAAGAGTGCTTATCGGTGTGTTGACTATTGCTACCTGCTTTCCCGAAGTAATTATGGCTTAGATGTAAAAGTGTATGCTCCGGCGAATAGCCGTCTTGTAGTCGTTCAGACAATGTGATCACACCTGGCTGCCGGGAAAATCGTCGGTTGGAAGCTCGTTGACTTGTGATCAAGGACCGCTCCAGCAATAACCTCCGAACCCGAGATTGAGAGCCGTTGCCATGATTCTCAGGGAACTTTTTCGGGTAATCCCCACAGTATATAATCGACAGGTCTTTATTCTTCAAACAAACTGACCATCCTCGAAAATGCAGTTGCTCGCCGCCCTTGCAGCTCTCGCCGTCGTCGTATCACCAGCAGTAGCAACTGTACCAATTTATGGCCAGTGCGGAGTTGAGGAACCTTTTGTACTTGGAGTTCAGATCACTGACCGTTCTCCAATAGGGCCAAGGATGGGGAGGTGACACAGTTTGCGCCTCGGGATCGGTTTGCACTGTGTTGAACCCTTGTGGGTTGCTTCAAACTGATATATAATTCACATCCAACTGACATTTTTAAAGACTACAGCCAGTGTTTGGCCGGCTCTGGCAGCGGGACAACAACTACGTCAGGTCCCACGACTACTTCGTCAGCACCGTCTTCCGGTGGGACATCCTGCTCCAACAGGACAAAGTTCAAAGTAAAGAGTGAAACTATTTGCTGTTCTGCAATTGACGCGACTAGTACTTTGGTGTCAACCAATCTGGCGCTGAGTTTGGCCAGAACACCATTCCTGGAACCTGGGGCAAGGACTTTACGTTCCCCGTAAGCGCTACCGTACCATGCTACCACCCGTACTCGTTTGCTGACTCCGGGAAAGGCCCCCAGCTCAATCGACGTGGGTTCGACTATCGTAACGCGGTCACGTGGCTAACACGCTTCAATTAGTATTTCGTCGGAAAGGGTTTCAATTTCTTCCGTGTCCCATTCCTTATGGAGCGTATGGTCTCTCCATCCACCGGAATTACTGGACCGCTGGTCTCTTCCTACCTGGCCAACTATACTTCCGTAACTCATCTTCACTTGCCTTGTCTGGAGGAACTTGACTCGACCTCAGATCATCAACTACATCACCAACACCAAGGGTGCATATGCTGCTATTGACCGTAAGAAAAGCTGGCAGCATATCATGTCCGCCTATTCACTGAACCGATAGCCCACAACTTCATGTCTTTCAACGGAGCTCAAATCACTAACACCGCTTCGTTCCAAACTTGTTCGTGACTTTTCATCTAGTACTATTCACGACTTGATACGCTCATCAGTCTGGACCAACCTTGCTGGACAATTCGTACGCTATTGTGCATCTCAGGGATGATTTACTAAACCAAACTCTCTCTCAGAAATCCAACTCCCGCGTCATTTTCGGTAGGTTTGTCTTTTTCAATCACAAATTGTGGGTGCTAAAAGATCTCATAGACGTTATGAACGAGCCTAACGGCATTGCTGCCTCCACCGTTTTTGCTTTGAACCAAGCTGCTGTCAATGGCATCCGTGCCAGTGGAGCCACCAGCCAACTTATTCTCGTGGAAGGCGAGTTTCTTCTTATCTAACCAGTCAGCACACTCACCTTCACACAGGAACTTGTACGCACTGATTATCTACCTAACATTCTCGTTCTAACCTTGATTCCTAATACTTAGCTTGGACTGGTGCATGGAGTGAGTGATACCATCCTGTTCATTAGATGCTCAGACTTACGCACCTTCTCAGCTTGGCAAAGCAGTGGAAACGCCGATGCTTTTGCTGCTGGTATCAAAGATCCCAACAACAACTGGGCCATCCGTAAGTTGACGCCGCCCAAAACTCTGATCCGACTAAGACATGTCCATAGAGATGCACCAATACCTCGACAGCGATGGTAGCGGTGAGTCTTCTGTAGCAATATATATTTTCCCATCTGCTTATTCGACATCAAAGGTACCAACGCAGTTTGTGTCAACAGCACCATTGGCGCGAGCCGTATTGCTGACGCGACAAACTGGCTCAAATCCCACAACTTCAAGGGCTTCCTGGGTGAAATCGGGGCTGGCAGCGACTCAACTTGTATCAGTGCGTCCCATATTCCGTTAAGATTGACTTGGGAATACTAACTTGTTTACTCAGCGGCCGTCCAAGGAGCAATGTGTGCGATGCAACAGTCTGGTGCATGGATTGGCGCTAGCTGGTGGGCTGCTGGGCCATGGTGGGGCAACGTGAGTTTTTTCACCTCCGCTGACGTAACGCTGACAAATCTCACAGTACTTCACCTCGATCGAACCTCCAAGCGGCTTGTCGATCGCCCAAATTCTCCCACAGGCTCTCATGCCTTTCCTGTAGTTGTATGTACGAATATTCACGACTGTCGACCAGCACAAAAACAAAATAAATACATGTACATTTGGCAAAACCGTGTGACATTTTTCAACTTTTTAGTCATCAAACGCAACTTGGCTTCCGACTTCCATGTCTGAATCCCAGTCTAAGGAGCCTCAGGCATTTGAGGGCTCCAAACTGCATTCTGCATGCTTCCTATACCCTGCGATAGGTGCAAATATAGTCTTGTCTTCGATTGAGAAATGGATATAAGTACCCCCAGATAACCATGCGCACCCACTGCTTGCAGAAGAGCATCGTGATAAGTTTGCATTAGAGGGTCTTATATCCGAAGCACAAGGTGCTCCTTGTACTCAACTATCGTGAACCTCATTGAGCGCGCTCTAGGACCCGCTTTGACTGAAGATTCGGTCCACACTCTTGCATGTCTGAGGGCTGTTCGACAGCTCAGCAAAATCGTAGACCTGGGTTCAGAGAAAACTTGGGAATCGTACAAAGCAGCTCGATCTAAATTACCCTACAGAGACCTTTGCCAACGATTTATGGACAAGAAAGCCACCAAAACACAGTACGCAGCACTTTCATTGAATTGACCCCGTTTCTTTTTTCGACGGTGTTCAAGGTGCATTTTTCTTGACGACGGTCTGGGAAATGTGGACGAATTTGCGGAAGGATGTGAATGGCACGATCAGTTTACCAGCAGTCCCACCAAGCGGATCGTTCGTGTCGAGATTGTTGCTGAGGTATGACCTTATCAACATCTTATCGGCTGATGGATGACCTTTTTGAAAGGGAATCCTGACATCCATGCTCCAATCGGCTCAAGCAGTCAACCATGATCTGCTCAACACTTTCAGCCGAAGCTTCGAAGAAAGTTTGACAAGCAGCGCCAATGATTCTTTGGTGGTTGGTTACAAGTCCATTGCCTGCTATCGGACTGGGCTCGACATTACTGTCTCCGAGGACGTCCAAGGAGCGGTTGCATGTCTTGCGGAAGTGAACCATTCGTTCACAGAATCAGGAAAGATTCGGCTGGCGCACAAAGCATTGAACGACCACATTGTGAGAATTGCGTTGAAGGTATCCGGCGAATGTGGCAAACCTAGTCAGTTTTCCTCTAGCACCCATACCCTAGCAAATAACACTTGCAGTTCAATTCCACACTGGACTCGGCGACAACGATCTGTCTCTTAATCATGCGTCACCCGCACATCTGCAACCTGTTATCAAGGCATTTCCAAAGACCCCATTCGTTCTGCTCCATTCTGCTTACCCATTTACCCGCGAAGCGGGCTACCTGACAGCAGTTTACTCGAACGTGTGGCTTGATTTCGGAGAGGTTAGAAAGCAGCAAAAAATCCCAATTGCGCGCCTGAGGTTCCAACAGGTCTTTCCGTTCGTCAGCGCTGCAGGTCAGCGTTCGATAATCCAACAAGTGCTTGAGTTGGCACCAACAAATAAAATTTTGTGGTCGACAGACGGTCATTGGTGGCCAGAGTCTTTCTACCTAGGTTGTCTGCAAGCAAGAGAAGTTCTATGGCAAGTTTTATCCGACTACCTACGTCGCGGGGAGTTATCGGAGGACGAAGCGGTTCTGATCGTTCAAAACGCGTTGTTCCATAACGCGAATAAGTTGTACAAGCTGGCGTTGGAGCCAAATTTGACCGAGTAGTTGGCGGTGTTCAATCAAGAAGGAGCAGTCACGGTCACGTTATAGTAAACAATCTTTGTTCCACACTCTCATGTCTGCCACGTATCCACAAATTAGCGCGTTTTTTTAATACGCTGGAAGCAGCTTGTTATCGCAGCAACTCAAGATGTATCGAAGCATAAAGAAAGAAGCGTGCTTTGGCAGTTGTAGCTGCTAGTAGGGCCAAGTAGGCAGACTTGACGTTGATATGCTTCAGACCCAGAGGAATCCAGTGGGTGAATCTACGCTACTGTTTGCTGCTATCTCCTTCAGCCCTCTACCACCATCGACCCGCTCAAATACCTTGACACCGCCGCCATTTGCGCCGCCTGCAACCAACCACTTGTCATCCGGACCCCCAAAGACCATCCCACGAAGGTGCTTCAGACCAGTGCGAACCTCTGCAACAAGTTCAAGTGTTTCCCCCTCGATGCCAAAAATTGCGATTGTGTCGCCCTCCTCCGAAGGATCGTTCCGGTTGGACACATATGCATAAGCTGTTGGAAAACTTGCGTTGGGTTTGGGTATGAGCAGTTCGGCTGCCAGCATATCGTGTGGAGGTGTGGGTGGATTGCTCATGGTAGGCTTTTCCGCGATAGCGACAGGCGTGGCCGGCAATCCATGGAATCGGTGTTTGGAGAGGGTGCTGCTGAGCTCGAGTAAGGTGTACAATGCCCCATCTAAAAAAAGCTGGTCTAAGCCCCGAAAAAAAAAGAGAGACAGGTCACACTGACCGTGGATAGCAAGATGCCGTGGCCCGCTTCCAGGAGTATAGTGGATATATGCTTGTAAAATCCAGCCACCATATTCGTCCTTGGTAAATCGGCAGACTCGGTCCGATCCGAGGTCAGCAACAAGGAGTTCAACCTGGCTATCATCGAGTAGGACTTGATGAGCATGGGGGCCCTGTTGTCGTTGGTCGTTTGGACCTTGGCCGTATAGCTGAGTGACAACTGATCCAGGGAGAAGATAGGGTGGTGTCGAGGCAATGGGGATTATAGAAATACTGCCTGAAGAGTACTAAAGAATTCATCAGCGAGCGATTGAAACACAAGTCATGAGAGAGACTGCACATTCGCAACAAAGAGCTCTGACTCGGTTGCTAGCAACGAGCAGGGGTCTTCTCCACCGCTAGACGCTGTCGAAACAATATTCGCTTTATCGCCATCGTATTTAACCGCGACGACCTTGCCATCGGTTTGTTCAAGACCAGCAAATACGAGAGATTTGTCTGCAGGATGTTGGGTAATCCAAGACGGATGGAAGCCAACTTCGACTTGGCCCTCAAGCACCAAACTTCCCTGAGACGCGTCAAACGAGAGAGTGAAGATGCTGCTGGTGTAGGAGGCGACTAAGATTCGGTTGGACATGGTAGATAAGCGCAAAAAGACCGGACGTTATTATATTGTAGTGTCGACTTACTTATTGGCGCAGAAACACCGGATCGAGTTACCGAATACCGACAATTCGCCTCTGCTTCCTTACTTCTCTTGGACAAACAAATCTCAGTACCACACAACCCCTTTCATGAGTCTACGCCCTGTCCTGATGACCTTTGCGCTTTTTGCTTCGTCTCCATTCATTTCAGCGCCAACATCGACTGACCCACCTGGGTGCCTGATCCTCACCATATTCCGTTTGCTTGGGTGCTTTTGTTGGACGATCTTCCATGCCAGCGTGTTTGGAATGTTGGCTGCCACTCCCACGCATAATCCTACTGTCATCGGAATCGCCTTATGCAAGACTCCCATCGACAGCGAATGCACCATAACATCCGCATCTCCATCACCGTCCTCTCCAAGTATGGCAATTTTCGGCTGAGCTTGTGCGTTTGGGTCAAGGCCCATTCGCTCTGCCCCACTTTGTCGGATTAGCTCCAATATCTCACTGACCCGTGTTGCTTCTGCAGAACTGCTCGATGCGATGTACTCGTCAAATGCGAGAAATTCACGCAATTCCGCAGCGGAAACAAACACGGTTGGATTCGTGGCATCCACCAATGACGCTTGTAGAGTCCGCCCAGCAATTTGCAACGTATCAACAGGTGTTCCGGTTGGGAGGAGTTTACCAGTGCGCGCTCCACCGGGATTGACAAACTCCATAATTATTTCAGAGCCTTTCCCTGGGACACCAGCGACAGTCACTTCTGGCCTATCGAGGACTGCGACGTCGTCTTCAATAGGGAAAGTCGTGTCAATTATTTTGGATGTGTTGGTATTGAACGAGCGCACTGTCATTTCACTCGCTCCAGCTGGGGGTGGAGCACAGAGTCCTTCGTCACGAGCAAACACCCCAATCATCGAGGACAGATTCCCACAGTTTCCGCTATAGTCGATGCTGCTGTCGCGGATACCAACTTGAACGAAAGTATATTCGACTTGAATGCCTTGCTGTTGTTGCTTTGGCGTAGGAGAGGATACAACACAGATTTTGGACAAACTGCTAACACCTCCACCCATCCCATTCAACTGTCGACCATGCTCTGGGTCTGGAGAGCCCATGAGGCCTAAAAAGATAGGGGGCCAGTCGCTTCGGCTGGGGGGTAGCACATCTTTTGAGAGGAATATACCCTTGGACGTGCCTCCCCTCAGAAATGTTGCTGGAAGTGACCGACGAAGAAGAGACATTTGAGTCACGGTCACATGCTAAGATTACAGATTTAGGCGAAGTGTAATTAGACTGTCCAGGGTTATTACAGCGTAAGGAGAAAGAATGCGGAGACAAGGAGTTAGTGCGCATAAAATATTCGCATGCAAGAATCGTCTAGAGCAAAAGTTCATCGTCGTTGCTGCCGTTGTTGCCACATTGCTAGCGGCATGTCTTCCTCCTCACCCCTTGCTCCCCCTCCATTAGTCATCGGCGGTGGTGTGTTCTGTGGCCTTCGAGCGTTCGCAGGGACTCCGGCGTGAGCACTCTGTCCCTTGCGAATTTTGCCATTCATGGGCGGTGGTTGTGCTACAGGCATTACCGCAGTTGCCGACAATGACCGCCCACCCAGACGTGCACCACCGGATCCTCCCTCTGGATTGTACATTGGCATTGCTTGTTTTGGTGGTGGAGATCTTGACCGTCGTTGGGGAGGAGGAGAACGTGAGGGTGGTGGTTGTCCAGCATGCCATGATGATTGGTCCACAGGCGGCATGGCTCCCGGGGGAAGGCGTTGTTGCTGGGATTGCAATGTCTCACCAGGCGAGTAATAATTATACTCCTGTTTAGGCGGAGACTGTTGTCGAGGATAACCGCTCACTGGAGGAGCCATATTCGGTCTCTGGCCATTGCCGTTGTACCCTGCATACTCTTTCTCCATCACGCGATGTTGCATCTCGTATTGAGGCCCTTTGACCGGCATTTCAGCCCGCCTTTGGGGTGGACCAGTGGAAGCTTTGGTAAGCGACCCCCTTCGCGGTGACGCTTCCCTTTTCTTGCTCTCCAACAACTCTCGTTCCCGTTGCTCCCTTTCAGCTCTCTCCCGTTCTTGCTTTTCTTTCTCTGCCTGAGCTGCCGCTTCTCTCTCAACTCTTTCTCGTTCTAGCCTCTCTTTCTCCGCATCTGTGGGTCCACTTGTCGCTGGAACTGCTTGCTGTTGCTCATTCTGGGTATTTGTCTGTGCCTTGTTGATGACGCCAAGATACCAGAACATCAGATTGCTGATTAGCACCTGCTCGTAGAGTGGTCGTCGAGGATTGGCAAGCTTGATATGGCTAAGGCGGTAAATGGCACGCTCGACATGAATGGGATAACGGGAGTAGTTGTTGATACCTGGACCCATCATCGGAGAAGGCGGGCCGGGCGATCTTGGTGCTCTCTGTGACTGACCGAGCAAAGCTTGAGCTGCTTCTCGTCCACCGTGTAAGCCCGTCGTTTCCGGTTGATTATCCTGCTTCTTTTTGCCAAACAATGAACCAAAGAAGCCTGATTCCTTTTCGCGCTGCTCTTTGTCTGCTCGTTCCCTGTCCTTCTTGCTACTCTTGGAGGACTTTTCCTTCTCCTTATCGCTCCCCCACTTGCCAAACAGACCTTTTTTGTCTTTCTCCTTACGCGGAGACGGTGCTGGAGCGATGAACGAGCCGGAAGGGGGGGAATTGGAGGGAGTTCCACTTGGGCTATGTGTTTCGGAGACTGATGGCTCGTACTCTGCAGGCGAAGGAGTGCGGGAAGGAGGTTGTGGTTGTTGTTGATAGGGATCGGGAGCCAAGAGACGAGTTGGTTGTGGCTGGTGGATGACCTGAGCAAGTGGTTCTGATTCTGGCTCTGGCTCTACTTCAACTTGTGGAGTTACGTCGGGAAAGTCTGTCATAAAGGAAGGAGGTGAGGATGTTATTAGAACTGGAGGGAGAGTCGGGGGAAGGTCGTCATCATCGTCGCGAACATATGAATCATAAATCTGTGCCTCCTCGCTGAACGACATAGGCCGGTCTTGAGCATTTTCGTCGGAGATTCTTGGTCGTGATGAAAAGGACTCGACAGATTCGCCGTGATCACTGGAGGAAACATCGCTTGAAGTGCGCTGGAGACCGGGAGCAGTGGCAGACCTGCCGGACGGGCCTCTTCTCCGCTCACCAAAACGATGACCACCGCCATCACCAGGTAAGCCTGGTTTACGGATTCTTGTTCTGGCTGTCCTTCGTAGAAACTGGCCTGGCGGGGCAACAATGATAGGTTGGTCTGCTTCATCGCCCAAATCACCTTCATCGAGAGCTGTAATGAAGTGATAAGCCTTGCAAGTTTGCGATGATATAGTAGCACGCACCCAATGGGGAGACATTGAGACTCAAACTACGACGAAGGATATTGCGGAGTTTCGCAGGATCGTCACTCGTCGAGGCCTCCTCTGCCAGTTCTTCAAGCTTTTGCAAGTCGCTTATGGTGAGGTGTGGCCCTTGATTCTGATTTGAGGAGTAAATTCCCGAGCGGTTGCGCCTTAATGGTACAACAGTGTCGTCGTTGGCGGTGTCGTTTTCGGAAGGCTGATACTGGCGACTAAGCATGGATTTTTTCCGGCCAAGGCCTGTTGCGCCTGATGAAAGGCTTGTAGCCCGTTGGAGACCATTTGACTCGTCATCTGCTGGGGGGTTTCGGGCGTGTTCCTTAAGAAAAGCGCGAAACTCCTGGGGAGCGATTTCTGGATGAAGTCCTGCGGGGACCCAGAATAGATGGAAAGGGTCTGACACATCTGTGTTGGGGGAGTTGTCTGGGCTGGTAGAGTGGTTGGTAGGTGACGCCGTGGATTGGTTTGGCGGTAGGTCGGGGTCGATGGTGAGTGGGGTTGTTGAACGACGTCGGATGTCCCGTAAGGCCTTTGGAGGGACATATAAAGGAGAGTTTAATTCGATGAATTGGACAATACCTCAACTTCACGGCGGATGTCATAGTCGGTGGGCTGCATACGACCGTGACTAGCAAGAACAAGCCTGGAACAAACTACATGTAACAACAGATCTAGTGTCTAACGTCCTCTCCCATGCTCTCTCCGGAGTTCTTGGATAACAGCCTGTTTCCTCTTTTACTTTCTATCTTTTGTCGAGTTCTATATGAGACTTACCGCAAGTGCCTCGGGGTTGACCCCACTTTCAATCATCCGCACACAAGTCGTCAGCTACAACAAAGATCAAGTAGCTACTATAAGTACTAAAGCCGATCCAATCTGCTTACTGTCTCCTTGTCGAGTTGTGTGTTCAGTAACTGCGACATTTCATGCAGAACTGGCACTGCATCAGTTCGGGTGATTTTCAACAGCGAGCACAGACTATCAAGAGTTTGTTGAGCGGACGATATACGGTCAGCGTCTCGCGTTGCGGAGGCTGATGCAGAATTGGAGGACATCGTGGTGTAGGTGTGAAATGTGAAACACAAGTTCAGAGTTGCACTAAACCGCCATGACTTCGAAATCAAAACCAACCAAGGGTCGTAAACCCGAAAAAATCCAGCATCCAGACTCACGCGTTGCCGCTCAACATGTTCGGCGTGCTGCTCGCAAAGATCGATTAGCCGACCTGCGGTCGAAAGCAAAATCAAAGGCGGCAACGAGGCTTGAGTTTTACAGTTTTATTCAGAGTCGCTTGCCTCCAGACTCAACATATCTGTCGCTCCCGGAGATTCATGCCATTCTCGCCGTCTGGGTATCTCGACACGGTGCAGAAATCTCTTTGGAGCAAACAGCCCGTCGGAAAGGCAGACCGAAGAGTGCTAAGGAAACAAAGTTGGAGGAAGTTCAATTGCGGGAAGTAGAGAACTATAAAACTGGGGTTGGTACGTCCCTTACTCTACTCCTTCTTCTCTCCGGCGCTCAAGGTTCGAGACAGAGATTCCTGACTTGACAGACCGAGACATGCTCCAGAAATTTCGACAGTGGGATATGAAGTCGCTCGGTTACGCCCATACTCTGAGATTCATACGCGTTTCCAGCTTACAACAAGACATGGCCGTTGTTTCCCGGCCACCAACAGCAACCGGGCACGAGGCCAACGACGATGAAGCACCGCAGCTTCTAGATGACCAAATGGACGAAACATAATCTTTTTAACCGACTCCGAAAAAGTACATCTTTACTTGCCTAACCATAATGCCTTTGTTGTTCCCTTTACTTGCAAGCATAGCAAAGGTGGCTATTTTCATATGAACCCCCAACTTGAAGTCCGTTCAACGGTGTCAAGTAAGTTATCAAGATCTTCCGGTCTGACGTTTTTGCGGTCTGGACTTTACGGAACATATCGCTTATCTCACCTTCGACCAGTTCTTCCTCTTCTTGCTCACTCATCGTTGTCAAAGAGCTCAATAGGACCACTTGGTCAGGCATGGATCTTACCCCAAGCCAAGGGCTCGCTGCTAATTCGAACTTCCGCATCCAAGAGGAAGCTCAAAGGGGGAATGGAAAAAAAAAGTAGCGTGTCATCACGTATCAGGGTCTCGACCCGCACGTTGTCTTCGATGAACAATCGGCTATAAAATGCGGGTTGAGGCGGAATAGAAACCTTATGTCTCTCCGCTCTGAAATCCTCGTCGTAAGTTGCTCTGCCTCCTCCTCACCCACTTACTAACTTGAATTATAGGTTGGTGCAGGCCCTTCGGGTCTAGTTATGGCGCTTGCGTTGCTCAGAAACGGCGTTTCAGTGCGGCTGATTGACCGAGAACCGACATCTCGACTGGGCCAACGTGGAGCAGGCATAATGGTGCGCCACAGAAATGTGTTGTTGAGCTTGCTTCTAATAAGTATCCTGTTATCTAGCCGCGCTCCCTTGAACTTTTCCACGCCCTCGGAATCAGTGAAGATATTCTCAAACGTGCTATCCCTGCCCCTCAGGCAGTCGTGTACCAAATGCCTGGCGGAATCCAACCTCTCAGCAAGTTCGATATGTGGCCACCCGTTGAAGCCACCACGAAATTTCCCTTCGTCAGTTCCTCTCACCTTGCCAATTTCCGCTGATCGGCTTTACAGCCCAATGTAGTCATGCTGGGTCAAGACCATCTTGAACAAATACTTCGGAGTGAGCTCCATAAACTTGGATGCGCTATCGAATGGGGCACTTCTCTGGTTTCTTTTGAGCAAGGGCCAGATGAGGTTCGCGCTGTTCTGGCCCGTGCCGACAGTCAAACCACAGAAACGCAGACATTTGGGTATTTAGTAGGAACAGACGGAGCTCGCGGTGTTGTTCGCAAAGCACTTGGGTTGACCTTTCTCGGGGAGACGAGCAATGCACATAATCTGGTCGTGGGAGATGTCATGGTACATGGCCTCGACCCCAAGGTGCGTTATGTCTTTTCACCATCGCTTCTTCGAATGTTGACTTATGCCAGCTATGGCACATGTGGGGGCAATTCGAAAACAACTGGCTCAGTTTAAGGCCAACCGAAGTCCCATTCATGTTCTCCTTCTTGTTGTCTGGACCCGAGATCGACCACTCCTATATCGTACAGAATCCGGCCTCCCTTGGCAGTGTCTTCGTCGAATATACTGGAAGGAGGAAAGACCTAGTCTTTGGCGATGTGGTCTGGCTCTCGACATACCGCCCCAATGTTAGGTAATGCGTCACTGTGATCGCCTTCCAAGACTCTTATATTTTCTAGGATGGTCAACAAATTCAGCTCCGGTCGTGTATTTGTGGCTGGAGACAGTGCGCATATTCACAGTGTTACCGGGTGAGATAATTTTTTTTTTTTGCAGGCTGGTTTGATGACTAATTTGTTATCAGTGGACAGGGTATGAACGTCGGAATCCAAGACTCCTTCAACCTGGGGTGGAAGTTGGCGCTGGTCGCTCGCGGCCTTTCTCCGGAATCATTACTTGCGACTTACAACGAAGAACGAACTCCTGTCGTCGCGGCAATGCTTAACCAAATCACCGCTCTTCTCCAAGAAACACAAAATGACAAGAACCAGATAGCCAACCCTCGCAGGGCGCGCACGGCTATCTCTGCTTGGAAGTACAACGGCGGTGTTCTCCAACTGGGAGTCAACTGTCGATGGAGTTCCATTGTGTTTGACGAGCAGTCACATGATGACATCGAGTTTGAAGAAGATCTGGCAGATTTTGATCAAGACTTTGCATATGACGAAGACGAGGAAGATGAAGAAGACTTTTCTTCCGCAAACGACGCGTTAATTCAGAGACCATTGCGAGCAGGTGATCGCGCACCTGATGCGCCACAGCTTGTTGCCATCAAACATCCAAACTCTTCCCGGCCATCAAATCGGTTCTTCGACATCTTCAGTCCATCCAAACACACGGTGCTGATTTTCAGCAACAACCCTAATCGATGCCTGCCTGCCATGCGTCTGTTGGGCTCTTTTCCCCATAGCGAAATCCAATCTGCTGTTGTTGTTCGGCCACGTACGGCCGTGAGCGAATCGGTACCCCCTCTGGTGGACTGGATTGTTGAGGATCATGCGGGACATGCCTACTCAACCTATTCGTTTCGTGAAGGCTGCGATATCGTTGTCGTTCGCCCTGATGGGCTACTTGGAGCAGTCGTTCGTAGCGGCAGGGGTCTGTTAGAATACTTTGACGGCATTTTTAAACGCTCCTCCTAATCTAATACCTGGCTCACACTATTACTTGTAGACTTCGCTACGACTAATTGTTAATAAACTAGTACTTTCATTTACTTAAAGCTACAACATCAGAGTCTCCAAGATTCTACATATCAATGCCAAGTATTCTCTTAACTGCTTCGCTTTCCCGGAATTTCGCTTTCGATCTCCCCTCGTTCAATCGCTCCAAACCACCTTGAATGCTGCGGATGTGGACTTCAAGCGGGATTCTCCCTCCAACCAACTCCGGCGCAGCAACTCTTTCCCGCAAATTCTCGATATCTTCGCTCATTTGAGCCAAAGTTTGAAGTGCCCCAACGACATGAGCCAGCGCTTGCTTTCGATACTCTCCAAGACCTTTGAGTAAGGCAAGGTGGTTATCGTACCCTCGCAGTTTGGGGCGATTTCCGCCTAGTTTAGTCCACAGATAGCCCAGCAATTCCGCCTTTTCGGTTGTCAAAGACTTGTCTTCCCGTGAAACTAGCTCGTGAAGAACCGAAAGCTGCTCCTCCAGTTTGTTGAGGTGATTCAGGTTCAGCTCGAATTCAATCACGAGACGGGACATGGTCAGCGAAAGGTAGTTCATCGAGTCTTCAAAGGCGGAAACGACAATGTCTGTTTGTGGCTTAAACGGCCAACGTAGGATTTGTTGCAGCATTGACGGCGGATGTTGTGCATGTGCGCCCTCGATAGTTCGCAACGCATAGTCATTGACAGCAACAACGCTATGTTTTGAAGCTAGTTAGGACGGAAAATTAATTCGACGCAAAGTTGATGGACTGACCCATCTACTGCGCCAGAAACTTTAGCGTTGAGCCTGTTAAGAGAGCGGCCCGCTGCTCGCGCATCGTCGATAAATGTCCTCAAAGAGTCTTGAATGACATCGCGGCTTTTGAGGTCGCTGACTGTCACCAATGTCACGAGATCGGACGTCGCAATCTCAGCTTTCTTCAGCTGGAGCGCCAGCGTAGATCCAGAAGTGGACTCTTCCAGTAGTTGCTCCAGGGTAGCGCTCTGGACATCAACTAGCTTAGGGAAATCCGCCCACTGAGGCTGCTGCGCGGATGGGGGCAAGCAGAACGGCGATTGAGAGACTAGCGGTAGCCAGCAAATCGGCGCAAAAGCGACCCGTATGGTATTGGTCATCCTTTGCACCAAGAAGGCTAACATCCAGATGAAAACGATAAACGACAGTGGTCCTCGCAAGTAATTCACTGCAGTAGTTAACACATCCAACGTATATCGAGAAATCCAAATACTGCCGCGAATAACCACCGGTTGGATACTCGGCATTGGCGGTGGGGGAGGAGTCTCAGTTTTGCTGGACGAAGGAATAGGCTTGTTTCTGGTTCTTTTTCGAGGACTGGGACGTGCTCGAGACGAAACAGGCTTTGGCGACCGTGAGGAAACAGATGCCCTCCCCCCTACATCGCCATCAACATCCTCCCATGCATCGTCGTCGTCGTTGCGAACGGTCTCTTCCGAAGAAGCACGGTTATGGCGTCTTTGTCGCGTGGTGGCCGTCATAATACAAAGTGTTGTGATGATGTAATGCCTGTGACGTGGCTTGAGGCTTATCAATATTATCAGATTCAAGTTCTTTGCTCCTTGCTACCTCCACCATGCCCATCGGCGTTGCTGCATTAGAGGCTGCAATACGCAAGTCCCTTAATTGCTCCCACATTGAAATAGAGGATACTTCGAGTGGCTGCGGTGAAAACTATGCCATCCTTCTTGTCAGTGAGGACTTTGAGGGAAAATCCACCCTTGTTCGTCACCGTTGGAGTTGGTGTCTTCTATTACCTGATGCCCGCGCTCTGACTGTACCTATCCTTTAGTTAACCAGCTCCTAAAGGATGAGATCGCTCAGATGCACGCATTTTCACAAGTCAGTTTGACGTCTTTGTCGTTCCCTTCCCAACGCTTTGCTGTTGTCAGAAAACATTTACACCTGCTCAATACGAAGCACATCTAGCCAAAAGCGCATAGTTGTTCTTGACCACACTCTGTTTTCGCGTTTTGGAATCCACGCTTTCACTATCTTTTGTTTGTACTCAAAGCTCGCACAATGCCAGAAACGGTCGATCCAACAACGCTAGGAATCGAATCAACGACGATGCGTGCAGCACTCGACGTGGCAGCAAATGCCTCGACGCCTCGCGCCCCTGCTTCCCAAAAGATATTTCCCCCGAGATCCTTTTTCCCACTGCCTTCCATCATGATGGCAGCCTTGACTGAGTCCAACTCATTGACTACCTCTAGTCCAACAGAGCGTGCCCAGACCACTGGCGAAAACGAGGTCGAGTAGAGTTTGTGTAGCTTGTCCATGGCTGACATAATTTTGTGGTTGGAAAAATATCGTTCTCGCGCATAGGGAAGCAAAGCAGTGCGTGAACCTGGAAAGGAATGCATTTTAGAACCATTGTCGACTTGCAAAGAGTGAAACGTGTACCAATGTCACCACCATTAGCAAGGGCGTCTTGAATGCATTTCGACAGGGCATCAACATCCGCGAGGCCAAGATTGAGGCCCTGTCCGGCAAGGGGATGGACTGTGTGGGCAGCGTCGCCAACAAGGACGGTACGCCCACCATCGCCTTCTCCCAGGTACGAGTCGGTATGATTAAATCTTAAAGGAAAAGATGCGACTGAGCCTGGCTGAAGAGATGTTACTAGGGGTGGTAGCAGCTCCGTCCCTTGGGGTGGAATGCCTTGTTGCTGGACTGTCTCTCCAGATGCGTAGGCGGAAGTAGCGTCGATTCCGTCAGATCGCTCCCGCCATGCAATCTCTTCCTTAATTTGAGATGCAGTTAAGGGAGTCCCATTCCTATCTGCTTCGACAACAATATCATGCAGGTAGTTCATGGAGACATGAGGCATTCGAAAAGCGGCATTTATCATCGGCCTCAGAACATCCAGTCCAGCAGCAATCAGTGCTTTGGCTAGGAGAGGTTTGGTCGACCACACCAAAGAGGACGCAACAGGAGATAGCGGAAGGAAAGCAATAGGACCAGTTGGGAGGAATCGTTGATAAGCTGTTGTGTGTGGACCAAGGAATGCGCCTCTCGGCTGGTGGAACATAGTGGCAACAATAGCTTGCGTGTTGTAGTCCCAGCCAAAGGAAGAAATCTTGGCGAAATTTCTTACAGGTGAGTTGAACCCGTCAGCACCAACCTACCACACCAAATTCAGTGTCAGTGTGTGAAAACAAGTGAAGCGCACCAAGAGTCTAGAACGCATGACACGACCATCGTCTAAATGTACAAGCGGCCAGCCATGTGTCTCCATGTTGGTGATCATTTTGACTTTCGTCTTGTCGAAAAGTCGGATTTGAGGTATAGATTCCAGGCGTCGTAGCAAACCGCGTTGCAAATTCAGGTTTTCTGTCATGCGGGCCATTCCATGCTGGAGACCTAGGAGGGAGGCGGGAAACTCGATGCGGGCATCGGAAACTCCATCCCATACCTTATGGACATCAGAGGGAGTAGAAAAAACAAACGGGGAACACAAACCTGCATATCTTCAATGACACAAGTCCGTTTTTCGTCCACATATGCCCATGCGTCGACCTCTTTTACGCGTCTTAATCAATTTCTTTGAGGTTGATTTGGGATTCAACCTTTGAGGAACTCTTGCGACTTGTGTGTGAGTGAACTGGCGCGGTTTGAGAAAGTGCCTGGCTCGGGGGTCCAATTTTGAACACTGGACAAGTCTCCAGCTTCGACCAAAGCAACTTTTACGTTTTGTCGAATGTCCGCAGATGACCCTCAAGGATGTAAACCAGAAAATATCTTTGGAAGAATAGCACATACCCAAAGCACTCGCGAGGGCCAGACCAACTGGACCGCCACCAACAATCACGACATCCCAGTCTTCTGGCACCACCGTCGTCGATGCAGCACGCTGCCAATGTCTTCGAATCTGACCAGCAGCTCGACGAGAAACCGTGGTGGTCGCTAACCGCATGAAAGTAGTAACGATGTGACAGACAGCTAACAATTAGCTCTTCCATTCTTTCGCAACCACCATGGCTATGGCCATGGCTGCTGCCCCCGTGTCAGCTGCACAGGCAATAGGAGAATATCTACAAGCTCCCGATGACCTCGTAAAAATTTCCGCATTCCGCAAGAAATTGGAGAAGGAGAAGGCTTCCATCGACGCTCGTTTGAAGAGCGGAGTGCGAGATCAATTGCAAGCGACGAGAGAAGGACTCCGGAAGTTGCTTGGCACACGAAATAATGTCCAGGTCATCAAAGACGAAATGGCTGCTATCGAACAACAGTGTGCCGACCCAACAAATGTTGTAGCCACTTTCGACCAGATTAGTCGAGTACGTCGCGTCTGTGCTCTCCGAATAATGCTTATTCTACTCTTAAGGTATCTATGGTTCACCGTAACTTCGAGCAAACGGAAGAGACCGTGAACAATCTCCTTGAGATGAATGCGAAACTTGATGAACTGGAAGACATGCTAGAAAATGATAGCAGGGATATCATTGGGCCTGCCCCCAACCTCCTAGTCATCCATTACGCGTTAAACCAGCTCGAGGCCTTCCGAAACCAGACGATGCATCAGGCGAAGAAGGCATCAGCAAAGTCGCGCGACACCCTGAATCGCTATTTCGAACGCTTAAACAACTTCATCGAGGCATTCGATCAGTATATCGTGGGGCTAGCATCCAATATTCTTGAGTTGGTCCGATCAGGAAATGGCAGTGTGGTGGTCAAGTTATTGAAGATCGCCGAAGTCGAGGGCAGAGAGGATGAGAAGGTGCAACTTGTGTTCACTTTCTCCGTTTCTGCCAGCTGATTTATGCGAAGGCCATCGCTATTCGACTTGTAAAAAAGGCGGCCAAGCTTGATGCTGCCTCCAAGTTCAAATCGATGCAAGCCAACGCTCGTGTGATCAAGCACTACCGTTCAAAAATCACCAAGGCCATCACCGACTCGATAAAGGCTCAGTTTGAAGAAGCCTATAGGCAGAATGAACAAGACCCGGCTCAGTTCCTCAATTCTCTCAGTTGGATGTACCAAGACATCATACGGATGGAGTCTGATGTGGTTCCATGCTTTCCCAAGGAGTACGAAATCTACTCACTTTACGTGCGGGAATACCACAAGACTTTGAACGTTACGATCAAGAAACTCGTGGAATCTGAGCCCGGCGCAAGTGTGCTGCTGACGTTGTTTGAGTGGTTGAAGGAGTACAAGAAGGACATGAAGGAACTGGGCGTGCCCCCAGAACTACTCGAACCCCCGCTGCTGGAAGGCAAAGAGCAGTCTTTGATTGAAGACTACTTGACCGTCATTATCAAGAAACTCGACGAATGGTCTGCCAACTTGATGAAGACGGAAATTGAAGAGTTCATCGCACGACGTGAGCCACCCGAACTTGACTCTGATGGACTCTACGGAACCCAAGGGGGCGCTGCTATCCTCTTCCAAATGGTCAACCAGCAGGTTGATCTCGCGACTGAGAGTGGACAAGGTGCTATTCTAGCGCGAGTTGTGAGCGAAGCCAATCGCGTCATGCGTAGTATCCAGGAGCAGTGGGTCAAAGTCATTGACACGGAATACAAGAAACAGATGGAGAAACCGGAGGAAGCAGAGGGAGGATTGGTAGAGTATGTCATTGCGTTGGCAAACGACCAAATCAAGAGCGCCGACTATGCTGAAGCCTTGTTGGGACGCCTTGAACCCCTCGTATCAGAAAAGTACCGCGTTACTATCAGCGAGCGTCTCAACGACGCTATTGATGGGTACCTCGATGTCGGCAAAAAATGCACTCAAACTCTCATTGACTTGATCTTCAACGATCTAAAACCTGCCAGCAAACTACTGTTCCAAGCCGCGTGGTATGATGGCATAATGCAACAAATTGTCGAAACAATGCGGGATTACATGACGGACTACCAACAATACCTCAACGCCTCCCTCCTCGAACTCCTGGTGGAAGACCTCCTCGATGCATTCCTTGTTGTTTACCTCAACGGTCTAGCCAACTCGCCCAAGCTCAAGATGCCTGCTGCGACGGAGCGAATAAAAGAGGACGTCAGTGTCTTGTTTTCCTTCTTCAGCACGTTTAAGCCCGCGCGTGAACTTGAGGCATATTTTGATGTCGTGGAGAAGATTCTCGCTCTGCTGGAAGCCTCGAAAGATCTTGTGTTCTTGTCCTTCTGGGCCTTTGCCAGGATTCACGGACCGAATCTGGCCTTTGTTGAGGGGTTGATGAAAGCCCGCGCTGACTTGGACCGCTCGGCCGTGAGTGAAGTTATGGACAGTATCAAGAAGAAGGTGAAAGACGAAGGCCTCACTGATCGTAAGTGTCTGAACAGTATCGTTTCTCGTGTTGACCCTTTTCTAGCTCCAGAACCTACAATAATGAAGAAAGTGGCCATCCAAGGCTCATTTTCGCGTTTCCTCAAGAGCGCTGCTGGTTGAGTGTGTGTTCTTGTACTAATTTATACCGGACTACTACTACTACTACTACTGCATTTGTGTATTTTTTTGGACCAACTGTATTGCATAGAAAAGACTTGCCTGATCCGTGACCGAGATTTGTCATGACGCGATCATGTTGCGGGCGCCAAACATTTGCCCGACATGTTCAATGAACCTCCGCCATGACCATGACCATGTCTGAACCGACCGCAGACCCCCCTTCGCGAACGCTTGTGGTGTCGGTCGTATTATTCTACATTGTCGCTGCGCTGGCAATGATAGTTGCGTAAGCCACACTCATGATGCGTGAATTTGAGCAGTTAATCCTACCCAGGAACAAGTGGGTTTTGAATGCAACCTCTGCCGCACTATTTCTCCTGCTCGTTCAGCTACTCATAAGTGCTTTCTTGCTATGGATTGCCGACCTCTTCCGTCTGTTCCAAGACCGACTAACTTTGGATATTGCGACCTGCAAGGCTCTTATTCCGCTCATCGCATTGAATGTTACTGGCCTAAGGTTAGTCGCGCGTGCTCAAAGGGACTCTTCAAACTCATGTAGGTTCGCAGCTTCAGCAACTACACGCTAAAATTTGTTGACACCTCATTTTACCAGGGTGTGTAGTATCCATTGCCATTGAAACCGTCCTAGTCCTGACTTTATGAAACAGTTGCCCGTGGTCTCGTTCTGCCTTTCACAGTGGCAGCGTCCTTCTTTTTGCTTCAAACACGGCCATCGGTTCGCATTCTGTCAGCCTGCGCACTCGTCACTGCTGGCTTCTTCATCGGGGTCTTGTTGGATGGGACACCTCTCTCACTAGTCGGAATTGGCTTTGGCGTAGTCAGCTCGCTCATCACAGCGGTCGCCACTGTCGTGATCAAGAAAAGCCTCCCACTCGTGAATGACAGCAGCATTCTACTCGCGTGGTACAGCAACGTGCTTAGCGCTGTAGTGCTGGTGCCTGTCATGTTTGTTGCCGGCGAAGGTCCCGCAATCTTTGCTCTGTTGAGGGGGGCTCCCGCCCCGGGGGCACCGGAAGGTACCCCCTCCGAACTACCAACATTTCTCTGGGGGTCTCTAGTCACTGTAAGCATCCATCGTTGTTTCTGGAACTGCAATACCAAATATTCAGGGCGTTGTTGGATTCGCAATGTCCGTGGCAGGGCCTCTCTCAATAAAAGTCACCTCTCCGATCTCCCATATGATTTCAGCCGCAGTCCGCGGCGTGGCTTCGTCATTTCTGGGACTCTGGCTGTTCCACGACTTGATTTCCAGGTCAGCAGTCTTTTTGATTTCCATACCCACCATCTTATCAGAAATAGCGGTCGCGCAGCGTCAATAGCTGTAGTCTTGGGCGGCTCCATATTTTACACGTGGATCAAGAACGAGGAGACCAAGGCGGCAAAGACGACTGGCGGGTATGAACGTGTTCCAATGAACGAAATAGATTTAGAGAGAGGGTCACAACTAGAGGAGCGGGACTAGATTAGAGCTGAATAATCATTATCTAATATATTCTCTACATTGTTGGAGGGTAGTCGACGGGTGTTGGTTGTGGTTGGTACTGTTGAGAATGCATTTGCGTCAATTCACTGAAGTTGCTAAAGTAGTTGCCCCAGTCGTCCACCCTTCATCGTTCAGTCAACATGCGAAACTAATCGAGTAAGAGGGACGCACTCTATTCCGATAGGCGCACTGGCCCACATATTGATCGTCTCCTGGTCAATCAAGTTCATCTCCATGTTCATCATTTCGGCATCACCCATCCCGTTCCACTGGCCATTCCCATTGATAGTTGGGTCCATTGTGTGTAAGCCCGCAAATAGATCTTGATTTAGCGGAGGATCCCATGTGCCTGGCTTTACTAGCATTGGCGAACTACTCGACTCTGACCCTGGGACAGGGGCAAATGCACTTGGCTCCATCGGCACTGTGCCGAATACTCTCGGATCAATCTGGGTGGGTGATCTCATCACGGAGTGCGTTGGCGTCTGAGCCTGTGATTGGGCGATATGGGACTGGGCCTGATATGGCGCTCGCCACTCTGGATCGCTAATGGGACGCTCGAATGTCTGCCGGAGGCTAGCTGTGGCTTGTTGGACGTGTTCAGAAGGTGGGACAGTTTCGACATGACAAGATGGGTAGCGCTTCAAGTTTCTATGTGATCTTGGCTCTGGGGGCTTGCTCACGCCATGAGGGTTTATTGGTGGCATTGAGGGAGGGACGGTTGTTGTTGTCGAGTCCTTATTGATGTGGCCAACATTCGCCAGTTCGGAAAGGATGTCGTAGAGGAGTCCAGCATGCTGCCATCGATCTTCGCATACTTTGACGACATCCATGCACTTCTGGACATTGGCAATCTCGCGTTCTGGGTTAGCCACCAAGCCAGTGCGCTTCCCGCTCCAGACGTTGAGCAGGAGGACAATGCCAGATGTGAATACCGCATACTACTAAACGGTCAGCCTTACCATCAAGAAAGTTTAATGACCCACAAAATTAAATATGACGGGTATGTCCCCCTTCCTCCTCCTTTGGACGTCGACAACAGTGGCACATGCCCGCGCAGCATTCGTGCAAATCGCTAACGACGGGAGTGAAGTCGGTGCCTTCTTCCTCAGCATCGGAATGAACGGCCGGTGCACTAATATTTGCAAGTGGTAATATCCACATTGTAAGGCTGCACTCTGATCAAAGAAAACGTCGTTTTTATTATTTGGGTCCCAGCGTACTGTCCAGGTCGTCAGCAATGAAGGAAGGAAGGAAGGAAGGAAAGAACAGCACGCACAATGTTCTGGTATCCTATCCTTCCACCCGTTCAGCCCGGAGTCAAGCTCAGCCACCATATTTTCTTCCCAGATATCAGTAATCGGGAAAATGACGCGCATTTTGCCTAGGGAGTACTGCAACCAACCAAGTCAGACGGCACTCTTCAGATATAGTAAACATACCAGCATCTTTAGACTAAACGCAAGAAGGTGATTGAGCGTCATTAAACAGTTGAAGAACGTGATCTTTGAAGGGATTCCGACAGGCTGCTCAAACGGTCGCAAGGGATCCTCCCAGTACTGGTCGTCACATTCTATCGGTAAGTTGACATCAAAACTTGCAGATATGCCTTCAGCGAACACAGAAGAATTGAAAGAAGACAACTCACTCATCGAACTGCAACGAGCATGGCCTCCCCATTCCTGAGCTGACTAGCCTATCTTCATAAAGAAGCACCCAAAACGCGCGTTTCATCAGCTCCCTTTCTACGGTTGGTGGAGGCTCCACCTCCGAAGAACGCCGATGGACACCAAGATCCAGTGCGAGACGCAATCCTACACCAAGAATTGTCCAGCAGGATTGCGGGGCAGAAGAGCCTTCTAGAAACTGAACGGCCAGCTGAAATTGAATATGAATGACCCAGAAAGGGTAAAGCGGAATAATTGAGCTCACAGCGTAATATTGGAGGTCGTACAAGGTCGCCTGACCAAACATATGGCTGCCTACCAGTGGAACTTGGTCAAACCATGCCCAGCCACATGCAAGACCCATTCCTGGAGCTGAACCGATCACGGATGGTACGGTCTTTGGTGGTAGAACGGAATGGTTTCCGTTCGTGTCAGCATAGCTGACAGGTCCTCGCCCGTAGCGGTCATCGAGACCGACTCCAATACCGCCAGGTGCACCCACACGAGGATCCGGATGCCAGCGGGAGGCATTGGCGCAAACGAGCAGAACTGTTGCCGCAAAACCGTCATGGCGCAAGAAAAGCCCTTCGCGAATACCCCTCTCGAAGGTTGGTCGATGCAGCAGGGGCAAATATGTGTTGATGTGAGTGAAATATAACGTCACAAGTTCGTTCATGAGGGCCATTGGCGGAAATGTGTATGATTGGGATCGAGTCGACGCGTTTTCCCACTGCGCAAGTCGTTAACACGAGTTGAAAGTGTAAGTGAGAGAACAAACCGGCTTGAAAGTCCAGTACTGTAGCCTCCTGGCAGTCCATGTCAGCCCAGCACTACTGTGAGCACTGCTTTTGTCCCATTCGTCGCTGTCATCATTATTGGTCGGTTCTGGCTCTTCGACTTCACTCAAGCTTTGCATTGTTCCAGGGCTATCTCCAGATTCGGTCCTAGCCGCTGGGCTTCCGCTTGACGCAGATGCTGAAGCTGAAGCTGAGGCGGCCCGTCTACGCTCTCTTGATTGCGCATTCACTTTGAGGTCAATCGCAGTCTTGACCAGTGAAACCCCAGAAGACTTGCCCATAAACTTGAGCCCTGGTGTTTTAGAATCCATCTTGAGCTCTTCCATCTGAGGATGTTAACCCTCAGCGCAATGCTGGAGAAATAGATTAGCGGCGCACCTTCTTTCGAATTTCCATATGTTCTAGATCCTCTTTCAATGGTGGTGGTTGAGGGACTGTGAGACTGTGTATTGCTGTCCGTAGGACAAACAGCCAAGCCTTCGTTGAATCTATTGTCGGGTCGCCGTTGTCGGTTTGTGATAACAAGGCATTACGGTTGGACGAGCTTGAGGCGGCAACAGTGGAGGCAAAGTGAGCGGCAGTGAGCTCTGAGCGAAGGTGCTTGACTTGGGATTCTGAGCGCTCAAGGCGGGCTTCTAAGGATTCAATGTAGGTGCTGATCGACTGTTGAGATGCTATCAAACAAACGAAGGAGAGCAAACCTCCTGGCCGGCGTGCGTTTCTGGTTAATAATGGAGGTTATGGACAAAAAGGACAAGCAAACAAGCACTTACTACGGCCGCTTCAAGGTAAGTACATTCCAGATTCGCGTCAAGACACGTCGAGCATCGACCACCATCCATTTGTGAGCCATCGCCTTCAGATCAAAGGATTAATGCGCCTTGCCAGGTCATAGATTAGCAAACACACATCGACCTACAGTCTACTAGTCAGGCAACGAAGCATAACTGAAACTTGAGACTAACTTTTGCGCCTACGACAAACATCACACGCGCGGGCTATTCTTCGTTTCTTGTTGCCTCTTTGGTGGCCCGAGTCAGGCTCCATCTCGTATTCGGAAGATGACATTGCTTCTCGATTCTGGTTATTGTTGTCGTTGTAGCCGTCTTCTGATGCAGGGCCTACGGTTGCGGAGGAAAGAGAGGATGATAAAGTGCCTTGTGTTGGCTCGGCAGACTTCGGAGGTACACACGTCACCCGAATGCCGCTGATTGACACTCGAGGTCTCACGCCGTCGCACTGCTTTGCGTCTAATTGTTCGGTGCTTTGCTGACAAATCGGCCACGAAGAGTAAATGAGGGGGAGGAAGCCGCAAGCGGCAGATGACGAACCTTTGTCAATTCACTGTAGTACTACTTTGATCATGATTTGTTTTAACTTTTAAGCTAAAGGCAAACTCTTTTTAACACCAATTACCTGTGAATAAATTTCTTTACATAGTGACAGATTTCTCCCTGAAGCCAAACAGATTTGAGTCAGTGGGTTATCTAGATGATCTATTTCCAGTGATGAACAACCAAACATAAACTTGAAGGTAGCCTTCAAGTTTTACTTATGGATAGATACTGGTAGTACTTGTGCTGCTGATAGGTACTACAGTCTGCAGATACTAGTAATTATCCCTACTATTTGAAATTTCCTAATCCACATGATACAAAATCTCCATTCTGCTACTATGCACTAAGCTACTAAGTTCAATATATATACTTGAGTATACTGTAAGGCCAATAAATGGCAAGCACAAGTACTTACAAATTTAATGAACCGACAGGGAGTCCAAAACAAAGAAGGAAACACGAATAGAATTAGAGCAGCTGGCCCTTAACGAGGAACAGCAGAGTCCAGACGACGCAGAGAGCTAGAGCTGGCACTGCACTCGAGCTCATTACAAATATGTCACGCAATCACAGTCAGCATCATTACAAGGCAAAAACGATGAAATCCAAAAGACATTATAATTTGGATAAGATAAAACCCTAACCCAGCAGGTAAATGCAATACAAACCGCCATCAAAACTGTAAGGGGAGCATGTGATGTGACAGCGGTGACGGTATCCAAAATATCATAAACGATTACTAAAGTACTCGTAATAAATTGCTGATACCTTGGAAGTTCAGGAATCTTTTATGGTGAAATATTAAGTAATTTGAGAATTTAATCAAAAATTACAGTATATAAGTGTCAGGGGAACCTCCCTTTCGGCCCGGAGACGCGCCCGATTCCGGTCCGACTCCAGTTCCGACCCCGGTCCGGCCCTCCATCTCGCCCGCACAATCACCGATCCGTCAATGCCCTCCCGACGGTCGCCCTGGGACCTCGCCTGCGACGCCGCCCAGGCCTTCTGTGCCCGACAGCGGCAGCTACGGACAAGCAGTATATAGTCAGCTACCTAGCAGGCGGACCCTTAGAGTTTCTTCTCTTTGGATCCTCCCCTGCTAGGTCAGCTTCATTTGTATTCGCTTACCAATGTTCACGCTTTGGATCCTCCCCTGCTAGGACCTTGATCTCAGGCCTCCGGGGTTGCCCTTACAGCAGAAGAAACTCTCTACGGGATCAACCGGACAAGATTGCCAGGTTCGGCGCTGACTCAGGCTCGGAGTACGAGTCCGTTCCGCCCTCGTCACCGCCCCTGCCACTTGTCCCCTCCTCCTCTACTCCTGTGGTCCCCGCACCCGTCATGCCGTCCGGAGTCACTCCTACCGCAGACGCCCGGCTGGACTCACTCGAGGCGAAAATCGATAGCCTAACTGAGGCCCTTGCTTTACTCACCAACCAGGCTTCCGCTGCCGCTGCCGCCGCTAATAATGCTGGCGGACCCCAAACACCATCGCCGGAGACGTCGATTCCGACTCCGACTCCGGTTCAGGGCGATTCCGAGACCCTCTTTGGCGACATCAACCTTGCCTCAAAATTGGTCTTATGACCAAACCCCCCGTTCACCTTCAACGGCGACCGGAAACGCGGCCGCGCGTTCCTCTACGCGGTCCGCACCTACGCCCGCCTTGCCCCTAAGGCCTTCGTGGTCAACGGAGAGGCGAGCGAGGAAAAGGCCGTCCGCTATGCCATGTCGTTCATGGCAGAAGGACCCGCTCAGCAATGGGCGGAGCGCCACGGAAGCAAAGCCCCGTTTCCGTTTCCGTCCTGGGGCTCGTTCATTTCCGAGTTTCGACTCCGGTTCGTCGAGGAGAACGAGCAAGATCACGCTCTCTCCAAGCTGGAGACTTCCGCCTATCACATGGGCACAAAGGATGTCTACCAGTACACTGACGACTTCGAGGACCTGATGGACCTCGCCGGATTCGAAGACGCGCTGGTCAAGGTGACCAAGTTCCGCCACGGACTTGACCCCTTGATCAACAACGGAATCACGTCCTCGAACAACCCCCCGGACCTCCAGGACTACCTTAGCTGGCGCACCCGGGCCTTCCATCAATATGAGGCCCTGGTCCGGGCCAAGCTGATCAAGTCAGCCGCCCCCAAGACGCCTGGCGGTTTGATTCGGACTCCGTTTCCGGTCAACCGCATCCCGGCTCTGGCCCCTTTCCGCCCGGTGGCTCCGGTCGTACCACCCGCGGCCCGCGCCCCCGCTCCGGCGCCTCCAGCTCCCGTCCCTATGGAGTTGGATCGCACCAGGGCTCGGGGTGCCCCTCGCCGCGCCTGCTTCAGGTGCAGCCACCCAAACCATCTCGCCCGGGATTGCCCCCTCCCCGCCGATGTCCGCTCGATGGACATCCTCGACGAGGTGATCCAACAACTCGGTGACGAGATGTTAGCGGAGTTGATCGCCCGCTACACGGACACAGCTGCCCTGCCGGAGACGGCAGCAGAGTCGATGGCCGGAGAGGATTTTGTCCCCCGCGACGAGTGACTGGTGTGCCCTCGTTCGCGTCTATAAATCGTTTTGCCTCTTTGTATGATGAATGCAGTTCCTTGCCCTACAATGAGCCCGAAACGAAAGACACACCCTCTCCTGCCCCCGCCTCGACTCCGTCTCCGACTCCGCCCGCGACTCCGGTCATCGTCCTCCGCCGCCTCACTGCCTGGGAAAGGAAACTGCCCAAGCAGTACACCGTTGCCGCTGCCCCTGGGGCGAACTCCCTCCACCTCCCGTTGGAGCTAGAGTCCAACACCAGCGCGCTGAAGCTCTCACTCTCTGGGCTTGTCGACTGTGGTGCCACCTCTGACTTCATTGACACGAACTATGTTGCTCGGAATGGCATTCCGGTCCGCACCCTCGATCAGCCGATTCCGGTCTTCAACGTTGATGGCACCCCCAATGACGCTGGCTCCATCAAACAGATCGCGGACTTGGTCCTGCGCTACAGAGGCCATGCCGAACGAGTTCAACTGGCCGTCACCCATCTTGGCAAGCAAGACCTCATCCTGGGGTACTCCTGGTTGCGGAAACACAACTCAGAGATCAATTGGGAAACCAAGGAGGTCAAGATGACACGGTGCCCCCGCAATTGCTCGACCTGCCGCGAGGAGGAACACGTCGAACGGACTGAGTTGCGGCGACTCCGGTCGCTCCCAGAAACGTCTCCGCTCCGGCCCGTTCCCCTCGGTTTGCACTATGGACCTCTCTGGCCCTGAGGACGGAGACGATTCCGACTCCGGTCTCGATTCCGACCTGCCTGATCTGACACCAGACTCGGACTCGGACGACGAGGATGACCAGCTCGAAGATGGTGACCGTATCTTCTACACCTCGTTCCGTCCCTCAGAGGAGATACGCGCAGGTAGCACCGTCTCACAGCGTCTGGCCGAAGCCTTCGCCAGGAACTCCGCCCCTGCGCCCTCCGAGATCCCGGACTGGGCTAAGGAGTTTCAGGACGTCTTCAACAAGGAGTCCTTCGACACGCTACCGGAGCGGAGAGCCTGGGACCACGCCATTGAACTCGTCCCCGACGCTAAGCCCACCAACTGCAAGGTGTACCCCATCTCGCCCCTCGAGCAACGCGAGCTCGACGCGTTCATCGAGGAAGGGCTTTCGACGGGCCGGATTCGCCCCTCCAAGTCTCCGATGGCGTCTCCGGTCTTCTTCGTCAAGAAGAAGGACGGCGGACTCCGCTTCGTCCAGGACTACCGTGCTCTCAACGCGATGACCGTCAAAAATCGGTACCCCCTTCCGCTGATCAACGACCTCATCAACCGGCTCAAAGGCGCTCGTTACTTCACCAAACTCGATGTCCGTTGGGGCTTCAACAACGTCCGGATCAAGGAAGGTGACGAGTGGAAAGCGGCTTTCCGGACTAACCGAGGCCTGTTCGAGCCCTTGGTGATGTATTTCGGCCTAACAAACTCTCCCGCGACGTTCCAAACGATGATGAATGACATTTTCCAGGACCTCATCCTCTCCGGAGACGTCATGATCTACCTTGACGACATCCTGATCGCCCATTCTGACCTCCGGAAACACCGGCAGATTGTCCAGGAGGTCTTACGGCGACTCCGGGAGCACAAGTTGTACCTTCGAGCGGAGAAGTGCGACTTTGAAAAATCGTCAATCGAGTACCTCGGAGTCATCATCTCCCACAACCATGTCGAAATGAACCCCGTCAAGGTCGCAGGCGTCTCCGCTTGGCCGACTCCGGAAAACAAGAAGGACATTCAGCAGTTCCTTGGGTTCGCTAACTTCTACCGCAGGTTCATTCGGGACTTCTCGACCCTTGCGCCCCCTCTTTTCGTGCTCACCAAGAAGGACCAGCAATGGACTTGGGGCGACGCGGAGGCCTCCGCGTTCCAAGCGATCAAGGACGCGGTCACCTCGGAACCGGTCCTGGCGATTCCGGACGACGCACGGCCTTTCCGACTCGAGGCGGACAGCTCTGATTATGCGACGGGGGCGGTTCTTTCACAATCCGCCCCGGACGGGAAGTGGCACCCTGTAGCATTCTATTCCAAAAGCTTAAATGATGTCCAGCGCAACTACGAAATCCACGACAAGGAGATGCTCGCGATCATCCGCGCACTCGAGGAGTATAGACACTTCCTCGAGGGTGCCGCACCCTGTCGAGATTTGGACTGACCATAAGAATTTGGAGTACTTCAGGAAGACGCAGCACCTCAACCGGAGACAGGCCCGGTGGTCCCTGTACCTCTCCCGGTTTGACTTCACGCTGCACCACAAGCCTGGCCGCGA